GGGATTTACGCCCCGAAGATGGCTCCTCCTTCTTAGAAGCGCTAGGCTTTTGTTGTTGTTGTTGTTGCTTGCTGTTTGCTGCTGCTGCTGCTGCTGCTGCTGCTGCTGCTGCTGCTGCTGCTGCTTCTTCTTCTCAGGAGAACCCTTTTTGGGAGAGACGGGGGAAGAGACATCCTTGTTGTTTGCCTTCGCATCGCCAGTCAGACGACGACGCTTACCGCTACTACGAGGAGGCGTGGGTTCCTTTGCGGGTTCAGGCGAGGATTCATCCTCCTCATCAGACTCCTCACCCTCGGAAGCATCAGCTTGAGCGGCGCTCTCTTGCAGCTGAGCGGCCGCCTTGGCATTGTCATCATCAGGCACCGGAAGACCAGCCTTGTACGCCTTCATCTTCTCCTTGTAAACAGCCAGGTTGTCTGCATAAAGCTTCTTCCACACCTGGAAGGCGAGTCAGTACCACAAGACAGGCTTGGGAACGGCAAGATGAACATACCTCCTTCTGCGCCTCGGGCATTTCAGCCCAGCGCCTGGTGCCTTCATCCGCGACCTCCTTAGGCCTGGCGTTCGGGCCAAGTTCCTGAGCGATCTGGGCACGGTTGTGCTGCATATAGAGAAAGTATGGGGTCAAAGCGCGTTTGGGCGCATTGGGATCGTGCGGCGCGCGCTTTCGCTTCTTCTTCTCGCCCACCTCGGACTTGGCTCCGGGGCTTCCTTGGCGAGGGGCGGTGCCCAAGAGACCATTCTCTAGCAGGCTGCTGGTGATACCGCTCGTGATCCCGCTAGAGAGGACGCCGCTGTCCTGCGTGAACGAGCCACGGTTCAAGACGGTGTTGGCATGATTGATGTAGGCGCGCGACAGGTCGGAGACAGCAGATTGCAGAGTGGCGAGACTGACAATGACCTGCGAATATGTCAGTTGCTGCTGTTCTTGCGACTGAAGCGCAGACAGAGCGCGAATGCCGGCGCAGGCGGCGTTGGCGGAATCAGCGGCGCGTCGAATCGACCAGACCAGTTCCTCGGCGGACTGGCTGACGCGTCGCGGTGACGCAGCGCGGCTCGAGGACATGCTACGAGGGACAAGGGGGTGGGAATGTATGAAATGGACAAAGGGAAAAAAAAAATTCAGGGGAGGAACATGAAGGAGATGGGTGGTAGGAACTTGGCTGGACTCGCTGGAGGCCAGGGTAGGTAGGGTAGGTGTACCAAGGAAGGAGGGTGATGTCTAAAGGGTAGAGGGGATCGGGGTGGGTACCCCGATGCTTTGTTTACTGGGGGGGCGCGCGCAGTGGAAAGGGCGGGAGGAACACCAAAAAAAATTCCAGGGACTTACAGCATCGCGGGTACGGGTGAAGTCGTCAATATTGACGGTGACAATGGCGTCTTTGGCCTTGGAATCGTCCTTGCGAGACATTTTGATAGTTGGCAGAGGGAAGTATGCGCGAAAGAATGTGCAGCTGAGACCTCGTACGAGGGAGTAGTGAGGCGCCGAGTCTGGCTGCCGGACGGGATGAAAGGCGCTGAGCAGCGAGCGAGGTTAGGTTAGGGGGTGGCGAGAGCAAGAGGGGGAAGAAGGGAAGATTTTTTTTTCAGCAGGCGGATGGGGGGCGACGCCCACTAAATAGTAGTTAAGCGACGGGGGCCAAAGTTTGCCGCAACGGCTGGGATTTTTAACTGAACGCTTTTTTGGGGGGAGGGGTTGTAGTGGCCGTCGCTGCTTTAGTCCCAGGTAGGGCCTTTGCCGCGCCTTCCGAGGGCATTCAGGGCGAGGACTGCTGGCCGCCTGCCTGGGCTGTTGCTGCCGGTGCTTAGCAGCACGCCCGCTGAGTCCAAGGCAGCCGCCGGGCAGGGGCCTTCCGGGGTGGCACAGCGGCTTCCGGGCAGCCTGCAGCATGTGCGCCCGGGCGGCCCAATGAGGAGGCGCAGCCCGTAGGCACAGGTGACTGGCGCTGGCAGCAGCCCTCCCCAAGTCTTCGCAGACGGCTGCCCCGAGAGGTCCTGCAGCAGGGAAGCCCCCTTAGCACCCGCTCCTTAGGTAACATGCCTAAGCTCTCGCGGGCTCGGTCACTCGGTGAGCCTACAGACCCCCCGGCACCAGCGCTAAGCCCTCCCCGAGCGCCTCTGTCACACTGGGCCGCCCTTGGCCTGCTTTAGCGGGTCCTCGTCGCACGACTCGCCTTCTTTTTTAGCTAAGCCCACAATCCAGCTCCCGCCCTCACGTTCTTACTGCGGGTGTCCCGGCCTGCCAGCATGCTTGCGGTCTAGCCTGAACAGCACCCTCCTTCGTTGATAATGTCAATTGATTTCTCTCATTCACGACCTAAATCTGCGCTTCTCTAAACCACGCTTACTGATTATCTTCCTGCTGTCCTTCATTCAATGAGATCAGACACGAAGTCCTTAATCTTCAGACATCCTAAATCTGAGCGAAATGAAGCTGGACTTGGGAAAATCGAACGCGGTGTCCGAAGAGCTCTTCTCTTCAATCGCAAAGCCCTTATAAGAGACGTAGTATTCTCATTGCTGGCACAGTGGTGTTATCCCAAAACAAGCGAATCTTCAAACAAGAGACTCTGGAATGAGCAGTCAATAATCATAACCTTGTGTTTGGCAAACGCGCGTTCTTTCGAGGAGGATTCGCGCATCACACAATTGTTTTGGTAGACGAAGCACAGCTGGCGCGTGTGCCTGCTGCCCTGCCCCGCACCACACGCCCGTCCCTCGCCCAGTCCATTGGCAAGTTGGCAATGAGCAACGCAACAGTCTCAGCGGAACCAGCTTGGGCGGCCTCAATAACAATCATCGCTAATTAACCACTCTACGGAATGCTCCGTACTCTGTACTGTATGCGGCACTCCCGTCCCCCGAGGCGCCCACTACTGTACAGCCAAAGTTAACTGCAGCAGTCACCGAACGTGCTCCAGCATCCAGGCAAGAAGGTGTCTTGGAAGCACCCCTCCTTCTTCAACTTAGCGCCGCATTGCCTAAAAAGAAAACAAAGGAAGAAAAAAAAAGAAATTACTTACGACTTTGACAAAATTCATTAGCCTCTTCTTCTATTATTATAATGATTAGACTCGTGTTATAGAAAAACAAATGTCACTTTTTTCCAGCAAAGCGTCGAGTCATCCATTCATCTGCGCCAGCCTTTGACTCTAGAATCGCAATAGTATATATCTCTTTTTTTCCCTTTCTCTTTTACTTTTTCTTTCTGCTAAACTAAATCTTCATTGTTATCAGCCTGTCTCCTCGATTTGAATAATTAATACCCTTCCCACTAAACAATATCCAAAATGGTTGGCGTGCTCAAAGCGCGTTATTATTATTATGCATCCACCACGAATATGACTCCGTAGGGCAAGGCAGGCTGGCCAGTACCTTACCGCTCGCTACCCCGCAAAGATCTCCCGGTCCGCCTATACATACCTAGGACTCACTCCGGACTCCGCACTCCATGACAGCATAACTATACCGAGTACCTAACCCATATCCGTAGATCGACAAGCTCCCGTTATAGGGGCTGGAGCTTGCAGACCGTAGAGTAGATCTACCTATTCCTAGCTATGTAGCTCTGCGATCAGCCTCCATGAGAGAGTAGTTATCAGATATCATATCATATCATATCAATTCCCTTCTACCAGCCCAGCCACCCACATATAGTTGTATATCGTCCAATTTCACCCACTACTTACCTACCTACCTACCTAGGTAATTAGTTAACTGAGATGGATGAAGTCCTAAAACACCTACCTACCTGACTGAGGCCGAGCCGCTATCTATCTATCTACATCGGTTAGGTAGATATTACCAATTAGCGGAATTGACGATCTTTTACGCACTCCTTTTTGATTTTTGTTTTTTACTTGAAGTCATCAATTTGAATAAATGCCTTCTTTTAATGACGATCTCTCCGTTCTTACTTCTCTGCAGATACATCCCATCTAACTAATAGTCTCAACAAATAAATATCGCGGCACAGCAATACAGTATAATAGAAAATAAAAAAAATAGAACAATATAATAATAGTACAGTCGATTCCTCAACTCAGAATAAATAGAATTGGATGTGCCGAACTACCACTGGTACGACCTCTCTGGTACATACTAGGTAGGTTAGGTAGCTAGGTAGCTAATCTAGGAGTAATATCGAGCGTTAATAGTTAAATTTGATTTTTTCACCCCTTTCCAACTCACCACACTCTTCTTACTATTACACTTTAGTTAGGTAGATAAATAAAGTTGTGTTTGTTCCTTTTTCTTTCTTTTTTTTTTTCGTCAACTCACCAAATTAATTAGTTTATTTGCGACGGTATACTACGATGATATAGATATATATAGGGAGGGGTTTATACAAACCTACATAGCAGGTATCCATATAGAGAGAGTAAGTGAGTCCTCAGTCATCTGTTGAACGTACATACGTACAGTACCTACCTACAGAGTTCCACAGATTTCATTACTGCGACATCTGTACTGACAGTACTGTGCATAGACATGTACCTCTGCTCCGGGTAGATACATCTTCGGGAAAATATTCAATGATCCTAGCCCTAGCTAGATGGGGATATATTCAGTTTAGGTATGCACCGTTATTTTGCCAATGCTACCAACGAGACAGGGTAAAAAAATATCAAAAAATAAACGGCGATATGCTGTTCTACGCTAAGGTACTACGCATATATATAACATTCAATGCTAGTTTTTACTTCGTTCTCCGTTCTGCATTTCCTTGGTTTGTTCTATAGTTGTTGCTAGACCGGTTCTGCCAGACTGTAATTCTGTAAGGACAGTATCTTGTACAGTACAGTACATTTCTGCTAGCTACTGAATATAGCCAGACTAGATCCTAATCGCACTCTATTCCACAATGTGAAATAAAGTTCTAGACTGAAACCCCCGATTAAAACTTGTAGACCTGGTCCTTGCTGTAGCCCAGCTCCTTCAGGATGCCGGTCAACTCTCCCTGATCCTTCGGGCTCACCTTGGGCCCGCTGATGGCCTGGTACATTCCAGGAGGACCGCAGACGAACACCTTAATGTTCTCCTCCTTGGGCTCCGGAAGCACTGTCTTCAGAAGCTCCTTGGTGATGTAGCCCTTTCCGCCAGTCCAGCCCTTGGGAGGCTTGTCCAGAAGGTAGAAGACCTTGAATCGCCGAGGGTAAGTGTTCTCCAGTTCATCCAGTTCCTTCCTCAGAAGGATGTCGTCCTCAGTGACGTTGCCGTAAACCAGAGTAACCTTGGTCTTGTCCTCCGGGTTCTTGAAAATCGCCCGGATCAGCTGGTACATCGGCGTGATACCAGTACCTCCGGCGAGAAGTGCAATGTGGTTGTGCTTGTTGGGCTCCCATTGATACTTGGGGACCGGTCCCTTAAAGTCGACGCTGTCACCCACCTTCAGGTTGTGAAGGTACTCGGACATAGGACCAGTGGGATAGCGCTTGACGACGAGGTCAAGGTACCCGGGTTGATCTGGAAACCGGTTAGGAAATGTACCAACAGAAAACAAAGAAAAATGCATAGTCGTACCTTCATCCGAGATAGGGGTGTATGGGCGGATAATGGCCTTGTCTCCATTTTCAGGCTTGAATTTTGTAAGGAGGGCAGCTAACGTTATCTCCAGTAAGCATAACGAAGCTCGAAAATTCTGCTTTCACAGGGACGACTCACAGGCAACCTGCACACCCGAGACGGCATCCTTGTCCGGGAACTCGAAGCGCAATCGCTTCGTGTTGTGGCTCAGGTCTTCGGTTGCTCCCAGCTTCAGGCCAATCCATCCCTGGTCGCCGCCAACAAACACCTTCGGGCGCTCCTTAGGCTCTGCGGACGCGTTCTGCTGTGTGTATCTGTACACGCCGACACCCAGACCAATGGCACCGATTGCGAGGGCGATGGGCTTCAGGTTGTTGCTCTTGGGAGCCTCGGTGGAGTATTTGCGAAAGCTCTGCGCGCCGGCTTAGCTCAGTCTGAACGCGTACCGATGTGGGTAGGTAGGGAGGGCCATCTTACCTGTCTCGCAGGCTGCGAGAGTCTGAAGGCTGACCGCGCGAACATCTTGGATGGGTGACTGGAGCAATTGCAGACGGTCAATGGCTGGTGTGCTGCAAGGACGAGATGACAAACACATGGTTCGGAAGCCGGTCCAAGGTTGCTGGGTCGGAGCTCGCGACTCGAGCATTCCGAGGGGCGGGCGGATCCATGACGCAATAGCGTATGCTCACCAGACAAGCAGCCAATTGAAAGAGCCTTTGAATCCTGGAAATGGTCGAGTATTGAGCACCTTAGGAAGCAGTAACTGGTTTCAGGCAGTATTTCTAAGGTCAATTCGTTGGTGTCTTGTCTGTATTGTAGTTGGATTGTCAATAATGTCTTAGGTAAGCCAGCAGTCAAATTCCCGATTTGAAATACTAAAAAAATAGCTGTCTTTGAAAAACAGAAGGAAATATCTAGGTAGATTATCAGTGCTTATCTTTCGTTTGCTAACCAGGGTCTGCTTCTCGAGCTGTTCCTGTAAAGTTCCTTAGTAAATTGTTCACCCATGGGTAAACTGTAAAGTGGTAAGCTGTAGCCCCTCAAGGCTACTATTTTCCGTATTTCCGTGTTCCCGCTAAGTTTATCAACAGCTTGTCGCTGCATACATGACATATGCCAAGTATCGGGCTTAAATTGGCACTGATATTGGAATATTGTTTCAATTGTTTCAATGTCTGTCCTGAAGTCCCCTTGGGAGGGGTTATTTTTATCGCATTCGCTCAGAACTTTCCTCCGACTGAATTCCAGTCGATCAAACACGCAATACGATTTGATCATTTCCAGCAATTGGAGCAAGAAGCATACGCGTATTTCTCATTATTACCACAAGAACCTGGAAATGTGTTTTCCCTTTTCGTATCTTTGAATCATGATATTAGAATAATTGGGCGATCAGAGTACAGAGGGTTGGAGTAGAGGGCAATATAGCACCTTCACAAGTTCCAACTCAACCTCCGCAGGAGACAGATCGTGAAGAAAATAATTTTTGATATCATTTGTAAAGGGCACCGCTGAGGACTAACATCACATAGAGACCATCTTTCCCTACACCTAGGGTAGCCAATCCATGCCCTTTTGTTTTCCATGCTTTTGTCCCAGATGCATCTTATGGCCATAACACAGTCATTCACCCACAAACCTTCTCCCCCTAAAAGAAACACATCACGCTTATGCGAAGGTGGACGGTCTCGAGTAAGCGAAGACCTTCTTCCCGGGCAGCTTGGCGGCACGGTGAGGGAGAGGGAACTTGAGGTTCTTGGCAACGAGCTGCTTGAGGTAAGGACGGCGGATGTTCTCCTTGTCGATCTCAGCAACGCGGAGAATCTGAAAAGAAAGTCAGTAAAGAATTGGGCCACAATTCAACTGGCATGTGGCTTACGTGAATGGAGCCAAATCGGGCACGGTGACGAGCAGCCATGTCCTGGTACAGAGCCTCAACGGCGTCGGTTCGGGACAGCTCACGGAACTCCTTGTACATGTTGTGGGTGCCGGAGCGAGAGTCGTAACGAAGCCAGATGCCATAGTTCTTGATCTTCAGGGGGCGCTTCTCGTGGATCTTCAAGGGACCGGTGTGTTAGTTCACACTCAATTTTCCATACCCACATGGCGAGTGACACATACCACATTGAGGCTGACGATCTCACCGTTGGCCTTCTTGATCTTCTTGAGCTTCGTCAGGAAGTACCAGAACCGCGACTTAGCCACGACGGGGTTGGGCGCGAAGATGCGCATGCGGTACAGCTTGGGCGTGGGGTTTGCCTCGGTGGGCAGATGGCGCCCGATGACCTGGTACTCGTTGAGACGCCCTGCATCAATTCCGTCAGCTCCCATGATTCCTTATTCCCGGCGTGATTGTCATCGCATCAGCTCGATTCCCCGTCCGCCAGACGTCAGAATTTTCGTCGTGTATTCTGTCAAACTCCGAAACTTTCACAAAGCCGAACAGCCCAAAATAATTTCAGCATTGCCATCCTCCACCAGCCTCACCCAAACCCTCGATTTTTTTTTGCCAGCATAAATACACGCTTTCCGTGCCATTTGGTCTTCCGGCAGTGATTCGCTCTTCGAGGTTTTCGTTCGACGTTCGCGTGACGGTACAGGAATCGAGCCGCACAGACGACATAACTAGTAGCGCAAGAAAACAGTAGACTTACCCATCTGCAAACGTATGTTAGTAAAACGATGCCACAGACAATATGGGTTCGGTCTCACTTACTTTTGTTGAGGTTCTGGTGACTGAGTCTCGTGAGAGAGGTGTGCCGATGACTGAGTGTCGCCCGAAATTGAGGATTTGTGAACTTCTTGTGCTAGGGCTGTGGCCCTCCGCTAAGCGAAGTGGAGGCTTGAATGTGGACTAGCCTGTTTGGGGTCGCCAGCTGGCCTGGACCAATGAGCTGTCAGTCTGCATGGGGTTCCACCAGTCACGGGCCGTCGGCGCGTCGCGCCCTCATCAATCTCATCATGCTTGGAGGGGATTGGTATACTACTATATGCCTGCGAGGATGCATGTCCATGAATTCCATTATCTGGCTATTCAGAAATCCTAATTCGCAATTTCTACCAGATCGATAGAAAAAAAAATCTGGCCATGGCATCTGTTTTTGCTGATTTTAAAGCGGCCCAAACCGCCGGTTCCGGCCCTCAGCTGGCCGCAGCAATCACTCCAACTGCAACTCCAGAGGACCCAGATCGATTGCGTTCTTTCTATAACTCAACTAATAGCGCAAAAGCTTCCACGGATATTCGCCATTTTCTTCTTCAAGATCGAACAACAGGTGTGAAATTACCTAAGCAAGAGGGAAATGCCTGGGTCAACATCTTCACTGCGTTCTGGACAGCTGCTGGAGAGATAGTCAAACTTGAGGAATCCTCACCAGAAGGTAGCTGGTCGAAAGTATTCGAGGCCTGGAAAGAAGTGGCCAATCAACTTATCAGAGGTTATTCCACGGGAAGTCTTCAGGCATGGACCGTGCCATGTCTCTATGTTGTTGGTAAATATCTGCGAGCATTTGCCATTAAGGCAGACGCGGAATCCTCTCAAGACCCGGGGTCGTTTGGAAATGGATTCCAGGACGATGTTGTGGCCAACGTTGAAAAGAACGCGCAGCTCGAGGAGGCTGCCAGAACCATCAACCGCATGTTCACCCTCTGTCTTAGCGACAGGTAAGTGTTTATGGGAGGTCACTTGTGATGGTGACTGATTTCCGGATGCAGAGCTCCAATCGAAGAGTCACGAAAATGGGGGATTTACGGCACCACAAATCTCTTGTTCAAGACATATTTCAAGGCATGACCCTTCTCCAATTTTGTTCAGTACGGAGGACTAACTTTATGCCATAGCTGAACCAAGTTGAGCTGTCAAGGAATGTCCTTCGTGCTCTAGATGCGTCGTCTGGGGATATTCCTGATTTTGATGCCTTCCCCAAGTCTCACATTGTTACGTTCAAGTACTATGTTGGAGTCATCTGCTTCTTGGAAGAAAACTATGCAGAAGTGCGTAGCTTCTCTTATCAACCGGAAAGCTGACCATACTGACTGTCCTTAGGCGGAGGAGCACTTGACTCAAGCATGGCAGATGTGCCATAAGGATGCCTACAAAAATAGAGAGTGAGCAATTCCTTCTACGTGGGACTGCATACGACTAACCTGGACAAGATTGATTCTTACCTATCTCGTGCCTTGCCATATCGTCACCACGCATACGCTACCAAGTCGCAAACTTCTTGAACCGTTTCCTCGCCTCGAGAATCTCTTCCGTCCGCTTTGCCAATGCATTAAGCGAGGGGACCTTGTCGGGTTCGATGCAGCCATGTCGGCCGGAGCAGACGAGTTTGTCAAGAGGCGTATCTATCTGCCGCTTGAGAGGGGCCGTGACCTGGCTCTTCGCAACCTTTTCCGGAAAGTGTTCCTTGCTGGAGGATATGACGAACCCAAAGACGGGCAACCACCTATTCGACGGACACGTGTCCCCGTCGCTGAATTTGCCGCAGCCTTGCGGATTGGAACTAAAGCCGAGGAAAAATCACGGGTTGACATGGACGAGGTCGAATGCCTCTTGTCTAGTCTGATCTACAAAGTGAGTGGTTACTACATGTTCTGAGCTGTCTTGCATAGATGGGAACGAAAATGACTAACACTATTCCTAGAATCTGATGAAAGGCTACATTTCCCGGGAACGAGCCACTGTTGTGCTCAGCAAGAATGATGCTTTCCCGGGCACTGGCGTCTAGATACGATTTCAATTGACGTGGCCTCGATAACTCTTACGGTAGATGACTCTGCGTCTTGTGTTATGATCAGCTTTCACCTATCTATCCTTTTGTCTGGCACAAGACCTATCCCGTCACGTGTATAATATTATGACAGCACGTGATCTACGCAACTGACTGCACGTGCTGATATTGTTATGACACTTTGCAGCTTAGGCCTTTGGAGTCAAGGCGCTGTAAAGGGATTCGCTAAGGCCACATCCATCACATGCATTATCCCACCTTGCTACATGCGTTGGGTTCACCGTATCACCTATAGTGGACTTGATCAGTGACACATACTGTCGGAACTCGATCCACAAGACACCTACCTTATCATCATCATCATGCAGGTACTACTGCACGGGCCAGCCTCGAGCTTGACTCCTGGAGAGTCGGCGTGGAGGGATTGACTAGCCGGGTCATTTTGCCCTGTTGCCTGTGCCATGCAGCCTTTTTCGTGTCTGTTGTGTCCTCAGCGCTCTCCTTGTAGGGCTGCCGATGACTCATAGTGATCCCTGGCCTAGACTCATACATTCAAGCAGTGTCATGCTTGCAAGGATCTATCTGACAGGGTTATTATTACACGCACACATCACATATCCCTTGGGCATTCTTTCACGATTACAAACACTGTATCTATTAAGCTCCGACAATCCGAGCTAGCTAGCAGGGTAAGGCAGGTGTATCTCTACTCAAGAAAGATTAGAAACGGTAACCCGTCACAAAAAAAAATAGTCACCATTTCTTTTTATCTGATCGTATTCCAGATACCTACCTTTTTTTCTCAGTAAATTAGTTCCCGAATAGCACGCACTCACTGCTATATTGTAGCCCCAAAATACAATGATTTATATTATCATTCTTTTTCCATCATCGGGCGATTAATCAGTCAGTTAGCCCGTCTTCCATATTTTTTTCCCCAACTTATTGGCTGGCCATCTCATTTTCATGCTTTCTTTCCTTTTTCGTCTCGTCTCTCCAAATTAGATAGATAGACAGATCAATCAACGATACAAAAGCACAACAACAAAAACAATCAAGGAATTTTTTTCTTATAAAAAGAAGGAGGAGTATGTTATTGTTATCGTTATCGTACATGTTCGTACAGTACATACAACTAGTTACATTCTGGCCTGGGGAATCGACAAAACTTATACAAAACAACATGATCAACCGGAAAAAAAAGAGGGGAATAAAGAAAAAAGAAAATTCATCCCAAATCCTCCAAGTCAGATTCTTTTTTTTTTCTCCTGGGGACTTCATCTCCCTTTCATCCATTCCACTGCCTGCCCATTGCCGTAAGCCAATCGATACATAAACCGAAAGATCAGATTAATATCACTTGTTGGTTAGTTGAGGAGAGGAAGGGGACGTTCATTTCATCATCAAAGCTGAAGTCCTTCTTCCTTGAACTCACACAGATGGTAATAAGCAATTTAGTGGTACATAAGAGGGGGAAAAAAGACATTATAATGTGACAGGTTTTGCAGACCGGAGACAACTTGAACCGAGAGGGAATAATAAGCTCGTAGAGTTACTGAATGAGTGGGGGTGCCAGACCTGCATAGTCTCGAGGGAGTGGCGACGGACGTCAAGTCAAGTCAAGACAAGTCGTGATTAACGGGAGAAAGGAGATTTGGAGGCGGCGCTAAGGTCATCCTGTCGTAGAATAAGAACAGCATGATTAGTGAAAAAATGACCAATGGTCATCAGCATGAGTTTACAAAGACCAACCATGTGGTTGCACATTGCAACGAAGAGGTCGAAAAAGAGTTTGCCCCCCTGCTCCATTTCCATCTGCATCGTGCCGCTCCGCTTGAAGGTGGACCTGCAGCGGATGATCAGGGCCAGATAATGGGCGCGGAGCTTGGAGTCCGTGTCCGGTGTATTGGAGTATGCATATCTCGCGCTGGAGAGGATGGTGCTGCATTGGATGCCGGATTGCAAGCCTTGCTTGCGGAGGGCTAGACGCTTCAGCTCCGGCAGGTTGTATCTTTCTGCGGCACAACTGACGGAAATTCATGAGCCCCTGAATCAGCTTTGGTCAATTAAGGTGAGAAACTCACTAGACGGCAGTATCTTTCAAGACCACCGCGCCGGTATTCTGGTCGATAATGGTGGGCTCCCTGGTTTCCCCATCAATATCCATTCTGTCGTCTTCTAGCTCCCAGGTATTACGCCGCTTGTTGTGTATGAGTCTTGGATAGTAGTCGCCCTTGTAAAGATATTCAAGAACGCAGGAGAGGATTTCAGGCTGCTCGTCGGGCAAGTTGATCCGCTTGCTGTGAGACTCGAGGAACTGGCCGCGACAGCACGCTGCGAAGAAAGGGGAGACGCATAGGACATCTTCGTGGGCAGCAAAGAGACGTTGTTCAGGCCCAACGCAGATGGTGACGATGGCAGAAGTCAGGGTGCTGAAGACGAGGCTCTCAATTGTTGTCTCTTCAGTAAAAGGCGTTGATTAGACTTACCTTCCCATAGGAGGGGTGGCCGGCTTTTCGTCCCTTTCTGAACGGTGTGAACCGGTCGCATGTTCCCTGAACGACCTCTTCGTTCGAGATGACGATTTACCGGCTCGATATTTGGATAAAAAACTCTCTGAACGACCATGGGATGTCTTCTTGTCGAACATTTTCAATGGCTGCACTATGCCGTTTTTTTCTTGGTTCTGGCAGCAGGAATGGTCTGGCACAGGATGAAACAGTGGAAGACTCAATCCTCCATATGTTATACACTATTACACAGGTCTTTGCTGCCAGGTGTTCTCATCTGTGTTCTCGGGACCCCTACCAGCCAGACATCAGGGCGACGGGCGATTGAAAAGCAGAGGCAACATCTCAGCATCTTGCCACCGAGTAAGGGAGCAGAGACGGCTTTAAGTATTCCGTAGGTCATCGATCCTCCAGGCATCATCTTTCGGACAGTGTGCTCAGGGAGCCATGGGTGAGCCGACTCTGCCGATCTAATATTCGAGGCTGCGAGCTGAGACGCGTCGTCGCACGCGTTAAGTGGTTTTGGGCAATCGCCAAATGCACGCGTGGTCACGGGACCGAATCAGAACGCTGGCCGCGACCTTGCGTCGAGTCATCGACAGGGACAGAGTTTGACTAGCAACGGGATCCTGCTGAGCGGAGATGCCCGGTTGAGCATGGGGGGCGAGAATATGAATCACTGTCTCGGGCTGGTGACTGGTAGAGCTGCCGCTTGCAGGGATCCTGGCCGTCGGTGCCGCTTGCTGCTGGTGGCGTTGCTTGGCGTAAACTCTTGGAGGAACTAAGAGATGTCGTGCAAAGAGCTTCGAGGTTTCGATAGCTCTCTGTTCTAGATTAGAGAGGTCTGATCAATTGATCGATGACGTTGGGACAGCAGAAAGCGTTAGTGAACTGCTTTTCCAGTCGAACCAATGTTCCAGTGATCACGAGGGCCGGGTTGAGGAGGTGGGGAAGCAGAGGAGCTAGCTCTCAAACTCACGGTGTAGCATTACCAGCTGCCTTAGCAGGCACCTGCTGCCACGGATAAGGGACCAACAACGTGGATAATGTTCCTTAAGATGTGCTAATAATGCTACAGCTGCATTCAGCCGAGTCCTGGCAAGGAATCAAGGATGGTCAAGATCAGCACCTTGCAGGCAGCCACTTACCCCACCACCATATCAAGGATCAATACATGTGCACCGTATCGTCTACTGGGAAGTTGTAACCTTCTACACCTCCCCCGTCGAGTGAGGGCGGATCCTTATCACAAGATTTCAAACTCATCTGATTGAAGCATTTGAATCTGAGCAGCAAAGAGGTACAGTTCTCTACATGTCACGTACCGAAGCAACGGTAAGAGGCTGTGGCAGACTCCGCATATACGTCAAACTTGTATTACTATCCGTACATACATCACACCAGATCGAGATAGCCTCATCTTCTGGGACATGACATGTAGTATATGATGGCGTGGACAAAGAACTGCCATTATTAGACTCCCCGTGTTTCTGAAAGATGTTCATCATAACTATGTAATATATTTCGATAAGAGCTAAAGCATATGCTCTGCAATAAGATTCCCTATACACGAGTCAACAATGTCATAACGTATTTATTCCCGTAACACCAATATGATAGAACGCCTGGCAGCCTTTCCGACTCCATTCGATGGCCCCAATTCCAGAGATCAAAACCAAACGCCCTCTCAATTCCCCGACTAGAAACAAAAAAAAAGACACAAAAAAAAGAAAAAAAGGTTAAAAAAAAAAGGTCTGTTTATAGGAACACCTTGCGCGCGTCCCTGGGGTGGCTCTCGTTGGGGCAGTAAGGGCATTTGAATTTGCTACCCTTGCTCAACCGTGTGAGGGACTCTTGCGCAATGACATGACCACATGGCATCATCATCGGCGGATTCTGATCGGTGGTCTGTTCCTTGGAGACGGGACATACGAAAATCGAATGGAATAGATACGATGGCGGAAGGGGAATTTCGACCTGGTTCGAGGAGAGACAAGGTCAGCTCGGATCATCCTATATACAAGGTGAGGGAAGGCAGTAGGTCTTACTGGTAGCTCGTTCTGCGAGGTCCACTCCGTCCTCTTGGCCTTCATTATGGTTTGCAGCTTGAGAAGGGTAGGGAGCGCGATGGCCCCGGCGGTTGCCGCAATGTACAGAGGGGAATCCGCAGAAAGCCCCAAAAGCGAGCAGAACTCTCGGGTAAAGGAGTGCGCAACATCCGTCCAGGCAGTCGGGTTGTTGAATATGGCCCTGTAGGGCGAATCCTCGAGATTGGGGCAGAAGGCCATGGCTCCTATGAGCTGCTGGACTTCCCGCTGATATCGAGGGAGGAAGACATGAAATTCCCTTCTGGCATACTCCAAGGCGGCCTGTCGACCGGACACGAATGACCCCTGTCGGTCTTTCCCACCATGAAACAGCCAGACAAATTGGAGCCTACAAAGCTCAAATTCGAGATTGCTGCCCCTTGCCTCCAAGGCTTCTCTGTGTTCCCTCGCCCATTGTATGGCTGGCAATAAATTCGACTCCTCCTTCAGCTCATGTAGAATCTCATACATGTTGGCGAACTGCTTGCGAATTTCTCCGGACTGAATCTGCTCCAGTGACAGAGCATCTGCATCTTCGGGGCGACCTTGCCCGTCATTTCCAGGCTGGGCAGATGCCATCTTCTCTGAGACCTCTGAGAGAAACGTAGCTGCCACCGAAAACTGGCCTTCTCGCAGGAGATGCATGGCTATCGCTCGGTTCACGAGCGCGGGCGAAGACGAAAGGGCGTCATATTCGATGCTGGGTAATGGACGATCTTTGAATAACTAGCACGGAGGAGTCAATAGAACATCCTAGTGCCCGGAAGAGTTTCTCCTGAACCGCAGCTCACCTTGTCGAGTGCTTTCGTGTACTTGTTTAAGCTGCTATGGGTTTCCTTTAGACTCTCGTTCGTGGCGTCGAAGGATGCCTTCACGGGATTCTGGAGCTTGGCCAACGTGATCGAAGCCTTTGTTGGATCTAATGGGAGCGCGTTAGCAAGCACAGCAGCCAGCGGCGGGAGGGGCAGGTCGACGTACCGGCGGCAATGGTATCGCGTGCTTCCTGAAGCAGATCGATGGTCGCCTGGACATCGCTGATGCCCTTGGAGCTCTGCAGGCGCTTCCAGAGGCGCTCATGCTCCTTCTGAACGAGGTCCATGGTGCTTGCGGCGGCAGGGGACGTTACCGCTGGTGGATGATCGGGGGTGTGCGAAAGGCCATAAGCCGGCGAGTCTTCTGGCGGGCGGAGCGACTGCTCGTTCACAGGCGTGGAGGGTGGCGGTCACGGGCCTGGGGCAGCCGGTGGGTTTGGTTCTGCCAGCCTATAACTGCAGTTGCCGGCGGTGCAGTGGAGACCCCGTGCCAGCAGCTCCCAGGCCGTCCGCAACCACAGCATCCCCGATGCCCCAGAGACCAGCGCCTGGTACGGAGTACTCGAGCGATACGTTTAAATACGTACCTGGTGCCTGGTGCCCTTGGTGGTAAATGCGTGCTTGCAGTGCCAGGACTGGCTCCGGCTTCCCGTCCGCCTGTCTGCCTCTGCCGAGGTGACGTCGTCGGTCGACCCTGCTCCATACGTCAGGCCGGACCGCGAACCACGACCACCACACCGCCCACATGCCTCCGCCGTCACGGCGCTGGCTCGTCTCCAGTCTGTGAATCAAAGGCCGGATGTTGCAATGAGAACCCAATGTCCAGCCTTCTAGGGTCCAGCGCAATTCCTTTCCCTCCCAGCTATGCTTCGTGTTTCTTTCATTCGACGTCTATCCCAAAAGGCCCGTCCGGGCCGGCTCCTCCCTCCCTCTCTCGAAACGACTCTCAACCGATCGAGCTCGTATAGAAGATAGTGTGACCGCCACAGTCCCTGTTCCTCATACGCGTGGATCGCGCCCTCGCCATGGCGGCGGCTGCTGAGCAGACAAACCCTCAGGCAGCTTCGTCCACACCGGGCCCGGGTCAAGGCAACAACATTATCCGTCAGTCGCTTGATGGAGAAGGCCATGTTTCTCGTGCCCGCGGTTTTGCAGAAGAGTCCGCTCACAAACAACACCAAAAACTCGTTCTACCGGACCCTGTTGCGTTCCGTTACCTGGAGGAGGATCCCTCGACCACCGTGTTGCATCGACGGACGATATTGCAGGGCTACGAGATATACATTGTCGAGCAATGGGCTTGCTCTAGAGTTCATCCGACATTTATCATCACAACATATACTGGGGATCCCTCACACCGAGTGGTAGTTGGGGTTCTCAGTGTGCCGACCGATAGAAATGCCTGGTCGCCGCGGTTGAAACTCTACTTCCACGCCGTGGAGCAATACCATGCAGGCTGGAGAGACACGGATCTGGGGAGCCTTATGGTGACCAATTTGAGCTCTTTTCCGTCGGCCCTTACTGTCGTTCCGGTCCCAGACGGTGATGTCAAGAAGCATACAGAGGAGTTTATCGTCAATGAAAATCTGAAAAGGCTCGGTTGCTCAGGGAGGGCCGGATTGAAGCTGCAACCTCCTTCCCTCGTCGTAGAGGCCAAGTTTCACCAGCTCTACCGGACCAGTGAGCGGGTCCCCCTGAATACGGCGGTGGTGGAACTGGTGAAGCAATGCCAGATTGCGCTTACCATCTTTGACAAGCTTGCGCCTGAATATGTAGACGGCCTCCTATGTGATGTGACAGAGAGGGCAATAAGCGATTGGTGGGCGGACATTGGAACAGACCTTTACAACATTGAACCGAGTGATGGTACCCTTGGACCAACGACCGTCTCCGCACTACTAGGCACGTTTATGGGGGCTCGCAATCGACTCCATGCCTTTGGGGCTCCCGTCCCCAAGGATGTCTTTGATGTTTCCGCTCTCAAAAGAGGAATTGGGAGCTTCCAGAAATCACAGAAGATGGAACGGACGCGGAGACTGGATCGCCAGACTCTGGACAGGCTCCATCGCGTAACGGCCAAAGCAGCAAGTTCAGAAGGCTGGACCGAAGCCGTAAAGTCCACTGTGGCAGAACTGAGCGGGAAGGGAGGCGAGATGGTCATGGGCATGGTAGGAGGTCGAGATAAGGGCTCCATCGCCGACATTGAGACCCTTGATCTGGAACGTTACGCACAACTGGTCACCGGAGAAAGGTCCAAATGGCTCTGGCAGGGTAAACCTCCCAAAACCGGGTTCACCCATGGACACGAGAACGTCCCAAGAGCCGAAGATCTGGTATTTACGAAAGATGACCAGGGAGGCTATGTTTGGACAAGTCGGAAGCGACGTCCCGACTTCGACCCCACCGCCAACCGTGTTGTGCAAGATTTAGAGCGTTCGGGGAAGCCCACCGATTCAGAGCCGCCCGAGGACCGAGATCAATTTGGAAAGATAGTGTCGAGGAGTCTTACCGGTAAGGTTTCAGACGCTCGTGCTGGGTTTGGTAGATTCAAAGATGCTGTCGGACTACCCGGTCTCCGGTCCCATCATCATCACAAGCATAATAAAGATGGTGTTGACCTAGAAAGCGACCTTGCCTATCACACTGGGATCGACAGTGAAGCTGAAACGCCCGTTTCCAAAAGCCTAAAAGAACCAACGGCAGAGCATGAGGAGAGTAGCAAGAAAGATACCCAGAACGGTCCAGCAGAAGATCTCTCGAAGCCGTCATCGACTTCTCAATCGCAAAAATCGGTCCCTCCCCCTCCGGAGATACATGTTCAACCAGAGGACTCGTTGGAAGAAACGCCCATATCGCCCTCTTACGCAGTTTCTCAAGATCCAAAACTACAATTCTCTCCACAGGAAGAGGGCGAGAACAGTCTTTCTCTGTCCAAGTCACGATCGACCGAAGCCCCAAGTGACCAGGTGCAATTGCAAGGGTTGGCATTCAAGTCTCTCCGCCGCTCTCAAAGCACTCCCCAGCTAGTCCCCGAAGAGCGGGTCAAGTCGTGTGACGCGCGTTGGCCTCGACATCTGTCTTTCAGCACGGTGGAAGAAGTGGTGCTTGTTTGGGAAGGTTTCCGTACGCCGCAAATCAAAAAGGGTGCTACGACGAATTTAGAGAGCGCAATTCTCCAAGAGGACGCATTGTTCTCCGATGCGCAGATCTTCGGTTCTAGGGTGTTGGAATTGAAAGATAAGACTGCGCCTTGGGTGGAGCAGCAGGTCGACTCCGTTGAATATCTGCATCGCAAGGCCAACTCTCTGCAGGAGGAATTGAGCTTCGTCTACCCAGAACGCTTTGAAGAATATCAGTCCCTCAGGGAGCGGATGAGTCAGTTGCTCGGAGAAGAGGGTTCGCAACTCACAGAAGGGTTGAAAAAGGTCGAATTGCTAGGCGCCAAGCTCGACTACGAGCTGAATGTTCTCGAGTCCAAAGTTGAAGACGTCGAACAAGGCCTGCAAGAGTTCGAGCGACATGTGGATGAGATCGAGACGAGGGTCAAAGACTTAGTCCAAGGAGAACGAAAAAAGGATACCTCCTGGTTCTCTTGGGTTGGAAGGAAATTCGGTCGCATGTGATGCATTGCATTGGGGGAGTCCAGGCAACTTCATTCAAGAGACTGCATATTCCTTTCACTGAGTATATAATAGCATACTGTACATATTTCGATTACCGGCCTTTCTGATAGTGAATAGAGCTACTGCATGGCCTTCCGGACCACGCTAATTCATGAGTAGAATAATAAAACATGAGAGAATTCAACCCGGCCATAAGAAATCCCCAAATCGACCAACACTGAATACAGCTTTCCCCTCTATCATGCCCTTGCATATAGGAATCATACAAAGCATTGATCAGGTCAGATCTCCTCGTGTAGATACCGACGGAACTTTAGGAGTCGAACAAGACCATCCGCGCGAAGATCGAAAATTCCCTTCTTTCTTTCATCTTTTTTGTTTACATTCCAAAGCCCATACCAGCACCCTGTTTGCCGGCGGCCTCGGACTGCATCTTCTCGCTGACCTTGATGTTGACCTCAAAGAACTTGGCGACGCAGCGGTCCAGGCAGACGGATTCGCCTTTGTTGAGATCGCCTTCGCGGTAGTCCGGGGGGATGCATTTTTTCGTGCAGGATTGGGTCAGGCTGAAGATGAGATAAAATAATGGTTAGCAAAGGTATGGACTGTAAGAACAGAAAGTGTCCCGATGCAGAGCTACCAGAGCAGCGAGTAGTGCACTGCAGGTTAAAAACGAACTTACCGGTTGAACATATCAGAGACCATTTCCACCTCCGTTTCTGCCGCAGCGATCTTCTGCTCTGACGTGACCTGAGGACGTCCACCGAAGAGGAAAGACATTTTGGATGATAATAAGGATTAGGTATTAACAACTGTAGAGCCAAAAAAAAAAGCAGCGGAAGAGTCGGTTTCGGGTATCCTGGATTAAAACAATTAGCATTGGCGATTGCAATGTCCTTGTGCATATGTGAACATACCGTTAGCTCTGTTGGAGGCAGTTGTTTTGACGCTGACAGTATTGCTATTATTATTGCAATCGAAATCTCTTGCAACTCGGTCGCTGCAATCTCGGAGTCGGACGCGCGATGAGCGGAGGCCCACCGGAAGGAGGGAGGAGCTTGGACCAACTCCGCAACTCGATAGATTTTTCTCGCTCGGGAAATCCCAATTCAAAGTCCATCTCCTCACACATCAGTGTTCGACACGTAGTATCTCCATCAAAGCAGATGCTGTCAATTGGTCCAAGGCGGGCATCTCAGAAGTGTCTGGATGGACTGTTCTTGAGGTGGGTTTGATTTTTTTTTCTTTATTTTCGGACTAATTCTCTCTTTTATGATGACACCCTTATTTTTCCAGAACCGCTGCACTTGATGCTTGCATGCAAATGCAAGGCAAATGAACGCTACTGGAGCCATATCCATTTTGCAACTGACAATTGAGTCTTGTCGTATTCTGTTCTTGCCAACATGGAGTGTTATTCCGCGTGCTGACCGCGAGTACTGTTAGGACAGGGCCATGTGCTGTTTCTCGAGTCGCTCGTCATAGTATCATACGATGTAATAGCGCAAAGGCATCGCCAGAGAAGGCGTTTAAGGATCGACTACAGGAGGTCAAAAATGCTTGTCCTGAACTGTATCCCCGTCTAGCAACAGACACACGCAAAGTCAGCTGCTCAGAGTTTCGGTCTCGATATGAGCATCTTGAACCAAACCAGACGATAGAGGCGGACACCGTCGTACTGCACGGTAGGTCTCGTTCGACCTCTTTCTGGCTCTCGCCTTCGCATGTACTTAGACTAGTAGGCAGAATACGTTCCTATAGAATTGCCGGAAGCAAATTGCTCTTCTTTGATATCATCCAAAATGGCCAGAAAGTACAGGTCATGTGCAACCAGCGCACTCTTACCGATGCCACCACTCCGGAGAAGTTCAAGGAGTTCTATCGTCTTCTCCGTCGGGGGGATGCCTTCTGTATGTATACAGTACACTAGCAAAAAAGCACGGGTTAGACACAAACTGAACAAGATCAATGCAGCCGTCACAGGGAGGCCGCATCGTACCGGACGAGGAGAGCTGACCGTGCTGGCGACGGAACTGCCGAAGCTGCTGTCACCTTCTCTGCACGATGTTCCTGTTGATGCCCACGAGCACGAGAATTCGCCTTACCCTCGCCACGTCCAGTTTCTCGCCGATCCACGGACGGCAGATACGCTGAAGGTGCGGTCGGCGGTTATACAGTATATTCGTCAGTTTTTTCTCGACCGCTCTTTCATCGAGGTCAACACCCCCATCATCGCCGGCGAGGCTGGCGGAGCGGCGGCACGACCGTTTCATACTTCAGCCACCGAGTTTCCTGAGAAGCAACTATCTTTGAGGATTGCCCCGGAGCTGTGGCTGAAGCGCCTGGTGGTGGGAGGGTTTGACAAGGTCTTTGAGATTGGGCCATCGTTTCGCAACGAAGGTATGGCTTTTTCGACGCAGATATGTGTCCACAGTGCAGAAAGCTAAATTAAACAGGGCTCGACAAAACCCACAATCCAGAGTTCACTACATGTGAATTCTATCATGCTTACGCCAATCTCGAGGAACTTATGTCCATGACTGAGGAGCTGTTGTCTGGCATGGCTTCGCATATTCGTCAGTTCAAAGAAAACTTGCAATCTGGCCTGAAAGACCCCGAGGTGGATTTCTCGACGCCTTTCCGTCGAATCGACTTCATCCCGGCGATCGAAGAGGCGATCGGTCGTGGTCTGCCCGACCTTACCACCCCCGACGCAGTCGAGGAGCTAAAGCGACTGTTCGAGGATCTCTCGCTGCCTCTTCCCGACCAGCCCTCCCTCCCTCGGCTCATGGACAAGCTGTGTGCGACCTACCTGGAGCCTCAATGTCAGAGCCCCACGTTTATCGTCAATCCGCCGGAGTGTCTCTCCCCGCTTTCCAAGTCGTTCACGCATTCGTCGTGTAATCAACGGGTGGCAGCTCGCTGCGAGCTGTTCATCCAGGGACGGGAGTACGTCAACGCGTACGAAGAGGAGAATTCGCCCTTTGAGCAGCGGCGCAAGTTCCAGGAGCAGCTGCTTTACAACGAGGCGGGCGAGATCGACGAGAACTACCTGCAGGCTCTAGAATGGGGGTTGCCCCCGACTGGAGGCTGGGGCTGCGGTATCGACCGGCTGTGCATGCTGTTCACGAACGCGAAGAGGATCAGCGACGTGTTGCCGTTTGGGAACCTGCGGGCAGTAACGCGGCGAGTCGAATCTGCTGGTTCGGTTGATGAGAAGGAATAAATGCCGGTCCCTGGTGGCCTCGTAGACTGTACTGTATACACTGTACATAAATTGATTTCATTTTCGACACTTGTGTTACTACATTTGATGAGCTGCGGCAACTTGATGAGATGTCCAAATATGTCATATCCAAAGATAAGTTAATATGCGGTCTTATTCAACCTTCATACCTGGTAATAATAGTTTGCTGGATCCAAGGACTCCCTGCCTGTAAGTTTAGTTGACTAGTGTCCCCGCTGGCTTCCGCTCTCACACCCCGGCATCAACAAACAACCTACGACAAATATAGGTCGATATTATATTTGCCAATGCTCGTGTCTACAGAACAATACTCTTTTTCGTCGTTTAACCTTATGTGCGTATATACCTTTTGAATTGAATTAATTTCAATTAAGAGAGTGGTTGAATGAACATTGTCGTCCTGGATTGGAATTCCGCGGAATACAGTACATGTATTCGCTTTCGAGCGTACGGTTTTTTTTTTTAAAAAAAAAAAGAGAAATTACTCGGATTGCTAATTCCTCTCCAGAAACCGCCAATCTCATGAAATTTGTCACAAATATGAGACTGGCTTCTGCAAAATGTCTGCACTTCAGGAAGGGGCCTCTTCAACTGACTGGCCATCATGATTATCATCATCCACGCCATCTACATTATCTCCTTGCATTGAAGAGAGCACCAGGCTCTTACAATGTCAACAGTCTCGACCAGTTCCATCATCGTCAGCAGCAACGACGAACATTCATGGACCTATCAGGCCTCCTCCTCCCACCAGCCGTCTTTCTCGGTCTCGGCCTGACGCTCTGGACCTACAAGTGCCTGATGATGGTCCTCTTCCAGAACAAGATCATCTACATGCCCAACATCCCGCCTTTTTCGCGGTCGGAGAAGGTAGAGACCTACGCCAAGCGATGTCTGCCGGTGCGCTGGCGTGAAGAGTCGACTGTGACGGCGGATGGAGTGCGGATATCGCTTCTTGTGGGCAGTAGTATGCACTCTACAGATCTCGAGAGCAGTGAAGATCATCTTGTTGTGCTGTATTTTCAGGGGTAGGTACAGTACTTCTCCTGAAAATGAATTAAGAACACGAATTTACTTTTTTTTTGGATCGAATTGACAATTGTGCATTACAGCAACGCGTCCTCGCTGCCTCCGCGGCTTCCTTACTTTTCTGATACTATCAAGATGGTGAACAGAGTTTCCAATTCTGATAACAACGCCGATTCCCCGCCAAAGAAGACGTTCTCTTTTGTGGCCGTGTCCTACCGCGGGTACTGGACATCGAGCGGTCGAGCATCCGCAAAGGGTATCGAACGGGATGCTGCCGCAGCGCTGCACTGGATTCTTCAGCGATATGCAAGCGTTAAGCATCTCAAGATCGTCCTCTGGGGCCAAAGCATCGGCGCCGGCGTCGCTACCAACGCTGCGGCGGAGTATCTGGAGGCTGCAGACATCTCGCAGCGCCGCCCCATCATCGACGGCATGGTCCTCGAAACGCCCTTTACGAGTGTGCGCGAGGTTCTCCTGGCGTTCTACCCGCAGAAGTGGCTACCGTACCGCTATCTGACGCCCTTCCTCCGCTCGCATTGGGACAGCGAAGAGGCGTTGCGACGCATCGCGCACGCTGCGGGCGATCGCAAGCCGACGACCCTGATCCTCGAGGCGGGCAAGGACGAGGTCGTTCCCCATGGCCAAGCAGAGCGTATAGAGGAGCTCTGCAAGTCTCTCGGTCTAGATGTGGAGAGGAAGACTATCGCTGGCGCGCTGCATACGGAGCTCATGGCCAAAGCGGACGGGCGGAGAGAGACTGCGAGGTTTTTGTCTGAGAAATTCTAGTACGTTGTATCTCTCTATCCCCCTCTCATTTTTTTTTCCTACCAAGTACTGTGATCGTGGCTTGTGAATAATTATGAGCTAATAATAACAATTTTCTAGAAACCTTTGGGGCCGAGCACAGGCTTCGGAGCTCGCCGTCTTGACAGGCCGCCCGCCGATAGCCGTCAAAAGCGGGGAGAGTTTCCTTGTGGGGTTTATATTCATCGTTTTGTCTACAGAATACGGACCACAGACCTCCGTAGCTCTCCTTAACTCCTGAAAAGCCCTTTTTCTCAGTAGAAAAGATAGTCGCCATGCCAGGAAAGACCATTTCTCCCGCCCAGGCGGTCACTGTGAGTCTCCAGGATCTCATTACAGGTGAGGGGTAGACCGATATACTTTTTTAGGGCCTTTTTATCCCGTGTATATATATTTTATCTCCCACGCATGGCTAATTCGACCGGTTGATAGGTTCGGTGCCATTCGAGACATTAACAGAGGCCTTTGGGCCTTCGTCTCTGGGCATCATTGTCGTCAAGGACCTTCCGCCAAAGTTCAAGGAGCTTCGCGCGCAGGTCCTCTCCAACTCGTCCTATCTAGCTGCGCTTCCGCAGGAGGAATTAGGTAGGATGTCGCATGATCTTTTTTTCTCCCCCCTGAATTGGTATGATATATCGACCATGCTAACTGCTAGCACGCAGCGAAACTGGAGAGCCCCGAATCCAAATACCTCGTCGGCTGGTCCTGCGGGAAAGAAACGCTGCGGTCCGGGCACTTCGACACCCTCAAGGGCTCATACTACATCAACTGCGCCTTCTACCAGAACCCGGAACTGCAGAACGCCCCCGCGGACGACTTCCCGGATTTCCCGCAGTATACCGCGCCCAACATCTGGCCGCCGCCGGAGCGACTGCCCGCTTTCCGCAAGAATGTCGAGGATCTCTGCACGCTGATCATCGACACGGCGGCCCTGGTCGCGAGGGCGTGCGACCGCTACGCGCTGGCGAATATCGAGGGGTACAAGGAGGGGTATCTCGAGCATGTCGTGCGGACGAGTCTGACGACCAAGGCGCGCCTGCTGCACTATTTCCCCTCTGATTCTTTATCCGCTCAAGGACAAGTCCAGAAAGAAGACACTGAGAAAGAAGAAGAAGACGACTGGTGCGCCACGCACGTCGACCACGGCTGCCTCACGGGCCTCACCTCAGCCATGTTCGTCGACGAAGCTGCTCACCCTCCGTCGTCCGTCGACTTCAGCGCCAACCCCAACGCCACGCTCCCCGAACTCACCGCCTCGCCGGACCCAGAGGCAGGGCTGTACATCCGCTCGCGCACGGGCGACATCGTCAAAGTCAACATCCCCAAGGACTGTCTGGCGTTCCAGACGGGCGAGGCGCTCGAGCGCATCACCAGGGGCAAGTTCCGCGCCGTGCCGCACTTCGTCCGCGGCGCGAGGACGACTGGTTCCGGGAGCAGGATCGCGCGCAACACGCTGGCCGTCTTCACGCAGCCGAATCTGGGCGAGGAGGTTGAGCCGGGCAAGACGTTCGCGCAGTTTGCGAAGGAGGTTGTTGAGCGGACGTATTGAATGGATATCAACTAGTAGTACAGTACATTACATCACGCGTGAAGATGAATTGATTGTAATACATTTTGTGTTTTGTGGAGGCAGACTGTACGTCTGCAATTGGGGGAGGTAATGGTGCTTACGCTCGCCATATGAATCGGAAATGTTCTCAAGTTTGAGCTGATTTGATCAGTACAATCGTATCTTTGTTGTTTTCTTAATTACTTCTTCTAAATCCATATTTCCAGTCTACGTAGGAGTTTATTTATTCTCCTGCCGTCCCTCCTGCCAGACTGTGATATATGTATGTATGTATATGAACGTAATGGTGAATGCAATGGTGTATCATGAATCGTAAATCATAAGTAAATACACAGAAGAAAAAAAAAGGAAATGTGCTAAATATAAGTTTCTGCTGCATTCGCATAGCGGAATGGTTTCCATTGCCAATATGTCCAGAGGTAGCAGGCTGTGTGTGCACTTGTGTTTATGTATGGAGGCTGTTATTTACCATACTTCGGCCGTTTGGCCTTGCGCTCGTTCTCCGGCACATAATCCCCCAGCTCTGTCTCTTCTGTCCCGCCGCGCAGGGGCAACGGTTTGGTGAAATCTTCCAAGTCCTCAGTCTCGTCCGAAGAGTCGTCCCTGTCGTTAACAATCACATCCTCTGAAGAAGTCTCGCTGAGCTCCCCCGTTGAACTGACGTTGGCGCTGCCGTCCAGATTCGCCCCCAGTCCGCTGCTGACCAGCTTGCTTGTCTTGCCCACCTCGGCAAATTTCGATTTCTGTGCCAGACTCGCTGGAGGTCGGCCACGATCGCGCGGAAGCGCGGCGTCGCGAAGATCGCTTGCTGTTGCTGTCCCGTCGATGACTTTCAAACAGCCTCGCCACATCTTCGGATTGCGCGCCTCGCTGTACCGCCCGACGTCCTCGCCGTTGAGCGAGTCCAGTGCCAGCGTTTGCGTCCGATAATCGCCCCAGAACCAATCCTTGTCTGGTGGGATGCGCTCATCCGCCTGGCGTGAATATTTGCGTCCGGTTAACACGCCGTGAAGATCGAGACCAAGTGAGGTATCGTCGAAGATAAGCTTCATCGCGTCCGGCTCGTAACACCGTCCCAGGACCATGTCCGGAGATATGTATATGAACTTATCCTGAGGATGGACAGGATACCACGCTCCGTATCCATTCATCCCGACATATTGAAAAGCATTGATCACTTCTTCACGACTGAGAGGCTGAGGTGGTCCGACCATGCCGGGTTCACGATATGCTTTCTGAGGTGATCTGGTATAGACTTTGCCTCGAATCCGCACAGCATGCTTCTCTGCCAGCAGAGGTGACCTGACATCATCAATGCACGAAAGGAACTTGAGCTCGATCCGGTCAATGACCAGCACATCCGTCACCTTCGGATTCGCATCATTCAGCTCGCGGCCTCTTGGCTTCAACCGCACCGTATCCCCTACTATCAACAGCTCTGCGCCGATGAAGATACCTCGACAGAAAACAGAGGCATCCGGCCAGGTGCCTTTGAAGCGATATCTGTCCACCAACGATAGAGAAGACATCACGGTCAATGCGTTTTTGATGGACGGGTGCCAATCTTTCTCCGGAATCCCTTGCAGGAATACCTGCCAGTAATTCAACGGTCGTATGCAGTTTAAGTGAACATATTTTGCTTGCAGCGAGGCGCTCTTGTCGTCGCTGTTGGGATCGGGGAATGTCTCCACACGAAATCCGGAATAATTGACGGCCCAGCGTTTCGGCACAGGCTCGATGAGATCTTCGAGAACCACGTCCTCCTCTGGCGTCTGACCTACCGTCCCGGCCCTCCAGGCAGGGACACCTAGCCATCTGCCTGTTTTAAAAGAATAAACGCGGTGCGCCCCCGTTTTTTCATCGTAAACAAGCTCGCCGTTCATTTCTGGGGCCCACAAGACTAGCTCACCCGCACGAGGAATGAACGAGTTTTGCAGGCGTGTTTTGACGAGGTGCGCTTGGAGATGCTTCCGTTCTGCTCGCCAATCCATGCTGAGAGACTCGTTGATAGGCTCGTCCAACGTTCCTTTCTGCTTAAGCTTCAATATGGCTGCCCGGAATACGTCTGGCGTACCCTCGAGGTCGAGAGGACCACGAGGACCTAGTCTAGTCCAGCTGGAATCTTTGGGTTTATCTAGCCATGTTACTAACATCCGCAGCAAGGTGGAGAATGGAGATCCTTACCACCCGTCACCTTGGGCCGAATTTGAGTAACCATAGTCTTCTTCTTGCAGTTTTCGCAAGAGCACTGTCCGACGCCACCTTCCATTAACCAGCAGAAATGGGGGAATAGCTGGTTTGGGGAGTTAAAATAAGATCCTGACGGGTGGCCCCAGAGGAATTTGTCACGCTAGGTTGGATCTTATGTCAGCTTGGGACAACATAGACAATGTTCCAAGGGACTTACAATGGTAGGGTTGCTATATCGTGGCCGGTCAAAGAGAACATAGTTGTCTGGGAGCCTGTCCAGGATGTAGTTCTTGCCTGATTGAATGTTTTGCCACATCAGTATGGAAGGACCTCCAACAGGCTATCTAAACAACCAAGAGAGAAGAGCCAATAATAACAGGAATCTCAATCAGGAGCAGTCACAGAATTATGAAAATAAGACATGATTTGACACATAGTTCAAAGAGGTAATCCCAGTCCTATTGCAAGTTATATATGAAGTACTCACAGAAACATGCAGTTGGAATACACATTTCCTGCTGCCATTCTTCAACGCGTGTCTAGCAACATGGCAACGTGTCTCACGCTGCCTGTACAAAAAACTAAATCAAAGACTTGAAAAAAAAAATTCTGAAGACGATGTAATAATAATAGGTTCATAATAGGTCCTTTGGACCTATGCAAACGTCTTGAAAGACCAGAGATGTCATAAGGGGTATAGTGCCAAAAATAGTGATTTTTTTTAAAAAAAATGATAGAAATAAATAAGGAAAGGAGAGATAGCATAAGCATTAGAAAATTGATCTTGCAGATGTCAAGCCTACCTTTCTCTAACCGGCCTTGCTTTTGAAGCCACATCATGGCCACCTTATGCCGATATAATTCATCATTGACCCGTCTGAACTGGGGACCCTTGGGCCATGCAGCCGGGTCCCCATCACTGAAGGAGTGAGGGTCCAGTGGGACTACCACCCATTCGTTATTGTCTGAGGATGACATGGTTGATTCCTGCCTGATCTCGGGTATAGACCTAACTGGTGAACAGCAGCAAAAACAAGAGACAAGGCAGTCCACCAGAAGAGGAAGATCAGCAATATGGATGCTTCATGATGGTTTGGATTACTGTAGCATCATTTAGATGTCAAAAGAAACATAAGGTCGTGGCAGTTGTAGATGTTCATGTCGTTCGCTCCTTCCGCTCCTGTAACAACACCAGTGGATCTGGTCACATGACTGCCGAGTGAAGCGTCTGCAGAAGAGATGACTACAACTGTCTACTGCACATTAAATATTTATAGGAGTGTGACGGCTATAATATTCATTAGGTAATACTCATAATGTAGACATTCATATTCATGGACTCTTAAGTGTGAGTATTAGGTGATTGCCACTACCTGTCAGTAACACATTACAGACATAGCAGAACCCTGGAATTTATGAGTCCAGTATCAGGATCTTCAGATGTGACAATAAGGATTCTATAAATGACAATACGATTCATGAGTCATTGTACATATATATGTGAGATGTGGTATCAAGTTAAAGTCTAAGAAGACAATTGATCTACATCTCCATTATATCTACTTCAGAATAAGCACAGATATTTGGTAGACAGATCGTAAATGAAATTGCCATAAATGTCGCTCATATCACACTCAACGTACATTCATTCAGTTCGCAGCAGACTCTTCTACAGTCTGCTGGGTTGTTTCTTCCTCTTGATAAGGCGGAGGGGCAAGCTCCCCCTCCTCGACCCAGACCTTACGCAACTCGCTCTCGATCTCCTCTCGACGCCGCTTCCATTCCTCAACATTGTCGAGTCGCTTGCGCAATTCTTGCAGTTCCTTCTCGACTCCTAGCTTTTCCTTCTCCGTCCCGATCCTCTCGAATTCCCACTGGTCGCCCTCCAATCCAAGGCCGAGGGTGAGTTGGAAAGTGTGGTATTTCTTCAGGGAAGCGCGGGTCGAGATCGTAATCAACGTGATTCCTTTCTGCTTTGCTCGTTCGTAGAGCCAACCCTCCACGTCTGAAGACACTGCGGAGGTGCCTTCGTCGATAAACGCATAACGTGGCTCATGATAGAGCAGCCTTGCAAAGGCCATCCGCTGTTTCTCTCCACCGCTCAGGACGTCCTTCCACTCCTTTCGGCAGTCCCAGCCGCCTTCCCGGTCGGGAAGGTACCCCAGATGAACTTCATTCAAGATCCTGCCCAGCTCAGCATCTGTCCGGCCGTTCTCGCGCATATCCATCTCGCTGTGAGGATAGATGACTTGATCGCGCAGCGTTCCAACAGTCAGATACGGACGCTGAGGCAAAAACATGATGCCATCCATGCCAAAACCTCGAGGCCGGCTCACCAGACCCCGGTACACAGGCCATAATCCAGCGACGATGCGCGCAATAGCGGACTTTCCAACGCCATTGGGTCCCGTAATGAGGAGATGTTCCCCGGAGTGGACGATGAACGACAAAGACTCGAGGAGCTCATCACCCCCTTGTGGATAGAGGGACGGCGCGACGATAGGAACATGCTCCAGACGGACACCGTCGAAGCCATTGTGGATCGTGCCCTGGACATCCGACAAAGAGTATAATTCAGGGTGGCTACCACGGGGCTGATAATACGCATTGGCATGCACTCTGTGCAGGGCAGATACGAGTGTGTAGACGCGCGATGTGTAGCCCGCTAACTCGGAAAGGTCCTTGATACTGTACATCATGCGACCCCCAGCATCGGCCAACGACAACATCAGTCGCTTGTTTGTAATGAACTCCTTCATGCGACCTCGTTCGCGACTGGACTGCTCCGAGGCATCAGCTAACTCCATGACCCCACCCAGTCCTCCCCAGGCCGGGAGGAACACGGGCACGGACGTGATAAGATAGCCGAGGGCCGACCAAGAATACTTCAAGATCAAATCTTCCAGCATATTGTAGCGGATCTTCAGGTTGTAGATGCCCTTCATCCATCGTTGCAGATCCTTGAAGCTCTTGTCCAAAAAGACCCTCTCGACGTACGCACCACCGTAGAAAGCGATTTCCTCTGCATTTGCCAGAAGTCGGGAATGCAGGCCTCTAAAGTCACCTTCCTTTTTACCCTCGACAGCCTTTAGTTTTCCAAACGGTGGGGATACTTTGCGCAGAACGGTCGCAGTACCAAAGTAGCCGCTCAAAATTACGGCCAGAGCTAGAGGTCCCAGAGAACGGTAGAGCTGATAATTGAAGACGATGAGATCAACAAACGGCTTCCCCAACGAGGAGTACAGAGCTGCCGCGGATGAGCAGAAGAGGGTCAGGTCTTGGGTGATGAATTGATCGGCACTCTGGCCGACGGCACCGTCCAAGTTGGACAGTTTGTAGTAATTCATGTTGTCGTTGAGATAGAGGTCGTGGATGTACCTCGTGAGGCGCGTTCGGAACGCTATCGATATCTTTGACTGGAGGTATTTGATCATTGCATTTGTGTAGGATGCGAGTGTCCCAATGCCACACCACTTAATGATTCCCCAGATGAAGGCGCGTCCCTTGCCGGCGACAAGATCTCTGACGATCTCACCGTCCAGTCTGGCCACCACCAAGGATAGGTACGTTCGCAGCATGAGGAAAACACCATGGCTCATCAACAGACCCGTTTCCTTGCAGTTCCACCTCGGGATCATGATGCTCATCAGGCTCAGGAACTGGTGCAGAAAGGCCAGATTCAACCCGGGCTTCGTCGACGGCGGAGGGATTGGAGAGACCGACTCGCCATCACTCAGGCGAGCTGCTCGAGGGGGATTGAGGAACAGCCTCCGGTGGGCATCAAAGGTGGTCGGCTTTGTCGGATGGATGGTGACCTTGGATGTCTGATTGCTCCGGTACGGGACGTAGATGATCCTCGATCCATCTTTCCCTCGAAGCCCCGAGTTCCTTCGCAGCATCCGTCTGCCCTGTGCGCGCTCCTTGGCGCGCTCCCGGATCCATTTGTAGCCTCCATACCCTGATCCGATGATCGACAGAAGCAGGGCGACCGTTGCGATCAGCTTGGCGGTTTTTGATGTGCGCCGGACGCGTGCACGAAGGAGCTCTGCGTAATGGTGGTACAGCACAACGAGGGGGTCCTCGGGACGTCGAAGGGTTGATTGAGCAGCCATCTTGCCCGGCCGATTTAAACGCAGGCGTGGTGGTGTCACGAGTCGGTGTCACTGAGATGACCGGTCATAGCAGCTGGTGCGCATGCTTGGGAGGACGTAATGGAATCCGTACAACTTCAGGACACGACAGACTGAACAACCGCACGGGAGAGATGATGGTGACAGATTGAGGAACGATCGTAGCAGGGCAGGAAGAAATGGGTCGAATTAAGCAGGGCCATCGAGTGTGACGTCGCGCAGCTGGATTTGCATGTGATGGCCTCGGCCAACCTGCTGGGTCTGCCGGCTCACGTGCGGGGGCCAATTGCTGAAGGGACGCGCAATTCAGTTCACCGCTAGGCGAGAATTACCGGAGGAAAAATTACTCTAACAGCTATGAAATACAGTTTTTATCTCCAGCAGAAAACCACGAGTTATGGTAATGACTATTCTGCTGGTACGCGTGGAGGCGACTCGAATGACCGATCGGGAGGGGCCGCATGCGGAGATGCCGGAGACCTGGGGAAGCTCGGCAGTAGATTTAGTAGATTGAAAGTTCCTCTTGACTTTGCCATGAGTGATAACTACTGGTCAGTCCTAATACTTATTGTATGACATTTACGTGTTCCTTGGTCACTTAGAGACGGTTTGATGCTCAGTCGCACCAAGGAAGTAAGCTGAACACGTGGTCCTCCTGATGCTGCACGGGTAGACTAGAAGGTCAGTCTAGAGTGATCGCAGGGTCAGAAGCGAAGGGACAAGAGAAGAATAGGGTTTCCTATGTCTCGTTCCCAGCGAGTGCTTATCAACTCTCCAGCTCTCGACTTGGATGTGGCTGTCATGGGGTCCTTGGTACATGCTGCACTCCAGGCCACTCTATTTGTCAGCGTATCCCAGGGGCTACTCTCCAGGCTGTCTCCAGGGACATTTTAAACTGCACTCGACTCTGCAATCATCATAATCACTTAGTGTCTGTCTGTCTGTCTGCCTTTCAGCCACCGTCAATAACCTCACGCTAGCTTCCGATGTTGCCATGAATAGTACCGATGCTGTAGGTAAGGACGAACTACTCCGCTTAGTCGGACTGCAATGCACCACTTTGCATCACACCATCTCCAGAGGGCAAGCTTACCTTGCTCATGCACACCACCATCTCGAGAGACCGCTGTCAGTTGCCGCAAACGGGTTAAATAGCATGGATGTGGATAATGCTTATGCGCTTGTGGATAAGAATCTCTCAAGGATGAGTTCCTGCTGTCCTTTGGACGTGTCACGCACAGCTTCTGTCTACCTAGTGTATGTCTGTCTGTACTGTACAACGTCCGATCGCGGACCAAGCTCTGGCGCCCCACCAGTGTACAGTTCCGTCCAGAGGGCGGCTCACCCACCCGCAGTGCCAGAGTCGACAGCCTAAAGGCGATCATCCGGCTGCTCCAGCCTCCAGCATCCAGGGATTGATCCGGTCACCAGGCCGGGAGCCCCAAGTCCAATCCTTTGCCGCTGTTCCTAGGTCCAGACCCCGGCCTGGGATGCCGCTGGAGGGCCGGCTGGAGGCCTGCAGAAGGCCGCAAGCGCCGGGGACGTGACTGTCACACTCGCGCAGCGTCTGGCTCGACAAGTAGATCATTGGCTGCTCTTTCGAGGGCCGTATACTCCGTATGCGCAGACCAGCCACAGGGCTGCCCTCGCCGTCGCGGCCCAAAAAGGGTGTGTCGCTCTGCGCGGGCAAATCAACGGCCGCCGCCTCGAGCGGCCCTTGATCTATCCCAGGTTATCTCGCGCTCTGGCCACGAGTCCACGACTTCGCCAGTCTTCCTGCTTCCATCTGCCTCTGTGAGTTCCATCGTCGCCGCCTTCCCACCGCGCAACCCTTCTGTGTGCTCCGCTCTTTGGGACGTTTCCGGGCCCGTTCTAGGGTGCTGCGCACTAGCCATCAGGGTCCGCTCGGGAGAGCTAAGCAAAGCACACCCGCCTTGCCCAGGAGGCGCGACGGCACCCTTTCCACCGCGCAGAGCGGAAGGAGGAGGACTTCACCCCGACTCTGGCTGCATTCCCATCCTCTCCGATTGCCGACCATCGTCCGTCCGGCTTCTCCCTCGTTGCTGCTCCTGCTGCGGCTGCTTCTGAGAAGCTCGTTCTGCCGCCCCCAATGACAGAGCGAGTCTCCTCACCGTCCGCTCAGGAGTCGACAACCCACGCTGGTCCGATGACCACCCAACCCCCGACCACCACGACTCTAGTAAGTCTTCGTTGGACGCCCGGTGATCGCCACTGCCATCGCACAGGCTGAATGCTGACGGAAACCCTCTCTTCCCCATGTGCTGCTGTTCAGATCCCGCGCCATCGCAACCGTCCGTCGATGAGGTGAAGACACTGCCACCCCCTCCGTCGGATGATGGACCCTCGACCGCCCCGACTTCGTCGCCCTCCGACTCTTCTCCAGGGCAGAACTTGGCAGCGCCCCCAAGGCCCAAGAAAAAGCGTTCGCTTCTCCTCGTCCCGACTCGGACATCGTCAAGGGGCAGCAAGCATCCCTCATCCGATGTGACAAGCGAGACCGTGCAGGATGAATCTGGGAACACAAGGTCAAATTTGCGAACGAGCTTGGCCAAAAGGCGAAGAGATGCAAGCAAAGCGAGCAGTAGGAGGTCTCAGCGAAATCAACCCGAGCCGTTGTCACGCGCAGAGCAGCCCAAGATCAGCAGTCCCGAAGACGACGACTACTCCAGGTCTGAGAAGAAAGGCAAAGCGCCGTCGAGGTTTTTGGCCATCTTGAATTGCTGCAGTCCGTCAGACGCCGACAATGAGGGTCCAGAGCTCCCTGCCAAGAGGACGGAGAACAGACAACCGATCCAGGCTCGATCCCCATCCACGATTGAGAAGGCGGATGGCAGCGCGGCGGAGTCGAGTACGGCGGATTCAAAGGAGCATTATGCGTTCGGGGATGAAAAGCCTAAACTCACCGTCGACTCGGATGCCACCAAGCCGCAGACTGAAGATGAGCCAAGCGTGACAGCGGGAGGACAAGGTGCTGCGTCACGGTTGCCAGAGCAGGTCGCCGAGCCAGCTGTTGGTGGTCCTAGTTCTGTGCAGGATCAGCAAGCAGACGTCTCAAACAAGGCTCTTGCAGCAGGCCCAGAAGCGGAGAAGAAAGATGTCGACGTGGGCACAGTGGAGGAGGATGTCAGTGCTTCGGATCAGACCAAGTCATCCCAGGTTCCGAGAGACAATCACGATGTCCCCATGACAGATGCCCCGGCTCTTCAGGATGGTGAAGAAGAGCAACCAAAGCCTGCTTCTCAAGAGGATACTGCTACGCAACAACCTGCTGACCTCCCTCCTCCGGGTCCGCCCGCTCCGGCAGGCAAGGAAGGTCGGCAATGGCTACTACCTCCCCCTTTGCCACATCTTAAGGACCGCAAATGTCTGGTTCTCGACTTGGATGAGACGCTCGTCCACAGCAGTTTCAAGGTATACATTCTGGACTCTGTTGACACATGCAGCTTGCTAAGCATTCCGACGTTACAGGTCCTCGAAAGAGCGGATTTCACCATTCCCGTGGAGATTGAGGGACAATGGCATAATATCTATGTGATCAAGCGACCGGGCGTCGACCAGTTCATGAAACGTGTTGGTGAGTTATATGAAGTGGTCGTGTTTACAGCGTCGGTTTCCAAGGTGAGTTTCATCTTCGAAGAGAACCTTTTTTTCCCTATCATGGCTGCTAACGCTCAAGGATAGTATGGTGATCCACTGCTAGATCAGTTGGACATCCATAATGTCGTCCACCACCGTTTATTCAGAGACAGCTGTTACAATCACCAGGGAAACTATGTCAAGGTCAGTACTTTGATGCATCTGAGCGATGGTGACCTCCTAACAGAAAATTTACAGGACCTCTCCCAAGTTGGTCGTGACCTGAAAGAAACGATCATCATTGATAATTCACCGACATCCTATATATTCCACCCTCAACATGCGATACCCATCAGCAGTTGGTTTTCCGATGCTCATGACAACGAGCTGCTCGATCTCATTCCAGTTCTCGAAGACCTTGCCGGCTCACAAGTCCAAGATGTGAGCTTGGTCCTGGACGTTGCATTATAATTACTTGCTATCCGTTCTTAGCCTCCGACTATCTCGATTTTCTTTACCCTTGAATATCTACATCACACTTTGCCAACGGTTCTGCAATATGTTCCCCTCCTTTGTTCACATCCACCAGACTGGATTTATCAATACCCCGTTTCTTTTTTTTTCTTTCTCCTCAAAAGTTTCCGAGACCCCGAGACCCTCAGACAGATGGCGAAGGAGTGAAATGCGAGGGCTCGGTGATGGATAGCATTTCTCCCTATGTTGCATCTGGCACCGTTCAGCATGTTTTCTTTTCTGGCGCACTGTTTCATATAACAGCTTCATCTTGCCAGCGGCAGTGTCCGCTTGTCGTGCTCCGAGCGAGCTTTCTTACTTTCGATTTTCTCTGCATTCAAAGGGCGTCTGATTGTGGTCATCGGCCAAGATTTGCTCGGCTAATGTATTCGCTCTCCTATTCTTTTTTTTCCTATACTCTTGTTACACATCCACGACCATATTCCCCCATTTCCTTGCTGTGTTTGTTCTAGCCCCTACTCTCGTCCATTCCTCATCCCCTTTCTGCTTTCATATCGTGATCAAGAGTGAGTTGGCGGAATTTTAGTTGGGTCTTGACCCAGTGCAGATGGAATTGAATTCGTCACACGGCCTCCACAAGTGTATTTCTGCCCTCTCCCAGATGTCTGTACATGTACTTCACTGATCGCAACATGCGTGATGTACATACGAACTGCTATCAGTCAGAAAAAGCATTTCTTGTGTCATCTGTTACTCAAGTCGTTTAGAATGATTGATTGCTCAAGAACGCTGCTATCTATTAGACAGCTTGATTGGCTATTGCAGTTGCAAACAAGACAAACACTACCGTTTGCGGCAACGTGGGGAAGCAAGAAAGGCGGGAGTTTGTCTACTCCGTAAGGTCCTGCCTGTGCAACAATAAAATAATCCGATCAAGCATCTCTATCCAGATAGATTCCTGGCTCATTTCCCGAACATACAAATACAGCAGTTGTTATATTCTATAAGTTGCATCGAAAAAGAAGGATCGATCTTTGGCAAGGTTGTCCGAACGGTTCTCACCACAGTGCCTTTTTTCTTGCCTGGCTTCTTACGCCTTTGTGCAAAGTTCCCCGCATTCATCATTTATTCCGACCGTACAGTTACAAACGATGTCCGACGCGGAGCACGCGCCTCAATCGATCTCAAACAATGACGAACAGCAACAACAACAACAGCAGCAGCAGCAGGAGCAGCAGGAGCAGCATCCCGCAGACGAAGAAGAAGCAACCGCCCCGAAGGATAGTTCCGAATCGGATGAGAAATTGAAGGCTGATCGGCGTGCGACGCTCACAAACCCGGAGGCCTTGGAGGATCCGGATTACACGGATGAGGAAGCGCCGCCGGTGGAGGAGATTGAGGCCGATGAAGGTATGTTTGTGAAATGCTGTGGAGTGTATGTACCTGTAGCTGTGATGGATACTAACACGTGGCTTTCCTTTCAGATCTTCTTGATGGTGAAGATGAGAATGTCGAGGTCCGTAAAGAAGCCGCAGATTACACCTTGGATAGTTCGAGCTGTGTGACTGTGATAGAGCATTCCCGCTGACTTGGACGGTCTTTTTTACCATGTTTAGGATATTGACCTCGTCCACTGCCGGATAACGTCAATACCTGCTCTGAAACTAGATCGGTTCAAGAAAGTAGAGGTATCCTCTTCTTCTTTCTCACTCTGCACTCCATCCCCCTCTCCAATGATTATATATTATATGTGCGGTCTTGATTAATTCAATTTAGAGAATATGTCTCCGCCAAAACCAAATCACCCGCATCGACTTCCCTCCGAACCTCGGCCCTACCCTCACCGAACTCGATCTCTACGACAACCTCATCTCGCACGTCAAGGGTCTCGACGACCTCACGAACCTGACCAGTCTCGACCTCAGCTTCAACAAGATCAAGCACATCAAGAACATCTCGCACCTCAAGAAACTGCGGGACCTCTACTTCGTCCAGAACAAGATCTCCCGGATCGAAGGGCTGGACGGGTTGACGCAGTTGAGGAATCTCGAGCTGGGCGCTAATAGAATTAGGGTATGGCCACAAACGAAACTGCACGCAGGCGCCCTTGTGTGCGGGAGGGATGAATTTCGCTGATCATGATTTACCGTCTTAGGAAATTGAGAACCTGGATACTTTGACGGCTTTAGAGGAACTGTGGTTGGGGAAGAATAAGATTACGGAGTTGAAGGTAGGATATCGAGCGAGTTCAAAGGCATGACCACCTCTCGCGGTGACTAACTATTAAATCCTTCTCAGAATCTCGACGCTCTCACGAATCTCAGGATCCTTTCAATCCAGTCAAATCGTCTCACTAGCATTAGCGGCCTATCGTCTCTGAAAAACCTCGAAGAGCTATATGTATCACATAATGCCATCACAGAGCTATCCGGACTTGAAAATAACACCGCTCTTCGCGTCTTGGACTTCTCGAACAATCGAGTGTCAAAGCTCGAGAATATCTCGCATCTCAAAAACCTGGAAGAGTTGTGGGCGTCCAACAATGAGCTGTCGAGCTTCGAAGAGGTAGAGCGCGAGCTCAGGGATAAAGAGAACTTGCAGACGGTTTATTTCGAGGGTAATCCGTTGCAGACGAAAGGGCCGGCCGTCTATCGAAATAAGGTGCGGCTAGCCCTGCCGCAAGTGAAACAGATAGACGCAAGTAAGTGATTCTCTCTTCTGGCATAGCCGTCAGACGATTTCGGACTTGACTAATCACTGTCAATTCTCCAGCTTATGTGAGACTTGGATAAATCTGTGCAAACGACGGAATGCAGAGGGCATCCCGTCTCGCACACCTCTCCAGAGACGACATCATCAGTTATGTTCTTTCCACGGAGCGTCTCCCACCCCCATAGCCATCCTACCACAAGGACATGAAATAGAAAAGATATCGAGGCGTTAGACGGAGTTGTAGGTGGGAATCATTTCGAAACATACATCAGCGATGACAGCGTCAAAGAAGGCCACATCCCAGCGATGTGTCTTCTTGTCTCTGGCTATTTGTCTTTATGTGTTGTTCACTGGTCCGAGCTTGCCCTTGATTCATCGAATTGATGCGTGCACTTCCATCGGCGAGCGAAGGCAAGAGTGAAAATTTATCCCTCATTCGGTCTTAAAAAAAGCTGTCCTACTTCGAGGGATTATTCTTTTGGAATATCATTGCTCTTTGCAGCGAGATCCTGTCCGTCGGCGTCCAAAGGCTTCTGCTACTTTTCCTTGTGCTTCTTCTTCTCCATGTTAAAGCCTTCTCGATATACCCTCATCAGAGATGTGGCGCCATTCATTTTGTTTCTCTGATAGATATGCTTCTTGAACGATGGCGTGACGGGTCTTTTTGGTTCCCAAAAGCAATCTGCGAGTTCGGGCTGCGGTATGCCACTGTTAACCAAGTCATGATACTGGTAGGTATTGGTGTCGAGCTGAAAGGGTCCATGGGAAGGGTTCTCCTTCACCGCGGCTTCGTGGTCGTGATGGGATTCTTGAATTTTGCACGTAAATGGGCGGGGTTCTTCGATTGACTCATATTTGGACAAGGGGTCTGCCGCGAGCACATGTTCGTTCGGAGGTTTGGGACGGTGTATGTGCTTTGGAATCGGAACGGTCAGCGGTGAAGCCTCAATGGCGCGGGCAGCTGACTCTGCTGTCTCGAAAATGACAAGACTGGTTGCCTCGGGGTCGTCGACCTTGCCCTGTCGCATTAATTTAGTATATATCCAGAGGACAGAGGACATAAATTAATCATAATAAAATGTAAGATGCAGAATATCAAGATTATGAGCTTGACGAGCCATGATTCGCTGCGAAACAATAATATTTTTTTTCAAAGAAAAAAAAGAAGAAAAAGAAAAAAGAAAAAAAGAAAAAGGGGGGAAAAAAAAGAAAAAAAGAAGGAAAAAAAGAAGTAAAAAAAAAAGAGAAGAAAACAAAAAGAGAAGGAGAGAAGGGGTATAGATAAGATAGATTGTGTTCTCCCTTGCAAGACTGAATGCAGCGTAGAAACAACCTGGTGTAAAGAATGCAACCAAGATAGAAAAAACATCACCTTTTCCAATGAAACCACGAAAAACAAAAAAAAAGAAATAAATAAATAAATATGAATAATATCATATCAGAGATTACAAGACTTTGAGCATAAAAAGGGAGAAACGGATAAGCTAGGCAAAGAAAATTGAACTGTCCGTCTACCATCCAAGAGTATACTTACCCGCAAATGCCGGAATGTCACTACCTCGCCGAACTTCTGAAGAGCAGCGAGGATCAACCTGCTCTCGGCGATATTGCGTGGACGCGGGTTCGTTGTTATTTGGACCTGCCTCTTAAGGGTCTGCTGTGCTGCCGCTGCAGCTGTTGCTGCTATTGAGCGGAGGGTTAATGTGGGTGAGAAGACCATGGCGACTGGTAATGACCAGCAGTCTAACAGACTCCGTCAAGCTATTATACTCTTTCAACTTTCCAATGTGAGAAAATGACGATGTATTCTTTGAATTGATTGACAATAAGAAGAATCCATGTAGATGTTCTGGAAAGTGACCCAAGACCCGCTTTCCTCCCCTGCACAGGCAGTCTTGGCGCCGTTGATCCGCATCACCATCCGCATCCATCGTGCCTACTTAATCTTCTTCATACCAATGCTGGTGTGTTTCGTGCAAGTGCGGAAAGATGCAAAAGACCAAGTTCCCGCAAAGCTCGTGCGTCATGACTGACTGCACGAAAAGACCTTTTCCATCCTCAAGGACTCCTCTGCAACTGTCAATGCTAGTTTGCCTGACGACATCTCAGCCTATCTCATAATCCACTGGGTGCATTGTTCGTGCTCACTTACATCAATGTCTGTCTCATGAGTGACCTTTGGCTGGAGCACTCCGATATGGAGGGTTTCCCCGGTCGTGGGTCTGGGCTTCATGGGCTCAAGGACTCTTGTCTGATCAAAGTGGACACTACCATATCTCAAGTACGCCGCGAACGTTCCTGCTTCGATGTCTTTATTGTGATTTTTCGGATCGTCCCACATGTCAGCGAGGAAGGAGTCAAGAGCGCCTGAGGGGCCGTGTGAGAGCTTCATTGTTGATGTATTCGCCAACAGATCCAGGGCAATCTTTTCTGCGTCGTGGTAGAGTTCATTCTGAACAGCCCCCTCTCCTTCCCTCTTTGTGCTCAAAAGCTCAAACTGTCTAGCGCCACTCCACTCGGTCACCGACTGGAGTTTCAGCATTTCCTGCATGGCGGGCAGCAAGTACATCTTTTCCCGGAAGTACTCCGGCCCATCAAACCCGTCAGTTGGATCGACGATCCTCCGAAGTCTTTCGAAACACTGGAAGTGAGCCAGATAGTCGCTAAAGTCTTCTGGGCTGATCTTGAGTGCCCCAGGCAAATTCAAGTGGTTTGCCGGTGCGTACATCAAGGGGAGATGTGCAAGAAGGGGATGTTTATGGAACCCTTTGCTCTCAGTGACTCCCTTCCACAGCTCCAGATAAATGTCGTGCCAGCGCTTGATGAACCCATTACCCCGTTTTGTGGCGATGAACCCATTCAGCATGTTTGTGGTACCGGGGCAAATCTCTATGGCGAATCCTGACATCTCGTATGGGGTCATGGGGTCGGTGATGGCGTTCCAACAGATGTCATCAATATGCCTGAAAAGGACCATACCGACGTCCATCCAGACGCCTCCGTACAGGTACAGGAGCGGCAAACGAACCAGGTCCCCCGAATGCTGCCCAACATGCGGGCCGGTCATGGTTCTGTTATTGAAGGCCTCTGGGAAAAAGGACGCGTCCACGAACTTGGATACGTTGAGCGGCGATCCTGGGACCTGGTCCAGCACGCGTACTGTCCACGACGGACCGAGTCGACGAACCCAGTTGATAACGTTTCTCTGGGACCACGGGGGCATGTTGTCGAAGCCCGTGTTCCAGAAAGCCCACACATTCTTGTCGGACGAAGTTGGTTCTTGGTAAGATTTTAGCTGCGTGATGATCTCTTCATCGGAGCGGCGATCCAGCTTGGATTCTGGGATATACACCAAGCCAGGACCAGGGGTGGGTGGCGATTCAGTCCCCGGAGATGTCGCCGGCGTGGACGTCGACGCGGGGGATTCGGAACGAGAGGATTGAGACGCAACCATTGAGACGATTACTCTGTGATGGCTTTGTGTGATGGCTCTGTGCGCGAATTGGGACGGTGCGATTGGTGTGTGATCGGTAGCGAGAAGTCTGCAGTATGTCTGCCTAGTCCTGGCAGACTAAAAGGATCTGACGGGGAGCTTTGACAGAGGAAAAAAAAGCAAGCGCGGGCGTTGGCACTCCTCTTCCTTTGTCGTGAGACGCATCCAATTATTGCTATTAACTACAGTCTTTATATTGGTGGGTCTTACGCTGTCTCTCTCGCAACTTCGCTACATTCCGGTCATCGTCGAGTGACCAAGTCCGATCCCAGCCAAAGGAAAAATTCAATCAGAAACAACTCCTCATCATTATCGACTCGATATTGAATGCATATCAGCATGGAGGTTTCTCCTTGCAGCCAGCTCAACCCGGAGCTTCCATTCACCGATGTACACCGCTGCTTGTTCAGCTATTCAACCTGTTTGTTTCCACCAAAGAAAAGCCCATGGGACTTTTCGTCCGGAGTCACGCAAACTTTGGGCTTTTCTTTCTCTTGCTTCGAGTCAACTGAGACATGCACCTTGCGAACATAGACGCCATACATACCCTAATAGACGGTGTAGTCAGGTTGTATGTACTTAACTGTACAGCAGATACCCGATTACCGTGTTGAGATTAGTCTACCTTCATCGAATCAAAGGGCCGGGGTTTGTACTCTCTTCTTTGTTTACGTTTGTAAACCAATCAGCGCCGCGTGATTTACGATGCTATTTTTAGGGTTAGTGCCATTGGTAGACTATGTACTGTACGGAGTACAGCTGTACAGTAATACCTTAGGTACCTAGGTAGGGATCCCAATCCATTGGGATATAATTCACTATGATACTATATACTATACTACCGTCATCGGCCACTCTTGCCTGTTCTACGTGGTTGATTGGCTTGTTTATTGATTGGCTGGTTACTTGGTTCTGGGACTGGCATGCATATACGTGGAGAATACAGACTGTGAACTGACTGTCTGTCTGTTTGATGTTTGTCTATTCAAGCGTCATCAAGGGCAAGCATCCCTACATACATACATATAGATGGATATATATGCACACATGTACTCTGAACTAAGCAAGTAAATGAACAAGTCATTCGTAACGCGACCTGTGCAAGCACGTCAAGACAAGACTATGACTGCACGGGGCGCTGGATTCGCTAAAAATAAAGGAATCCTCTAAGCGAAGATCGGGATGTACATTCCGTACTAAGTAGAAAACTCAAAATTAGCAAGTTCCTCAAATAGAAGATGCTCAAACAGAGGGCAGCGGAGTAATGACTTACGCTAACTGGGTTGTTGAATCGAAGGTTCTTGTCCAGCGCGCTCAACGCTTCAATGTCGGCGGGCTCCAGATCCCATCCGGTCACGTCCAGGTTCTGCGCCAGGCGGCCCGGGTTGTTGCTCTTGGGGATGACGGCGATGTTGCGCTGGGTGGCCCAGCGGAGCAGCACCTGGGCGGGGGTCTTGCCGTGCTTCTCGGCAATCGACTTGACGGTCGAGTGGTCGAACAGCAGCGGCGTGTCCTTGGCCTCCTTGTGGTCCAGCTCCAGGAAGCTCAGCGGGCCGAAGGACGAGTACGCCGTCACAGCGATGCCCTCCTTCTGCACGTACTCGACCAGCGCCTTCTGGGTCAGGTACGGGTGGTGCTCGATCTGCAGGGTCGCCGGGCGAATGCGCGCGTACCGCAGCAGGTCCATGATCAGCTGGGCGCTGAAGTTGCTGATGCCGATGCTGCGCGTCAGCTTCTTGTCAACCAGGGACTCCATGGCCTGCCACGTCTCCTGGATCGTCGCGTTGCTGAACTCGATCTCATTCTTGGTGCCCGTCCAGCCCGGAGGGTATTTCTCGGCCGGGTCGACGTATTTCAGCGCGATCGGGAAGTGAATGAGATACAGGTCAAAGTAATCGATGCCCCAGTCGGCCAGCTGCTTCCGGGCGATCGGCTCGACCTTGTCGGCCTCGTGGAACGTGTTCCACAGCTTGGACACAATGAAGAGGTCCTCACGCTTCACAATGCCTTCCTTGATGGCGCGAGCGACGCCCTGGCCGGCCTCAACCTCGTTGCCATAGTCTGAAATGCACATAAGTCAATTACTGGCTCCCATCATCAATCCGGAAAACGACGGCTACCTACCGCATGCACCGTCAAACAAGCGGTAACCCGCCTTGATGGCCTCGTAGACCTGGTCCGCGCAGGTGTCGTTGTTGACCTTCCACAGACCAAAGCCCACCAGGGGCATGTCATAGCCGCTGTTCAGCTTGATGGTAGGCGTGGCCATTTTGGTGAATGTTCGTTTGCGGAGTTGGTTGAACTGCCAGCAACAATTCAGTTTTCTTTCTTCTGATTCGCTCGCGGAATAATGGAAGCGGACTGCAGTACTTACAGTACTCGAAGGCAGCGAATTGGTTCTGGGAGTGAAGGAGCGACAGGAGCACGCAGGAGTCTTAAAGATAAGGCCGGTTCGAGGCGCCGGAACAGCAGTTCCCCTGACCGTCGCCGACAGCAAAATTTTTCGGAGCCCCTCCATCATCACCGAATTATCCTAAAGGGAAGGCTAATTCACGAGTCACGACCCCCACAGAAGCGGGGGAGGGGTAATCGAATGAGCTGCTGGCGGACCATTTTATGTGCTGTACATAGGATTTCGGGGCGGCAAAAACATTCAGCGTCATGACGGAGTCCGGCGGGCAGGAAGCCGTAAAACAGCCAGCGATGCCTCATGAGGGACACCAAATATAGGAATGAGGTTCCAATCGAGGCTCCGCCAGACACACAGGAGGCCAATTAAGGGCACGGGATTCGAACGGCGAGAAGCTGGAGACGGACGCGCTGGACGGCGTACCGGGTAAATTGAGGTTAAAGTCGACTTCGCCCGGCTTTGGCCCGGCTAAAGTCGCGCCGCTCTCCGCCAATAACGACGCCGGCCAAGGGCCTCGACGCTCCGGTGGAGCTGCTTATCTGCTGTCATATTATCCTGAGGCTTTCCCTGTCGTTTCTGCTTATTTTTTTTCCCGGCGGGTCTGAATTCTGCACTGATGAGGTCATAATCGAGAACCTGGAAGACTGCTTCGTATGTGATTAGAGACTATCTAGCTAATGACAGACGACTATTTTCGTTACAATGGACACCCGAATTTATGTCAAGAAGAAAAAAAAAACCCCTAGCCACATCAAGAAAACACCAAAGACAACTACACAAACGCCCATGCGGAGACCCCTGGGCATCAACACTCATTAAAGATTAATCATTACACTCATTAGACCGCTTCCACGGCAGCACCCTCCGCGTATGCAGCACTCGTATGGTCAGGACCCGAGCCGTTCACGTTCACGTTCAGGTTCGGATCGGTCGACACATTGCCCACCAGCTTGTCCATGAGGTCGTCCGGTGGCATGATGCCGTCCAGCCCACCGCCCTGGTGCTCTCGGGACACGGGCAACTGGGGGTGACCGGCAGATGGGAATTGCAGATGGTTGTAACTACCATTGCCAAGATCAGGGTGGATCGCCGTCGCCTGCGGCTCCCACAGTGGCGCATGCGTGTGGCTGATATCGTGCATCGGCGACGCGGTGGTCACAAACATGGAGTTCAGGACGTTGTTGTTGCTGTCATGAATGGATTGCGGTGGCATAAAGTGGCTGCCAGGGCCGCCCATCCCATAACCGCCCATATGGGGATGCGAAGATAAGGGGAGATCATGAACATTGAACATCGTCTGGCCCGCCGTCGACACAGTAATGCTACCAGGCTGGGATGTTTCTTGAGTGAAACCGGGATAAGGGTCAAGTACCGAGCTAACCGAAGTCTTGTCCCCAAGGCCATCCTCCGGTTTGCTCATGTTGCCCAGGAAGTCGTACGATCCCGCAGTAAAAAGGTTGGTGACTTGATCCTGTGTATCGGGATACACGGGCCATTGCTGCTGCAGACCCATGTTCGGATGCGGTTGCATTAGGCCATTCTGAGGCGCGGCAGGATATACATTCTGCGATGGCTTCGTTGAAAGCATCGTATCCATTGTCAGGGGGGGCAGGTCGATTCCCGTCGTAGCTCGTGGACTGTTGGTCGTGTTTCGCGCCGGGGGAGGGATCAACCGCCTCCAAGTGGTCGTGCCTACCTCCCCAGGCCGGGTCTGACGGAACTTCCACAGGAGAATCGCCATCCTCTTACTCTCGTCCCCTTTGGACAGTCGTTGATGACTCGGTGGAGTTGCCCGGAGCTCTTGCACAGCCGAGAGAGACCGGAAGAACTGCCGGGTGTGCTCGTCAGCCGCTTGAGCAGCTCCTGGCTGCCCGGAGTCTTCTGCCATCCGCTTCTCCTGGGTCAATTGAGTAAACAGCTTGGCCCACCACGAAGACTCGAAGAGAGGCTTGATCTTCGTCGAAGAAGCCTTTTGAAGATCGTGATACGTCTCCAGCATCTTCTGACCCTCTTCGTAGATATGCGTGCTGCATGTCCAATCTTCCAGCTGGCTCACCATCGAGATGTCGCCGGCAGTTGGGTGTGCAAAGTCAACTTCCAGCTGGATCCCCAGTCGGGAACCCGACGGAGGGAAGTCATCCATGAGCTGGAGGTTTACCTCGAGAAGGATCACGTCGCAATCCAAAGAAGCATTGGGGTCATCAATCAAAGAAGCGAGATGGGGAAAGGACGTGCGCCAGCCGACCAGGTTTTCCAAGGACATAGGAAGCGCAACGGGACGGTGCTGATCCCCTTGGAGGCGTGTGTACACATGTAGCGCCTTATCGATCCGATTTGCCTGCTGAGGAGCGCTCACCCACATATCGAAGTTAAACGCATGGATCAGATGCAAGTTCCCGTCATAGACGTTGGACCCCAGCGTGAGATGGGGAGGAGGCAGCTCCCCGTTGTACGGCTGCACGGAAGTACCAGGTTGCGAAAAAGAAGACTGAGCCTGGTTATTGAAGTCGCTCAACATCTGATTGTCCACGGAAGTTTGGCATTGCGGCGGAGTAGTCGTGGGAGGCTGTGTGTTCGGTATGTTTGGTTTTTCCCGGACAAGTCTCTCCCCTGTAGGCGAATTTATGAGCTTTCTGTGCTATCAACACGAGGCAAACAAAAGAAAAAAAAACTTACAGTCAGGATCGCCCTTCAGAAATGAATCGAGGACTTGCAGGTGACTGGACACCTGTTTTCTAGTTCGCCTCTTTCCAGTCAACTTGTATATATACTCGGCAATCAATTCATTCCGCCCGTATGACTTTCCACGTTCCGACCATTTCCTTCTTCCCATAGGAGGATTTGCCTCCAGTGCTAGCGGACGTCAGCATTAGGAAGTACCACGTCGTCAGCTACCACTCACCTTGCTGGAAGGCATCCTCCAGAGCATCTGACCAGACAGGCTCCCCATCCTTGCCAGTGTCCCGGCGAGGCCGTGCCCTATATTCGAGATACTTTTGGGAGTTCATATAGCTTCTCCTCGGACGAACAGGTGCGATGGCTGGAGGGGTAGTAGTGGGAGGTGGTTGAGGCGCCGACTGAAGCCGTCTCAGCTTTTTGGCCCGCAATCGCGCTGCCAGAGCTTGACTGTCCTGACCATTGGAAGTAGGTGTTGAATTGACAGGAGCCTCAGCCTGAGGGAATTTGTGAGCCATAGACTGAAACTGCTCATCGTGACTGCCATCTCCATTCGTAGCACTATCCGAGGAGTATGTCTGTACATTGCCCGAGGTGTTTTGGAGAGCTCGATCAGGGCCGGCTCCAACACTCTCCAACGCTGGCTGGGTGGTCTGAGATACAAGACACTCAGGCTGCCACTCAGCCATGGCGCGGACCAGGACGAACTTCTCGCAAGAATGATACCAGAATTCCAAACGGAGAAGAACGAGGACCGCAATGCCAATGGCCTTACACAGTCACGATAACAAAGATGAAGAACGCAAAATACTACAAGAGAATGTTGGGAACTTGGGAAGAGAATGAGAATGTGGGAGCAGACACCATGGTGTTTATAGAAGGCCATTCTCCTCCCTGTGGAAGGGCTGGACGAAACGCCTAGCTACCTTGCTACAATTGCTTGCCTGTCCCCTTTACAGTAGTCCTGATCTCTGATCGCGAGCGCGGCGGGACCGTGTCGTGAGTCGCCCATTCGGGAGAACTGGCGAGGAGTACTCCAAGAGAGTGGCTATCCTTGCCGCCGCGATTAGGGCTGGAGAGAAAGGGCACGATGTAAAGACGATGGGGGAAGCAAGGGGGTCGGATCAGCACGATCCAGTCAAGAGCTGCTCGGAGATTTTTGCATGACGAAGTACAAGATGACAGCAGAGGCTCAAAGCAGGTACAGAGAGGACGCCGTGACACCGGTGGCGACGACGGTCGAAGAATGTAAGTTATCCAACAGGATTCTGCGATTCCGCAGTCAAGGAATGCGACCGTAATGAAGAGACATCGACTGGAATGTAGGTCGACCTTCGGAGGGGAGCGGATCTGTTTGCTAGCATCCTCGCAGTGAGGGTGCAGGTAGGAGCCAGAAGGGACTGAGAAGGGCGTGGACAAGGAGGCGTGTTCATCACTTGCATTGCAGTGCACGAGGTCCTTTGCCGCGCCCGCGCGCTATCCTGACAGCAGCCCTAAAGAAGGAGAACGTGTCGAAGGAGAACGAGGCGAACTGCCAAGCAAGGGATGAGGAGCTCAACAAACACACTTCTGGACCAGAAAACAATTTTCCTGAATTCTCCCTGTCCAAGGATCTAATCTTCCTCGTTCTCCTGGGCCCCTACAACGAATTTCTTCCTGTCCGTTCGAAGGAGACCTTGTAGTTTCACCCTGTCCACCTGCTGCCCCATCTTCTTTTCGATATTCTGGATCTCCTCTTCCGGGTCTACAGCGTCTGCGGATGCATACTCCAGCACCAGTTTCCTCCCCAAAAGATGCGTGTTTTTCAGCGCATCCATGGCATTCTCCGCTTCGCGGGCACTTACAAAATCAGCAAATGCGAAACCGCGCGATGTTCTGTCGAATTTCTTGGGAACGCGCACAGAGCGAAGTTGCCCGTAAGCGCCAAATAACGCCCGGACATCCTTCTTAGTGGCTTGGAACGGAAGATTCTTGATAATAATCTTCGTTCTCTTCGCAGCGACTTTCTTCGCCGTATCCTCGCGTCTCCTCTCCTCGGCGGCATCCATGCCCTTGTGGGAGAGTTTAACGACGAGCTCATGATTGTCAAGATTGTAGCCATTCATGGCGGCTAGAGCAGCTTCCGCCTGCGCCTTAGTACGGAACTCGACGAAGCCGAAACCCATACTGAGAGTCTGACCCGGTCGCTTCGGGTCGGGTTTTGTCTTCACCGTGGCTGATAAAAAGCCGTCCAAAGGCTTGAAGACCTCGGCTAGTCTTTCACTCGTGGTGGCAAAATTCAAGTTTCGTACGAAGAGCGTCGAAGTGAGTAGCCCATTTTCGGTGTCCTCTAGGGCAAAGGTGTCCGTTGTAGAGAAACCTTGAGATTTGGGCTTCGTCTCGACGGCCGCTGGCGGCGCTGGCGGCGCTGCCGACGCTGCCGACGCCGTCGACGACGTATCAAATAGATCTTTCGGTGCGCGTTCCAGAAATAGAATTGAATCTCCCAACTTCCGATACGCGAGACTTCTAAAAGCTTTCTGCGCCTCATCCGGTCTCGCAAACTCAACGATAGCAATAGTACCACTCGGAGGCATCAGTAATCGAGTGAGCTGGCCATACTGTTCAAAGAGCTTCCTCAAATCACTTGTCGTCACGCCGTATGAGAAATTTTTCACGAGAATTGCGGTGTTACCCCGTTCTCGTTGCTTAAACGAGTCCAGATTGACTCCATTTGCAGCAAAATATGCCTTTGTTTCCTGGATTACGTGGGTTTCTGCATGCGCTTGCTTTACGGCAGCGTCGGAAGATGTTGGGTCAAGCAGATCTGCTTTGGATACTCCGAGTCTCTCTGCTACAGATGACATTACAGCGTCCGCCTGTGTTTTCAGTCAATCATCCGCATTTCCTGTTTCCACTTGTGACGACTTACATTCATGTACAGGGAGTTCCAGTTGAAAGTCGATGAGGATGCTTCCATCTTACGCCTTATCTGTTTTTGTTTCTTCAAGGGCAGCTTCGACAGCTCATATTCATCTATCTTGTGTGTTTTCTTGGCAGTAGCTGGTAGAACATGGAGCAGGCGACCCTGGAAGTCCTTACCGTCCAAGGTCTTGTAAGCGTCGATTGCAGAAGAGGGATCCACATATTGCACGTAAGCAAAGCCTTTGCTCGTGGATGAACGTGTGTCAAATGCGACGTGTATCTAGCAGGGACGAAGTCAGTGAGTCTTCTGGACACTGAGCAAATAGATAATTGCATGAGGTGGGACGACGCTCTTCAGATCCCAAGAAGCATCTACTAAATACTCTTGCCTGTTGTGACATCATATGTTGCATCAGATGTCCCTATCAGGATGATCATCACGAGAGCGATGGTGCATGGTAACAAATGATTCAGCAGACATTGGCCAGACACTTACCTCTTCGATCTTACCAAATCGTGAGAAGACTGGTTCAAGATCCGCTTCAGTTGCATCATACGGCAAATTCCGTATAAAAAGGCGCGCAGAACTGCGAATTAGTGCAACATCCGCATCCACATCTTTCTCACCAGTCTCATCTGAATCTTGAGTTCCCGACGTCTCAGGCGCGACTTCTTGTCCAGAGACCGGGTTTTCTTTTCTATCCTGACCCACCGCATCAGGAACTTTTTGAGCGTCATGCTCCACTTGCTCTTCATCCTCAAGACCCAGGAGCCGACTCGTCTTAGATCGCAGCCAGTCTGCATCTGACTGTGGAAGGTCTCGACTTAAAGTTTCAACAGAAGGCTCTTGAGCTCCTGCTTCTTGATGGGTATCTTGGGTTTTGACACCATCACTGTTGGGTAATGTGTTCGACGGCACTCGCTCTCGGACCTCAGTCTGAGACGAGCCGCGAGCAGCATGTACCTCTGCAGGGCCCGAGGTTCCATTTACCTCACCAGTCTTCTGCTTCTTTCTAGGAATCTGAGGGAGTTCCTCCTCGCTAGGCTTGTCAGCGTCTCCAGACGTTTGACTGGTCAATGTAGGAACGAAGGATCCAGTGACGTCCTCGTCATTCGCCCAGGTCTTCGTCTTGGAGGGACGCTGCATCACAGAAAGATATTCCTGGAATTTAGGATCATCCTGAGTATCATCTCGCTTGCGTTTTAGATCATTCGAGTCAGATGAACGAGATTGCTTTCCATGCTTCCCAGTGGCAGTAGACTTTTCATTATTCTCTTGTGCCTGTCATAGAATTGGTCAGTTCCAGGACCATCTTGATCCGTCAGCTCGCACGGCATCGAGGGAAGCATGGGAAAGGATGTTATACAAACACTCACTGGGCGGGCAATCTCCACGGATATCTTGGACATCCTAATGTATGTCTTGTTAAAATAATCCACGGCTTGCTTTGCGATGGCAGCATCTTTGAAGCCCACAAAGCCAATCCCGCGTTTGGGAATGACATGGGCGTCGGTTACCTTAAACCGACTTCCAAAATGCTTTCCAAGATCTTGGCTGGAGAACGTTGGCGGAAGGCCAGACACAAACACCCTCGTACCCTCCATGGCTTCTTCCTCTGCTGAAGGGTTTGGTGGAAGAAGAGGGCAAAGCGAGGTTCGTCGGATTTTTTTTTCTGGTCTTTTTTTTGCAGCCGAGGGCGGTGAGAGCGTTCCAGAAGGGTCCGTGCACGGCTGGACCGCAACGCGATGGCCAAGGGAGGCGCGCGGCACGGCATCGAGTTTGGATGCATGTCGGATGTTTGTCAACTGTTTTCTGCACATTCCCGCCTGAAGTCGCCCGTCGCCTTCCCGAGAGAAAGGGTATCTGCTCGTGAAAAGCAACTATTTGAAGTTGTGCGTTTTCAAATTATAAAGGGGCAACATGGCTGCCGAAAAGAGGGAGAAGCTCGAGGGTAAGTTAGACAACCGGTCCGGTTGAAAACATCTCGCTGATCAATATGTCGCAGCCCAGATTAAGTCAGTAGACATGGTAGGTGCTCGATTCTTGCGAATGGTATTCCCTGAACAACCGCTTACTTGCATTCGAGACCGAGGATATGCAGCAGGAAGCGATTGAAGTTGGTATGGCCCTCTCACTGTCCAGGTGGGGTAGGAAACAAAGGAGCTGATTCCGCTAGCAACGGAGGCCATGGATAAATTTCACATTGAGAAGGTGAATATGGACGGATTCAACACTTTTGGGAGAAATACTGATCTCTCCGACAGGATATTGCTCAGTACATAAAGAAAGAGGTCTAAATCCCGCTTTTGTGTTGTAACCGATTTCGCCGGCTGACGTCTGCAACAGTTTGATTCTCGCAAAGGCCCAACATGGCACTGCATCGTTGGTCGGAACTTTGGCAGTTTTGTCACTCACGGTGCGTGAATTTGCGACGAGTATACGAGTTCTGCTCTGGCCCTAACTTGACTTGCAGAGACGAAACATTTCATCTACTTCTACCTCGGACACTGCGCAATCCTTCTCTTTAAAACGCAATGAACCATCTACCTTATGTGCCATCTGCACCATTCCGAAGCAGGCTTCTTACTTATCGGGTGGTAAGGGTCTTCAGGAGATTACATGTGGCGCATTTCTAGTATACCTTAGCAGCACTCGTCGATTCTCGTCCCTATACTCTGCTCAAATCTGGAGCAGATGACGCTTGATCTGGGTTGACAGACCGTCCAAATTGAGCGTGTCGAATGTTATTGTTCGTTGAAGCCATGGCCCGTCTTTCGTGCCTGTACAAAGCTTGTCATTGCATGCACTGTGGAGAACAGTCATGCTTCAGAAGCGATATGGCAATTTGAAGATGATTCTTTGAAAAAGTCAGGAATTCTCTGTTGTCACTCAATGATACCTGGATTGATTCTCAGCAATAATTTCGTTGCCTCTGCGGTTGTTCATTTTCTTTGTGGGAAATAAAGATGGGAAGGACAGGGCGCAATAGACACGATGTCGCCGAGGTTGGTGGACCGGGACATCTCCAGACCATAGATTTCAAGACATTCTCATTCCAGAGACCTGCAGAGGTCGAGAAAACGAGCCAGGATGTGTAGGGCTCCAGCGCCTCTAGCAACAGGTATCATCTAAGTTCAAGCCTTGGTGCAAAGGTTCAGAGATGAATGCCCAATTCAACTGCATTGGGAGGGTGGCTGTGGAGTGGATGGAAGCATGTGACAGGGCACACAACCGTGCCAAGCCACAGCGCCACACTCTCCACGCCAACGCACATCCCGTATATATGATTGGCAGCGCTTGGCCGCTGCTGCGATCTCCGTTTCACCCCCAGCAAGTAAAGTTGTCCCCGGAGGTCGTTCATTCTTCCTCCCATCTCTCTTAACTAGTATCTCCTGATCTATTCTCTGGATTTGGCTTGTTTTTGTTTGCGATAATTTCGAGTCACATCCAGATTCTCTAATTGGGCGATCAACCATGGCCATTTGCATCACGTTCGGGACCGAAGGTAAGCTAGCTGCCTAAGCTCCACATGTACTGTACCTAGTCCGGAGGTCGAGACAGTCTTGATATAGACCCAAGATGCAAGGCCGTTACGGCCCTGTAAGGAACATGGACTGATATGAATATCCAGAGTTTACATCGAGGCTGGAAGGCTACGAACATGTCAGAGCATATTGCCAAAATTGTGAGTGCAGTCCCACTCGTATCGATATGTATCGATAGAGGAACGAAGGGCCGCATTAACCTTTTGAACCGATCCACAGGTGAGCATTGGGACGCATATTGCATATCCAGATGGTATGTGTACTGTACATGGTTCTGATATTCTGCGTCGTTACCAGCTTCGTCTAACACGGTTGTATAGGCCTTGGTTTACTGTCTGCTTTATAGTATGCATTCTGCCACCTGCCAAGTTCTTACTATAGGATTTGCTTGTCGACTAACATTATTATCAGCCCGTGATTCCCTTGTCTACCCACAAATACAAGGTAAGGAACCTTTTTCAACTGCTAACAGTATTGTTCTTGACTGACCCTCTCCCAGGAAGTCACATGCGCTCGGTGTCATTTTACGCAGGACCTGAGGTAGAGATCCCATCCAGCAATATCTTCCGAGGCATATGACTGACCCAGCACCTCTTTGATCTGCAGTCTTCGCCCTGACATACAGCCATACGCTCCTCCTCCACCAGGACAAGGTCCGCCACCAGGACCAGGAGGCCCTTTCCCACCGCCGCAGAACTATCCGCCCCCTGTTGCCTCCGGGGCTAATCAAGGAGGGCCAGGTCCGGGAGGTTACGTGTATAAATAACAGGATACCAGTCGAAGGACGCATTCTGGACTTCTCGGGATTGTATTTGCAAGATTTCATCTCTAGATTGTTTCTTGACGTGTTTCTACTGCTTTGTTTGATTGATGATACCAAGTTATGAGGCGGCATCATGTATCTACGTAGACTTGACCTATATGTATCGCTGACGAATGGCATACCTATGCGAGGAAATTACCATGGAAGATATATATTATCCCAAACGTAATCCTCGTCAGACGACCGCTAGGCATGTTCATCCCGACGGAGATTATTATCATGCAAAGAATCCATCCAAGACGACTACGACTAGTACCTGCATACATGCACACCGAGGCATGAAGAAAAGTTCTGCTCGAAGAGGCTAGAGCTTGCGTAAGTACTGTCCTTGCACTTTGAAAGTCTTCTTTGATATTATTTCAGGTGTTTCACAGTAATTATTAATGCGATTATTTATTCCATTATCGAGTCTAATCAGAACTAATCTACAAGGGTATCATATCCAATATCAGAATGACCGAAAATCTCAAAAACACACATGTACAAACGTGCTTGGGAGTTATTATTGTGAGTCCTTGACGGAAAGCTTCTCGTCTGGAGTCCCCTCTCCAGCACTGTCGCTCGGCCTCGAATCCCCGTCCCGACCCTGCAGAGCGGCTTTCTTCTTGCCCATGATGTCGAGCAGCATGGCACGGATAGTGTGCACGATGCTGGCGCGGCCCTCGTACAGCGGGAAGACGATGACGCCAAACGCAGTGAAGAACAGCCAGATGAGGCCAACCACCACCCAGCCGGTGAAGAAGGGCTTGCTAAAGACGTAGCCCGAGCCGTACATGGGCATCGGCCACAGGATGAGGAGGCACAGAGTCATGACGACCGTCAACGTGCGCGCATAGAATGCCGCCTTGTTGAGCTTCTTCACTTCCTCCTCGGTCATGTCAGGCGGCGTCGTCTCACCCGGGATCATTTCCAGATCGACATGTGCGGCCGCTGCAACTTCCGAGTCGTCCACTCTGCGGATATTCCGCATCGACTCATAGTCATAATTCTGCGGTCCAAACACAAAGGTAAGGATAGGAATAAAGACAATCGGACTAAGCAAGGCAGCCACATTGCCGGCAAGCATGGGGTAGCTAAGACGTATTGTTAGCAGGGAAAGAAAAAAAATTCCAAGATGCAGGTGAAAACTTACTTCGCACCAGTCGTCGTGACATTCAACTCCCCGTACAGAGACTTTGCAGTAACAAGCCATGCAATCAGGGCTACAGCCAGACCCAGAGGTGGCGAGAAAGCTGCAGCAATCCAGTTCTGGCCCTTCCACAGCAGGGTCAAAGAGCCTGGAATCACAGCAGCCGAGATAATGACGCCCATCAGCAGATACAAATAACCCATCCCAATGCCTGCGTAATACAGACCAGTGGCAAAAGCTGCCATAATCAGAGCATAAACAATGCAGGCCACGTGAGAAATCCAGACGAGCCTCTTGCCCTTCGCGTCCGGCTGGATATAGGCCTGATAGATGTCGTATGTAAACACAGACGACACCGCAATCAGCTGAGCAGAGAAGGCCGAGGTGACAGCCATGAACACCATGAGAGTAGTCGCAACCGCTCCTCCATAACCCAACAGCTTCACAGCTGCATACGGCAAGACAAGACCAGCGGTGACATCTTGGGAGCTGAGGGTCTGGTCTCCCTGGAGGGACAAGGCTGTCAATCCCATAGTCGTCGCGCAGAGCCACGGAATCGCAAACCACGAGAGACCGCCGAGGACATAGCCTGGGAAAGCGTGAACGGGGCTTGCCGCAATAGCTTTGTTGTAGTAGCCGTTGTCAAGGAACACGGTCCCAAAGTTTCCGATGAGGTTGATGACAAAGAAAATTCCTCCCCCACGAGACTTCATGGTGAGATAGCTTCCTTCCGAGTTGCCAGAAACTGGATTGGCTCGGGCAGCTGCCGTCAGGATATCATAGACCTTGCCCGGAGAACCCAGCTGGTCGCTGATCGCATAAGTGTTGAATGCGAAGACGAAAATGATGACAACAATGACGATTGTGTGCAGGTAATCGGTGATGAAGGTTGCCTTAATTCCACCAAACACCGTGTAGAGGACAACACCGATTGGAAGGAGGAAACAGGCTGCAGCTGTGTGCATTCCAGTCAGGGAGGTCAGCACGGCCGAACCGCCGGTGAGCAGCATCGCTGTCACGAGAATGTTGGTCATCAAGCAGAAGACAATGAAAACACAATGCACGACGGTTCCATAACGAGCACGGATAACCTCGAGGAAAGTATGCGCATTGGGAGCACGCCTCTTCAACTCGATGGCTAAGGTTGCAAAAAGGAGGATTTGAACGGTGGCGCCTGACGTGAATGATTAGCCTTCTGGAACACTCCTTCCATGCACTCTTCTTGTGAGATCCGTACCCGATGCGTAGTAGAAGGGACCGGAAACCCCGTACTCATATGCCACCGTAGATGACTGCAGAAGTGTCGCTGCCCAGGTCCAGCTGCTAACCACTGCAGATGCCACCAATCCTGACTTGACCGTCCTTCCGGCGGTGGAGAACATTTCCGATGTCTGGACTTCATGCTGGTATCTATCGAAAGGATTAGCTGAAATCAGGAAAATATGTGTATGTTTAGCGAAGCCAACGGAAGCATGCACCTACCTTTTCAATGCCCAGGTGATGAAGATCATCAACAGCGCAAAAGCAAACCCTAAGCCAACGACGATTCCATATCCAAAGCTCTGGCTCAAGGGAACCGTGAAATGAGCCTCACCGGAGGCCATGATTCAACCGTCAGGTAGAGTAGATCGGTTACCGCAACGACCAGAAGAAGACGGCTTGATTAGGACCTGATGCCAACAGCTTCCCTCTCTGCAGCTGGTCGAAAGGACCTGGTGGTCTTCTTGCCTATCGATATAACAGCAAAGGAAAGGCAAGATCCTAGTTCATATAGGCGCTTCCTACTCCCGTGTAGGGCTGGAACAATCTCCGACATCGCAGCCATTGCGCTAACTTGACGTCTTGCTTCCTAATGATGGGTTGGAAGGAACGTTTTAGCCCGCAGATACGAAATGCTCCGAACCATGAACGAAACCCGTTTCGGTTTGATAAGGGACGACATGGTCTTTCTGTTCGTAATTGCCATCGGGTCATCACCCAGGGTTTGAGGACCCCCACGGCAGGTCAAGAGCTCCCCACAGGGCGCGCGGAGCTCCAATGCCATTATCCCCGCTCCAGCTATTCGACTATTGATGGCGGGAGACGCAGATCTCCGAATTCAAAAGATAGCCATGCCGCGGTGGTTGCGACTGTTTGCCTGGAAGAGTATTCCGCTGCGACGCTCTCATTGGTCCGCCAGACCCTTGATCGCGTCCTTATCAGCGAGACATGTCACGTGATGTACTGTATCTCTTTGCCGCGCGTGCTGATTGGCGCCCCAAGCCCAAGGCCAGAGATAAGAGATAACCGCCGCCCTCGCGCCGTGGAAACAGTGACCAAATCTTTTCTGACAATTGAGCCTCGCCTCGAGTCCGATGGACAGGGATATCTCGGGCTCCTAGGTTGAATGGCGACCCGAATCTCTGTGGGTCGCCCCGGGATTAATACTGGCAGAAGCCCAAGATAGCAGGTCAATACTCCGGAGTAGTCCGTACTCTGCAGTGATAAACGACGACGTTCTTGTTGGTTAACCCCACGACTCATATATTCTAGCTTTGGTCATCATGGTGATCCCGGGAGTTCTCTTAATCGATCCTGGAAGGAAGTCTGCTCAGCGCTCGTGGGTCCAAGTTCCAAGAAGCTGGATCCGTCGATCTACAGATCGTCGGGCTGACTGAGTGTCTTATACGGAGTTACTCAGGTCCCTGACAGTGTAATTGTCGGCCGAGTTCACATCTGACCTTCTGCGGGCCAGGCTTGCTGTGTCCACATCACATTAATGTCATCATATGCAGGATTCCAGGTTGGAAGGCGGGGGCGGCAGTGAAGGACCAAACATGAGTACTGTAGAATCTCAGAGATAAGACCGTCCATGGTTCTTGGAGCAATGGTTTCTTACCAAGGTAGCCCTTCCAGAGAACATTATGTGGTTAACAACATGATTATCAAGATGGTCTTGATCGAACCTTGAATCAGTTCAAGAGGCAAGACTCACAAACGAATCCGCAAGGGAGACACCTGTGTGATGAATATTGCTCAGTTGCCTGTTCCTATCAGACACACATGGAACAAGCGAGAATTGGTGTGATGATAATATGCTTCTTGTTTACCGGCCGTTTGAATATTGTGGTGGTAATTAATATAATACACCTCTGTTGCACATCTTCACTACTGCAGCAATAACAAGCAACACAAAAAAAAGAAACCGACAACCATATAGGAAAATTCGATCGGGACACCCATCCAGCCAATATTCTGCATTTCCAAGGTTTCGCATTGATTTAGGATTAAGCGGTACACGAGAGGGTATAGGAGGTACGTAGAGAAGACGAGGTGTTTATCGCCTCCGACAAAGCCAGACATGATTTTCGAGATATGCGAGTTCTAACGATGTGGAGTGATATGAGCCAAGAGGGAATTAACATCTCTCTTGGTGATGTCAAGTCCGCGACAGTAGATTCTCAATAAATCACAACCAACCACTGCAGGATCGGTTGATAAAGCAGGCCGCGCCTATGAAGAGAACTTGCGGGTAATCTTGGCGATAACTGTACAACAAAATACATTAGTCTTCACAGCTCTCTCGACCTCATCCATCATCTCCAATCCGTAAATGCCTCACTTACCGTGCAAGCCGACGACGGAGAAGATGAAGCCCAGACTCAGCACCAGGACCACCACCGGGTCGACCCTCAGGCCAGGGCTCTCGTCAGTGTAAAGTTTGAGCATAGTGCCCGAGGAGCCACCGGCACCCGCAGCGCGAGTTGAAGACGGTCGCGCATTGCGCAAGGATTCCTTGTGGTCTGCAGCAGCGCGGCGACGCAGGGCAGTTCGTGGACCGCCAGGAGGCGTTGGCGACGAAGGACGGCTCAGGGAAGACCCAGAAGCGCCAGAAGCTCCAGCTCCAGAACTAGGGGATTTGGTCTCGGGTCCGGACTCAGCGCCGGAGGTCAGGGGAGAAGACGCACGCGGTGATGCCTAATCACAGGTTGAATCAAGTTAATGGCCAATATCCATACGACGAATTATTCGACTGAAAGACGACGATTCAAGCTCTTGTCGCCCAGGGACCTTCGCAGGCGACCGTATCTGCTGCAGTAGACCCAACTCACCATTGTGACAGAAACGCAATGAAACTCAGAAAATCGAAAGGAGCGACAGCAAAATTGAAAATCGCAAAAGCTTTTAATAAAATTAAAAGAGGTGAAGACGAAGAAGATGGAGGAAATAGCTGGGGTGGAGGTCGAAACTGCGGAGGAGAGGTTCGAGGAAGTCGCCAAAAAGGCCACGGGTCACGCTTCCCGGATTCTCTAGTATCTCATGGATCGGGTTCCAGCCGCTAACCAATATAACGCGGGAACCCCAGATCGCCCCTTAGACATAAATTATGGCTCAACTACAATGAAGCTCTGCTGCACTAGAGTAGATATACTTCAAAAATGGAAGGTTAATGAATTGTACATTTGTTTTTTTAATAATTAAGTTATTCTCACATCTGAACCTACTGACAGGCTGGAAATTAGGCCAAATCTGGATGACGCCAGAGTACATGTGTCACTACATACACTCCAGACTCAAGGAAGGTCATTAGGGGGGAGAAAAAGAAATAAAAAACGAGACTGACAAGAATTCCAGGGTAATGTAAGAAGCGTCTCCTGATCAACGCCGTGGAACACCGTCAAAAGAAACCAATAATCGACGGACAAATCTCGTCGCAACAATGGTGACAGATGCAGACGTAACAAAACAATGTCATCAAGAAGGAGGGAATATGGAAAATGGTGGTATCATGGAGGACTTAATCCCAGCACGTCTTAAATTGGTGACTCAGTCGCCAAGATGGAGGGATTCTATCTGCAAATATTCAGGGGTATATGTACGGTGTAATTTTGTTGTCCAATGGTGGATCTTTTGAACAAAAAAACAAACAGGATCCTGCCGCCCTAATCGATCATCATACGGGTCGGCATTCCACCGGGCATCTTGGAGCTAAGCTCGGTGGACTTCTCCCCATCCGGGGTCCTCTTCTTGCAGATGTGAGGCTTAAGGCCCCTGTGGAAATTGTGTGTGCACATGCAGGCATTTATGATGGTCATGACGATGAGAATGAGAGTGATCACAGCGAAGAAGGTCAGAGACCGGCGGGCAGGGAGATATTCGTAGAATTTCGAAGGCTGGTACATCCGTACGAGCTTGAAGAGGAAGTAGGCCATGGCACCGAAATAGAGAAGCTGAAAGATGTGAGTATTTTCCAGTGGAAGTAGGGGAAAAGGGAATACAGGGATCGACGTACAATGATGATGATCATGCCGAATGTATTCTCACGTCGAGTGAAGATAGCCGCGAAGACCAGAATGATGATGGTCACGGGAATAGCAGCAAGAGTCAAGGCAAACTCGACGTCCGTCTTCCCTGTCACGATGACCACGAATTGAACCGTAAATCCAAGGAAGAAGAAGAAATCGAATTTCAAAAGGGCGATGTAGATCTGGTATTGTCAAGTCAGAGACATGGGAACATGAAATTCTGAAAGTGGGAAGATGGAGAACAAACCTGGTACGTGAGGTACCGCCGTTTCATGCGCAGATCGGCGCTGATGTGCTTGTAAATCGTCCAGGCAAACTCATCATACAACTTCCAGGCCGCAAAGATCATGAGAACAGAACCCAAGGCCAGAATGCAGGGAATCGCGATCAAAAATGGTTTGGTCTGCCGCCAGATATCCTTGTTGATCGCATCGTTGACCATTAGAACCTCCACAGCATCCTGGATTTGCTCAATCTGCACGGCGCCATAGATCAGCAGGCCAATGTTGCAGATGCAGATCCCGATGACCTGGATGGTGTTCTTCAGCCGTAGAGCATCGTAAACCAAGACCAGCTCGTATATGAAGCCGAAGATGTAAAGCGAGAGGAAGGTGGGGATGGTTTTGGACGAGCTGACGTTGTCTGCGATCGGGTTGAGCTGGATCTGGAAGTTGGCGAAAACATAACTATCCCCACAGTCAGCAGACTGCCGCACTCGACTCAATAAACCAACGGAGAGAACTCACGATTCCAGAGTCAGGATGACAGCAGACTGGATGGCCGAGATGATCACGAAGAACCAGGACCACCGTGAATTCGGGATATACATCTTGCGTGGTTTCGACGACACAGGCGTATAGCCTTCCCTTGACCGAAAGGCACCGGCAGAAGGTCGAAAGGCAGGGTCAAAAGACCCCCCCAAAAGAGAGGACCGAGACTGTGAGGAGTAAATTTTGGCGAATTTGCTCCGTTACGGAGCTATACCCGGGGGCGGCACAAGAGGCAATGATGACGGCGTACCCACCAGATATCTGGTGGGATAGGCACGAGGGTGCAGTATCGTAAAGAGCGGAGGGCGGTCTCGAGCTTCTGAAGGCGACTTCAAGACAAGAAATTCACGATGTTGTAAGTAGACCTCTGTTGACCTGGACGAACCGGTGACCTCCCGAGAGTCCTAAGAACGACGCTGGTTTCTCCCCGTAACAACCAGAACTGACAGCACCCTGCACAAGACTGGCTGACACTAAGCGATGATAACGTCTGGTAGATAAGAGACGCAGAGGCGGTGGTGCTGGCGTTGATCACGGTGGATGGGACAGGTGACCTCAGGCCAGCGGGGAAGAAATTTGAGAGGACCTAATCTTGGGGGCCAGTGTTTGGAAGCGGGCTTCCTTGGATGGAAAAACGAACGAATCACGTCTGTCTCACGAGGAGGCAGACCATGGAGATGGCATCTGTCAAGATGGAAGCGGGTTTCGATGGATGAGATCAAACAGGAGACGGAAGACAAAAACGAGAGACGACGGTAGGTTTGAGGATCACAAGGCTGCGCAATCGACCCGACCGGGCTGACAGGCTTGGTTGGAACTTGGGGGGGTCCGGGGGTGCTCTGGCCGGGCGCGAGCGACACTGGGCGATATTATTATTGTCACCGTTACCTTACAGGCTTCCCCCGAGGCTTGTTCCTCGTATTACGATCTCCTGAGTCCAGGCATTCGTGGATCCCACACTCTAGGCTGTTCACCACTGGTTATTTTTGACTGCTGCGACGGCCTACAGACCAACAGCCATGGATTACGGATTGTGCTGGCCAACGTACGGTCCTGGGCTCGGCTGTCCCGCGGGTGTTCTCCATACTCGGGGGCAGGTAATAATACGGCCAACTCTGGCCCGCGGTATTATTGCTCCCTTTTCGCGTTAGGAGGCTGCTGTGATTTGCGACGTCGTTGCTGTCTTCTCCAGCAGCGTGGTGGCCAGTGGGGCGCTGGACGCACTAGGCTTGGGTCAGGCACGCCAGACGGTTAAAATCCAAAGAAAATTCTTGACGGCGGCCACCCAAACAGTGCGGACGCGTGCCAAGAGTCGATTGGTACGAGGATGTTTCAGGCTCCAAACGGCAGCCAGCAGTTTGTGGCAAGATGTCTGCTGTCGGCTGACCGGGAGCTATGCTGCCCGCTGCATATGGCAGCCATGATCCCAGGCTCGCAGCTGTTCCTTATGCGCAGTGATAGGGCAGTACAGAGGACAGATTGTTTGGTCGACGCGCAGGTACGGGGGGTGCAGGGCATGCAGCGGAGACGAACGATCCGGGAGAACGGTCGGGACTCAGTGTTGCTAATTCTAGCCTCCAGTGGAGTCCTCAGCTGCCAGGAGATTGGTCTCCTCCTGTCATGGATATTAATCATTTTAACCGCAGCCCTCCCGTGAGCATTCGAGAGGTTCTGGCCACCCACCAGAACGCTCTGAACCGTGGTTGACATTCACATCCCGCTAATCCAGAATCCGTCAACAGTGGCTTGTGGCTGTGCGACCGCCTGCTGTGCTATGCCCCGGAGACCGTAGGGCCCTAACCTAGTCCGTGTTGTCCATGTAACTTCCCATCATGCGCTAGGACGTATCAGGTCGGGATCGAGTCCGTCCTGACGTCTTGTGTTCCGTCCGAGAGTTCCTGTTTGACCATAGCTGAGAATGGCTACATCGACTGAGAAGCGGTGAGATGCATCTCTAGAGAATCAACTCACCTCCGCCAAGACGTATCACAAGCGTCAGAAGATGAAAAAGTCATGCAGAATGCTGCCAGTACGGAGTAGGTGATAGTTGGCAATGGAGATCTGTTGTGTAAAGAAACCAGGCAATGGGAGTCGGCTACGGAGTAAATGCCACAATTGTCGTAAAAGCGGTTAATGATATACGGAGTAACATACTCCGTACAGGTTACACGATCGAGCAATGTCCGTCTTCATGGCATTCTATTCACTTAGAATTCGTAGGTCAGACATATTGTATTGGGAAATTGAAAAATTCAATTCTTCAATGTCTATCAAGAACAGGCCCGGAGTTACTCCGCACATAGTAATCAGATGCTGGGGAACTTAGGTCTCGTACCCTCGCCACGTGGAGTCGTGGACAGACATGGCTTGAGTTTCAGCCCTGTTCTCCAGAGTATCTAGCAGCTATTGGACTGTATATCTAGGATTTCCTTATCGCAAGAGCAGTCTCACTGCAGTTTAAACTGAGTCCACGCGCATGGGCCAAGGACAGACGTATCTTGTCGTACACACTCCATACCCCCTGATGCTAAAGCGTACCTACCTGGTAAACAACAATGAGTCAGCAACAAACGACTCTGTGAGCCCCGTGACTCAAAGAGCCCATCTCACCCAATCAGATTTCGTTGTAGCCACGCTTACATAACAGAAGGCGGTGGAACGTGGCAGAAACATCCCACCTCGCAAAAATAAAAGTTCCCTCGAAAATTCCCACATCCTTGCTCCTTTCTCTCTCCAAGCGTCGCCCCCTTCAATGCTGCGTTTCTTTGCTACGAACGACAGAAGAGCTGCTGGTCTCTTAACCAGCAGCTCACGCTGTCTCCCGCTACTGTGTCCCTGACACAGTCGGGAATTATGCAAATGAGAAATTCGGAGGAATCTTCACACCCCAGCAATCCGCCCTTCACCTTCCGTCCCTCTTGTCGGAGGGCGAAGATGGAGGGCCGGTACTGCCCGTGAGGGTCCGGCGCGATAGGTAGCGCCCGCGATTGGCATCAGAAACATCGGGGCGATTCGTCCCTTCGGGGGCGTTTCGGTTTCCCCATGGGAGAGCCGTCGCGAAGATTGTGTGTGCGTGCATGTTCACGCATGCCGCATGACACTTTAGTGCAATACGCAGCATGCCTTCTCCGCCAGACCGCCCATCTTCATAAGGTCTGGAGGACGGTATCATTCGATTCCGATTATTCTGTTGGGGGCGACGCTTCACATCTTTTTCTCTTCTGTGAGTTTGCCACCCAGGCCTTGTGTCCTTTTGTCTGACTGGAAAGAACGTACTCGTTGGGGGATACTGCTAATTCAGAAAAACCTGTCGCCGCGAGATTTGGACTTTTCTCCTGTAGGAGTATACCTAGTTTTCCGGAGTGGACGAACGATAGAATTGACGGATACGGTGCTCTTCGATAATGAGGTGATACCATTCTCGGCTTTACGTTGTGAAGGAATGTATGGGCCTGGTGGTATACTCCATTCTGGAGTCAATTTGGAGTATATTGTGCAGTTATGGCTAGTGAAAATGAAATGCAGTTTTTCTTCCAAAAGATTTCCGTTCTAAAAAGATTATTAGTCAACACGATCTGCTACTTTGGAAGTCAATATAATGCATTTCATGTCATTCGCTAAGAATTCCATTAGTATGCCCATAAAAAGAAATTCTGCGACACCGCCCATCGAAGTTATAATAGAAATTATTTCGTCTGGAAATCCCACCCCTCCAGGCCAGTACACCAAAACCATTTTTTGACTTTAGTGTAAAAATGAACGATAGTAAATCGTCTTAATATCGTCGACCGTACGGTCCTTCCTATTTCACCGACTATCACAACCTTACTCCTCTTCTCCGATCTATAACAAAGACATCATGTCAGTAACGGAAATGCCTGAAACAGAAGAATCATATGACATACCTTCGGAGCGAGGAAGAATCTCAGGTGACCACTGCCCAAGGGGTACTCGACCCGCAGAGGTACCTCCTGGGAGAGGCACAGTTGGACCTTGGTGGACAAACTGGTAGCTTTGCAGAAGTTGACGAGGTATTTGAGAGAGAAAGTAAGAGCCACAGGCTCCGTAAGCTGGATCGTAACATTTTGGTCGGGTTTCTCGACATTCGTGTGCGGGCGGACAGTCACAGAGCCACTGCCAATGTCGCCCTGGCATGAGAACCTGATTCCGTCTTTGGTCGCCTCGATCACAACTGTGGCGGTTCAACCAGAGTCAGTCTGCGCGGCAAGGCTCATTTGTCGCTTGGAGTATACGGACCAGATTCGGACAGAGCATTCAGATCTCTACAGATCCGCTGGAACTCCGCGGACGGCATCTCAACGGTGGCGGAGTACTCAGTCTCTGGGATGGCCAAATGCTCCTGGTCGATATCCATGAGCTTAATGTCGTATTCGCTGATTCGGTCCGTCTCTGAGCTCTCGAACATGAGATTGACCACATCAGGCGAGTCCTCAGCTTTCAAAGTCAAGACATCTTCGTTCTGGGCTGCACGAAGGACCTTGGTCAGGGAGACCAGGTTGATACCCAGAGCGAGGTTACGGTCACAGCGGTATGGAGAGAACCCTTCAGCCTTCAGCATCATCGACACGAGAGCAACATGGGAGTTGTCCATGGCCTGTAGGGCAATCCCCGAGTCGTTGCAATCGAAATTGCAATCCTGCACGAGGTCCTTGATCGCATCGACGATCTGTGATGGAGAGCCATGCCTGTCAGTAAGTTCGCCAACACAGCTGCAATTTAAAGAGGTTGCGTACCTTTTTAAGAAGGGCTGCCTGCTCTAACCGTGCTTCCAACACTATGAACTAAGTTAGAAATGCCCAAAGACGGGGGAATGGTCTTAAGAGTCTTACTCTTGATGTGTATGCACCGGGAAAACGAAGAAAAGAATGACGGAGATCCAGGGAGGATAAAGAAAGAACGGGAAGTCAAAGTATACAATTACCTAGGGAGTTCTGTGCCCAGGTAGAGGAACGTAGTGATTAAGTCTTTGAAATGAAGTTGATTTGAGCAGGAAGAAGGCAATTAACTGTGTGGTCGTGTCAGTCTTGGGGGAGAAGCGACCGAGGGGCGCGTATGGTGGGGAAGCACGCGCTTCGCGTAGCTATGAAACCATCTCGGGCTTAGCGCAGCTTTCACTTTGTCCTCCGCGCATCTAATCCTGCCTCGCGTCTAGGAACTATAACGGCAGCTGGGGAATGCGACCATAGAACCTCTCAGCTGAGTCTGGGACCTTCTACAAGGAATGAGAGGCCTAGATCTTCAGTAGTCACAGTAATTGCTACTACTGTTTTAACATAACAGGCAATCGCCTCCCAATAGGAAGCGTTAAAGATGGACAGTACAATAGCTAAAATATTTCAAATTACTAATATTATAAGAAAAATAATGGCCATTCGTGGGCCTTATAATAATATATAATAATAATACAGCAAAATGAGCTAGAACCACAGTTGCGAATCTCCCAGGAGTAACACGAAGATATACAGCAAGATCAGTGTTCAAGGAATTGGTGCACCCAAGATCAGTCCCGCAACGCCCGCTCCCATATACACACAATATGCTGATAAATATAGACAAACAGAAGATCTTGTATCAGTTGATCGATGCAGATAATATCCGTGGACTTTTCGGTAATTATCGGGTTGACGGATGAACGGCGATATTTCGAGTCCACCCGCGAACGACGCATCAGATGCTCGTAATCCTCGGCGTCTTGTTTGCTCGCGGACGGTGTTTGATGACTGTTTCGAGCTCTCTCAACATGTTGGTATTCGCGTCGGCTCTCTCTCGTGCTGCAGCTTGCCTGGCTCGCTCTTCTTTCATCCGTGCGATGCGCTCCTCCCGAGTCAGCGAACTCCGCTTTCTAGAGGAAGGCATGACGACGGCCTCGAATATCTCTTCCTCATCCACTTCATTATCTGGGTTCACAGGAGGCTGTTCCTCGCCATTCAAGACTTTGAGAGCGGCGCTGGGGCTTCCGTCCACCGCCGTGTCACCGCTGAAAGAAGAGGACAAAGGCGACTTGAAATCACTCGACGCGCGTGACAAACGATCAGATCCTCCCGGTTGCTCGAGGCAGCTCAATAACGCAGACTTGCCGGCCTCCCATTCCTGCAACAATCCTCGAATGTCCGCTCCGATGGACTCGTATTGCGCCATTAGCGTAGCCCCGAGATCTTGTTCATTCCCGGCTCGCTCAAGACTAGCATCCGATTCCTCGCGTAGCACATGCATCTTTGCATGAAGAGCACGAATCCCTTGAGATAGTGAGTTGAGTCTCCGGAATTGTGCGCGGAGAGAATCCCTTCCTGGAGATGCAGATGGCAATGGTGATGGAGGGATAACCTCGCCTGAGAAAATTAGCAACAGCCACAACACAAGGATCAAGGCTCTTACGATCTTGTTCGCTCAAAATATTGGTCATCTTCTTGATGTTATCACCCGTAATGACAGCGAGATCCCGCATTTCTTCGACAGCAGTGCTCCAGGTTGTGATGTCTGAACCACTGCCATCTGCACTAAGAGCCAACAGGCAGCACAAAACGCTCTTCCTCACAGTATAAAGCTTCCCAAAGAGGGTGCGAAGGGCTCGTAATGAGTATTGATCCTCCGTCCCTCGCTCAGCCAATGTGGATTCAGCCTCATAGAGCTCCTCCGTGGATATCTCGTAGATGTCGTAGTATTTCTCCAGATTGGCGGTATCTGCGAGCGAGCGGATGGTCTTCTGCGCTTGAACATATCGTTCCAGAAGAGTAAATAGACATTCAGAGACGGTACGACGTAGCCTCATGCATCGGCGAATCTGCGAAGTACTCTCCTCCAAGCGGCTGATAGGGGGCAAAGGCGTGCTTCTGTTTTAAAAGTCAATCAAGTATTAGACAACAGAAAGGAGGTGGACTGACATTCTATAGCCTCTTGAAACAAGTTCCACTTCTTGAATAAACATCACTGACGCTGATGCAGCTGAATCAAAGCTCTGCGCGTTGCCAATGAAGAAAGACGCTGCTTGGACCGCCTGATGTCTCACAAACTTGAGCCACTGACGTCTTGCGAAGGCGTAGAAGATGGCTCCGATCAGAGGTAACAGAATTAGGAGGACTATTGCTCTTCGTGGGTTGAGCCCTGGCCCGGTCCGCGATCGGCTCCAGTGGATTAGCCAGGCGATCGAGAATGAGGTGGCAGCAGTGACAATGGCCCCCTTTGGGCCAAATGTCGCTGAAAAAGATGGTGGCTCCTTAACCTGTGCGTTCGACAAGACATCGGTGGCGGAGGTGTAAGAGGGGGCATTGTGCTCGTTCAGAAGTTGTGATGCGACGATGACATAACCGAATTGTTCCAAAAACCTCTCGTTGTCGCTTTGTCCGATCCGGGAGCTGACAGCGACCTGCAACAGATTCCGGTCAGAGAAGTCAACCTCGCAAGCATATGCAGCATCCAGTCCCCTACCGAGCATGCATCACGGATCTTGCCCAAAGTACCTCCTCTCCGCAAGGTATTGAGTTCCAACGGTGCTGGTAGTTTCTTCCGGATGCGATCTTGGAATGTAGATGCCCCACGAGGGGCGAAATTCGGGGGAGGACTTGGAGGTTCTTCATCACGATCCTGCTGGGGTGTCCAATCCTGACCACGTTCGCCTTCCCCTATACCGTTCGACAGTATCAGTACCCCTATCTCTGCCAGCACCGTCCCGTATATGTAAGGTACCTTCGAGATAGTCCGCCAGAGGCGAGTCTTTATAAACCAGAGATTCCATCGCCGGCGGGCATGGGTATATCTTCTTTCTGGAGTGCCGAGAGACGTCACTTATTCGCCGTAATGTTGCATAGCAATGAATCGTTGGGAAGCAGGACAAAATGGACGAGGAGAAAGCGACGAGACAATGGCCACAATCAGTCCATTGCTCGTAGAGATTTAGAGAGAGGAAATCGGTGGCTTGGGTCCTGAAGGCAATACCGCGAGTTAGCATTCCACGGTACCTCATGGATCGAGATCGCTCCTCACCAGTCACCCCGGTGCACTAGACGCTGCAATCTAGCTCTCGGGAGACAAGATCCCCGAACGGAGACAGCAAAGATAAAAGAAAGACCCCTTTATTTTTTTCAATCTTATTGAAAATCCGGCTCCAGCGCGCTGCCTTGGGGCTGTCTCGGTTTCATTTGCCTTTGCCTTGTGGTGAGCAATGTAGCCACGTGCGGCAGGCGAATCAACGGCACCGTTAGCCGCCCGCCCCCTTAATCGATCTCAGTTGACCAGGGAGGCACACGACCCTCTGCCGCAAGAGTCAGCAGTCCCTGACTGACTATCGACTCACCACCCGCATGGAAGGTCGCCTTCCTTGCTTTCGATCTGCTGCGTGGTTGCCACATTGGATGGTCACTTGATCGTCTCGACCAATTATTCGGAGATAATTGCAACACTTCTGCAAGATAAGCTTCAGTACTGTTGTAGGCCCTTGCGTCGACGCTTCCTTAACCGCCTTCAACACCTATGTGGTCACAGCGATCCTTGCTCCTGCATGCCAGTATGTCATCCGTCGGTGGGACCTGGAATATGAGCGTTTTTCATAGGGCACCAGTGAGATGGTAACGGGGTCTGGATATCCTGTCAGGATTGGAAGATATACAACATTAAACAGTGTCAAGATCGCCTCTTTATATGGCAGTGAAAAGTCGGTGTGATCTGATCTGGCAAGACAACGCCAAGTTCCAGTGCTGATCAATGCAGAATCTACCATTATCTGTAAAGTGTGACTGACGCTTTATGAGACTTATAGACAGTCTTTGGCCTGGCTAAGACTTCAAGGCCATCCACTTCTCAGCGCTAGATCTCTGTAGATCAACTACAATTTGTTCTCCCAGAATACTTCAAGCGTTGAACAACTACGCCATTGAGAGATACTCCGTAGTCTCTGATTGGGAGGAAGTTATCTACTTAATTTCCCTTAATGCCTGGGGCTTCTAGGAGGTGGACTTGTTCATGGTGAACAAACACCACATGGAACAGTACCTAATCCATTGGCAGGCTCCTGTATCCGGTGTTTGAAGCGCGCCAAAGCTGAGAACGATGAGATATTATCCTCCGACCTGATGGATTTGGCCATGATCCTTGTTTCCAGGGACAGTTTAGCTGGTCTGTCCGCGGTGCAGCGGGGCGAAGGGCGCCCCAGACGCGTTGCGCTGGCAACGGCCTGGAAGTAAACAGTGCTCGTCCCACGCTCTGACATTATTATCGTTATCACACGCAACTTCAGACTGCAAAACAGGCTTAAAATAGCATCTGTGCTTGACAGATTGGAATCCAGAGGCTATTTCAAGACCTGTATAGCAGCGTGCTTTTTTTATCCTGGTCGATTTTATTACTCTACGAGAAGACCGTGCTGGGAAGAATTGTCCCCTCTATGAGCTTCTCTTTGGGTTTGATGGAGCACTAAGGCAACCAGTTGAGGATCACACTGTTCAGGCAAGATCATGAACCGAATTTACGAAGTCGAGAGTCCGTGTCCGCCAGACCCAAGATTTTCAAAATCCGGACGAAGCAGCGACGATAATCACGCTTTAGCAGATCTGTGGGATACCAGTTTCGATGATTTCGAAGACACAGCCGCGGTGGAGTTCACAACCGAAATACGCGCTCCCTTGCTCACAGCAACGAAACCTCGACGTGTCAGGAAAGGGACTTCGTTCCAAATCCATGAAGATGGAAAGCCTGACGTTGCACCGACGGCGGATGCAAATCCAAGACTAAACAACGGAGTAAAGAGAAAGAAATTAGATGGAAAATCAACAATGCTTGCTCAGCCGGCTCAGCGATTTCAGCGTCCGAGAGTCAGCTTTGCTGTGAAATCGCCTCATGAAGTACCCACAAAAGACCGACGGTCCAGCTCCAGATCGGAGCAGGAGAGTATCACGACCAGGGATGAAAATAACTCGTCGATAATACAAGAGAAAGAGTTGAAAGCTAAGGAGTCGAAGGAGGACAACTTGAAGAAAGATGTCCGCCGCCGAACGATATACATTCCCTCGGAGGATACGACTATGCCTACTGTTTTCATGAGCCTTTTCAGTCCTTTGAAATCCCAAGATCCAAACACGATCAATACCTCTGGTTCAGACGAAACTGTACCGATAAACAGTCTCGAGGCCCGTATCGCGGCAAAGCGACAAGCAAGAACATCCCTCGCGGCCGCACCACGACGAGCGCCGCTACAGCAGAAACCCAAGGTTACTCAAGAAACAACGCTAAGTCGAGATGTCGTTGGCAAGAATGGAGGGAAGGAAAATATACCACCTGGCTATCTTCTGACCAGTGACAAGGGCAAAGAGGATAAAGATACCTTCCCGGTTTTCGAGGTTCCGGCGAAGAACATTTCGAAAACGAGCGTGCCAAAGAATGTGTCAAAGGACAAAGTTGCTCTCGCGAGTCGCAAAAATCTCCTTACAGTGCCTGAGAATAAAAAGACTGTGTCTAAGGCCATCGGTCAGAAATCGTTAGAGATGATGATGTCAAGTGTCAATTCTAAAAGTGCAAGTTCGACATCATTAAAGGATGCGAAAAAGAGCACTGTGAAGCCCAAGGTGGTTTCCAAGGATGTCTCTCGCAATTCCAGAAGCTCAAATTCAAATGCGGGAAATGCTCCTACCAAACTTTCTGTTCCCAAGATCCCCAGCGTGAATATCGATCAGAAGTATCCTTTACTTACTGATGATATCTCAAACCCGATCATGTACGAAGACAATTGGCTTTCTCACCAGGAAGTTGTCATCACCCAGTTGGTCAACGGTCTCTTCGACTCCGCTTGTGGCAAGTTGGATTCCAGAGATCCGGAGGTTCTCAGACATGAGCTACTTGGAATTTATCAAGACAATTCGTTTGTTTTACTCTACAAGCGACTGCATGCATCTCTTTTATACGGTGCTCTGGCGGTCCCCAAAGATGTGCTCGCTCGAGGAAACAGACTCGGTGAAGACCTTGGCATGAAACGCACTTTCTTGAACTTCTGGGTGGAAACATATGACCTACACGCCCTGAGGGCTGCGGCAGAAACAGTGATAGGCCGCAGGATATCCAATCCTTTGCGGTTATCGAACGATGGCCGTGTGTCGCCAGATCAACAACTCAGACAACAGAAGACGCTTAAACGGGCGCTGGAGGCATTTTTAGACATTTTTCTTATCCGCAATGAGGATAGGGAGCGCGGGACAACCGAAGAGACTAGCGTTGCTGGTTGGGGATATCGACGGACAATCCTTCGAAGTATTTTGATGATTGTCCTCCTTGACAAAGGCCGCCTCTCTCCTCAAAGCTCACTACCACGGTGCCTTTTTGTTCCTTCGTCGCGGTACAAGTCATCCACCGCGGCTCTTCAAGCCCTGGGCAATCAGCTGCTCCCTTCTGTTGGAGATATTACGCGACCCCTGGGTCATCTAGATTGTCAAGTCTCCTACAAGCAGCATCCGCTGCAGGAGTATGAATTCCAGATCAATAACCTCGCCGTGGATTTGCGTGACGGTGTGCTGCTTACCAGACTGGTAGAATTATTGCTTTACCCTTCCACTTCGTGCTTTCAGTCCGGTCAAGACGATTCGGATGCATCAAACACTTTGACCATGCCTACGGGGGAGGTTCTTCCTCTGAAACGGGAAGAAACTGATTGGCCACTGTCACAGCACTTGAAATTCCCTTGTTCAGGCCGGGCCACCAAGCTCTTCAATGTCCAGATCGCGTTGAGTGCGTTGCGTGGAGTCCAGGGCATCGGAATCATTGCCCAGGATGTCCGTCCCGAAGACATTGTAGATGGATACCGTGAAAAGACCATTGCCTTGTTATGGGGTCTAGTTGGGAAATGGGGTCTTGCAGGACTCGTAGACTGGGATGACGTGAGAAAGGAGATCGCGCGGCTTCAACGAAAGATTTCATCTCGATCCAACGACTCCTGCTATGAAGGAGAATTCTCTGAAGATGAAGATAGTCAAGAGGATGAGGACGGGCCGCACGCATTCTTGCTCAAAAAATGGGCATCTGCCCTCGCTCAACTGAAAGGTCTACGTCTTGAGAACTTCACCACCAGTTTCACGGATGGCAAGATCTTCGAGAGCATTATAGAAGAATACGAACCTTACATTATCGGATCGGGAGCTTCAAGACGAGGAGAACGGACAGAAACAGCGTCAAGTGGGCAATCTCAAACATGTATTGCCTTGGAGGCGCGCCTGCGGGCGTTGGGGTGCAGCTCACAATTTGGTAAGTCTGATGGCCTAGTACATGCAAGCCTGTGTCGGAAGAATGAGCTGACCGTAATCGACAGCATCTCTCGTTTCTCCTTCCAAATCGGCATCTCGAATCTTCGATCGTGATTTCATCCTTGGTGCTCTCGCCTTTCTCTGCTCTCGTCTTCTCTCCGCCTCGAAGCGCACTCGAGCAGCCCTCATTCTGCAGTCAGCATGGCGACGAACATTGGCGCTTCGAACTCTGCGTCACCGTATCCTCGCAAAGAAGGTTGCCACAGAGTGTGCGGCTGTGGTCCATACAAGGGATCGTATCTTGTGGGCTAAAGAAGTGATCGTGAATTGGTGGAGAGAGCAGAAGGCAAGGAGAAGCAAAGCTGCGAACAGTTCCCGAAGAAACCAGACCGGAAAGAATGGGATTCCAAAGTCGAAAGTTGAATGTCCGGCAAGACAACCACGGACACAGACAAAGCAATATGGTGGCAGCGGCGATGTCATTCGAAAGCAGAAGCAGAGAAAAGGAGTCACCTTTCATTCTGCTGCAGAAAACACTGACGCGACTTGCAGAAATGACGATCTTTGGCTCTCACTGTGAGACTTGCATATGCAGTGAAGAGATCGTTTACCCCTGAAGTCGAATCAATTGGTTCTCCTTTTTGGACGATCAATTCTTTCGCTTCCCTTCGTTTATTTTCCTTCTTGTAATTTCTTTTGGGAGATCCGGATCTGGACATGCATGTGTAGGAGTAACTGGTTGGCGTTGTTGGCATTGTTGGCATTGGATGGTTCGGGACAATCATTGCATTATTGATTATTGTTGAGTATTGGGCATTAGGGTTGTTTGTGTATGCATAGGATTCCCTTACGAGACTCAGGGAACGTCATCTCGTTCGCTGTCTGTACTTTACCTTCTGTTATATGTTTCCTCGATCAAAATATATTAATTGATCGGTTAAGCACAGCACCACTATACTTTTGCCACGTTTCAACTTGTTCCAAACAAGTCCAGAATTTTCTCTAAAATCGCCCAGCAGAGTCATGATGAACGATTTCTCCCAGAAGATAAAATTTCCCCGGCTAGAATGAACACCGGCGATTGCATCCATGTCACGCGGGGGCTCCCCGCTTCACGATAAAGCAACTAACACGTCAGTCAATTAATCAGTAGCTTAGATCAACTGGGTTAGCTCTCGCCAAGCGAACAAGCTCCAGATCAATCATCGCACAAACGTGCAGCTATTTTTTTTCTTCTCTTGGGTGGTCGAAGCCTTTATTTCTGTCGTTGTCAGCTCGAATGGCTGCATTGAAACGGGACATAGATTGAATGGACATACTTCCCCGTACAGCCTTGGCGACAGATTCAATCAAAGATGTCATCAATTCGTGATGCCACCGGCCCATCTACTACTGCTACTTCTGTCATTGAGCTCCAGAGCCCTTTGCGGTCCGAGAGACAGTATTCAATTGGCAATAATCACAATAATGAGGAGGATCATGATGAGACTGGCCAGACATTCGATTCTCCTGAAGAACCGCCGACGGGAGCAGTCGTCCATGCTCTGGAGAAATGGAATGCCCCATCTCGCAATATTCCTCGAACGTTGGCGACCTTTTGGAGTTTTCTTATCATGGGAGCTAACGATGCTGCTTACGGGGTGCGCTCATCAGTCTTCTTCGACACAGCCGTCTAACTAACAGTCTTCAGGCCTTGATACCATATGTACTGTACTAGTTCTGCACCCTTTGAGCCCAGCAAACAGGGACCCTGACAGTGACGACTATGACAGCTCGAATCATACTACAACCTCAGCTACACGGTCGTATCGCTAGTCTTCCTGTCGCCGCTGGTCGGCTACGCGTCTGCAGCGCTGCTCAACAATGTCATCCATATGCATTTCGGCCAACGGGGCATCGCCTGGCTGAGTCCCGGATTTCACGTCGTCTCGTACATCATCAACGCCGTCCACCCACCTTACCCTGTCCTGGTGGTCTCGTTCATCTTCGCTGGCATCGGCAACGGACTGGCCGATTCGGCGTGGAATGCCTGGATTGCCAATCTCGCCAATGCGAACGAGCTCCTGGGGTTTCTGCACGGGTTTTACGGCGTGGGAGCGACGTTGAGTCCGCTCGTCGCGACGGCACTGATCACGAAGGCAGATTTGCCTTGGTATTCTTTCTACTATATTATGGCACGTATATAGCTTTTCTTTTCCTCTCCCTTGGGCTAGTGGTAGCTCGAATTTTGAAAATTTTCTCTTCGAAGTTCATACAGGTCGGGAATAAATGGCATAATACTGACATTTCTCAGATCGGCGGCTCTGCCATCGAGCTGGGTGCTTCAATAGCATCGTTCTGGAAGGCGAACGGCCTTGAGTTCCGGACAAACAACGCTCGAAGCGCGGATCGCAATAAAGAGAGCCACATGAAGGAGGCGCTCTTCTCCCGAGCAGCCTCCCGAGTCACCTGGCTCTGTGCCGCATTTCTTCTGGGATACGTCGGTGTCGAGGTCGCCCTGGGCGGGTGGATTGTGACGTTTATGATCCGAGTGCGCGAGGGCGCACCCTTTGCCAGTGGTATAACGGCGACTGGGTTCTGGGTAGGCGTGACGGTCGGACGGGTTGTCCTGGGGTTTATCACACCTAGGATTGGCGAAAGGCTTGCCATTGCAGTGAGTCAGATTCCTCGTAGCAACGACCGGTCGTCTTGAGGATACGAAGTAGCTGATATCATCTCAGATCTACCTCCCTCTCGCCATGGCCCTCGAGCTCATCTTCTGGCTGGTGCCTCAGTTCTACGTCTCCGCCGTCGCCATCGCCCTGCAGGGCTTCTTCCTCGGGCCCATGTTCCCTGCGGCGGTGGTCGCCGCGACCAAGCTGCTTCCGAGACATCTTCATGTCTCGTCGATCGGGTTTGCTGCAGCCTTGGGCGGGGCGGGCGCAGCGGTGTTCCCTTTTGCCGTGGGGGCCCTCGCCCAGGCGAAGGGGGTGCAGGTCCTGCAGCCTTTTATCTTGGCTCTGCTGGGAGCCATTCTGTGTGTGTGGTTGGGGCTGCCACGTATGTTGAAGGGTCGTAATTCGGAGTGAAGGGGGCCAGAATCAGAGTGTGAACGTGCCCAAGAATGTAACATTACCCTACCGGATGGAGGGGATAAAAAAGCGATATTATCCTTGATATCCACACTCTCCACGAAGCAGTAAGTATTATTTAAGAACTATAGTATAATCTGGACTGTAACTATCCATTAACTAGATATGAGCAACAATTCAACAAGTATATTTCACCGGGATAACTTACAAGTTAACTCCCAGCACATCTCACCTCATCTGCCTGCCTGCCTGCCTGTCTGTCTGTTTGTTGTCTGCGATGATCAAAATCTTGGCCCTGACCGTAGCGAAGCGCCAAGTAAAATAATTCAAATAATTCAGGTGGTATCTGTATCTGTATGTACTACTTTGCCCAGCCCCCAAATATGTACTGCACATACGTAGCCAACTAACCATTCGAAGAACTTCATAATTATAGAAAAAAAATACAAGAATGAACTGAATACCCAAAATTAGGTATGTATGTTATCGAGATATATTTATTGTCTTGGCCCTGGCCTGGCCTGGCTTGGCTTCTTGGCCCTGACTTGGCCTGTCTCTCTTCTCTTTGTTTGGAAACTTGAAAACTTGGCCTGATGGTACGCAAAGCAAGGGAGTCAGGTCAGTCACTGCCACGGCCACTGCCTCCCCCTGCCAAGTCTACATAGTCAATTCAATTCAGTTCAGTTCAATTCAGTTCCATTCAGCGTCACATTAATGAGTTACACGGGATAGGTATGTATAGGCAATTCTTGGCATCAATAATACGGGAGTGTACGGAGCACATACAGTTGAATAGAGGAGTGGAATAAGTAGGAGAAGAGCACGAGGACTTCTTGTCTACGTCACCTTTTTTTCGCCTTTGCCTGTTGTATTTATAGAATATATTATTGACTATTATTAGGAATCGTATGTAATGCGCGTGAACAACGCGAGACCAGATGACTAGGTGTATTTATATTTTTTGTTCGAGCAATACACCACACTGATACCAGACCAATTATTATACAGAAAGTAAACAACATTAATAATACTCACTCTCTCAGTGTAGATATTTGTAGAAATGAACAGAACCTATTTACGTCAAAAAATAAATAATAAATCAAGTCCCTGTCATATGATTACTGTTGCCTTCTTGCAGGTTGCCCTGTACTATGTATGTAAACATGTACAGGGGTCAGGGGCAGCTGACTGACGCCGATGACATCATACTGACTGGCAAGCTGCGAAGCCGCTCAACCCTCTTAACCTTGTTCTGTTTCATCCTTGTCTGGGGAATAATTGCAGTAATAATAACATCCATGGATCGACCACGATCATGGATGCTCCTGCAATAATATACCCAGAAGCATAGATACTTTAACAAAAAGGTTTATAAGATCATGCTAGATCGTGGGTACGGCGGCACGGCGCTACTGCACTACTCTCAATGGAAGAGCAACCGGCGAGCGCCGACATCACTGGCTGTTCTATTTTCTTGTCGTCCATATTTCGATGCTAGGTATATGATAGGGTTAAAAAATATGTACTGTAGATATGCAATCACCTAAAACATTCCCCCTTCGCAGGGGCTACAACAACATCTGGATCTCCAAGACGAAGGACCGGATCGTCCTTCTCTTGGACCACCCCATACTTGATCTGCCGCTCTCCAACTGTCTTGAGGAGTGTGTCAAGACTCGCATTGGAGAGGGCCTCATCCCGCATCAGGGACGAGTCAAACGCATTGGCCGTTTCGACAGGACTCATCGACACCGGACGCCCCAGCTGCCACCAGCCGTGAAAGGACACCGCCACCGACCCAATGCCCAGCACCATGATCACAATGGCCCCGATCAGGTACTCGTACTTGGCAACATAGACTAGTGTCTCGATCGTCTCCTCGGCGTCGATCGTCTGGATGTGCACGGGCTTGGCCTGTCCGGCAGCCAGCCCCGTGCGGAGAAACAGCTCGTGCAGCCCCGACAGCACCTTCTCCGTCGGATCGGTGATGTTCATGGCGCACGAATTGGAATTAGACTTGGCCGCATCAATGTAATCCGCAGCCAGTCGCCCGTCGAAGTCTGCGTCCCATTGAGTCACAAAAGGGCCCAACGAGGAGTTATAGCCTAGCACTGACAACTCCAGCGTGATGCTGGAGTTCAGAATGTACTTCGCAGCAGCCGAGATGCCGGCGACGGACCACGGTGCCTAGTATTCTTCAAAGAAAGTGTCTCGCAGGAAGGTGGTGTCATTCACAAAGGGGTAGAAAGGGAAAGTTTGCGGCTCAGGGCTCCGCAGGCTCAGGGAGTGATTGGCGATTGTCACTGGATACTCCACGAGACCAGTGGTGATATTACATCTCCGATGGGTCAATGTCCCCGGGCAGCCCAGGTACTCGGCCCCGTCGGAGAGGTTCTTGATGGCCCTCCCATCGTTTGATGCCATGAATACCACGGGCGCGTATTCAGCCGACCATCCCGAGCCCATCGGCATAGCTGTGTTGAAGTTGGCGTCGGTGGTGGCTGCTGCCAGACTGACCGTGGTCGGGTGGGCGAAGGGCCTCGAATCCACAGAGCTGGCGCGTTGCAGAAGAGGCGCAACCACGAAGCAAAGCGTCACGCCAAGGGTCGCCAGCGAGTTGCGGCTGAAATGGCGCCAGAACCTCAGCGTCGACCAGATGCCCGTCGAGACAGCCCACTGCCGGTGCAGGTCAGCGATCGTCCCACCCTGGAGGGCAGAAATCCACCATGAGAGGGTGGCCGCCTCGCTCTTCGCATAGTGGAGGCTCGCGACGCCGACGGTACTGCAGATGGCTAATACCACGGATGGTGAGAGCGACCACTCGGACTGTGGACGTTCGTTGGAAAGCGCAAGAGTCACCGACGACGCAATGATGGAGGTGAGAGAAGCGAGTAATGCCAGGAGACCGCCCCATGGGAACCTCTGCAGGACTCCAGGTTGCCATGGCGTCGTCGCGGGGGGTGACTTGGAGATGGGGTCGTGAGTAACGCGTGTCCAGCGGTACTTCCTGGCTGACTCTTGCTGAGAGCGGGCATTGTTGCTCGGTTCTTCTCTCGGGAGAAGACATGTCAGGCGGCGGATGCCTTTCTGCATGCTGTTCTCAGTTTATTGTATCTCTCCACGATCACGATGGGCATGTCGCCATAGTAGAAAGTAACAACACAGGTTGCAACACCGGTTGCGGCTATTGGCCCTGATGAACACTGCATCGTTAAGAGCCAGTATGTTATTTTTATCTGTTGGTGTCTGTTGGTCCATTTAGTTGGTGCTTACTCCGGAGTAAGGAGGCTCAGCGTGTTGATAACTTACCAGGTTGCAGTCTGGAATAGTGCCAAGACACGGGAAATCAACCTTATGCAAAAACAGCCAGCAAACATGGGATATTTTCTTCGCGATTAATTATTCCTAATATTTTAATACTATACGAAATCACAAACAGGAATTTCTTTCCTCGACAAAAATTACATAATGGCCTAGTAGTAAGTAAATAAAGCTGTATCTAGGGCGTGAAGGGCCTAAGTCCTTGCGCAACGCTTAGTAGTGGCATTCAGCCAATCAGCATGAGCTCCCCTGTTGGCTTCGTATACCTACCCAGGCTCCGTATCAGCTCCCCTATTAGGTAGGTGAATAAGCGAATTACGTGATTTGCTTTATATGAATCAATCGTATGAGAGGAACAGCAAAATCATATAAGGAATTTCTGCCAAAAACATCAATTTTTGAGATTTCAGGTGAAGCCGTATAATGCTGCTGGTGACTACGCTGCGCTCCGCAAATAATGGAAATGTGGTTTTTGGCCAAAATATACGGAGTACAGACACGTGATATGATTGGTCCAATCCGCTTATTCAGCACCCGTCTGTATCTCTTATGTAAGCATGCCGCAACAAAACTGCCTGCCTGCCTTAGGTATCTATACGCCTATCCTTTCACTATGGGTATCGGGTTTGCACTGGCTCCCTACTACATGCTTCACGTTGGCACCCTATAGGCTTTATATAGGCTTACATTATAGGCATGCAGAGGGCTGAAGGTCCGGAGCATCTATAGGAATTAGTAATCCTAGATGAGCGGAGCGAGTCGTTCGAAGGCTTGTTAGGGAATGATGATTGATTGATTGCATGCATGCATGCATGCTTGCATATATATATGCATGCTGCTGTATATATTCAGCATGGTACATATGCCAAGATATGTCAAAATAATTGTCGCTATAATTATTGTATTTGAATTGAAGATCAAATGCATCCTTCCCAAATGGAGTATGACAATACAGTGTACTTAGTTCCTCCATATGGCTGCCACGCGGACTGCATTGTGCTGTGCTACTTGCCACTGGGACCGTGATGACGATCACCTCCTTAATCAATCACTTGATCGCCCTCCGCGATCCTACGGACCTTGTATGGAGCAATTAGCTCTTCAGATGTTTTCCGGGGAATATTTATCTGTGCGCAGGGATCGTCCTTGACCTTGACCTTGACCTTGACCTTAGTCTGGATAATTGATAGTCGATCGCCTGGGAAGGAGGGTCATGTGGCGGGAATTTGCCCACGAGCACAACGAACTCCTCTGACGGTACAAGCTTGGACGGACGCAGATAACGAGTGTCGATCTCGGGTTTTGCTCAGATAGATACCTACCTACCTAGTAGTAGGTACTATATCCTTGTTTAGTCTGCCTACGAACTGGACGATCCTCTGTCTTCTTAGAATAGACACCCCAGTCTGTGCTCAACACCCCGATCGATGATGTATGTCTATTGCGGGGTGATGTTCTCGTATCGAATCGGACGGAGCAGTGGTGTTGGTTGGCGGCGGACGGAAGTCGCGATGATGGGGGCTCAGCTCGCCTACCTAATGGGGAAGGAACGACTGGTGCAGTAGTGACGACTGATTTTGGACGGTCTTGCCGTCCAGTAGGATTGTTGTTATTGTCATTATTGCCGATATCGAAGGTCAACTCGCAGCTGGTGGCGGAATATCGAAATGGAATTCTCACACCACGCAAATCAAGTCGTAGAGAGAAGATCATGATGATTAAGTCTCTCTTCGTTATCAGGTCATTATTACTGCGTCTTCGCGAGGGCTTCGTTGTTCTGTGGGGATGCCGGATTGGGCGGCTGGACTTACCCCATCGGGGATGCGCCACGAGCGTGTGTCCAGTGCGTGCGCCGACTGGGAGCGAAAAATCCCTCATATACTTGTCAGCCTGCCAGAAACCCGCCGAAGGCAATCTCCACGCCGCCGATGCAGACGGCTCAAAAGGTGAAGATCTAACAAGCCGGCCCCCGTTGCTCGCACGGCACGAGGCACGGCCGTCTCATCGTCGTCCACGTACTACGAGGAGGATTCTCACCCTCTGCCATTCGTGCTGCTGTGGTTGCTTTGCAGCCGTGATCTCAATTATTGATCTTCAGGCCAAGGAACGTCGTTGCATTTTGGCTGGCTTGGCTGCCTCGGTTGTCTCGGATGACGCTGACCGTTGAACCAGCCAGCCAGGAACACGATTTGCTGGGTTGTTTTTCTTTTCTTTGCTTTTTTTTTCTCGTGCGATTCTGTGGTCTTCTTATCCAGGTACTGGATTGCCCAGTGGACCCGTTCCAATCCCCCACCGTCCTGCTGAATCAGTCATGCAGACCGCCCATGCAACCACCAGCTGCTAAATCGGCCTAAAATGGTGCTAATCGGACTTGACCAGTGGTTAATGCACAACATCGCTCGCTGCTGGACCGTGCGCGCCCTCGACAAGGCGCATTGTCCATGATTTTCCATCTAGTCCGGGGCCAACCTGCCCCAGTGGGCAATGTCCAATCCAACGCTGGCCGTGAGGAGCTTCCAAATTGGCAAACAGACAGACCGATCCTTGCCCGTTCTGCGATTAACGTTCTGATCAGTGCAGTGCTGCACGCCATTTTTGCATCGTAAATCGGACTGCCTGGCGATGATCGTGCGATCTGCTAGGCAGCCCGGAGAAATTGAAATCTAAACAGGCGCTGACGTGGAGACATCGATCGATAACCTCCATCTACGAGAAGTAATTCAAGTAATTCGTGCGGATGTCCTCCGAACCGAGTATGCTGAGTTGCGACGGTAACCTGGCTGAGTTTGCTCGCTGGCAATGGGCGAGCCGCTGTCAGCTAGCCTTTTTGACCGCTCTTCCATTACTCCGTCCGGAGCACCGTCGGTTCAGCTCGTAATTTTCTTGTTAGGGGATTGTTTCAGAGGATCTTTGTCTCGCGTGGGCTGTTGAGATTTGCTGTCGATTGCCTGCCAAAGCTGCAGGTGAGTGCTATTATTATTACAGGGTGTGGTTAATAAAACTAGTAATCAAAGTAATTTTTTTTGTTCAAGAAAAATTATTATTATTATTTTTCTTGAAACGAAAGTCAAACTTTACTCCGTGCTTGTACCAAAATAGCAGTACTATATCTCGGTACCGTCTGATGACTGCACATTTTCCCCGCTAGGAATGAAGCTGCAGCGAACTGCAGGATTGGCGCCGTGGCCCGCATTCAGAGACGTCCGAACTCGGCGCGGGAAGCTACCAAGATGAAGAAGAGGAAAGCAGGAATCTGCAGCAGGGTAGAGAGGTTGCTGTAGGAGGCCATGTGCGATTATTATTGTGCAACAGCTGATGGAGAGGAGGATGAGGTCATCCCCCAGCCTCGAAACAGCCTGAAGGACAAAGCGCGAGAAGCGCTGCTTAGGCCCGTTGATCCTCGCCGTAATTTTTCCTCCCCGATGACGGGCTGGTGACCGGGCCATCCCCGTCCATGATGCCCCGAGTATGCACCTCACGTGCCTCCCCTGTAACTGGCGTGTAATGATACAGTCATGGCTGAGAAGGCCTCCATGGCTGGGCACGAGCAGCCTCATCGTCAGCGACAGCAGCACTGCCATCAGCCCAGCATCACCACCACCACCCGCATCATCATCGCCTGCTTCCAGAGACTTCGAAATCGATGTTTCATTGCTGACGCCGTTCTAGCGGGTTCCTCTGTTTTCCTGCTTCCATTTGCAGCAAGCGGTGCTGGTCAGGTCGCCGGCTGCAAACGGCATTCTGCGCATTTCTCCATCGGCGTCGCTTTCTTCAGTCGTATTGCAGGACGCCTCACACATACTTCGCTGCTTGGCTGGCAGCGCCCGTTGCCCGTCCTGCAGCATCATTGCCAACCTCTGCCACGGTGCCACAAAGCCCACAAACAAAAAAAGCCGCAGGAACCACCGCGCGCCCCGGCGTCAGAAGCGTGGGCTCCACCGCCGCCTGTGTTGTTGCGCCAAGCATTTTTCCAATAATCGCCGGGGCCTGCGGCGCCGCCGGCGTCAAAAAAAAAAGAGGATTTCCGGTGTGCGCGTGCAGGGTCCTTACTAGCCTTCCAGCTAGCAGCAGTGGCAACGGACGGCGCCGCCCCATACAAGAGCCAGTTACCCGCTCGCTGCACATCACTGTCGAGGCCTCCATCTCATTTCGTTTCCATCCACCGCTGCCTGCCCACGCGTCTCCCCTCTTTCTCAACCCGTTCTTCTCCCTGCTACCGTCTCTCTGCCTCTTACACTCCTCTCTGCGTCACTGGTGCTCCCTCATATTTGCTGAGCTGTCCGTTTTGCCTTTCTCTTTCCCATCGACATCTCCGTCACGGCATCGCTCACCTGTCAAGATGATGCCCTCCATATTATGACAATCTGCGTCCTGCACGGGACACCCTTTTGCGTACGCTCCCTGCGGTGCGGTCGGTATAGTCTGTGTCAACTTCTAGTCGATTCAGCTTTCTCTCGACCGCTCCAATCTCCTCGCCATTCTGGGAGCTCTCGAGCGTCTTCTCCACCTCTACCACATCCTTTCCTCTTATATTCCTTCATCTTCCGATTCGATCCTGACGACGACAAGAAGGGTGGTTTCAACCTATGGCTCATCACCAGACCAGTGAGAGCCACGGGGTGTCCGCCCTACACAACTTCTTCAAGATGCTGTTATCTTCGAATCCGTCGAATCTACCTGCTGGCCAGGAGACCGACGTTGTCGAGGACGTGGACGAACCTCCGGACTCCCACTTCCTTTCTTCTGAGGCGGTGACTATCCATCACCCTCACACTGATGGCCAGCTCTACTTCAAGTCACCACCTACGGTACCGGAGCGGAAGGAGTCTCTCCTGACCCGCGCCCTGTTGAATAGCCCCGACCTCCTCCCGGCCGATCGGAAATCCCATCACAGTCCCCCTTCTTATCCGCACAGCAATGCCAGCGGTCATTCCACGGCAGAGCTGACCAGTGACGGCGACCTCACGAGCCCGGCCTTGTCCAATACCCCCAGCCCGCCCATTCCGTCTCAGCTAGGCGGTGTGCACAATCTGATCCTCCAACGGAAGCCGACCCCTCCCGCCGATCCGAGCGAATCAAATGTTGAAGCCAATCTAGGCCGCAAGCGTTGCATCACCTTTGCTTGTGCCAACCGACAAAAGGAGACGGAGAAGGAGACGGTGACGGACAAGAACGCTGCTGTCGAGCCTCCCCAGCGGAAGACGACCCTGACTTTCGCCTGCCCGGCTCGCCAGCCCGAGGTCAGGGCTCCGACAAATGGTACCCCTCGGAGAGCTTCTTTCCGTTCCCGGCCCCGTGGATCTCCAGCTCCAGTTGCTCGCAGATCACCCCCGGCTGAAGAGGTTGCTTCCCAAACTCGAAGCGCGAGTGAGGCCCCGCCGTCTCAACCGCAGAGAAAGCCCGGGAGCATCCACATCAGTGGCCTGGGTGGATTCCACCCCTCCGAGGAAACGAGGTTTCACGAGTTCGCAAGTTCGGTCGAGGAGGTCGACGAATGGGTGATCCGGCCGACCGAGTATAAAGACAAAATTACGCTGAATGACTGCATGAAGAAAGAGAACGCGATCCGAAAACTCGGGGAGGAAGCAGAAGCGGAGGCAATGGCAGAGGAAGAAGAAGAAGAGGAAGAAGAAAATGAAGATGACGATGACGACGAGGCTGACGCGGATGAAGAAGCTGGAGAGGAAGACGACTCGACCGTTCACGATTTCTCCTCGGACGATGGCAACGAGTCGGACAACGAGGCCGGCTTCGCTGATTCGGACGACGAGAGTGATGACGGTTCCGACTACAGATTCTGGGCCCCCTCCACCACGACTGCTGCCACGAGCGCGGAGAACATGGATCTTGGCCGTCTGGCTGCGGAACGCAGGAATTCCAACACATCCATCGAGTCTTTGAAACAGGACGAAGCGCAGCCATGGCTCCCCGCGCCTGCTCGCCGAGGCAGAGCTCACCGCGCCATCAAGATTCCCAAGACGCGTCCCGAGACTCCCGACCTTCCGGATAGCACCGACTTTGTGTGTGGGACCCTGGACGAGGATCGCCCTCTCGAGGCCGCCTACATCTCCTGCATGGAGGAACGGCGTCGTAAGAAGCATGTCCCGGTTCCCCAGGATATTGATCCGAGTTTCCCGACCACGGACCCCGAAGACAATGACTTGGATGAGGAGGATGACGAAGACCTCGAGCGCACGGCCAGGGTCGAGGAGGAGCTGCTGCGCGGCAGAGCCAAGGGCTCGTCTCGGAGGACCTCGCCGCGTGTGTCTCCCAAGCGGCCCCTTTCTCCCGCTCCCCGTGTGCGTGGTCACAATTCCCCCAAACGCATGAAGTCTCCCGCCCCGAAGCAGCGGTCCGGTTCCAACGCGGGACTGCCCGTCCTCGCGGGGCCGACGCACCCTGAGGGAGTGAACATCACCGGACCGGTTCAGCGACCGAACTGCAACCGAACCAAGTCTCTTCCCCGGACGCCGAATCCATTCTTCATCGACATGGAGAAAGAGCGTCAGTCATCCGTTGCTCCCTCGTTGGCGCAGTCCCCGGAACGCGGGGTGTCTCGTACGCGCGAGATGCATACCCGGGGCCCCATTGACATCATCCAGGGTCTCGAGCGGAAGCGTCAGAAGCGGAAGGAGAAGTTCTGGCGCCAGCATTGCCGCAAGGCTGCCAAGGAGCAGGAGCGTCGCCCCGTGCCGGGCAAAGGGGCCGAGCGCATGAAGGAGCTGGGCCTGGAAATGGCAGAGAGATTCAAAGCTTACGGCGCCGGTCAAGGCCCGCAGTTGGTTCTCTCAGTTTAGAAAGACCCTCCCACCGGATTCGATTTCTCTTTTTCTTATTTATGGGAACGGGCCGGCGGTGTCGCTGTGCCCAATTTCTTGTACATACTTCCCAGGGAGGCTGATTGATTGCCTGCATTCGAAGCGTCCCGTTTTCAATCCTTTGCATTCAACCGAGATCCATGTACCAAGGGAGGACTCATGTGTCTTGCATTTACAGGCGATCATTATATACTTTGTTTTATTTTTTTTGTACTTCTGTTTCTGTTAGCGAGTTGCTTTTGTCTACTAGTTTTTATTTGTCTTTTTATTCTTCATGAGAAACGATATCCGGTCTTTTATTTTTCGCTTTTTATATCTCTTTTTAGTTTTTGGTATCTCTTTTTAGTTCCTGGGCGGTATCGATCTTGATCTTGGGGACAAGGAGTATATACCCCCTTGTTGTTTTGCTTGTAGATACGGGCAGATTGCCTAATGAAGGATCTCTGCGTTGTTTACATTCGCATTTTTATTTTCGACGTACGATTAGTATCTCACACATGTATTGTCATGCATTATTTCAGTAGAAATCGAAGGACAAGTGAGCGTGTGCATGATGGTAGTGATACCGCGTAGTTTGCCACAGAAGAGGCGGTGGTGCGGCGAGTGAGGCTGAAGTTAGTCCAGTCCGGGACCAGAACAGGCCAAGTTGAAGCACCGAACCAGCCAAGCTCGACCTCCTCGCCAACATCCATCGTGTCGACAACCTCTTGCCATCCCCATCACCTGGCAATTCTTTTTCTTTTTGCGCTTGCAGTTTTCTGTTCCATTGTTTCTGTGTAGCCCTCGAATACCTTCACGATGTGGATTATAAACTGGTGTAAGTACTTTCCCGATCTCCGTTCTCCGTTCCCATCAGCAGCCAGCAGCAAGCAGTCTTTGCTGCAGGGTCACGTTTCTTCTTTGACTTTTGCTAGCCACGTCTTTCCTCAATATCCTCTTCTTTTCTTTTCTTGGTTTCCTACCAGAGAACTGACGTCTTTGCTCGCGTTCGAATGTAGTCTACGACCTCCTGGCCTCCCTGGGCTTGCTCAACAAGCATGCCAAACTTCTCTTCCTCGGTCTGGATAACGCCGGAAAGACGACTTTGCTACACATGCTCAAGGTGAGTGGTTGCGCAGGTGGATGATGGGGGGAGGGAATTCCGGTCTTCTTCGGCTAGCTTCGATGCTCGCAAGCTGTTTGGTGCGGCGAGAAGCGTTTAAGCAGCACGCGACAATCCGCATCGGGGGAGGCCGAAAAGACGTCTCATTATCCAACCGCTTAGCTGAAGACTGAGACTGACATTTCTATCTTGTGCAGAATGACCGAGTAGCAATCCTGCAACCTACTGCACATCCGAGTACGCTGCCTCTTCCCATCTCCCTGCTTATACGGACCAACCCTTCCATCGTTGCGATCCGAATGTCTTTTACTGACGGCGACTGAATCAGCTTCGGAGGAACTGGTGATTGGTAACAACCGATTTACGACCTTTGACCTCGGTGGTCACCAGCAAGGTAGGCGAACATCCTACCTTACCTTCTACTTTGTCGGTCATTGCATGATGCTGATCTGAGTCGCTCAGCTCGTCGTCTCTGGAAGGACTACTTCCCCGAGGTCAGCGGCATCGTCTTCCTGGTCGATGCCAAGGACCACGAGCGGTTCGCGGAGTCCAAGGCGGAACTGGACGCCTTGTTGGCCATGGAGGAATTGGCCAAGGTTCCCTTCCTGATCCTGGGCAACAAGATCGACCACCCGGACGCAGTGAGCGAGGACGAGCTCCGGCATCACCTGGGCTTGTGGCAGACGACAGGCAAGGGCAAGGTTCCGCTGGAGGGCATCCGGCCGATCGAGCTGTTTATGTGCAGTGTTGTGATGAGACAGGGTATGAAATGAAGACAGTAGTCGAAGATGAATTTAGAGGGTTGGAGCTGACAATACATTACAACAGGTTACGGTGAGGGTATCAGATGGCTGTCGCAATACGTCTAAAGAGATCAACCAACCAATCAATCAATCATATGAGATGATAAATAATGACGAAAAGAGAGTGAGAGACTGGTGATGGTACTGGTACGGGTACTACTACTGATACAGAGGTCTTGACCACCACCACCACCACCACAACAACAACAACAACCATGTTATGTTGTTCCCCTATAACCTTTTCTCTCTGTCCACTAAATTTATAACCGAGGTGTCTTGCTTTTACTACTAGTAGTACACCTCTTCTCTTCTCTTCTACTTACATACTCGTCTTTCCTGTCCTCTAGAGCAAGCTAGTTAGCTATCTATCTTCAATCAATGTCTGAGTGAATTGAATTGATCAAGATCTTTCATTCGCTGTCTTGTCCTGTGACCTGTCTAGAGTTTGAATCTACAGTAAAGTACAGTATGCAAAGTAAAACAAAGTGAAGTAAAGCAAAGTAAAGAAGTCATTCTGAACTAAACATTGCCATCCATCCATCCATCAACCAAAACAAGACACAACAAAACAAGACACAACAAGACAAAATAGACATTTATCACTATAATAATGACCGTAGAATTTGTTATTTATTTATTTAGATAGATAGATTCATTAATTGAATTGACTAAATCAATCGATCAATCAATCGACCGATAGACAGACCTACCTGCCTTAGGTACCTACCTACCTCGTGGCCACTACCACTAGCCACCAACCATCACACCAGTCAGTCACCAGTCTCCAGTCATCAGTCAGTCACCAGTCAGTCAGTCAGTCGACTATCTATTCGACATAGTCAGAGAAAAAAAAGAATAAAATAGAAAACAAGTAGTGCAAAAGGGGATCTAGACGGGCAGGTAAAACAAGAAAGCAAAGCAAGCAAGCAAGCGGTATAATGACGCTCTGTTCTGGTCTGGTCTCTCGTCACGTCTCCAAGAAATCTGAACCTTGCTGCCTGCCTGCCTGGCTGGAAAGGTCCGAGGAAGAGAAGAGACTAATGAGAAAAAAAGCAAACGCAAACGCAACTTCGTATACTTTGTCTAATTAGTAGTAGTTCCTTTTTTTTTCGGTTTTTTGTTTTTGTTTTTGTTTCGGGAGACTGGACTGGACTGGACTGGCAAAATGTACACTCTGACACTGTGTCAAAGAAAAAAAACATTTCTTTTCCTCCTGCGTTATACTGACAAGATAAGTAGAAAAAAGATGAATTCAAAAGAGGAAATGAAAAAGGGAAAAAAAAGGAAAAGAAAAAAAAACCGGTACTGAGTGTGTGCGTGGATTGGATTGATTAACAGACACAGACACATAGCTGCTGGTTCTTCTTCCGCCCGTCTTTTAATTTAAAAAGACGTTCGCCTCGCCCTCGACCTTTTAAAAAGCCCTGGCCTTCGTCCTTCCTCATCATCACAACTCAAGAAACCTGGAAAATGCTAAACCTTTAAATAAATAAAACAGCCCCTACTCTCTGCCCTCAAAAGTTAAGAAAAAAAAACAAAACACAGGCAGGGAAATACCTCGAACCCTCCCCTTTCCGGAACAACTGATAAAATAACTCGGCACAGCTCAATGGGAGCGCAAAAGGATAAAATGGAAAAAGAAAAGGAAAGTGTAAAACATGGGTTACGCGACGTCGCAACTGACTGCGGATGGCCGATGGCGTTGTCGATGGCGGGAATGAATCTGGCGGAAGGCGTAAGGCTTCAAAATCATGTCGTGGCGGCCTGGCCTTGTCGTACAGTTCCCGATATGATAACTTTCTATCTTCGTCCGAACCTGCTACACATGGAAAAGCTCGTATGATTTCTTTTTTACTTCTTTTTCTGCTTGCGCGGAGGAGTGATGGGCCTGCCAGTGCTTATGCCCCCGTTGACGTACTTTTGTTTCTTTTCGGCTGGTTTCAAAATCTTCAAAATTTGAGAAAAAATCGCCATGTCAGTAATCCAGAAGACGAAAGGAATAGCCAGACAAAACAGTGCTTACCTGGAATGAACAAAGCAAGCTCTCATCAACGCTCATCATTGCTCCTGCGTTGTCGAATTCTCCGCAATAGTTCGGCGCGCTGAAAAGGGTCACGAGCTGTCGCTTCGAGAAGAACTCATACCCGTCTTCGACGACTTGGTGCGCACGGCAGATGAGATCCATATCGTGTTTTTGGAGGAAGCGCGATACGACGTCGGGTCCGAATGTAAATGATACTCCACGATCGTTCTCACTCCAGCCGGTAATGTCTTTGTCGGGATCGGACCAGAGCAGGTCGCAAAGCAGACCGCAATCGGGAATCTGTCATAGTCAGCGGATTAAGCCTTGAGCTTCAGGAAGCTCCAATGATAGACTATCTTCTTTTTTTTCCTTCTCAAAAAAAAAACCTCCGTTTCCAATTCAACTGCCATTGAGGAAGGAAATCAAAGACAAAAACCGGACTTACATCAGTAGGTCGCATCACACGACGGATCTGTTCCATCGAGTTCAAGTCGGGACTCAAGCCCCCGTGCATCGTAAAGATCTTCTCATCGATAATCGCCGCAATGGGCAAGCAGTTGAAGCAGTCGGTGAACGTCTTCCATAGCTTGATGTTGTACCTTCGCTTGCACTCATCGTAGAAGCCATAGATACGATTGATCGACGCGCACTCGTGGTTACCACGGAGGATGAAAAAGTTCTCCGGGTACTTGATCTTGTAGGCCAGCAACAGGCAGATTGTCTCGAGCGACTGCTTGCCACGATCTACATAGTCTCCCAGGAACAAGTAATTTGCCTCGGGAGGGAAACCGCCGTACTCGAAAAGACGCAACAGATCGTAGTACTGGCCGTGAATATCGCCACATATCTGGTTTTGCATGAATCAGTACGAGTCAACATAGAGTAGATGGAAGAGGGCGATTGTGGCATACCTTGATCGGCGCTTCCAACTCCAGTAATATGGGCTGCGAGATGAAGATTTCCCTCGCCTTGGTGCACAGATGGCGAATCTCCGACTCCAGCAGCTGGACCTGCTTTCCGGGCCGGCTACCCCTCACTTCCAGCAGTCTGTCGATGATGGAATCCAGATCGACCTCACCCTGGTCAGCCATGACTTGCCGCCGCTCACGAGAGACGGAGTAGAGGGGAGAGTAAAGAAGAGTCGGCGGCGGAAGGGAGAAGAGGGGGAAAGAAAGAAACGAGAAACGAAAGAGACGCTTCCGGGAGGCCCTTGGTTGTGTCGCTTTGTCGAAGACTTAATAACCAATGCCGGTGCCTAGAGCGAAGAAAGGGGGGGGTTGCGAAAAATCGTTAGCAAAATAAAACTCAATTCTGAAGTGTCTGCCGATAAGCGATTTTTTATTTTATTCCTTTTTTCTTTCTTTTTTTTTCCTGTGGGTGGGCGTGGGAAGGAGACGCGGCTGTCGACGCGTGTCGTGATGTGAAGGATCTGACGAAGGGATGGGGACTCACCAAGAAGAAAAAGAAAAGCTCCCGGTAAGCTGGACGGAGAGCGTTGGATGAGCAGGCCCGTCAGGCCCCGAATACCAAGCTCTGGAGTCGGTGTCCCCGATGGGAAGAGGATCTGGCGAGGGGGAGAGGCGTGTCTCTGAGATCTATCTGGCTCGATCTGGGCGATGGAAAGGCTTTCCGCGAGCTGGGATGACGCTGGCGACACGAGCAGACGGGGGAGAAAAAACGGCGCCGGCGAGTTGGTGAAAAACCAGAGGGACGGACGCAACCACCAGGCAGCGATGACAGACGCGGCGTGTCTCGAGGCTCTTGGGGCTTTCTGATGGATGGGAAGTCGGAATGGGCGATGGCTCAGAGGTTTCGCTCGCTCTCGCACACGGGTCGCGGTGGCGGGGGGAAGGGGGATCCGGTGTGGCAGCAATCAAGGGCGCCTACGGGCAGTGGGATCTCAGCGAGACGCGATCGACAGGGGACGGACGAGCGTGGACAGAAGAGGCACGACGAGGTGGTGACGGCGGAGGCAGACAATGAAGCAGCGCTGGCGAGCGAGAGGAGGGGAGGCAGGTTGACTGGCAGGCAAGGCAGTCTGAGGGCATCGAGCGAGAACGAGAAGAGGGCCGGCTCGGGCGGTGTTTAGTCTCGTTGGCCCGCTGCTTGGCTCGTTCCTTGCCGGCTGGCGGTACGGCGGCGACAGAACCCCGATCTGATCTGACTACGACACGCATTCTTGCTTGCGTATTCTGACTGTGCTCCCCCAGAATCCTGCCTGTCTCTTCCTCATCACGCCCTCCGGCCGTCCTTGATTGTTCTTTTCCTGCGTGCGCCCCCGGAATGGCGTCCTCGCAGCCTGCCCAGCGACAGACGGTGCGCCCAGGACGCGGGTGGATCCACCACTGCCAAATCTCGTCGATACAGCATTAATTGGCGGACCAGAGTTGGACAGACATGATTCTCGAATACATCATGCCCGTAAGCCTACAAATCCCGGCGCAGCCCTTTTTCCTTTTTCGGGTCTGCTGAGTGATTCCAAGAGACGACGTGCCGGAATCACTGAGACCGCCCCCAGTCTCCTTATTTTGTCGCCAGGACTAGTATAATTAATACGGGTCTGATCACATAAGTCTCCCACTGGCTTAGGGACTGCTGATCCGTTGTCGTACCAAGTGATCTGCCTCCCTGATCGCTTTCCAGAAACAGCAGAACTACTCCAGGTCCTCGTTGAATCGCCGCCCATTGCACTGCAACAGGTTCCACAGCCGTTCATAGTCCTTGCCAAGACCCGATGCTCTTTCTCGAACGCCTCCGAGACCTGGCCAGCAGGGCAGGGCATCGAGCAGGGGTTTCAACTTGACCTTTCAACTTCCCAGATGATGCTAGTCGTCCTCTTAGTGGCTCCCTGAGGCTCCGGCCAACTCTGCGCTCCGGATCTCTCAGTCTCCCTCGCCGTTACCCACTGCAATTCGTGGGGCTTGCCGCCGGGCCCCGGCCTGGACGCGCAACGGTCCAAAATTGGAACACCCGACCAAGCAACTGACTGGCTCCCAAGGTACATACATGGCGGAGGGATCATTGGATCAGTGATGCTGCTCTACGCGATAATACGGTTCGCGGTCGATCCTGGACAGGATCACTCACCGACAGACTTCGTGACAGCTACGATCGTGTATCATCAGAGAACAATCTTCTTCATTGCAGATGCAATCGATACAGGATTAACGTGCCGCACTTCATATCTTCATGCAATCACCATGAATCTTCAGTGTATAGACGCAAAACAAATACGTCAATAACAGGCATACGTAAAACATGACGCGGTACGAGGAATCGTCATCAAAAAAACAACAATCACAACCGAGAGAGGAGCGTAATCGGAACTCGTGGAAAAGAACAGACGGAAAAATCATACCGCTCCTGTAAACGCCCAAATGCCTGCCGCCCATTAATAGTACAAGCGGTCTAAAAAGTAAAAAAAAATCCACCGGATACGATCTTTGGACGATACCTTCCCTAAGAGGAATGTAGACCGGTTGTGACGGCAAGAAAACGCACGAAGATCATCAAAACATGCCCGCCCAGAATGTCAAATCATCAAAACCCGTATAACACCATGATATGCACCGAAAATATACAATCAAGAAGGGGTATAACTTTTTTTTTTGGAGGCACAAATCCTCACCCAGTCGGAAAGAAGCCGAGCATCGGCCAAAGGAAGAGCGAAAACAAGGAACCCACGGTACTCCAATAGAGGGCATTCGTGGGGAAACGACCCGTCTGACCGCAAGAGAGGAGAAGTGTCATCGCCCACCACTTCAGGGGAAGAAAAATTCGCGAACCAGAAAAATAAAAGGAAGATTTTTTTTCAGCCCAAGGTCCGACCGCCGCTGACCATAACCTGGTTGGGAGTCCGTGTGATGGGATCGGGTCGAATGGTGGGAGAATCAAGCCCAGGTCCGGAACACGGGACTGCGATGCTCTGTTGTTTAGGCTGCCAGGCATCATCGCCCAAAACGCTGAGCCAGCCGCTGCCCACATCTTGCTTCAGAGCCTCCAGTCTCTGCCGGTAGACATTTCCGTCAACATTCCAGTCCAGGTCTTGGATAGCAGGGAGAAGTTCGCGGTTGTTGTTCGCCTCAACGGGATACGGAACTTGCCTTTTGACAGGCTCTGGGGTCGCGAGCTGAGGCACAGTCCTGGGGGACATGCCCTGAGTGGAGGTCTCAATAAACGGATCAGACGGATCAGTCGGACCCGGGGCAGGGGTCAGGGTGTGCTTAGTCGCCTCGACACGGGCGGCCTTATCGCCAGCGGCGGCAGAATCCTCTCGGGAAATATCCACGATTCGCCGTCGAAGAGCCTTCTTTCGACGACTAGATCCCACCGTATAATTGTTCTGTTGAGACTCGGGAGCCAGACTCTCGGAGACTGGTGGTTCCTGGTCATTGGGAGGGAGGCCATGGCGCACCGATCCCGAGGCTCTACTCACTGTCTGCGGAGGCTCGGGATCGACCGGTCGCACCACAGGAGCGGCCTCCGGTTCGGCAACCCGATCGACCAACTGCTTCCTTTCGCTGTACCCCGGACCAGACGCGTCGATAATGATATCTTCGGCGTATCCAGGGGTACGGCGAAAGAGGTTGAAGATAGTAACGCGGTAACCAGAGTGAGTCTTCGTGAACGGATTGCCTGACACCCAGATCTCCCGTATCTCAGGAAGACCGGTCAGTCGAGCAATCTCCGTGGGATCGGACAGATTGTTATCCCGAAGATCTAAACGTTCCAACGAGAGGAGTCGTTCGATTCCTGCGAGAGACGAAAGACGGTTTCCACGAAGATTCAACGCGGTGATCGCGGGTAACGGGTTCTTGGACAGGGAACGCAGTGACTCGATCATGCAGTTGGACAAGTTCAACGCCCGCAGGGATACCAGAGATGCTAGGCTGTCGGGAACCTCGCCAAAATGATTCGAAGACAGGTCCAATGAGTGCAAAGTATTGGCCACCGGGGCAAGACTAGAGGCGGTGATGGAGGTCAGGGAGTTATCAGGCAGGCCGAGATGCCGGAGGAACCGCCATTTCGTGGGGGGTAGAACGCCTGCCAGGAGATTCGAGGAACTTCGATTGCCGTAGCTTGTGGACGCTTCACTCGAGTTCGAACTCCCGGAGCCGGAACGTGCGATTTTAACGGAGTGACCTCGAGAATGGCGATAGCCGACCTGTTTCGAACTCTGCGGGCGGGTTGGAGAATAACTTCCACTGCGTCGATGGCCTCGTCCACCCTCCGAAGCCCCTCGGACCATGGGCACCGCCTTGGGACTCGTACTGGTTCCAAGGCCGGAATCTGCGGTGGGGGAGCCGGGTGCCGAGTTCGACTTGCCCATGTCGGATTTGTAGTCAGGTGGTGGATGAGTGGCACTGCTACTCGATCCCAGGACCGGGGACGGCTGGGACTTGGAGGAGCGACGCCTCCGTTTATCAATGTCATCGAGGACGATCCTGGTCAGCAGGTCCGCCGGGTCGTCGATATTGGCTCTCTTCAGAGTCAGTGTGCGCAGTTGTTCCGAGAGACGGTCCCATCCATAGAACGAGCGAAAGTCTATATCGATGATCTCCAAAGAGCTCACGTTCTTGAAACAATGGAGGGGAACGGCAGTATCTAACGGGAATTCCTCATATCCACGGATCAGGCGAGCTCGGTGGTCCGGGGCTAAACGGAGACAGGGGATTTTCGTGAAGGCAGAATACAGGTACTTCAGATCAGCCTCGAGGGCAGCCTTGGCCTTCTCGGACTTGGAGGCATCCTTGGAACCCAGACCAAAGGAGGACCACAGAGCGCTCATGCCCGATATGACACTACGCACGCTTGATACAGAATGGATGGAGTCCCGGTCACCGCGGGAGCGGCGGGGCTGGTTCAGAAAGGAGACATAGGAGGGGGCAGTCTCAGTGTGAATGTTCTCCAGTCGAACATTCATGGGACCCACGGGGATAAAGAGCTCTTCAAAGCGGGAGAGCAAGTAGAATAGATGATGGGGAGTCAGGGTGAGTTTTGCAGACTTGACAGTATGAGAGGTAAATTTCAGGGGCCCAAACGACAATGCTGCGGCCAGGGTCGAGGACGTGGCTCCGGTGGAGGGGCCATTTTTGGAAGACTGGCGTCTCAGTTGCAGGGCGTTCGCCAATGCCTTCTCGTGAGTGCGCACAAAACTAGCGAGATTCTATTACAGGAAGACGAAGCAGATATCAGCTTTGTTGGCTCCCCATAACGGACTTCCACCGGGGGAGGGACCGACCTTGATGAAGAGCTGGCCATCTTCAGAGTTGAGTTTCTCCATCATGATGTTCTTCCTGCCCGACGTAGTAGAATCCAGGCAGGAGACAGCGCTGAAAACGGGTGCTCAGGGAACACTCGAAAGACCGGCGAAGGCAGCCGTCGACATCTTTGCCGGATCAAGCTGTAGGAAGAAAAAGTAGAGAAGTCAGCAATGAATCTCGATACTCGCTCGCATCCCCAATAGAGTCAAACACAGTCATAGGAGAAGTGTAGGGTGATGGGGCGCAGAGAGGGGATTAAAAAAAGAAGAGTGAAACAATACCTCGATAATTGATACTGACGGCGTGCTCCAGGAGGTTCACGAGACCTTGAACCTCTGACCTCAGCAGGAAGCCTCCGCTGAGACAAACTTCGATGGAGTGAGAACAAGGCGAAAGGGCCGCCCTGGATAGTCTCGTATGACTTTTTGATCTCGTCTTTCTGCCTTGCTTTTCCTTGTCCCCCAGCCAAGGCAGCAGCCCAGTGAAAGAAAGGGAGTCGGTTGCAGTGAAGACGTACCGGGGGCGAAAGGAAAACAGAGGAAGAGAGAAATCGAAGAATCTATATGAAGGAGATCAGGGGCGACAAGGAAAGGATCGGGACGAGTGGTGTGCTCTGGACACCCCTCCTGCAGCAGGGAGCAGGTAAAACGCGAAGGCTGCAGGAGAAGAGGCAGGCCAAACAAGGCGATTGTTGTACTATTTCCCCCTCCTCGAGGGACCGGGGAGGGCCTTGGGAGCAGGAGCAGGACGAGAGCCGCTAAACCCAAGCAGGCCGATGGAGGGGCCGCTTGGCTGCCCGCGCCTGCTAAATAAGCTAAATAAGCAGCGCTAATCACCCTGCGCGCGCCCGTGACGCAGTGCCTGCCCCTCCCAGGGCACCTGCGGCCGCTGGTTGGCGGGCTGCCGGGCGTATCGAGTCGCTTAGCCCGTCCTGCCTGCAGCTACCGCTAGCTCCGTGATCCATCGCGCTAGGCAGGTCGCAGAGATGACTCGGAAATCCAACCTTCAGCCACCTGCGGCCGACCCGGCCCGGAGGCGCAACCACCCTTCTCCCTCGCTTACGATCTGGGTGACTATCAAATAAAATATGAGCTGGAGTGTGGCTACGGCTGAAGAGGGCTGCTGCAGCCCGGAATGGTAAGCACCATCGTCATGCTGCAGGAAACGGGGCAGCCGAGATAGAGGCAGTGGACGGGGTGCCGGCCTGGAGGAAGCCATCCCATGCCGTTGATTGATGCTCGACGCCTGGCTCTTGGCCCGCGCGTCCCCGTCCCGTCCAAGAGTTTCCTAGTCCAGAATATCCGCTGCGTCGCGCTGCAGCCGGCCTGTCCCAGTAACTGAGAATGACCACTGGCCCGTCGCCGCACAACGCCCGCTGGCGGGAGGGCGAATCACGGGCACGGCTGGCCGTGTTTTGCATGCCGCTTTCGGCCATGCAGCAGCATCGGCTCTCGCAGCGCGCTCAGCAGGCCCGGTCTCATGGCCTGCTCCTCCGCTCCCATTCGCCTTGCATATCTTCTCTGTCTGTGGCAAACGCCGCCCTCTGACATTCCTTCCGGCGAATCGGCATCAAGTGACCCTCTTTGCCCTCACTCGCACCCTCTGCGTCGTGTATGGGTGTGCTCAGCTCCCAAGGAAAAAATCATCTTCCAAGCTGAGGTTATCAGCCAGCCTACGCATTACTTTCTTTCCTTTTTTTATCTCCCTTATGCCCTTGGTCTATCTATTATCGAGTATCGCCTCCCCTCCTGTTCTTTTAACGACATGGTTGTACTGTTCCAATTAATTTCCGCCCATAGTGCCTTGGAGAACATGCGCAGTACATGACCGCCCGTCTCCGTGAGAGTCGCTGATGATGCCAGTGGCAATAATGCAGATTACTTCGTCATCACATTCCACTGGTGACGGCATCAAATCATCTTCCGCGCAATTGTCTTGCCATATCGATGATGGATAGAAAGGTATGAAGTCGGTCGGGAGTTGCGGCGATTGCGTATCTCCAGTTGTGGCATCCCCCTGCGGAGTCCTTGGCAGGCTTATCAAAACCCTCCGCTTGGTCTGGGGTGTGCATGTGCTTGATAGCATGCTGGTTGGAGTAGATTGCCAACTGCTTGAACCCCTCCATTCCGATGCACGATCTACAAAAACTTTAATGGTGGAGTTCCACCTGTAAAACCCTCCAAACCCCGTATCCTTCCCAGATAGTCGCCTTAGTAGGAATAGGTACCTTGTCGTCTCTGCGAGGGACATGCGCATACATGCATACTACATACAGATCCATGGACTCCAAAATTCGTCGCATCGTTGGTCCGAGTCTTCGAACTGGACTAGTTTATAATATGACGGAGTGTTAGATTTCGGAGAAGCGGTGTAGCCCTTCCCTTGGGAAAGAGGGGCAGACACAACTTGGTCTTCCGTTCTTCGGGGGTCTATTACGTACGTCCCTTGGAATGACCGGGCTGATCAGGGTGCTCACGACACGGGCATGGCACACCCAGCGCTGTCGTGCTGGGGTACACATGACGGTTTTTCGAATCGGATGCCTTCGTTGATCACCGCCCCGGTGCCATCCACGGCAGGACCCATAGCCAATCAATCGTCAACGATGCTCTCGAAGTCGGTGGGGCTCCGAGATCTTGCAAGACAGCCTCAGAACTGCACCCCTAAACTGGCAATGCGGAAGAATAACACGGAGGACAGAGACAACAACGTTGGAGGACAGGACCAGCAGCACATGGTGGCAGAGGACATGCCGTAGTCTGATCACCCCCGGGACCCACAATTATCGGTCGCACCTAACCTGTTTTGTCAGTCCTGATACGACGGCGGAGGAGAATAATATCCCGAGTATTCCTGATGATCGACAGCGACTAAAACGTCCTGAATGGTTTGCATACAACCTTGAAGGCGTTCTCTACCTCGATAATTCCCATCCATCATCTGGGTGTGTTTATCAGAAACAGATGACTCTGCCATTGATCACAGAGATCCACGGAACCGAAGTGCACAACTGAGCGGTCACGGCCCGCGGTAGCCGCGAATGCTCCATCGCTCTTCCCGTTCAGAGAAATCTCTCTCTCCTGGCGCCGCCACCACCCCACCATCACGACTCGTGTCAGAACATCTTTGAAAGGCGTCAACATGCAGATGTCATGTTACCGATTCGGAAGGACAATGCATCCAAAGAAAAAAGAGAGACCCTCTCTTCCCTCACAGAATTTTCTAGTTTCTTCCGACTACGTGCAAGTCGCCCCAAGGATTAGTGGCAGGTAGCTGCAGGATGTCAATCCAAATGCCAGTAAGGATATCGACACGACTTACAAAACGCACCCACAGCGTGGATAATAATGGAGACCATGCATTGACGACACACGCCTGTCAACATTATTGGGTGGCGAGTGGCCGCAGCATGAACTCAGGGAATTGCTGATGATTGGAGAAGGTCTTGTTGGCGCGTGCACCGTGCTAGCCCTTACTGCCGGGTCCTTGGCACTTGGCAAGACGCGACGTGCTGCTAGCGTACCTACTCGCAGACCCCGGAGAAGTCGCCATCCTCTCTCTGTGGGACGCTTTTGGGACATTGCAATTTTCTACGGAGCAAGTGCAAACGCATACACGCATAAAGATAATACCATTTATCTAGTCCTCGGAGGTGTTGGAGGCTAAGCATACAGGAGGTCTGCACCAGAGTCAATCAGGTTGATCGTCTCTCTCCCGGAGCGCTAATACTTCGACACCCTCTAATGTTTCGCACCGGCAATTCAAGGTTCTAACATACATGGCGCAGACTTGCCCCGGAGAATAACAATGTAATGGATTTCCCTGATAGACCAGGTGCATGCAATATGCAAAAATGCGTCATGGCCTCTTGCCTTTTTTCTAATCATAGTCTCGGAGAAGCTTCGGGAGTCCGAATCGGATCGAGGACTGCCTGGTGGGGCACGGGCCACCGGTCACGGACCACCAGGGTCGGACCGGCTCACCAGCCACAGATCCCGTGCTCCAGAGATGTGGCGGGTGCAAGTGGCCCCGCACACTGTGGCTGGGCCCAGCTACCCAATCCGTCGACAGCAGCATCTGACGTCGTTGGTCCGTTTCCCCAACCGCCCCAATGACGCTGGCATATCCCATCATGAGCCTCAACAGCAATACATGATATAACAACTTCAACATGATGCCTCTCCGAACCCAACAATGACCTCCGGCGACAAGTCGACGTCCCCTACATCCGATGACCTCTACGACCCCTCCAAACTCCCCGACTACGACACCGAGTTTATCAGTCCGGATGACCTTCGTCGCTTCGAACAGGCTCTGAACGCGCCTGAAGCGGAGCCTCTTGTTGCTATTAACGATTGGCGCCCCATTCGCCAACGCGTCCGGAAACCTCGGGGCAGTCGCCGAAAAAGGACTAAGGATGAGACGAGAGAAGGCATCCTGTATACGGTCCTCAAATACCCGTTTCTCGCAATCGTTTTTGGATGGATCGCCGTTCTCAGTGTCGCCTATATACTCACTCGCCTTTATATCTACCTATATGAGCACTTTGTCACATGGACAGGCCAGCGGGAGAGATTACGACGAGCATTGCATGCAACCCATAACTATGCCGACTGGCTGAGGGCTGCCAGAGCCCTGGACGCATATCTCGGCACCGAGCAATGGAAGGAGAAGGACGAATACGCGTATTACGACTACTTGACGGTGAATAAAGTTTTGACACAGCTCAGGAAGCTGAGAAAACTTGCGGAGAAGGAAGCACAAGATGGTGTGACCAGCTCCGGTGGCGATACCCCGGCCATGGAGGAGCTCCGTTCGCTGTTGGAAGCCTGTGTTAAAAACAACTTTGCCGGAGTGGAAAATCCGCGACTCTACAGCGAAACATATTCGGGGACCAAACATCTAGTGCAGGAGTATATCAATGAGGTGCATGCTTCTTTACAGTTGGTCTTGAACAGCAGGCACCTGTCGAAAGAAGTCAAGTACCGTCACTTCAGACACCTGGACACCAACCTTGGACGTACGGCGCTTTGTCTATCCGGGGGAGCGACATTCGCCTACTACCATTTCGGAGTCGTGAAGGCCCTCCTGAACAACGGAGTGCTCCCAGAGATTATCACGGGCACGTCAGGCGGGGCTTTGGTCGCCGCGCTGGTTGCGACAAGGACCGATGATGAGTTGAAACAACTACTCGTACCCGCCCTGGCGCACAAGATTAAAGCCTGCCATGAGGGCTTCACGACCTGGATACAGCGCTGGTGGCGGACAGGAGCCCGGTTTGACACCATGGACTGGGCTCAACAATGCAGCTGGTTCACCAGGGGCTCCACCACCTTCCGTGAAGCGTTCGAACGCACAGGGAGAATCCTCAATGTTTCCTGCGTGCCTTCCGATCCGTACTCCCCGACGATCCTCGCGAATTATTTGACGTCTCCTGACTGCGTGATCTGGAGCGCCGTCCTCGCTTCTGCTGCTGTCCCGGGCATCTTGAACCCGGTGGTGCTAATGAAAAAGAATCGCGATGGCACGTTATCGCCCTACTCGTTTGGGAACAAGTGGAAAGATGGCAGTTTACGAACCGACATACCGGTGCAGGCGTTGAATTTACATTTTAACGTCAACTTCACCATTGTATCTCAGGTGAGACGAAATTTTATGCCGGTTGTTATTAGTATATACTGACAGCCAATCCAGGTGAATCCTCACATCAATCTCTTCTTCTTCAGCTCCCGAGGAACAGTGGGCCGACCGGTGACGCATCGTAAGGGCCGGGGATGGCGCGGTGGATTCCTTGGGTCGGCGGTGGAACAGTATATAAAGCTCGATTTGAATAAGTGGCTTCGAGTGCTGCGGCATCTGGAGCTGCTGCCACGGCCGCTGGGCCAGGACTGGAGTCAGATTTGGCTGCAGCATTTCAGCGGCACAATCACGATCTGGCCCAAGAGTATTCCTTCGGATTATTGGAACATTCTTTCCGACCCCAGCCCGCAGCGGTTGGCACGAATGATTCACGTAGGCCAGCAGAGCACCTTTCCCAAAATCCAGTTCATCCGGAACCGGATGAAGATCGAGAGTTGCATCATGGAGGGCCTGCTTCGCAATTCGACGACGCGCAGTCGAGAGCCGTCGCCGCTGCTCTCACGACGAGTGGATGTCGGTGACAAAGAACCGTCCGACCATGTTCCACCTTTCCCCAGGGAGGAACGACTCGACGAGAATCTACCGGGACGCCGGACTCCGCCTGGCCGCGAGTTTGGCGACCGATATCTCGACGTGCCGGACGCTCCTGCACCGCGACATGAACAGAGACGGCCCAGCGTCATTGAAGAGATGCGACGGCAGTCGGCAGTCTTCTTCGACGACTCGGACGTGTACGGCGAAGAGGCCAACAACTACTCGAGTGACGAGGGGAGTCTCATTGCGGGGGAGAACAGCGGAACGAGAGTGACCTAACCTTCACAATATAGATGACATGACCGTCTTTGTTACTTGTGCATATAGAACTGGTGGAATATTCACTGTTTTGGTACGAACTTGATGTGATACCCTTTTGCATGGAAAAAAAAAAGAAGTGCCACTGCAATTGCCCTATGTATATTATCAATAGAATAGAATATTCCGAATCTTTGATATATGTAATCTATGACAGTTAATTTATCCTATCCATTTCATCATCTATAATATCTATATATCTATCTATCTTCTATGAATAAGACAGAATTAGCCCTTTATTTCATACTGCACCTAAATAGATAGATATATAGATGTGACCATAGTATTTTTTTTTCAACCCCTCTTTCTTTTTTTTTTAGTTTTGGCCTGCATACAGGTAGCAATTCCCATATCAAATTGATTAATTCAACATATATTGTACCTACCCTACCAGAAACCATCAAGCGAGTTTTTCTACTGTAGCATTCTCATGACGTTGATCGACTCTCTCCCTTTTTTTTTAAATTCCAATGATTGATTGTGAGGGAGTTCCAAAAAGGGTATCTGGTCTCGTGCCATACATGCATACATACATGTGCTGGACGGACAGGATAGGATAGGATGGGATGGGACGTGCCTTTTCTTTTTTTTTTCACCATTACAATACTGAAGGTCAGGTAGATTATTAATAATTCGACGGAAGTTGATTATTATCTTTTTTTTAAACAAAAAAAAATCTACACCGCTACTAATAATACAAGGGTCTGTAGTGAAGAATTGTTGTTATTGTTTCTTTGTTATTGTTACACAACTTGCATGTACGGAGACATATACTCCGTACATGCATCGATCGACCAATCGTTGACTTTGTATGTATGTATGTATGTACAGCTGTTGGTTCGTCCGAATCAATCAGATTACGAGATAATTCTCCGTCACCTCCCTTGCTGCATTGAGATCCCCGCTCAATGCATAGATGTTCTGCAGCGCCATGGCCGCTTCGCTCGAGAAATTCTCCACAAATGCTACTGGCTCGCCGCGTCGCTCGGCCTCGGCGCGGATCTGCTCGCCGATCGCCAGGGCGCGTTGGTATCCCTCCACCGCGAGATGGGTCAGGCCCAGCAGATGCCACACCCGCGCGAAGTTGAACTCCATCTCCTGTCGTTCCGACAGCAATGACCCCGCCTTCTCCCGCACGCGACGGTACTCGTGCAGGAACGAGAGTCCCTGGATGATCATGTAATGCCGGTTGTCGGACTGACGTTTCAGAGAGTGATGGATGTAGCAGAGAGCGATGGACAGCAACACGGCTGGGTTCCGGTCGTCGAGGCTGTAGGCGCGAAAGAAGTAATTCAATGCAGGATAGAAGCTGTTTCCAGAATAGAGGATGTGGCCGTAGAGAACGAGCAAAGCCGTGTCCATCTCTTCGGCTGGGATGGCTTCCCCGAGCTCATCGCGCGTCGACAGAGAGGCGCGCTCGTGGTATATCGATTCTCGCGTTCGCGCCTTGGGTTTCGGACGAGACGCATCCTCAGGCAGTGTGTAGTCCATAGCTTTGATCTGACGGAGCATGAACTTCATACTTGGCGAGGAATGAAACATCGACTTGTGCGGATCGCCACAGAGTCGGCTTAGCATGGCAAACAGCCTGTAAGCGTCCGTAACAAATTGGTACTCCTTGATGAACCATCGCGCTTCGGCGACCAATGTCTCCTCATCTTGCAGTCGAAGAGCACACGCTGTGCTAGCAGTCAGCGGAATTCTGCTTATCTAAAAAAGAAGTCGTAACTTACTGAACCAGCAGATATGGATCTGACGGAGCTTAGGCTTGGAATGATACCACACGCTAGCATCCGCAGCTGCAGCCAGGACATCGTATGCCTCCTCCGATTCACCTTGCCCGGCAACGACAAAGGCATACTCGAGAAATATATCCAGCCATTCATCGAATGAAATGCCATGGTAGTCGGTGGGGATTGCTGTCTGTACAGTCTCGGAAAGCTTACCTGAACTCTGGTCAGCAGATGCCCCCCAACAACTGCTGGCGACTGGTTTGGACTCACCAAGAGATTGTTGAAGACGGCCAGCCATCTCGTGCATCTCGTCCATCAATGTCTTGTTCCGGTTTTTGCCAGCTTTCCGTTGTGCTTCTCTGGAATAGCCTAGGAAGACCATATTTCTTTGCAAAGGATAGAAGACCCGGTTGGAGCGGAAATCACGCAACAACGCATCTGCGATGTCCAGCCAGTCCTCGGTGGCTTCGACGTTTCCTTCTCTCATTGCAGGTCGCAATTCCATCATCTTGGAGTACAGATATCGAATCTGCTCACTACGTCCTTCCTCGGTTTCCTCCTGCGCAATGCGGTTTCGGGCTGCAGCAGATGTGGTGAGCGTCGCGGGAGGTACTTCAGCTGGAGGCCTGGGCGCAATAGTCCTGAATGCCCCTGCAGCAGCACCAGTTCGAAATTCCCTGGCCAACTGCTCAATCCGGGTGTCTTTCCTCCGTCGGCGACGGCTCGTCTCTTCCCGCCCCAGCAGGACTGCTTGGTTGACGTATTTCAACGCCTCCTCTTGCATGTTGTTTTCCTCATACAGTTTCGCCAGTTTCACACGGACTTCCACGTTCATCGGTTCATGCTCCGCCACAGTTAAGTAGCAAGTCTCTGCCTCTGAAGCTTTCCCACAATACAAGGCGCAATCGCCCATTGCCATGAAGAAGCTCGCGTCCGCATACTCGTCCGTGAGCTGTAACGGCGTGTAATACCGGAGAGCATCTTCGAACAATCCAGCCTCCTTGAGTGCGTCTGCCGCCTCTCGGAAGAGATCGCCATAGTCATAGATCTTGGCCCCGGGAGATGTGTCTTCAGGGTTGAGCCACTCGAAATGACTCTGCAAAGCCCAGTTAAATCGAGATCATGCCGAACCGAGATGGACCAACTTACCAAGGCTTCGTTATTATATCGGTCCCCCATCTTCAATCGAAAGACACCAAGCTTGACCCTCAGTTCCAGTGGAAGACTCGAACCATACGACTCTCGAGGGTAGAGTCCAGGCTCAAACCCGTCAGTCTTGATCCGACGAGGAAAATCGTCTGCGTCCCATTCTCGATCGTCTTCCTCGATCTGGTCCCATATGTCGTCTTCTTTCCGGCCCAGGAGCCATCTCGATAGGGACTTCAGGACGTGTAAACCTTCCTGGTACCGATGCGCGTAGGCAAAGAGCTCCACACAGATGTTGACGTCGGACCAGGAGAACTCGATCTCTTCGTCTGGCTCGAGAGACATATAGTAGTCGACGCTATTCATGTAATGATCAATGGCCTTCTGGACGTCATTCAGGTCGATATACGTCTCAGCCAGGTGCCGGAGAGCCCTGGTATTGTGGGGAAGCTCTTTCAGGATCCTCTCATATTCGGTGGCCGCGCGGCCATTGTACCCGAGTTCGCGATAGACGGCTGCTCGCTGAAAACGAGCGTTGTAATTCTTCGGATCAATATCAATAACGCGGCTATAGCAATAGATCACGTCGTTCAGCGCTGCTTGCCGATCTTCACCGGCTCTCTCTAAAATTAGCTTGGCTACCTTGGCCCATACGGTGGGATCCTTGGGTCGAGTGTGCGCTCCACTGAAAAGAGCAGTCAAGGCCTTGTCCTTCTCTCCCCGGGCCAGGAAGATCTCCGACAGCAACGAGTGGGCCGCAAACATCTCGGGGTTGACTTGGATGGCCTGCTTCACCAGATCGATGGCGCGATCGTAATCTCCATCGATGAAGGCGGAGGTGGCCTCCGAATGAAGCATCTTGAATTCTGGACTGGGTTCCAGTGGCTTTCGTGGTCCTCTCTTGATCCCTTTACCGCCTCGGGCACCATATCGTCCGGAGAAAGGTCCATGGCCTCTGCGTCGGCGGCGCCGCCTGAAAGAGGCGGCGTCGTCATCGTCGTCGTCCACTGGTTCCTCGACTGCGTCTAGCATTTCTTCATCGCTGTGCGCAGGTTAGCTACTGGCGAGCTGCTTGACAGGGAGGTAGGGAGGATTTGCCATCACTGACGTGGAGCTCTCTTCCTCTTCCGACTCCTCGAATTCGGATTCAGACGACAACTCATTGAAGTCAAGACCCTCGTCCAAGGGTGGTCTGCCAAATGCGTTAGACCTGGCATCGGCCTCGTTGGCATCGTTCTGTGTTTCGTGATCTGGCGGACCGGCATCCGTACCAGAGAAGGGAGCTGAATACAGTCGAGGATCGATCACGGAGGACAATGGAGGCTGACTGGCATTATTGGCTGGTGTTCCTTGCCATGAATACTGCACGGCCTCATCGATGTCCGGATACACGAAGTCCTGGGGAGGGTCCTGGTTCGGAAAGTTTTCTCTTTCGTCCATGGTGATGGCACCCAAGGGATCAGCGCATGGAAGCTATCAAACTATCCTCCTGGGTATCTGAAAATGCTGCGAGGGTCTGGGCGCGCACGATCCATGAAAACGATCACGTAGCAACCCGACTTGGATCACTAGTGGAAAGCTCTAGCTGGTCAACACGCACACACAATGGCAACAAAGAAGGCACAATGCAATAGAGAAGCGAACAATAGAACAAAGGAGCGATATAGCAGTCACCACGGGGGCCCAGTCACTGGGTCGCACAGTCGCCAGGGCTAGGGAAGGCCGGAACGCGTCGCAGGTTATTCATAGCAACCTCCCCCACTCGAGCGCCAAACCAGGCGTGGACGAGGTGCAGAGGCGATCGATCGGTGGAGGGGTGCGCGGCGGGTGAAGGAAGGCTAATAATTAAGCAGTCCAACTAAGAATAAAAATAAAACAGCAGACGTCGGGGTCGTGCAGTAGTGAGCCACGAGCACGACTGTCACCGCCCCAGCAGCAGCGCCCACGCAGACATCACTCTTTCATCAGAAGCGAGCAGGGACTGGCTGCAGGAATCGGCAGTCACTGCAAACAAGACCAGACTGGCGATCGGCGGCAGGTTTGGCGATCGCAGGCTGCTCGGCTCTGGAGCATTCTCTGGCCGGGGCGGCGGGCGTGGAAACTGGAAGGCCTTTCTTTGGCGGGTTCGGGCCCAGACCAGCCTTCGCTTCCACTTCCACTTCTTCCATTCACCAGCCAGCCTGCCCGACCCAGCCGATCTTGTTGCTCGTTTGTCCGCTTCGACGTCCATTTCATTTCTATTTCTGTCGTCCTCCTCTCCTCTCCCGCCTCCTCGCCTGCTCCGACTCCCATCCGTGCTGCTTCTTTTCTTTTCCTTCTCTTCTCTTCTCTCTCTCTCTTTCGGCTCCAGGACTGCTGCTCTGCTGTGTTTGACACACACTGCCAGTCCTGGCATTCTTTCGTTCCTGCTCACCACTCCTACCGCCCCCTCGAGTCCCTCGTCCTCGCCTCTCGTCCCGTCGTGCTCCTTCCCATCCCTCCCGGCTCGATAACAGCCTGTACAGTCGATTAATCTAGTGCAGCCACTGGACTGGTCTGTGCCTTAATATTCGTCGCCTAGAGCGTTGCTGTCAGGTTGCTGAGGTTCTCGTCTTTGCTCGTTGGGAGAAAAAAAAAGGGTTGGAAAAAAACAGGACCTCTGTCACAGAGAGCATCCGTGTCTTTACTCCATCCTCGCCCTCAGTCTCCCAAAATTAAATTCAGCAGGCGCTGCAGGAGCTTTGCAGTCATAATATTACTCATTTCGACCCCTTCATCTATCGTTTGAAAGTCTCACGCGAGCTCGTCTCACCATGGCCAGTCATATCATTGGAAACCGCAACAGCACCCCAGAGGCCTCCAAGTCGTCCCTGCGGCCGCCGTCGTCGTCCCGGAACTTGGGCGGCTCTCACCAGCTGCGAGCGTCTGCGGACATGTCTGGCTTTCCTTCCCCTCTCTCCACTCGCAATATGCGCCCTTCCTCCGAAGTCTTCTTCAACCAACAATCCCAGGGTCAGGGCAACATGGAAGATCCTCTCGATCGTGCCGCTCAGCAGTGGATCGCCGACATCGATCAGTACGAGACCACACTCGAGGAAATGGCTGCGGCCACCCTCGACCAGGACTTCAAGGACGAACTCAGCGCGATCGAGCAGTGGTTCCGCGTCTTGAGTGAAGCGGAGAGGACTGCGGCTCTGTATGCTCTCCTTCAGCAGACTACCCAGGTCCAGATCCGTTTCTTCATCCAAGTCCTGCAACAGATGGCCAAGAACCACCCCATGTCGGGAGTCTTGTCCCCTGCCAATTTCGGGGAGAAAGGTGAGTATCTAGTCTAAGTGTATTATCGTGTTCTGTGATACTGACGCCAGCAGACCCCATGTCCAACCGCCTCAGCGATGCGATGTCCAAATTGAACATCGACAGCTCGCGTAACTCCATTGGCCGTCCTCCGCCATCTCCTGGTGCGAAGCGGAATTCAGGCCTCGATTCGAACACCATCAGTGCCATGTTCCCCGACGCCGCTGCAGCGATTGCCCAGAAGAAAGCCGAATACACCCAGCAGACCGGCAATGCCCCTGGCTCGAACGCCAACAGTTCGTCTGTCTTTGGGGATCGTTCATCCCTCGTTGCACCAACCATTTCAGCTCCAGACAGCAACAAGGACAGCCTGAGTCAGCCACCTTCATCGCCATGGTCTCAGCGCACTCCGGAACCTCAACAACCCCCGATCGCTCGTCCCAAGTCGTCCTCGGGGCAGCCGCAGCCACAACAGCAGCAGCAGCCGATGGGCCAGTTCAGTCAGCCCTCTGCGTCCTCTGGACTTCGTTCGCCGCGGCCTGGCCAAGTGTCGGGATCCTCGAATGTGCAGAGCACGACCATCACCGCTCCCGAGATCTCTCATGATGCTCCGCTCCTGTCCCCGTACAACGTGGGAAATGCTAGTTGGGCTTCGCTGGCGAATACGCCAATGACGGCAACGTTTAACACGCAGCAGCAGCAACAACAGCAACAGAACACGGCAGCTTCCCAAGCAGATATGGTGGCCAATGCGACGGCCATGAAGTTGGCGGCGTTGTCGACGGTGAACAACCGCATTGCGCTGGATGACGCTCGCAAGTACCGCCGGGCTCGGTCGAATGATGGACACGGGAAGAACTCGAATTCGGGCCATGTCTCGTCTGGAGTGTCACAGCCCAATGTTCCCGGCGCAAACCTGGTCATGGTCAACGATGCAGGCCAGGTGCTGAACGCGCAGCAGATTGCCGCTCTCCAAGCTCAGCAGCAAGCCGCCCTGGCCGGCCGGCGTTCTCGCCCCAACTCGCCGGGCATTGCTCTGCAGGCGCCGTTGGGACAGATGGGATTCACATCGCCGCAGAACAACGGCTTTCTTACAGCGTATGACCCGAACAACCCTCTCTTGGGTAATGGACTGGGGTCTCTTGGGCTGGGCCAATTCGGTCTTGGAGGTCATGAAGGCTATCTGTCCGACCACTCCGAGGTGACGCGGGGACGCTCTCCTCGAGGTCGGCGTGGAAGCTCGAAGCCTCCAGAGGACCCGACGGACCCGAACCTTCTGAAGGATATTCCGGCATGGCTGAGGTCTCTACGGCTGCACAAGTACACCGAGAACCTCAAGGATCTCAAGTGGACGGAGTTGATTGAACTGGACGACAAGGGATTGGAGGAACGTGGTGTGAATGCACTTGGTGCTAGGAACAAGATGCTCAAGGTGCGTTAAGAACAGAGAACTTTACAACTGTTATTACATTGCTAATTTATGTTGCAGGTTTTCGACCAGGTTAAAGAAGCCAAGAAGGAAGGCAAGCTCGACAGTGCTCTGTGAGCTGACATGTCTGATTTCATCTTCTATTTCTCGTAATTAATCCAGTCCAAAAAAAAGCGGGTTCTAAATTGGGGATTCTTGAGGAGAATTCACTGTGCGATATGATTGGAATGGCAATCTCAAAAGATGTTTTAAGTTCTGTCACGCGATCGACATGATTCTTGTCATACCCGTTCACATATGAGCAGGAAAATTTGCTTTTGTATCTATTCATTGTGGACTGCTGCGGTTGTTCGACTCGACGCGACGCGTCGAGACGAGAGGACTGCGGTGCAGACGCACACATACTATTTTTAACTCGATACGATATGGGCATGGGGAGGCAATGTCAGTGGTCATGGTCAGCGAGGAGGATCGGATGACATTGTAATCAGGATAGCATCTCAGTCTGTGACGAGTGTAATTGCTTTAGGAATCGATCAATTGATAATTGAATTAATTAATGAATATCTATCATGGTGAGAGATGGCTATTGTAGAGTATCGATTTGGCTCTGGTAACTTGTGATAGCACGGAGTACAGTCAAATGCTGCCTTAGTCGGACGGTCTTGGCGTGTCCTGTCAACCACCGAGATCATCACCGATACGTAGTGAGAACATCACTGCAACGCACCCAAGTTATAGCCAGTGCACAACTATTGCAAGTAAGTCCCTCGTCTCCGCTGCGCTTTTTTTTAACCTTCTCTCCTTTGCTTCCTGTCTGCTTGTCAACCAGACCGAGTAAAAAAAGGGCCTGATTAACAATAACACCGCTGCTAACGACAATCGAAGCTAGATCAATCAATCCATTGCAATTGCAATAATAACTACGGAGTATATTCCTACGAACAACCGCGACACAAACAAACAAACAACCGCAAGAGAAAACCAGGGAAAAGAGACGAGAGGAAAAAAACAATGCCACCGACAAAACAGGAGCTTTCGCTCCTTGTCCACCCACTCGTCCCGGAAGCGGTGCAGCATAACAATCGGGTAAGATCTATCACCACCTATATATATACCTGGCTAGCTATCTAGCTAGCTAGCTATTATTACCATAAACAAACAAACAAACAAACAAACAAAGTGAACAGCACAACTGACACGGGATATTTTACGTAGGTCCTTTCCCAACTCCGCTCCCTAACAGCCTTCCTCCTCGGCATCTCAGCCGGAATCCTCGGTCTGCAATCCACCGCGGGGTTTCTGTACTACCTCGTCGGCATGGCATTCGTGTCAGCGCTGGTGCAAGTCTTCCTCATCTGGCGCACTCCGGAAGGACGAGTTGCTGGCGCGGGGGCGTTTTTTCCTGGAAGTAGTGGGGGGGAGATTGAGGGGATTGAGCAGCAGCAGCAGCAGCAGCAGAGGTGGGGGTGGATTAATGCTGGTGAGGAGAAGAAGACGAATAACAAGAAGGTGATTGCGAGAAAGGGTGCTTGGAGAGATGTCTGGCTTGGTGGGGGTGTTATGGGTGAGGCGTTGAGTGGGTTTGTCTTGGGTTGGGCTGGGGTTGGGGGTGTGTTGCGATGAGAGAGAAACAGGAAGAGAGAGATCTTACGTACATCCATGCATGCTCCTGCTTAGGTACTTCCTGCTTGTGTCTTTCTTTGTGTGTTGAATAATACAATAAGGACTTAGGATGGGATGGACTAGGCTTCTTCTCCTTCTTCTTTTCCCTCGCCTTTCATGAGACTTGATGAAGGGCATATTATACTCTATCTATCCATCTCTCTTGCTTCAATTTCTTCTATGCCTGTCTGATTGATTAATCTTCCAGTATAGATTGTATCGAGTAGATAGTATTGATAACGATACTCGATATAACATACTCAATATACCATTCTTCTATGTTTTAGAATTCATGCGTCTAGCACATATAACCCACACAGACGAACAAAAAAGAAAAAAAAAAGAAGAAGAAGAATGATAGAACAACACGAATAATGAAAATCAATCACGTCTTCGTCTCAGCTGGAATAATGAATAAAACGACACCATATCCTTACTTAATTCCATTACCTCTCGTTAACTAGAGCAGCTCAATCTCTTCTTCTCTCGAAATTTGAGTCGGCTGCTCTTCTTTGGCTGGTCCGGGCAACTGTTGTCGTCGGGAAATGTGCTTGTAGGAGTTGACGTTTCCCTGTGCAATATACGAGTGAGCATTGGATTGTCACTATGCAAAGTGAAAGTTCAAACATACCTTCAACAGAGCATACAAGTACGGCACGTAGATGACTTCGTTGTATTGCGTCTCGTCATCATCACCTCGCCCCTCCTCCACACGACGTCCGTCTTGCTGGCCACTTTTCGACGCAGGCTTGATCCACACATTCCCCAGAAACAACCCCGACACCAGACTGATGCCCATAATCGGCATGATTGCGATGAACGCCCACATCACGCCATCCTTACCTCTCGCGCGGATGACTTGCTGCGCCGCCGCGGGGAGATTGGCGATGGCGCTGAGGCTCTGCGTGCTGTGGACGTTGAGTCCTCCTGCCAGGCCAGAAGATGATGATGCGCCGGAAAACTTGTTGTTGAACACGCTGCCCATAATTGTCAGCCCGAGTGTCCCTCCAAACGGCATGGCGAAGCGCATCAGCGACATGGCCGACGCAAGCCGCTCGGGCCAGACGCCAGCGATATGCAGTGACGCAGGCATGAACCGGGAGCCAGTCCCAGCGCCGGCGAGCACCATCATCCCGTTGACGACATTCGTGTTGCGGACTGATACCGCCCACGCGAGCACGGCCAGCCCGATCGTCTCTTCAATGGTGCCCAGGGTCAAGGGCGGGAAGGTCTGGCCGGGGCGGACATTGCACATATACGCGGCGATGTAGACGCCGGCTGCGAGCAAACGCATCGTCGTCAGTTTATATTCATCAGCTGAAGTTCCAGAACATCTTACCTCCTAGACCAGGGATGTAGTAGAGCAGCTGCGTACCAGCCTTGCCTGCAGGGTAGGCTTCGACAACCGTGAAGTAGATTCCGATGAAATAGTAGACAGAGTACATAGCTGTAAAAACAACACTTTGTTAGTAATGCAGAAAGGAGTGATTCTAGTGGTGACTTACCAGCACCCGCAGCAAACTGCATGATCGCAATCAGCAGCGTATCCATCCTGGAGAAGAGACTGTAGGGCAGCATGGCGACCTGTTTAGGAAACATCCTCGAGACCAGTCTCCCCGGCTCGAGAAAATACTCGTAGACGAAGAACAGAGCGAAGCACACGCCGCCCACGACGATCGGTGCCAGCACCTGGGCAGACGTCCACGGATAGGTCGATCCACCCCAGGACGTGCCTAGGATGATGAGGCCAACGCCGAAGATGAACAATACGATGCCACCGATATCGAGCGTCGCCAGAGCAGGAAGAATTGAGGACAAGCGTGACCCTTTGCGGAAGTGAGTCCCTTCCACGAGCTCGTTCCGCAGCAGGAAATAAATGGTGAAGTGGGAGACGAAGGCGATCTGCGTGATGTTAGTTGACTTATAACGTCAAAGAACACACTGGTTTTGGGTCATACCGGGATGGAGATTACGAAAACATATCTCCAGTTAGCCTGCAGAATCGTTAGATTTTTTTTTGCTCTAAGTGCTATTTATTTCTGGTCGTCTTACATCGGTCAAGTACCTAAAAAGAACGACAATCAGGATCTGTAGCAAATTCCAATTTCCAGCACGGAGAAAGAAACTTACCCTCCAATAACCGGCCCAATCGAGTAGCTAACCCCCGATACAAACACGAATATCGTATTATTCTTCGAATTCTCCTTCAGGGAGACTTTATCTGCGAGGATGATCATGATAATATTCATGATCCCCGCAGAACTCGTGCCCTGTAGCGCCCGTCCCAGCAGCAGCATGCCCCAGGTCTGAGCTGCCGCGCACAGCGTGCTGCCTACGAGCATCAGGAACATGGCCAGCTGGAGGGCGGCGTGACGGCCAAAGACGTCAGCCAGCTGCCCAAAGGCCGGAATGAAGGTGGTCGAGGTTAATGTGAAAGCGGTGACGATCCAGTTTAGCTGGTCGAACTTGTCTGGCAGACGGCGTTAACCGCTCTGTAGACGTTTGGTCAATCGCAAAACGAATGGAGAAATGCAACGTACTGAAATACGACGCGATAAAGGGCAACGACGTCGCGACAATGGTCAGATCCAGAGACGCGAGGATATAAGGCAGGATCAGACCACCGAGGAGCTTGAATCTGTAGATCATGGCGTCGTGTTCCTGCTGTTTGCAGATTGCGCATGGACCAGATTCAAACTCCTTAAACGGTGCTACTGCTGCTGCAGTGCTGTCAGAACTTTGTGTGGTGATTTGATGCCGACATGGCGGCTTGTCAGGAAGTTTCTGCGCCGGTCCATCACCACTCCGGGATGACCACTTCTCAGAGGCCTTCCGGTGTGCGAACCTGGCAAGCTTGTACATGGAGAACTCGTAAGTGAATTAATTGTATAGGAAGACTATTTTGGTAACAGCAGTAAAAAAGAAGAAGAAGAAGAAGAAGAAGAAGAAGAAAATTTCTGGATAACAGCAGGTCAATCAGCGAAGGGATAGGATCCTCAGTTTATCTGACAGGCAATGCGTCTGACAGGCAGAAAACACATCAACCAGGAGCAGAAGCACGGCGCTCCAAGGAAGCACAAGCATGACGACAGACGCCCATAACACCCTGCCCGGGCGCCATGTGTATATATACTCGTAGACGCTCCATGCTGGACGTGCAAAGGGGGGCGATGCGAGGTGAAATTGCAGAGTTCCATCCAGTCATCGCCCTTGCTTTCTCCAGATTCTCGACTTGTACGTCAGATGATCAGCAGCGGCCATTCCCTTTTCGGGCATGGCGGCTTCGGCGAAGGCCTCGTGTTTTCCAGATCGGGCAAGCACTGCGAGGGGCCCACACGACAAAGCATCGCGACGACGATCTGGCAGCAATACTAGCAGTGGGTCGCCCAGCGATACGACTCAGTCCTCGTCTGCTATTTATGGCTTGCCGAACGGCCCTGTCAGCCTGGCCATAGCTCGCCGTCAGCCTCGCTGCAAACTTGCTGACACTTTATTGTTGTCTGACACCGAGGTTGACAACAGAATGAAAACGCACGAGCGTCAATATTTAAGCGTGCCAGCCATTGAACTATGTTCATGAATTAGCTCCAAAACTATGTACACGTACATGTGGACGAACCCACGGGTATGATCACACATCAAATCAAGCAAGAACTAACACATCCAACCCAGAACGCGCATGACAGAAAAAAAAAGAACACCGAACCCAGAATTGTTGTAATCAGGAAGACCCCAGAATAAAATGAACTCAGGTATCGATCGCTGTTTTATCACTGTTCTGCTCCCTCCACAGCTTGCTTCCTACGGTACGCATCAATCGCCTGCGCATCCGCAATCGCACTCTGCAACGCGCTTGTCAGATCCACGTGGAAGAGCGGCCGGTTGATGCCCTGCACGAGAGCAATCCGGCGACCCTGGTTGTAGGCCTTGCTCGTCGTCAGCTGCTGCTGCAGATCCGATTCAGCGCTGCTGCTGCTCTCGGACGCCAGCTCGATGCCGTCGCGCTCCCTCTCGGTCGTCTGGCCTCCCTTGCCTTGCTCCAGGTCGCCCTTCAGCTTGGACGACTGGACCTGGTGCTCCTGTTCCGCCTGTGCGGCAGCGGAGGAACGCCCCCCAATCTCGGCCACACTGAAGATGGGCTTCCAGCGCCGGAATCCAGAATCCGGGATCGGGGTGGGATAGCCAAATCCAGCCGACGCAAGAGCCCGTTTCGTCCAGCGGTTGTTGATGTGCGCAAAGTGCCATTGCACCGGCTCCGGAGCGGCATACATGTCCAGTTGGTTCCGGACGTCAATGAGATTCTGGATAGACGTGACATCGACATTGTTCACCGAAGAGAAATCCAGAATGACCGCCCGCAGGATCGGCAGATGGGACCGGTCTTCTTCCTTCTGCCCACGACGCGGGCCCGGGTTGTTCCATGGTCGATCTCCCGGGCGCGGATAGGACTCGAGATTGGTTCGTCGCGTTTCCCTGAAGATGGTCTCCACCAGATAATCGGTGTAATGGTTGGCATTGGGGTAAATGAATCCCTCGGAAAACCGATAGATGAAGATACCCGGATACGGGTGTTCGACGGAGATGTCAGGGTTCGAGCCGTCATGGTGGTTGACGGGGAGGAAGACATTGCGGTAAGCCGCATCCGAGTCGCTGTCCGAGTCGGATACTTGCTGCACATTCTGGGTAGTCCCCATAGACCCGTACTTGCCATCACTGTCGAGGAGGTGGTCCCCGACAACGGAGTGCACCTTGACTTTGCCCAGAAAATGACCACGCGCTTTTGCCAGTCGCCAGAGCAGGAGGAACATCGAGACACAGATCGTCGTATAGATCCCGTTCTCGATCGTGGAGAAGATGGTGACTAGGACACCCGCGAAGAAGATGAGCACTTCCAACGGTGACACTCGCCAAAACTGGTAGACCGTGTTAGGCGGCGTGATCAAGTCGCCGACAGCATGGATGATCACTCCCGCCAGCGAGGCATTGGGGATGTAGTAGAAGACAGCTGGGAGAGCGTAGATGGCGAGCAACACGACGATGGCCGTGATCAGACCCGCAAGAGGGGTTCGGACACCAGCCTTGGATTTGATGGCCGTCCTCGAGAAGGACCCTGTGGCGGGATAGGCGCCGAGAAACGGTCCAAGCAGGTTGGTGATCCCAATCGCAACCATCTCCTGGGAAGGGTCGATGGTGTAGTTGTTGACGCGACCAAAGGACTTGGAAATGGCGATGTGCTCGATGAGCATCACTATCACCGCAGCCGGGAGATTCTTAGAGAAGGCGGAGATGATGTTAGTGTCGATCTTGGGAACACCGGCGGCGGTGAAGCCTGTCAACCTCGTTAGAAAACCAAGAATCTTGAGGTGGCAGAGATTTGGTTGCGGCACGTACCTCTCGGAACGTGACCCAGCAATTTGAACACGGGTTTGTCCTTCCGATGCAGATTCACCGCTGCGCTGATCATGGTGTAGAACAGAATGACAAACACGGTGCGCAAGGTCGAGATGAAAAAGAAGATCTTGGACTTGTGCGGGTACCTCTTCGCACCGTAGTTGCATGCGCCACGGATCAGGTAAAGCATCAAGAGCGCGGTCAGGCCCATGGCAGCGTCGATCTGTGTCGTGGGCAGGTATTTCAGGGTGTTGATGATCACCATGTATGTTGCCGCCCTCGTGTCGAATTTGGCCGTCTCCCCCAGCATCGTCGGGACCTGACCGGCCGCAATGTTGATTGCGGAGCCCGTCATGTATGCCGAGATAGCGGTGAGGGGGATGAAGTCGACAATCCAGCCCCATCGAATCAATCCAACAAACGTGATGATGGCCCCAGAAATGATGGCCAAGGCTGATGCAATCACGGGAGCCTCAATTTCCGGATGTTTGGCCTGCACTTCGAGGATGATCGAACCAGTCAAGGTCGACATGACAGCGACGGGCTACGACGTCAGGCAGTTAGCAGCTATTAGCACAAACCTTGATCTTTTCCCTTACCCCGATGGTGATATCCTTTGACGTAGCGAAGAACCAGTAAATCAAAACACCCATGAAGGAAGAGTAGAGACCATATTGGACGGGCAGATCAGCCAGTTTAGCATAGGCCATGCCTTGCGGAACCACCACGGCACCAACCGTGACACCTAGTCGAAGTTAGAAAGAAGTTCCAGTGTCTGATTGTCTGATTTGATCATGCTTGAGAAGGGGACTCACCGGCAATCAAATCTCCTAAAAACCACTGCCAGTTATACCTTGTGATCCATTTGAGGAAAGGAAACAAATTGTAGAAATAGAGACCGACTTCGCGAGGTGTCGGAATATGCTCTGCGAGGAATTCTGCAGTGGTTGGTTCCGATTCAACATAGGTCTCTGCGGTGCCGGAGGAGAAAGTCGACTCCCCCCGCGTGACCGGATCGGCATTGGGTCCCAAGGGGTCTCGATATTGCAGTTTGATCCCAAGGCCCTTGGCTAGGGCATGGCCAATTTTGGTTGCGGTCTCACCCGGCATGGCTGCTGGATGAGGAGAGGGATTGACAAGACACAAGCCAGTCAAAGATCAATTAAGTGCTGTATGAATCGTTGGACTTGGTGATGCTGGCCGGCCCACGAAAACTGCACCCGTTCTCAACGGCGGAACCGGGGTAGGTAGAGAGAATATATGGCTTTCGGCCCAGATGTATCGGGAAGCTGATCCCTGCAAGGCGTGCAGGGGGGAAAGATTTGACTTTTTTCTGTTCAATCAAGGCTTGGACTCAGATCACCACGACGTCTCCATTACGGCAACAAGGTCGAAATAAAAAGGAGATAAAAAAAAAGAATTATGCTCGATGGTAATTAGTGAAAGTTGAGAGCCAAGTAATAATGATGATCTGAAGGAAGCCACAGTCGATGTCGTGATCGAGGCCGCCAAGCGCGAGATTATTATTAACCCCACAGGAAAAAGCAAAACAACATGGACAGCACAGGCCAGAGCGCCAATGCTAGATAGGAAAGAGGATACGAGGCAAGGTTCCCCGTGACGCAATGGCAGCACGAGATGCCTGATTCCCTGGCCGGAGGGAGGAGGAAAGATGGAATCGGCTTCTAGTGGTCAATCCCAAGGGAAAAAGAAGCCGAATGACTGGGAGAGCCTGCGGGCAGGTTAACTATCAGCAGTATGGAAATCGGGGGTCGTCTTGCCTGGCAGAGAGGAGGGAGAGAAGTTTTGATGGCGGCATCGAAACGTTAGTTAATATGATGAACAGCAAGGCCTATCTTGGCCGCAAGACTCCGGCAGTGGCCATATCCACGAGCTCCACCATGGGCTCGTGGCATCACGGTTGTCCAGCTCGGCACTGCTTCTAAACGGCGCATCTCGTCCAGCGTCTCCACGAGAGACAGTCATGGCCTCCGCTGTCCGGAGCTGCAGGAGGGATGCAGTTGCAACAAACTAGGGTTTGCTGCGGCGGAGGATCACGAGTGCGTTCAACTGGCGCAGCGCCGGCCAATCAGCGGGCGCGGCTGGGTGCAGTTCGTCATCCGCCCCGCGCTCCCGGCGACCAGTGGAGCGCGGCGGCCCAATCACCGCTCCGCCGGAAGACGCCATATCGCCGGCGGATGGTGAAAGCCGCACGACAGTGGAGCGGCTGCCCAAGGCATACAATTTATCAATCTTGTATTCCTAATCTCTGATCAGGCCTGCCTGGACCGTGCCATATATTATCAGGTATCTACCTAGATTACCTATATTCTCTATATGACCGGCTCATCAATCATGATCAGTGCCACAGACATATTGACGAGAGTTCAGAACACTACCACTCTTTCCAGCCATTGAGGTAATGACAGTGCGCACGGAGCACGCCTTATCCGACCTCGATCTCAAAATGACGTGGAACAGCTCAAGTTCAAGCGTCCTGTTGACTATCCTCGAGGTCTGAGACCCAGACCTGTCAAAGCCATGTGGACAGCATCAAGCCAACTAGGAGCTTGGAAGCTGCCAGAGCTCCTGCCTAGGTAGGAATGCAGGTTGGTACTCCGTGCGCACTTGCCTTGACAGGAGAGCTGGCCGAGTTAATAAAGTTGCCATTACTGCTTGTGAGACTGCTAGTGGGAGCCTGGATCCCTGGATAGTGCGGTTGTACGCGTGCTGCGACATGCGTCAGAATCAAGTCTGTATGGCTGACTTCGCGGCAGAGCCACTTTAGGCTCCAGGGTCGCAATTGCAGTGGGCAATGGCGTGATCAAGATCCCTTCCTCCTTACTAGATTAGGCAGCTCAGGACTGATGACAGGCTTCTGGAAGAAAACCAAACGCAAACCTGACGTGGACATGATTAATCAGACGGACCAGGGCCACATAATCTAAATCGTGGACATCATATATAGCCCTGTGCATATTTGGGTTTGTTTCTCACAAGCGTTCCTCATACTCCTGCAGACAAGAGGGGAAATGGCAAAAAAGAAATCATTGTTCCTTCCAGCTGCGAGGCTGGGTGCCAAAGAGGACAGTACTCGGTTATGATATTAGCCCAGCTCGAAGCCAGTCCTCCAACTGACTCTTTGAGCAACTATTACACAACTTACCTACATGGATAGGTAACTCAGCAGTGCGACGGACACAATGAACAAGCTCGACGGCAGATGCAGTAATAGTACTTCCTTCTGATGGTGTTGATGTTGGTCAAATTCTAAATTCCTGCCAAGATAGACATAGAAAGACATAACAACCTGACGCCGGACTAATGGGGGAAGGTTGGAAATCGTCAATTAACAGATTCTAACGGTTTCTCAGTGGTGTGACGTTACTGGGAATTTTTCTACCTAACTGATCGTCTCTAGGAAATTGAGATTAAAAAAAAAGGCATTTCAAAAAAAAAAGGGCATTGATAAGTAGCTAACCATGGGATATAATCGTTATGTAACTGTTTCGACATAATAATACTAGATGGGAAATGTCACCTACTGCTACTAATACTAACTGGGTAGCTCGACTGTAGGCATACTTCATTCCTCGTAATGTTTTTTTGTTAAATCCTCGAGTGGATCGTTGTTCACACTCGCTTTCACAAACCTCAGAAGGCGCCGATATATACTACGAACGCCATTCCTATCAGCATTATGTGCAAGAAAGTCATTGAAGAAAAGCAACAGTCAAAATCGAGACTATGTATCTAACGCCTTAACGAAGATGATGATGACAGGAAGATGTCTTCTGAGGGGTTTTGCACCTACCATTCATGTTTAGAAGCGCCTGGACAAAGGATCCGAAAAACTAGAACTCGTGTCTTTATTTTATTACTGAATTACTGAGGCCTTCTCTTATCATTTTTCCCTTCCTTCCTTCTTCTCTTTTTTTTTTCCAAGCTTGTTTTGTTTCCCCTCGAAGGACATGGAATGCAATCTATCTATTATTGCACAATACGGAGACAGAGGGTGCAGCACACACAGCTCAACGCGAAGGGATCCGTTCTATTCGCATTTCAGGTCCGTTCCTACCAGCTATAGGAGAACGAGAAGAAATTAGGGGACAAAAAAAAAGCACTGAATGTTGAAGTTTTTTTTTTTGAGGGAAAATATAGAGTAGTAAATATGTGTAGGGTCGAGAAAAAAAAGTATACGTATATATCATCTCCATATGCTCTTCATTTTTTTTAAAAAAAAATGTAGAAGCTTTTATGATGTAATGAATACCTAGAGAGAGACCAACGAATAAGTTGGTATAATACTTCGAGGTGCTTTCAACTACTTAGTAGAATAAAAGCCAGCTAGCTAAGCTAATAGATAGTATTAGAACATTGCAGCCTTACAGAATCCAGAATACTACACTGCAACATGTGACCTGACAATATGCTACTACTTATCACTACCTACGTTTTCTTCAAGTGTAGCATATACTATTATTCCCCACAGTCCAGTTGTCATTTACTCACTAGACTGTAGTTAGACTGGAACAATTACCTTACTCAGCGAGCGCTACATTCTGCCCATTATTACCAGGCAACACGTTCAGATTACAAGCAATTCCATTGACACTGTTGAAAAAAAAAACCACGAACCAATGCATTCTAATCAGAGACGGATGCAAACGCCAGTAGTTTAAGTCGACAGGCAGAAGAAGAACAGGCCCTTTCACATCCCGATCCCATGCACGAACATCAACAAAAACCAATGCTTAAGAAAAAGAAAGCAACCACAGAAAGGGAAAAAAAAAAGGGAAAAAAAAATCGGGAGAATATGCCCGCAGCAAGAGAAAAATAAAAAAAAGAAAGTTCTCCACAGTACAGCAATAAAACTGGACTGGAGAACTTTCCCAATCAAATAGGTTGATATTCGCACATCCAATCAAGCAGCTCGATCTTCTGTGCGAACACCAGAGAAGCGGAATCCAAACCCCATCGGCCGTAGGTCATTCCACATCGCACTCATATTGACCATTAGGCCCTTGTCGTCAAATTCTTAGTCGTAGTCACATCGCTCTCATCATAACTTCGGTTTCACATCCGCTCTCGTAAACGAGAAGACAGGAAATTAAGGTAGAGTTTCTCAAGTGCGAGCATCAAAGGTATAGAGTAAATGATACCAGGTGCGTAAATAAATCCCTCTATCACCCTCCGGGATCTCTCAGGACGCCTTTACGCAACCACAACGAACAAAAACATTAAAATGGCAACAGATGCGGGTATCAAAATAGATTCCCAATCCTGCCAAGTCCCAACCAACTTCAAGGTGCACAGCACACAATGTTTACTGGGATGCGCATTGCACCCGCTCAGCACCGTGTGGCACACCATCTTCTTCTTCCTCCTCGTAGCCAGCGGCTTGCTGTGCTCGTGCCTGAGCGCTGTGGCTTGGGTCAACGTCCTGGAGATCGAAGTCCTCGACCATGCAGTCAGGCGGCGGCTGCTGTTGCGGCATGCGGGGCGGCAGGACCTGCTCCAGAAGGTGGATGTTCTGCAGTTCTGAGCCCTGTGGGAATTTGACATCGAATTGAATGTACAAATTTCCGAAGTCGTGGTGGCGGTAAGACGGCATTCCTTGACCCTTGATCACCTTGATTTGACCTGCAGAGGCGGTGTTAGCAACCTGATCCTGGAACGGAAAGAGCAACGAAATACATACCCGGTGTGATAGGCTCGCCAGGTTGGATGTTGACGGTCAACCACCGATCATCCAGATGCTCGATGTTGATAGTACCACCAGCCAAGGCCGTGAGGAGATCAATCTGGGCGCGGTAGAAGAGGTCGTCATCTTTACGCTGGAATCGCGGGTGCTCCTTCTGTTCGATTTCGAAAACCACGTCACCGGGGAGAACGCCGGGCATCTGATCACCCTCGCCGCGGAATTCGATCTTGTGACCGTTCTTCACACCTCTGTCGACATGGACATGAAGGACCTTCCGCTCAACAACCGTCTTCTTACCGCCACAGCGCTTGCAACGGTCGCGGTCGCGGATCATCTCTCCTTCACCATTGCAGTCGGGACACACGGTCTGGAAGCGCTGGATCATGGGGCCCATCTGGCGCATCATCGTCTTCATACCCGTACCGTTACAGCCAGGGCACTGGCGGACAGCACCTTCCTTTCCACCTCGTCCCTCACAAGCCGGGCAAATGATCGACTTCTGCAGAGCCAGTTTCGAGACCTTGCCACGATAGATATCCTCAAGGCTGACTTTGTGGACGTGGTGAATGGTTCTCGCTTTCTTGGGACCTTGATCACGCATGCCGCCTCCAAACATGCCGCCGAAGGCACCGCCGCCGCCGAAGAATTGAGAGAAGAGGTCCTCGGCGCTCATGCCGCCAGCAGCGGCACCACCATGTTCCAGACCCTCTTCACCATATTGGTCGTAAATTTGGCGCTTTTGAGGATCGGACAGGATTTCATAGGCGTGGGAGAGTTCCTTGAACTTCTCAGCTGCATCGGGGTTGTGTGCGTTCTTGTCTGTACAGCGAAGGCGACTTCGTCAGCAGACTGTCCGCTGAAAGACCAGTAAGGTAAGGTGTATGAGCCGACAATATACATACCAGGATGATACTTCAAAGCACCCTTCTTGTATGCGGTTTTCAGTTGGGCCTCAGTGGCCGTGGGGGGTACCTGCACACCGGAGACCACTGTTAGTCAACCACGTTTGTGACAGGTGGTTGCTGTGCTGAGAATACCTACCCCCAAAATGTCGTAATATTTCGTATCTTTTACCATTGTGAGCGCTGTCTATTTAGCGACGGCAGAGTGAGAGGTAGGAGGGGAAAAAAAGAGGGCGAGCGGGCGGAGAGACCGGCGAGGCTGGATGACTCGAAGGCTGGGTTCGATGCGCAGAATTCAGAGGTTGTGTTTGTGAAGAAAATTTCACCGGTCAATATCTTCCGCCGATTTCGAATAACCGCGAAGAGGTAAGCGGGAAAAGAGGGCGATGACGGCGAGGAGAGAAGTCGAAGGGAAGGTCGAGACCTTTGTTATCAGGATGGGAGAGGGTGAGTCGTGGAACAGGAGAGAGAAAGCTTTGTAAGTAATGTAACCGGCTGTCAGGTACAAAAGGCCTTGTAACGCCAAGCTTTCCAGAGATCCGTCACAGGATCGAATCGAATCGCAGCTAGGCCTTGCCGGACGGCTGCTTGTTCAGCTGATCGGTCTTCTTTGGAGCCCGAATGTCTGTGCAAGGGAGAGAAGGCAGGAAAAGAGACAAAGGGGGGCTGATTGCTTTTTCAAGGAGCTTGGTTGGACAGAAAAAATTCGCCCCAGATACGGCGTGAACAAAGCCACTTTGGGCGGACAGGCTGTTCTGTACGGAGCGCAGCGCGATTCCGATTTTCTCGTCCCTTCTACCGTACGGCACTCTGTATCCTTCCAGTTTGCGGCCGGGGCAGACGCGACCCAATCCGGTTTAGCGCGCCCTGCGCAGCACTTCCGGGAGATTCGATCAGTTTCTGCGAATCTCTTCCATCTGCATCGGCGGCTTTCCACACGCTGTTTTCCGCCGCGGGTCTCAGGTCGGCGCTTCCTCTGCTTGCTCTTTGGGCTTCCACTGCGTTCTCCCATCCCTGTCTCCCACACCAGCTGAGGCTCTACTCACGCGCTGGAGCTGAGTGCAGCGTCGTGCTGCCTGCGGAACCCCGTTGCCGACCGTCAGGGTTCAAAGGGTTGGGCAGCCGTTCGCGCCCAAGCCACCTTGTGGCGGTGGACTTATCGATAAGGGCTTGTCTCCGACGCCACCAATTGCCCCTCAACGTCAAAACCGAATTTTTTAACTATTACTGTCCTTCTCGAATAGGTAGTATACGATTATCCTCATCCACCTCTGTTTAGTGATAATGTTAATTCAAACTGGATGCAATAATTCTGCAATATTCCTTTGCTCCATAAAAATGGTTATGAAGGTGAGATGGTAACTCTATATTGCAGAGGGTATTCTTAGAACAAGATTGCAATATACCTATGACACCTGCCAATTGGTGTTGCGGGATGTGATAGGCCGAGGCCGAGGTTGAGATTAATCTCCACAGTTAAAAACTCCGTGTTACACGTGCTATTCAAGAAGAAAGCCAGACAAATGCTCTCTTTAGAGTCATTACTATGTGGTCTAGGAAAGATGAACAGTGGCAGAAGTATTTGTCACTGGCATTTGGATGATGCTGCGAATTGACGTACTGGGATAATATTATCCCCGGGTTTTGCTCCCTGAAGTAGATAAGGAATCCACTCGAAGGTCCGAGGACGGGGTTCTTCCGACAGCTGGACCTTCCTTTTTTTTGCGCAATTATCAGGATTACTCACAGGACTTGTTTTTGTTTTCTCTTAAATAGTAACTTGACGTAGCGATTCTCGCCTACTTCTGCGATTTGCTTTTTCTCTGTGCTAGCAATGGAGCAAGACCCGGGCTTTATCGCGGCAGTGGAGGAAGCGCGACAGGGCGCCGCAGAGGGAGGAGTGCCCATCGGAGCATGCCTCGTGTCCAAGGATGGTAAGATCCTGGGCCGTGGACACAATATGCGTGTTCAGAAAGGGAGTGCAACTTTGCATGTCAGTCAATGCCCTTTCCTTTGTTACTGCCTGATAGGTAGCTAAATCATGGGATCATAATATTCCAGGCAGAAATCTCCGCTCTGGAAAATTCTGGCCGCCTGCCGGCTTCTGCCTACGAGGGCGCAACAATGTACACGACCCTGTCGCCCTGTGACATGTGCACTGGCGCCTGCCTTCTCTACAAAATAAAGCGGGTCGTCATTGGGGAGAATAAGAACTTTGTTGGAGGTGAACAGCACCTGAAGAACCGGGGTGTCGAAGTGGTGGTCTTGGAGAATGAAGAGTGCAAGCAAATGATGGAGAAATTCATTCGCGAGCAGCCGGCTTTATGGTACGCCAATCTTGATTCCCCCAATCGTGTTTCTTTTTGCCTATGCCATGCTTTTTCTGACGACTTCGTCACCATCATAGGAATGAGGATATCGGCGTTTGAACTTTTTTTTTTCGCCCACGTAAAATACTAGCGACGATCTTTCTTTTAGATGCGGCAGGTGTTTTTATACCCTGAAGAAGGGAAATCTCAACAGACTTAAAATTTAAGCTCATGAGTTCAGTTATATACCCGCGGATTAGTTGCCGGCTTCACGTCTCAATCATGAACCGGCCAGCCGATGAATTTCTTCGAAAAAGAACTTGAGGTCGTCCGGATTGACGAACGGAGTTACGCCTATAAATATTAGTGTCTATAATCCAACGAATATAAATTCTCGCGGAGGTCTCCATACCATGACCCAAATTGGCAATCCATCCTTTCTTGCCTCCTCCAAATCCTTTCACCATATTCTCCACAGCAGCTGTAATAGCAGCCCGGTCACCGTACAAAACACCGGGATCAGCATTACCCTGAAGCGTAACCCGTCCCCTGGCGATCTTCACTGCCTCGGCGGGATCATGCAACCAATCGAGTCCCACCACATTGTATCCAGAGTCGCAGAGATCGTCCAAAGCATACCAAGCACCCTTCGCAAATACAGTCATTGGTACCGGCTCCAAATTCATCTCTTTCAACCGTTCCGGCAAGTGCTTGGAGATGTGTCGCAGATACGGTAGTGCAAATTCCTTAAAGGACGCTGGTGATAGTTCCCCTGCCCACGAGTCGAAGACCTGAACCAGCTGTGCACCTGCAGCGACTTGGAGCACAAGGTATTCCACACAGATCTCTGCAATCTTCTGTAGCAAAGCCTTGCTTTCGTTCGGGTATTTGTAGATCCACGTCTTCGACTGAATAAACATTTTGCTGCCACCGCCTTCGACCATGTAGCAGAGCAGGGTCCAGGGTGCACCACAGAAGCCAATCAAAGGTACTCGCCCCTTGAGCTTATATCTGGTAAGTGTGATGGCCTTGTAGACATAGTCCAGCTCTTTCTTCACATCCACATGTTTGTTCAACAATTTCGCATATTGGGCGTCATCAGGGGACTTCAATGGCTCGGGGAAAGAAGGGCCCTTCTTGTCAACCATCTCAACCGTCATTCCCATCGCCTGTGGGATGACGAGGATGTCGGAGAAGATGATGGCGGCATCGATGAGACCGGCGTACCGCTCAACGGGTTGAATCGTGAGGGTGGACGCGATTTCCGGCGTGCGACAGCATTCGAAGAAGTCACGGTCACCTTTAGCCTCGTGGTACTCGGGTAAATATCGCCCAGCTAGATGACAAAAAAATCAGGTATTCAATCAATGATGTCCCAAAATCCCTTGGAGGAAAAGCGAAGCAGCAAATGCAGAGCTAACCTTGTCTCATAACCCATATCGGAGGACGCTCGACGGTTTCGCCTGCAGGCAGATCAGTCAGATATCTCCCAGCCAGTCAATGGTCTGAGAAAGCAGTACACACCCCGCGCAGCTCGAAGCAGAAGGTCATTCTTGAGGGGCTCGAATTGTTCTTGCATTTTGGCTGTTATGCGAGGGGACTTCTAGTGAGGACCGCGGGGATCTAGCGAGCTTTTGTCCTGTCGGAGATAAGATTGGTCACGGCGCCAAGCTTACGGAGTCCCTAGGCAGATAAACAATAGGCGGGGAGACATAGGGCTGGAGCACGTCGCCCTTGCTCACCTTCTGGATAATCTATTTAATTGGAGGTCATCAGTATTGCCCATATACTACCTACTTTGCCACCATATGGCACTTGACGGAAAAAAAAAGGATATTCTTGCAATAGAGCATGCATTGTATTTACACAGGTCTATATCGTATTACGTAATATAGTCTAGTTAACTAGCTACTTATGGCATTCAGCGTGATTCAGATCTATATGAGTGCATATCCTAGGGCTCCGCTCGATGAGTCTCAGTGCCAAAACCCTGACTCGATCTCGGCTCGTGGAAACTCTAAGCCATCCCTCATTGTGTAAACTTGACGATGATAGAAGATCAGGGAGCGGCGGAGCTAAGGCAAAAGCAGCAGGCCTCTTGCGCTAATCTGGCAGGATGCAGTTCACATCTCTGCATTGGTACTCAGGTAACCTCAGTGGGGATATTGGCATCCGGTCCAGCATGATCAGGTATTTCCTATTGCATCATACCTTTCCCAGAATCGTTTCTCTCTGGATTCTGGAGGCGAACTATTGATTAGGGCTTCTTAGCGACCATGGTCGTGCATGAGAGTCAAAATCACTATCACCAGCCCTAATTGCGCTAGCGCTGGCATCCAGCGTATGTATATGATCTGCGATAAGTATACGGATTTTACATGCTGATAATCTCATTGTTTTCCGCTTTCAATCTTCCTGCCCTCTTTTCCTGAGATTCCCAATGGTGTAGAGTGACTCGCTGAACGTCTTCTGCTCCTTTGCCTTTGAAGCCTCATCCTCAGACTTCAAAATCCCTTGCGTCCCGTGGCGATTGATATTGTCCACGACCTGTGCAGTGGCTGGTTCGTATACCACATTTTCCTGTTGAGCTTTAATCGCAAATGCTTGAACAAAGACCTGCGGTTCAGTTGTGTTCTCTTTCCAGGTTTTTGTTGATCCAGATTCGTGCACGCCATCGATGGAGGCAACTATCGTGTCGTTTCCAGCATGTGCCAGGCTTAGGACATTCCCAGAGAGTTGCAGAGACTGCTGACGACTCATATCACCGCTGGGCTGTAGAAGAAATCCGAGAAGCTCGGAAGATCTGTCACCAAGAGTTAGCTCTGAAGAATTTCCGGCAGATGGCTGCGCTTTCTGGGAGAGCAATTACCCTTCAATAGCGACAAAAACAATGACCCGTCTGTTTTCAACGTCGGAACTCGTCAAGAGAGGAATTGCCCATATACCTCGGACAGCGAGTTCTTCCTTGGGCGAACTCGGGATCAATGGAACCTTCTGTAAAACTTGACCTGCTCTCCAGTCCCAAACCAACAGATAGTCATCCCCGCCACCGGATATCAAAAGCTCCGGAAATGATTGTGGGATGCAAATCTTGCTGACGAATGACGAGTGGCCGAAGCAGTAATTTTCGATAATATGTGTCTGAGGTGGCCCGCGAGATACTCGGATATGTTCATCACGATCTGCGGTGAGAATATAATCCCGTGACTCACTCGATGACGTGCTCGACGAGAGAGACACAAAGGCCAAATCTGTAAGCAATGATACATGCCCCAGCAGTAGGTTCCGTTCGAAGGTAGGCTCGGATTTCGGTTCTGATCTCTGGGCAAGTTGCCGACGCTGTTGTTCTAACGCCTCCAAATTGCGCTTGGAATGGACAGTGAGAGATGACGCCGACGGCTGGAAAGGCTTTGCTGGCTTAGAGCTTTTGCGGGGAACGTTTGGCTTGTCGCTGGGTATCAGCGGCAGAGCATAAACATCGCCGAATTTGTCTCCACAAAGAATCGTATTACCATCAGGCGTTAGAGTAACAGCAGATGGCCGCTTTGGCATGCACCTATTTCTTATCAGCGCTGGTATTCTTACTAATTTATTGAAATAAAGCAAAGGAGACTTACCTCTCGCTCAGTTGAATGAGGGCACCGTCTGTGCCAATTTCAAAGACCCGAACGCACTTGTCCTCTCCGGTAACTGCGATTATGTGGCGTCCTGTTGGAGAAGCGACCAGTATGGGGATAGTGGACCAGGACTTGCCAGACTGCGTCTCCTGGTTATCATGTTTGGAGTCTGCATGGCCATTTGCCTGATCTTCAGACGGCGAAATTCTCCTTTTCTTCTCTGGAGGCTCGCCGCTATCGGCGTCTCCGCGCTCAGCTGCGCTTGACTGTGCCTCGTTGCTCGACTGTGCCCGTGGCCAAACGGAAAGCCTGCGCCCGTCCTCAGCCGAGAAGGAGTATAGTTTTGGGCCAGCAGACGTCACGAAGATTCTTTGAGAAGTAGGCGCCGGCGCTTCGAGATACTGGATGCATTGAAATGGATACTGGAATCTGGCAGCCATGGCGGCGCTACTCAGCTTTCTTGTTCTACTGAGGACGAATTTGTCGACGCTGCCTAAGCCACGGGGTCGAGTCTGTCAGAAGAACGGACGCAGACGCTGCGCAAGAAAAGAAAGCCTCGGCAGGATACTGTCCATTGGCGCGACAACAGAAGAATAATACTTTTTTTCGCGGACTTGGTAGCTCTGCGCGATGGTCTTGGAACCTTCTTAGCGCAGGGCGGGTTCGCCATGCCGGGGGCGCCACGTGATTGGCTGCGGCATACCCCAGTCGGGCTAGTTAGGCGAACGCGGGCCACAAGAGAATTTCCTAAATCGCACACGTCGAGAATTCCTCAATTTCCAACGATCACCGTTCACCACTCGACAATCCATACCCTTGCCCTTAAATATCCTATCTTCAGAAATAAGAAGACATGGGGGGCAAGTCCGCAACCAAGGCCGGTTACTTCGAGAAGCTGAAGAGCTTGCTCGACGAGTACAAGACGATTTTCATCGTCTCCGTCGACAATGTCAGCTCTCAGCAGATGCACGAGATCCGTCACAGCCTCCGTGGGGAGGCTGTCGTCCTGATGGGCAAGAACACCATGGTATGTTTTGCGCCGTCTTGACCTGATTGCAGTACTGACCAAGGTCTAGGTTCGCCGTGCCCTGAAGGGCTTCATCGCTGAGAACCCGGAGTACGAGCGTCTGCTGCCTCACGTCAAGGGTCAGTTTTCAGTCATTGGCGTCGAGGAAAAGTGGTATTTTTTCCCTTGCTGATTTGGGTGCTTTGCAGGCAACGTTGGCTTCGTCTTCACCAACGGTGACCTCAAGTCCGTTCGTACCAAGATCCTGTCGAACCGTATCGCTGCCCCGGCTCGTGCTGGTGCCATTGCGCCGGTCGACGTCTACGTTCCTGCCGGTAACACCGGTATGGAACCCGGAAAGACCTCCTTCTTCCAGGCCCTCGGTATCCCCACCAAGATTGCTCGTGGTACCATTGAAATTACTTCGGACCTGAAGCTGGTCGAGGCTGGTGGCAAGGTCGGTCCTTCCGAGGCCACTCTGCTCAACATGCTGAACATCTCCCCCTTCACGTACGGTATGGGTATCACCCAGGTGTACGATGATGGTCAGACGTTCAGCCCGGACATTCTGGACATCGATGACGAGCGGCTCATCAATTCCTTCACCTCCGCCATCAAGACCATCACTACTATCTCCCTGGCAGCTAACTACCCCACGCTGCCATCTGTGGTGCACTCTGTCGTCAATGGCTACAAGAAGGTCTTGGCTGTCGCCATTGGCACCGAGTACAGCTGGCCTGAGATTGAAGAGCTCAAGGACCGGATCGCCAACCCCGAGGCCTACGCTGCTGCCGCTCCAGTGGCTGCTGCTGCTCCGGCTGCAGCGGAGGAGGCGCCTAAGGAGGAGGCGAAGGAAGAGGAAGAGGAGAGCGGTGACGAAGGTAAGTAGTCTGCAATTGAAAAAAAAAAAGAACGACATCTAACATTACTTTGCAGGATTCGGTGGTCTCTTCGACTAAACGGGCCCACTTCTGTTACGGGATACGAATGCGATGTACTAGATGTAATTTCTACGGCCCATTACGTTACTCGTGATAGAAGAATGAAAAAAATTCTTCAGGAAAAAAAAACTTCTCCATTCGCGTTGGATGACTAAATCTAGCATAACCAGCTTCACAATTTCTCAACTTGATCAAGTAGGTAAGAAAACACAACTATTCCACCCATTCACCCATTTCCTTTTATATATATAAATTTCCGGGCGGATGATTAGGTTTTTTAACCCCAAGCTTTCCCTCCCTCCGGAAAGCAATGAAGATCAAAAAAAATGCAACAACGCACACTCTAATTTTTTGATGACGCCCGCCTTAAACAACAACACTTTCGTGCATATTGTCGATATTTTGTTGGCTTGTGATTTGTTTGGTGGGATGTGAGGCTAACGTTTCATCTTGATGACTAGGGTATATCGTCAATCGATGCTGTAGGCAGTTCTGCACGTATGTACCGTGTCAGCCAGGTTAGGACATCCATCAATCAATCGATCATACCTTCCTCACCTGGTCATTTATGTCCTATCGATTGATTGGTTGCTGCTGTAGTACATAAATTAAGCCGAGGTAGGTAGGTAAGATAAGTAAGGTAAGTAATTGCATAGGTAAATAGGTATCCATATGGATGGATGAATCAGTCAATCTGGCAAGCAAGCAATCCATTCATTCAGTATACGTTCCAACTTCTGGGTCTCGTTCTGTTCAGTAGTAGTTAGTGGAGTAGACTTAAAATGAATGAAAAGAAATGTTTATTTTTCAACATTCACTTGCACATTTGCATGAATCGCGCTCTATGTCTGTCTGTATGTATGTAGACACATGTGTCACACTCCCAATCATTAGGAAGTTAGGGTCTTCCTGCCAAGGGAAATAAAATCAACCAGAGAACAGTTGTTAAGTTTGCTTCAAATGTCCTTTTCAAATGGAATGAAATCATCGAATGTACGTTATGCTACGCTGTGCTATGGCTATGTATATGTACTGTCCTTATTTGTCCCTCTAATACCTATCCCTATATCCATCTTATTTATATTATTCTCACCTCGCATCGTCCCCTCCACGACCAAACCTCCCGCCGAACCCGCCCAGGTCACGACGGAAGAATTTCCCTATGTTCTTCAGGTTCTCGTTCAGATTCGTCCCCGTCGTTCCTGTAGTCGTGGTGCTAGTGGTGGTGCAGAGGGTATTATTGCCACTGCCTTCATTGCCATCCTGTCCCTGCCCTGCAGAGGCGGATAATAGCGCTGGTGAGGTAGAGCCTCCTGCTCCTCCTCCTGATGTCGCCGTGGTGGTGGGTGAACTTCCTCCAGGGGCAGTACTGCCACCTGCACCACCTGCGCCAGACGAGCCCAGAGCACCCGCTAGACTCTGGTTTCCGAACCTGTCGACACCGTCCTTCGCTGCGGAGATGAGGGCAGATCCCAGCATCGACGGATCAAACCGATTCGAGCCTCCAGCCGACGTGCCGAGATTGCTCAGTCCCAGACCCTGGGACACGGAGGAGCCGGCCATCCCGGAAGAGGAGGAAGAAGAAGAGGACTGTGAGTAGGGCTGCTGCAAAACCGCAGCAAAGAGCGGATTGCTCTGCTGCAGGTTCGGCGCGTGGCGGTCCGAAGCACGGTGCAGGTGGAATAGCTCCACGAGCTGGTTCTGCTCCTGCTTGCTCCGGATCCCCTTGAGTTCGAGGACGCGACGGAAGTTGGCTTCGCTCCGGTCCGCGATATGGATGAGATAGGCCTGGATCAGGGCTTCCGGTGGCGATGGCCTGACTTGTATCGTCTTGAGAAGAGTATCGATTTTGGTAAAGCTGGCGTTGATCCGCTTCACGAACCCGGCCGGTGTCGGCGCAGGTAGCAGTGATGTTAACCCGGTCTTAAGCGTATACGAATCTAGCAGCATCTGAAGTGACTGTCAGAAAAGTACCGAAAGATTGACAAGAGGGGGAAAAAAAAAGTGCCTACCTGTTCAGCCCCCGTCTCTGAGACAGGCCGACACTGATAGACGTTGCTGATAAAGGTGTTCGATATCAGCTCAACGAGGTTATCGGCAAACGCCCGGGCATACTGAGGCTTATGCAACAGCTGAAGGATTTCCTCTGCTTTTGTTTTGGTCTTGGACAGCAGCTCTCCGACGTAGGGACTCTGATCTCCGACGCTTTCGAGCTTGTTCCAAGGCGAGTTCCGCATTTCCCGCCAGCAGGGCTCCAGCTCGACTTCAACCTTCCGAACCAGTCCGCGCACAACAGCGCTGACAATCCCCATGAAAGAGTCAGCCTGGCTTTGCAGGTCGATGCTCTTCTTGAGGTTCTCGTCAATCCGGCTCTTGATCTTCTCTTCCAGCTGCCCGCAAGTCGTGTAGCAGTAGTCTGCCGTGTTGAGAACGATGATGAGATCCTCCAGAGAGGGCACTTTGGAAGGAGTCTGTCCGGTCGGCCGTTCGCTGATATAATAGAGAAGCACTTGCTGCGCGTATTGGTCCAAGTATTTCGCAAACACCTTGGACAGTTCCGCAAGGCTGCTGCCGGTGGAAAGCTTTGCGCATTGGGCCAGAGCATGTCTGTAGAAAGTAAAAAGCTCCGTGGAAGAGGAAACGACAAGCTGTGAGTGGAATTCCTCGTCTTCCGGCTTTGGTGGCTGCTGTCGATACCGCGGTAACATGGTAGCCAGCTGCTTATCTTGAGCCTCGACCCATACGCCCAGATACGGCTCGAAGGCTTCCGAGATAGCCTGCGTGAACACGGGCGTCTCCATAGAAGTCAAGGTGTCAGTCGACGGACGAGACGGATTCGCGAAGCGTCGATCGAGGGAGTGCTCAAAGTCCAGAGTCTCCTGCAAGCACGACAGCAGGAGATTGACATCGATGGTCTGGCCGCTTCGGACCGACCTCGACAGGATACCCTTGAAGTCGTCTCTTGTGCCTTCGCAAAACGCATTGGCCAGGACTTCGCCAACCCTCCACGAAGACGGGAAGATGACGGCATGCTCCTCGTCGTACGTCTTCATCATCCGTCGGAACCAGGAGTATCGGCGGGAGATGTTATCCAAGGAGCCAGCCTCCTCGTTACCCCTAAAAACCTGACGGTACTCTCGCAGCTGCGTATTGCAGTACCATGTGATGAGCCTCGATCGCGCATTCTCCCCCAAAGCGTCCATGACCAGGCATGCTTCGGAGAGGACACCTCGCCTCTGCATGACCTCCCCCTTGGCGAAGGTGAGCTCGAAATCTTCGCACACCTGCTCGAGAAGTTCCCGCTGTATGTCCGCCACGTTCCTGCTCAGGGTTGCGATCTGGTCGATGGATCGGTACGACTTGAAATGAGCCATGAGCTGGATGACTGCCTGCAACAGCTGGGCGCAGTCTCGGTACTGCCGCGTCTTGGCCAGGGCGCGCAGCTGCTCGTACGCCGTCGTGAGCATCTGCAACCGCTTCAGGGCCGTCATAGACAGTGTCAGGTTCTTCTTCGCATTGTCCAGCTGCTTGATATCGGCCGTCATCTCCGTGATCGCCCGCTCTGTCTTCGCGGCGCGCTCCCGCACATCGTCGATCTTCTTGAACAGCTCCGACAGGTCCGCCTTCGCGGCCTGGATGCGCTGCACACTTTCCGCATTTGAAGTCACCTGTTCCTCCACCAGCTCCGCGATGTCGTTGTCCAGCTCATTTTGGTATAGCCGAAGGGCCTCAGAGGTTTGGGAGACGGAGGAAAGGGTCGACGGATGAGAGAAGATTGCGTTCAAGTGCTCGATCGGGTCGTAATCGACTGATACAACGAGTCAGCATGGAGACATATTTTGCAGGAAGAAAAGAGCTTCTGTTGCATCTGCAATTTTTTCTCACCTGCATCCAAAGGATCAGGACTGGACGTTCCGTTGGGGGGCATATGGATGGTGTTCGTCATTCAATTAATTACGTTGGTGTAGCTCCTCGATCAACACCCTCAAAACGCATGCCGCAGTTCGGTTGGTCTGCAGCACATCAGCCGCGGGAGAGGTCGCTGAAGCGTGAATTTCGATACTGCCTCTGTAACAAATTGCAAACGGATCAAGCGACCTCATGGGACAGCAGATGCAATTGCGCGTAACAAGCGGCGACAGTGCGGAGTTGACATTGAACAGCTCGGCGGTCCTGCAACCCACCTTAGCTCTAGCGCACGTCAGCTTGGCATACTACGAGTATCACCACAACGCGATGCTGGACTTCTACATTTCTCTCTTTTTTTTTGTTTAAATCGATAAATCGAATACCTGGTTTTGAACAGTGACTTCTGCCATTTCTGCCATTTCTATGCTGATACTCAGCCACAAAATATACCAGAAAGACACTCTGAAAAGAGTCACAACCAGCCGCCAGCCTTGAATCAGTCTTTTAGATTCCCATGCCAAATTTAGGTATCTTCCTGAATGAGAATTTTGATTGTTAACATACATGATGCGGGAGGAATCCGCACAATCGCAGAAAGATGAATCCACGTCACATCTCTTCGCCAAGCCATGCTAACAGATTATCATGTCGTAGTAATATGCATACAGAATTGAAGTCCCAGATTTGCATCCCTCACGCCAAAGTTTATTGGAGTACATTTCAGAAACAAAAAAAAATCAGTCATGAGATGGCGAGTCCAAAGACTCCATGGAACTCAGCAATGCGCCTTCTTCAGTTCCAGATTTCCATTCAGAAACCCGGAATAAAAGCGTCTTGTGGAAGCTTTCCCTGCGCCTGAAAACAGTCCTGTCAGCCTTTTGTGGATGGCGACTAGGAAGGCCAATGATGCTTACCTTCAGTTCCTCGAAATTCTTCAGCGCAGCCTCCATATTCCAATTGTTGCCCGAAAGGGCCATTTCCGAATACTGCAGAGTCATCCTGGTTTTGAAGCTCAGTTGCAGAATCATCTGCTCCTGCTGAACTTGAGCTTCCGTCTTGCCAGGAGCTGGCATGCCGTATCCCTGCGGCGCTTGAGGATGCGCGGGCGGGGCTTTCATCGGGTTCGCCGTCTGACTGTCGGGATCCCAAGCCATATGTCCGCCGTATGCTCTCAACGTGAGCATGTCACTGAGGACTCTGACTCCTCCTGCTCCTCCGCCAGGACCAAGCACGAAGGTCCGATCGAAACTGCGGGTCTCCACCTTGGTGCCGTCCAACTCATCAAACTTGCCGTGCACCATGATGAGCAATCCACCAACACCGGAAATGCTCTGTCCCGACGGGTCAGGAAGTCCAGGGATGGGGTGGCATTCAATCAGCCACTCCTCTGGGTGCGCAACCATGTCAGGATGCCTCGTTCTGGGGAGAGAATTCCACAGCTCGCGAATCTTTTCCGCGCCAACATAAGAACGAGACATCCGAGCGGGAAGATGACTGATCTTCAACAGGTTCCGGCTCTTCTTGATATACTGGTCCCAGCCAGCGGTGGCATCTTCTTGAGCTCCTCGGGGAGCGGCAGGGTTGACATTCAAAGAAAAGGTGGAATCACTGTCGTAGACACCGTTGATTAGGTCGTTTCGGTCGTTGTCGTACCCAACAAAGAACGCCCTGACGAAGTTCTCGGCGATTTGAGAGTCATCCTGGAAATATGCCGGCTGAACGGGTATGGGAGCCTTTTCTTGAGCAGCAACCTCTTCCGCGGTACGGACCGTCATGTTGTTGAGGGTTCTGAGCTTCGGATACCACTTCATCATCGTGTCTTTGAAGGAAGGATCGGCACTGAACGGATTCCCCGTGAGATCGAGGAACTCCAGTTGTCGGAACTTCCATCTCCACCCGATGAGAGCCTGTGCGTCCTTGAAGTTGTTGTTGGAGAGGTCCAGATTCTTGAGGTTCGGGAAGGCCTGAGAGAGGGTGGTGACGAGCGATATGTTGGACAACTGATTGTTTGCTAGACTGACGCTCTCAACAGCCTCCCGGCTCTTCTGTGGAGTCTCAAAGTTCATCTCCCAGACCTTCATTAGCGCCGGGAAGAACTTGGACTCAGTCGTTGTGCTGTTGAAGAGACCCATCTCCACCAGGATCGGATCGCTGGCCAAAGCCGAAAGATTGAGAAGCTTGGTATCCTGGAAATATCGGCTGCTCAAGAAAGCGGTCATCCTGGCCTTGGTGTCGGCCGTGGTTGATGTGCTCTCCGCCGATGGGTTGTATCTTTCAATGGTGAGTGGAGCACCTGCGAAAGTGAAATTATTGAGATGTAACATCCTGTCCAAGTGCTCCGGGCGAACAGAAACTATAAGAGCGTCGCCTTCGACACGCGACTACTGAACGTTAGCAAGGCGTAAGAGACCTTGAAAACTGCAGTCACCCAAGGGTATACGCGACAAGGCCCGGGAAGAGTCGATCGTCGCTGTGTGGAGTACCGTCCTGAAACGAGAAGCACACCGAAGAAGACGACGCTGCGAGAATACTCCGTCGGTGACCGCCAAATGCTGGTGAAGCACATACCTTGATTATGTTATTGCCTTTCGAGTCCGGGGTAGCGAGTTTCTTCTCCAGGAAGGAGACCAGGCTTCCGGCGCCGCCGTCGAGGTTGGATGCAGCCTTGCTCTTTCTCCATCCGCGCACGCTGACCTGTTCCCACGGTCCACCTTTGGCGCCACCCCGTCGGATGTTGGCCTGAGAGGTTTCATTGCCGGCCAAGGCCTTTTGGATGGTGTTCAGAGTCCGCTCGCGGTCAATGGCCATCCTCCGCTGGTCGCGTGCTTGAGACTGAGCCGCGGCCAGAGCGCCTCGTCCCGAGTCTCCGCGAGCTCGTTTCCCACCGCGACCCTTGTCAGACGCTCCATTCATGTCCAAGTCGCCGTCGCGATCGACTCGCACGGCAGGAGAACCGCGTTTCCGGATGCCACCCCGATCCATAGCGTTGGCCCGACCTCGGGTTACTTTAGCCTTTCCCATGTTGTGCATCGTTCCGGAAGATAGCTTCAACATAGTGGACGGGAGTCAGGTAGGTCAAGGCGATGGGGAGGAGGCTGGTCTTCGATCGCAGCAGCAAAGAATCGAGGGGCAGGGAGCGCGCGCAGAACGGCTCACTGTGCCCTGGGCCTCGTCGTCCTCGTCGTCCGCATGCAGCTGAACGGGCACGAAAAGTGAGGGAGAAAATGAGAGGAGGGAAGAAAAAGGAGGAAAAAACCGAGAGAATTCTGTCGCGAGTCCGACCGAGGCACCGCCCAGTGCGGACTTGGGATCGAGGATAAAGAGAGCGAGGACTGAGGGAGCGGGTGTGACGTGAAGAAGGCTTTCTGTTGCCGTTTGAGGCGAAAGACTCAGGCGCCGGGCGAAGGCTGATAGGCAGCCTCGAGGGCGCGGCTAAGCCTCATCGGGATTCTGGGCACGGCGGCCGGGCCAGGGGTCACATGACATGCATCCGGCCCCAATCACGGATCACGTGACAGTAAAGGACAATGGGCGCGGCGCGTCCAATCACAGCGCGTGCCAGTCACAGTGGGGGTTCGTATTGTCACAAACAAAACACGGCTAAATTAGGCACATCATAATACCGGACAATACCAGATGTACGCAATACTGTATTGGACAGCTTGCCAGAAGCCGCAGCTCCTTGCGACAGACACCCGCATCGGCTCTCCTTCGATTCGATCTCAACCACTTCGCTCCCTGTCGCAGATGATCGTCACCGTCGGATGATCGGTCGCCTCTGACTGCGCTTACCCAGAAGCCCTCGCGAGACGCAGGAGCTGGCTGGCCACTATTGTCGGTGTTGATCTTCCCCACGCCCATGATCTGACTCCACAAGGCAACACAAGATGCCTGCGAAATCACGATTCACGCGACTCGACGCCTTTGCGAAGACCGTCGAGGATGCCCGCGTGCGGACCACCTCCGGGGGCATTGTTACCCTCGTATCGCTGCTGGTGATTCTGTACTTGGTCTGGGGGGAATGGGTCGACTACAGGCGAGTGGTGGTGGTCCCCGAATTGATTGTGGACAAATCAAGAGGTAATTGCCATTGGCAGTCATTGTGCATAATTGAACACTGCGCTGACTCAATTGGTTGTCTGTCAAGGAGAGCGAATGGAAATCCACCTGAATATAACCTTCCCTCGCCTCCCATGCGAACTGTTGACCCTGGATGTGATGGACGTCTCGGGTGAACAGCAAGTTGGGGTCGTGCATGGCGTGAACAAAGTGCGATTGAGCCCTGCTTCGGAAGGTGGCCGTGTCTTGGACGTCCAGGCGCTTGAGCTGTGAGTCGATTGTGTCTCAATTGGATTAACTGCCGTAACGGAAATGCTGATATGAGTCAAATCATCCACAGACACTCAAAGGAGCAGGCCGCTGTGCACCTGGACCCGGACTACTGCGGCGAATGTGGAGGAGCGCCTCCGCCTTCGACGGCGAAGAAGCCCGGCTGCTGTAATACCTGCGACGAGGTGCGCGAAGCATATGCAGAGCGGCAGTGGTCGTTCGGAGACGGCTCGGGCATCGAGCAGTGCAGGCGGGAAGGATACGCGGAGAGGCTCAATGCCCAACGCAGGGAGGGCTGCCGGATCGAGGGCGTCATCCGGGTGAACAAGGTCGTCGGGAACTTCCACATCGCTCCCGGCCGGAGTTTCACGAGCGGGAATATCCACGCCCACGATCTGGAGATGTATTTCGACTCGAAGCTGCCGCCGGAAGAGAGACACACCATGACGCACGAGATCCATCAACTCCGGTTCGGTCCTCAGCTGCCCGACGAGTTCTCCAGTCGGTGGCAGTGGACGGACCACCACCACACCAACCCGCTGGATGGGGTGACGCAGTCGACCGAAGAGCCAGCCTACAACTACATGTACTTCATCAAGGTGGTGTCGACCTCGTACCTGCCGCTGGGGTGGGATGCCGCGTATTCGAGTTACGCGCACAACAAACACGAGGTGGCGCTGGGCCAGCACGGCGCTGTGTACGGCACCCAGGGCAGCGTCGAGACGCACCAGTACTCGGTGACTTCGCACAAGCGGTCCCTGGCCGGGGGCACGGACGCCGCCGAGGGCCACCAGGAGCGCGTGCACGCGCAGGGCGGCATCCCGGGCGTCTTCTTCAACTACGACATCTCGCCGATGAAAGTCATCAACCGCGAGGCCCGTCCCAAGACCTTCACCGGCTTCTTGACGGGCGTGTGTGCCGTCATCGGCGGAACCCTGACCGTGGCGGCTGCCATAGATCGGTTCTTGTACGAGGGGTCATTGAGGGTTAAGAAACTTCACTCGAATTAGGGGATATATACATTACTATCATTACTATCATCATTACCTCGGGAATGTATTTTTGCCATTGCCGTTGTCATTGCTGTTTTTGTCTGTGTAGTGAAGCATGATTCATTGTTTTCGTCATTGTCTTTGGTTTTGGTTTTACAACGCTGTTTGCTGAAAAGTCTGTCCCTTTCTTTCTTCAGAATCATTCTGGACACTTTACATTGCATACACTTGCATGGCATGTCATGGTAGGAGGAGAGGATAAGACATAAAAGAGACAGACAGACAGACAAAAAAAGGGAAGGACGAAGTAAAGTAAAACAAAACAAAAGATTAAAAGCTACCACCAGATGGATAAGTAAGTAGTAAGACACATAGTTACTAGCTATATGCGCTACAGGCGAGGAGCTCAGGAAGCATGACTCCAAAAAAAAAAAGGGCATCAGTGGGGCGTTCGTTATGTCTATGTCCACGTCCACGTCGGCCGATTTCTGCTTTTCTTTGATCTGAACTCAGTCGGGTTTTCGTTTCGACTCAATCAATGTCTTGCTTGTTTTGTTGGTTGTTTGTTTGTTTACTTCCTTGTAGATATACTCCTCATCAAATTACCCTTTACCCTTCCTTGTTTTTTTATCAATTATGGTCATGGAGCATTAAAAAAAAAAACTCTCTTCATCGAGAAAGCCTGATTACATGTGCATATGGATATGCATGTACATGCGTATCTACAAATCCAACTCTCAGATTTCAACTGAAGGGAAAAAAAAAGAACAAGATGATGATCAGACAGCCTTATCAAAGAAAAAGACCTCAGGAGAGAGAGAGAAACATCAAGCAAAACACATGTCCAGAAAACAGGACCCATGGAAAATATCACAGAGAAAACTTGAAAGAGGTCAAGATCAATGTAAACGAACGCCATAGCCCTCTTTACAACACCACTTCAATGCGCAACGTAAGGCAGCAGATCTGAGAGCAAGCAAACTTTGACAACAAAGGAGGATATCATGCTTTGAACTGGTCATGCAAGGCATAGACCCTGAAGATGATGAGAGAAAAAAAACAAAACAAAGGAAATGTACATCTAAAGAATGTTTTGTGTATCGCAAACTAGCAGAGATGGTATCGTCATGTAGCAAGGAAATGTAGATGGCGGGTATCAAGCAGGGAGGGATGGAGAATCTAAAAGCCCGTCCCTAATACCCTTGATACTGCTGAAAGTAGTGACTTGGTTGATGGGCTGCTGGAGGCGTAGATGGAAACTGGGGCGTCATTGGTCTACCCCATTGCTGCGGATTCTGTGCGTTCATGGGATGCTGCATTGGATTCATGGCATTGAGAGCGTCCCAGGTGTAGCTGGCACCGGGCATGTTGTAGATGCTTTGGGCTCTCGCATGCTGCTGCTGCGCCTCGTACATCTGTTGCTGCTGGCGTTGAGCAATGGCCTGTTGTACCATTTGATTGCTCACCCCTTCTTTCATTTCTCGCTTTTCTCGTTCTCGGGCATCGATTGCACTGACTAGCCCACCAGGAGCAACAGGGGTTGGCTGTTTCGCGTTGCTGCTCGAGAAGTTGAAAAACGAGGAGCCCGTCATCCGAGCCACATGTTCCTGCTCACGCGCGGAGAGATGGTTGGTGACATCGTTGTAATTCAGCACGCTGCTGGCACCCCGGGAATGAGGTCGAGGTGGTAGATCTCGCCCATGGGGGTGCTGGTAAGCAAGCGTCGTCCAATCACCCGAGTGAGGCCGTGCAGCTGTCTGAGTAGAAGAGCTCCTCTGGTGGTGAGCGTACACAGGAGAGCCTATTCGGTGGTTGGAGAGAGCCCGCTGGTGGACAAATTGCTCCGGAGTGACCCCGCGAGACGAAGGAGATTCAGGACGGCCACTGGTCAGACCAGGTTGCCAAACCATGCTTCGGCGCTTTTCCTCCCCAGCAGGAGAGCGCGACTGGCCGCGTTTGTGCCCACCAGGAGAAGCCGAGAGCTTCTTCACCGTCGCATCCGAGTCCGACCTGCCATGACCAAACTTGCTCAACGTGTCTGATATACTCGGCCGCCTAGTAGTGGGATCGTAAGACATGGTCGGTCCGAAGTCTACGGTAGGGATGTCGGGATTCTCCTGTTGTGGCTCGACATGCGCGTAATAGTGGGTGTCACCAACGGTCACCTCCTCTTTCGGAGGCGTCGCTCCTCCCACAGTCTTCAACACTCCCATCCTGGGCCGGGAAATCGACGCGGTGGAGCGCTTTGTGGAAGTCGACTTGGTTGTACTGGCATAGTCGGGGACTGATTCGTCATCGTAAACACTCTCCTCATCGCCTCCTCGCACGTCCTTGTCGGGAGACTTGTCTGGGGAAAACGATGATTGCCGAGTCATGATCCTATTCAATGCGTCTTCGTCGAGAGTATGGCGCAAGTCTCTCAAGCTGGGTGAAGAAATAGACGATTGGTCGGGTTCCGGATGGGATTCCGGAGGAGGAACGGAGGCTTGTTGCGAAGGGACGGGCTTACGTCTGATCGCCTTCTCAGTGTCGATGCGAAGATTGCGCAAGGGGCTGGATCCATGGGCCGGAACGGGCGGAGCGGCGTCCTGAGATCTGGAGAAGCCTTCATCTTGGGGAGGTGTCCTTTTGGGGGTCACCTGCCCGTCAGCGTTGGCCCCATGGGAATTGGCGTCTTCGTGCGTGAATATATCTCGGTGGTCCGGCTGTTGTGGCTCCTCTGCACGTTGCTGGAATTCGCCCAGGTGTGTCGCTCCGTGTATCCTGCCAACTTCGGCCATCTGCGCCAGAGTAGTGCTCGACATGCGGTTGTTCGCCTTCCGGAGTTCTGGTGAGGGTTGTGGCCGAGTCACAGGTACCTGTCCAGGACTGTGTGCGAAAGCCGGTGGGACGGCCACTGGTGCTGGCGGTTCATTCGGTCGAAGGTCCTGTCTTAACGCCTCAGCTTGAGGAGTCTCAGAAGGTTGCCCGTCGCCGTCCGAACCGCTGCCTGTGTTGGATCCATGAGTCCCCGGACGCTCCTCGGTGACCGGCTCTGGTGGAGAGTTCTCGATCGACAGTTGAGTCGGCGTGTAAGACTTCTCTGGCTGACGGGTATGTGGCAATCCCATGGTATCTGACGCAGCTCGAGCGTGACCGTGTTCAGAATGGCCGGGTCCACCTGACGTCTCCGAGCCCCCAACAATAGCATCGGCGGACTGGTTGAACTCCGGCGAGAGAGGCTCCCCAGAATCCTCAAATCGGGCCCGGTGGGTGCGAGTGGGCATGCTAGCCCGCTGACGGGACCGACTGTCGGCAATGCTACTTGCCCGGCTGTCCTGCGAAGCCATCCGCTGTGCGGTGGCCTCCCTCAGTTGTTTTCTCCATTCTTTCTCAGACCAGTTTTGACTTCCGGGAGTGTGAATCAGGTTGGCCACGTCGAGGACATCGAGGTAGCCGTATCGCTTCTTCTTGGGAAACGCAAACATCAAACTCTTGACGTTGTTCGTGTCCGCGATGAGTCGGTTGGGCCGGCCATAGAGACCAAACGTATCGAACACGGGGAAGAGGAAACGGAGCATCATTTCGAACCCCGAAACGGCCGGGTGCAGTTCTGGCATGACGAAGACAAACCCCTCCGTCGTGGACTGCGATTGGGAGTGAATGGTGATGTCGCCTTCGATCTTGACCAGGGTAGACTGATCGATGAGAGGCTTCGACTGAGGGTAGATGGCGTACGCAGCGTAGGCATCCGTGATGGTTGCAATCGGCTGGGTCTTCTTCGTCTTCTTGGATTCGTAGAACTTGATATTTCCCTTGAGAACCGGGGTTGTCCGGTCATACGCCGATCGTTTCTTCATCGACTTCAGCAATTTCTGGTACTCCTTCTCGTCCGGCGGAGTGACGACACACCAACACCGTCTCCACGGCGTGCCGGCGCCAAATCGGACCCTGGCCCAGTCTTCGTGCTTGAATCGACTGCGCTCCATGATCGTGCGGATGTTATTCAACGACTTGCCTTTTCCGGCAATTATCGAGCCTGTATACGCCTCCAGCAGCGAAGTGTGTTCAAACATGGCCAAACGGATACCCGCGGTCCATTGCGTCATCGAATGAAGGGAATTGAAGTGGAACAGGTACCGGTTTTTGCCCGCGGTGGAAATACTGAGGATATTGTGCAGTGGCTTGGAGCCGTTGCGAGTCGGCAGCGTCTCGATCTGTAAACATCACCAGGTCAGCGTCTTCTTCTTCTTCCTGTCCGTCTGATTCGAAGAAGCGCGCTTACCATTTTAATCGAGGCGTCTGCAATGTTGATAAAAGTCGGCGCGACCTCCCCGTCTTGGCCGGCTGCGTCCAGCGCAGCGGCATCCCAGAGTGACAGGACGGTCCCGACCAGCTGGGCGAAACATTCCACCCAATGTCGATCCGCACATGGCCTTCCCTCTATAGAACCGTTAGCCCGACCCTAAATATTTAGGTGTTCCTCCGCAACGGTCCACATAATCGGTCTACATACGTGTGTCCAGATCGTTCAGCTTGAGAAAGTAGCCTTCCTGGTATAGCTTGTTCGAATGGCTATTGAGGAAAGTGAAAATTGGGAGTAATTCCGGCAGCGTGTCTTGGGCGACGTCCATCACCGGAGGTTGATAGGTAAAGGCCATGGACGCCGGGCGCCCGGTGCTGGACCGGTCTGGTTTGGAGGAAGGCTCTGGTGAGGCGCGAGCAGGGGCGGCATCGTGCTGCGGAATAGGCTTCTCGATCTTTGGTTCCTGCTTCGCCGATGCTGGAGTAGAAGAAGAACCGGCATCAGAAGTGGTCGCGCCCTGATGGCGGTGCGGCGAGCCTAAGGACGATATGAACGAAAGGACTGCGGGAGGACGACGCAAGGGAGTCAGCGATCAGCACATTGGATGCAGAATCAGGAATAATGCCAACGGCCAGCTCGTATGACATGTTCCCTTCATTGGCAGCTTCATCTTCCACTTACCACGCGAGCGAACCATGGCGGCGGCTGGAGGAGAGGCTTGGCGGACTGAATTGGAGGGAGTGGATGTCTGGACAGCGCGAGGCAGCAAAAGGCACTCTGGCAGTCCGACTGTCGACAAGCAGAACGAGAGGAACCAGCCAGAGGAGAAGCAGAGGAGAGGAGAGGCAAAGCGAGTGAATGGAACGCTGTCCTGACACCGGGCAAAAGGCAGGCAGTGAGGGTTCTTAGTAATCCCAGCTCCACGCGAAGAAAAGCGCCCGTTACTCGCGAAGGTGGTTCCTCGGGACGGGGGATCAGATCAATCCATGGGTTCCGGGGAGGAGGATAACGGGAGAAACGAGCGGGAAGGCAGGAAATGGGTGGTGGCGCGGAGAGGGGGTGGAGGAGAGAGGTTTAAAGTACAGTCATCGAGAGAGCGAGCCGGTGCTGGGCGGTGCTGGGAGCAGGTGGGAGGATGACGTCGCCCGGGCAGAGTGACGGAGCACGGCCAGAGAGCGATCGACAGCTCGATGCAGCGGGCGATTCAGCAAGGAAGAGAAGGGATCTGGAGGTAAAGACAGTCACCGTGGAGAGAACGTTTCTCTCCTGTCTCTCGTCTTCTGTCTCTTTTGTGAGTGAGCTCCGCCCAGAACGAGGGCTCTCCCGCACTGCCAGCAGTGACTGGAGGCAGCCGGCAAGCCCGGAGGGACTAGACCTTGCTGCTTGCAATAGCCTGCCCGTGGCGCCATAGGCTCACAGGCCCCGGCGCTGCGTCAGCTCTCCCACCGGCCCCGCTGGCGACCGACGCAGAATCTCCTCCCTCTAGCGAGATCTCCCGCCGCCATCAGTTTACGCGATTCGTGTCTTGTCACACGCCCCCGGCCGCGCTCTCAGCCACTGGTTTGGATTTCAGCGTGCTCGTTACGGAGTACAGACGCTGTCAGATATTGTTGACGGCATGCTGTCAGACCCTCCAACCTCCCATTTTTAGCAACCTAGCGCAACCGCCCGCGACGTTGAATGCATTGTACTCCATAGTCCATATCCTGGAGCGCTGCACGCTCGGATAACGACATGATCAAATCTAAAATATCCCTTACCCCTGCTAGCCGCCGTTCGTTCTGACGCAGACTGCGCCACACCTGTCCGAGGCAGCAACGTTAGGTAGCATGATCATCCACGCATGTCTCAGACTCGCCAAGCCCTTGTCCGCACCCGGCCAAGCCTTTCTAGTTCCAGGTGTCTGTACCAAGTAAGGCCCCGGGCTGGCCCGTAGCAACCAGCCACGTTCTCCGTACCGAGTAATCTGTCGAAGAGGCTGGAGAAATTCTGATATCACTTCCTCGTACATAGCCACTCCGGTCGATCTCAGCTCAAGCGATGGCCTGCATGACATAATGTCTGTCTTGTAACTGATCAAATCAAGGAACTCGAGGTAGTCCGTAGTCCGTATCTACCTATACAATCGACGGGAACATGGCCACTTAAACCACTTTATTCGGTCACGTGATTGAATGCGAAGCAAGCGCTACGGAAGCAGAAAGGAAGCAAGACGGAGCCAACACTGCTTTCGGCTACAGTTACCCCGGCTCTAGAAACTGTCTATAGGACACTCCTTTACACTGTGTATCGAGCTATGATCTTTCCTGGATTATTGTGTTCAATTCCATTCATTTAAGTTGCTTGTTACTCCGGAGTACTTATTGGAGGGGTCGATAAGACAACTCCTGTTGGTATATATGCACGATCGTATGGGGGAGTATTTACAGATACCTTGACGGAGTAATATGTACAGCTGGAGCTTGGACGAACTTACTCCGCAGTGACAATGAACGTGTGGCTAGTGTGGAGGGCAGCAAGAAACGCAATTGGATGGCGTTATCAACTACCTAGGTAGCTACCTAACTTGGCTAGGTAACAAGATTCCAGTGAAGAGGTTTGATGCCTGAATTTAATTACCTACCTAGGTAGGTGATTCGGTGACTGGCGAGTCAGATGATCACCCTGATATCAGATTCACTCCACGCTTCGTTCTTCTTGATTCTTCTCCTCCATTGTTGTTGCTAACATCTCATAGAAAATCCGTTTGGTGCCTTCAAGGATGTTCAAGATCCGTCGTCGGTTCCGCAACTCATGCGACGTCTCCAGGAGACTTTGCGCCTGCAGGCACAGGTACTGCCAGTCCAGATACTTTGACGACGCAATCAGGCTCTCAATTTCGAAGATGAGCGTGCGGGGAAACCGAGACTGCCAGTATGAGTCCGGGATTACCCACTGGAAAGCCGTCAGCATGTTCTCGGCGTCCTTGGGGCTAAGATACCCCATGATCAGAATTTTGATATCCAGAGGGATGTTAGATCCAAGATAATGGCGCCAGGCACTGATCATGCCGGAAAAATCGTGCCACCAGTGGCGGGTTTTATACTTCGCGCGGTCCTCGAAGTCACGCCTGGGAGCGGCAACAAGAAGATCGCGGACGGCGGAAATATTGATCAGGTCGTTGAGGTAGGAGATCGATTCGTCAGGCCAGCTTCTGAACCGGCAACAATACTAGCGACAATAGCACTGGCCAGTGATGCACGCTGCACACGCGTAGTTCCCCCAAGTAACGGGTCGTCGAGCTGCCGCAGTTGAAGGACCCGGAGAAGGCATTTCAGATGCTGTTCTGCCTCTTCTGAGCCGACGACGCGCTGGATCAGCGTCCAGCAGCGCGAGTTAAGCGGAACGCCAGTCAACTTGCTGCCATTGTCGGTTTCATCCAGCAGCTCAGGTAAAGTAACAGGTTGAACAGTCGCAATCCTCTTCTGTCTTTTAGGCCCTCCTACCACAGCCGCATTTCGGTCCCAGGGCACGACGAAACCTTGATTCTCCCAATCGCCAATCTGAGCGATTCCAGAGAGTCGAAATCTTTGCCGCTGCTGTAGAGGGTCGTCACCATCATAATCGTCGTCATATTCTTCATCTTTCGAGCGATGGTTTATCATAGCTACCAGATCCAGACCATGAACATCTTTCTTCACCGTGTAGACAAACAGGAATAATACAGGGCCAGGGCCAACTGACTGACTCGGTATAAGCTACGCCACGACCAAGAGTGTCTGAAGTACTTTTTCTCGACATCAGCCGCACTGCAGTGAAATACCGATCTCTCGCTCCATTTGGGGTCTTCCGAGGTGATATCTCTTCCGAAAGCTTTAATAGTAGCTCCGCATGCAGAGCAGAGAAGATGTTTCCAGGGAAGATATTGCGAGTGAAGATGTTGCCATGAGAACGTATATGCCATGATTGCAAGATCTGATCTGATATCGATTGTCAAGGATTGTCAGTAACTGGTGATGGACGAAACTCGTGTTATCTTTCCTGTCATAAGTTATGACCTAGAAGAAAAGAGAGAAAAAGACTGCTTGCCTGGATGGTAACTAGGCTGAAATGCGGGAAGGAAGTATGCTGCAGAGTCTTTGATGTCACTGTGGAATAGGATAGGATATATTGCGCAGGTAATACGTAAGGAATGTCAGAACATACGGGAATATCGATTATGATAAAATCGCATCCCTTCAGTAAATCATATTATTTTGATAGCTGTTGGAGTAGTCAATCGTCAAATGTCTTTTAAACCAACCAGGGAAATATGTACAGGGTATTCTCGACAATAGAGAGAATAGAAATAACAAAATACAAAAAAAAAGGGAATAGGAAAGAGAAGAAAGAACACGAAGGTGGAGGAGAAGAGGAAGAAAGAAAAGGAGATAAAGTTGTCCGATCTATTCCTCCACACGAGACAATGCCGGATCCATCAGCGTCATATCCTCATTGGGTGTCGTATGGCTAGCGTCTGCTTCTCCACGCTGATCAAACAAATCTTGCATGCCAGTATCGTTTGCATTATTAAAGAAATTCATATCGGCCATCTGTTCGTCAAACTCGTGGCCGGCTTCCTGCGGAGCAACAGCGTCATTGAAGAACTGTTGGGAATCCTCATTATCCAAATCGAGACCGTAGATTCCGAAAAAGTTATCTGCACCCCCATGTTCCAGAAGGGCTCGCTGCGTGAAATGGTTCTGAATCTCGTCTTCGCTGCAGCCGTGCTTGCTGCTCATGTGCACCCAGAGATCATAGTCCCGATGGAACCGGTGCTCACACCTTTCAATAAAGCAGGGAATATGACGGCCAGTTTCTTCGGCGTAACCTTCTCCCGTCAACAACGCCAGGGTTGATGGGACCGGAGGCTTCGATCGGCCTTGCGACTTCTTCAACCCAAGACGCTCTCTGCGCTCCGCCTTGGTGTTCATCAACCCTAGATGTGCAGTACGGACATGCTCCTCCAGCGACAACTTGCTGCCGTATCGTTTCCCACATCCTTCTCCATTCCACCCCTCCACTTTCTTCGAGGACGAGAGATCGGTCTCCCCGCAGACAAACCGCTTTTCCCCCTCATGCACGGTGCGAACGTGAACCGTGAGGTTACCTTTCTTCGTGAAGCTACGTCCGCAGCCAGGTACCGTACAAGGAAATATTTTTCGATCCTCCAGACTGACGTCTCCGTGAGCAACCTCAAGGTGACGTCGCAGTTCTCGAGATGTAGAGCAGACGATAGGGCATTGCGGACACTTTGGTGGATGTGCAGACTTGATGTGAGCTTGTAGCTGAGCATAGGTAGGAAAGCTGACTCCTCCAGACGCAGGTTTGGATTCATCACCGGCAGATCCCTCGCTAGCGCCAGAGCATTCTGTGCAAGTAAATCGCTTTTCCGCATGCAGCCGTGCCTCATGGGCGCGAAGGTGACCTGCCGTATCAAAGGCCTGAGAGCATTTTTGGCCAGTGATAGGATCCACGTGTTGGCATGGAAACGGTTTCTGATGGAGATGGACGGTCATGATGTGCTTGTACAGAGTCGAATGCTTCCGGAAGGTTTCGTTGCAGGGCGGATACTCCGTACAGCGATACTTCTCCCTTCCATCATGGGCTGCCAGATGTCTCCGTAGACGCGTTCCTGTCACAAAGGTCTTTCCACAGCCCGGTCGGTCGCAGACGTAGTCTCGGATCGAGGTATGGGCGCTCTTGATATGATGGTTGAGATGGGAAGCACGTAGAAACGTCTTCTCACAGCCATCATGATTGCATTTGAAAATTCGCTCATTGTTGTGGGAACGCAGGTGCTCTTGTAAGCGTGCTGGTCGATTGAAAGCTTTCGTACAACCTTCGAATGGGCAAAGATGGGTCTTAAGCTCCGATGGATATTTCGAGGAAGTGGTAGAAAAGGGTGTCGCGGGAGTCTCATTGCACTGCTCATCCACATCACTTGATTCCTCTGAAGAGGAATAATGGGGGTCTGAATGAGGTTCTCCGTAGATTGGATCTAATGAAAGGAGTTTAGGCATGGATTATAATGGGTCTGATCGTGAAGCCCTTACCAGAACCGTCCCGAGCCGTTAGCTTGGGAACCTTCTTGGGAAGCCCGACAGCTTCAGCATCGGCCTTCCGTTTGGACGCCATGGTTCGATCGCTCCAATGGCGCCTACAATTGAAGGATCATGGGATTTCTCGAAAAGACAAGGAAACGAGCTGGCATGACTGTCGTGAGCAGATTGACTGGACGTCAGGACGAAACAAATTATTTTGCCGGTTTTGTTGGTGCGGCGACGGAGAGGCGGTGAGAGCGGCTGGGCGTCCTTCACTGGGCTGCTAAACGACCTTGACAAAAACGGTTTAGCGTGATATGTGAACTTTTTACGCCGCCTTTGAGATGGCAACCTGCTGTCCAACGAGGCCCATTCAACACCGCGCTGTCGCCGCATCAAGCAGTCCAGAACAGCCATCAGAGAATCTCACAAGAACTCCGTTCGCTCAAATAAAGCTATAGTCATTCTTTTTTAGATACTTTAGACCCTCGTTCCTCCACGATGTCTGACTACGGTGACCACGATGTCGAGGACACTGGGTGAGTAAAGCCTCCTCTGTGTACTTGGGCTTTGCATGGCTCGGGTTTTCTATAACTTCCTGGTGTATTCGTCTTTTGCGACTGCAAGGAAACTGGTCTGACAACTATATCATTACAGCTTCGACTACGAGCCCGCGGAGGAGTTTGATGAAAATGAGCCGGAAGACTTCATCAACCCCGAAGACGTTGAGGGCGCCGAAGGCTATGAAGGCGCTGGCGAAGAAGGATATGCGCATGCGGCAAATGGTGAAAGAACCGTGATTTCCGGGGATCCCAACGCAGGATACGCCGGACGGATCATGGAACAGCACCGGGAGAAGAAGGTGCCCAACGACCAACGCACGACCACTCCTTACATGACCAAATATGAAAGAGCGCGCGTGCTGGGTACGCGAGCGCTGCAGATCAGGTTGGTTTTATCATTTATCCTGCTAAAGGGATTCTGAGCGATAAGCTGATCGATGCGATGTAGCATGAATGCTCCCGTGCTCGTGGATCTCGAGGGCGAGACGGATCCTCTGCAGATTGCGATCAAAGAGCTTAATCAGAAGAAGATTCCGCTGATCATCAGAAGATACCTGCCTGATGGATGGTAAGGTTCCCGACCCGACTGCTAGCTTCGATCCAGCGCTAATTCCTATATATAGGTACGAAGACTGGACCTGTGAGGAATTGCTCTAAGCGCCACTCGTAATGACTACTTGATTTTTGTCTGATTTGAGTTTGATATTGATGGATTTTTCGTGTATTTTCGCTTTTTCTTGTCGCATAGCGTTCGGTGTTGGTGGATCATCTAGTTCATGGGAGAAACAACGGGTCAAGATAGTTGATATCAGCAAGCTGCCTGTATGTTTCTTAGAGTGTTTCTGTGATTTATCTGCCAAATGGATTAAAACATAAACCTGTCCCAGAGAAGTATTTCCTATAGAAGTGTAAGATGTAGACTTGTCTGGATAAAGTTGAATAGGATAGGTCTGATCGTCAATAGTAATAGACACCCGCCACACACATTGTGAAGCATGCAGCACTGCTGACCAATCAAGACTTGCATCTATATTCAATACTACACTATCACACTCACCACGAGTCATGAGACTACCTTCTTGTTCCTGCTTTGTACTCTCTAGTGAACATGCGACTTGCCCAATGTCAGCAGATTACTATAAAGAGTCTGGCAACTGTATCTACAGCTATTGACTTGTGACCATTCTACCTGATTGATCATATTTGCAATGCAGGATACGTGCTTTCCATGACTAAGAAGATCTCACTAGCTTCCAGGTCCCCATGGGTCTCGGTCTCTCCGACTCTTGGCTCTTAGTCTTGGCCCATCTCGGAGCATCCGTTCCGGACTCCGTAGCGCCCGCGCCGGCTGTTTGGCAGTGGCAGTTGCCGACTACGACTCCCGCAATGCACGACATCCGAAGTGGTGCATCTTGTGATTGGTGAGCTCCCGATCGGCCTTGTGTCCGCGACGTTCCCTGTTCAGGGAAAAGCGGTGAGAAGCTAGAGGGCGGAAGTTTCCAAGATCTCTTTTGCAGACTCTGGTGCAGCAGTCATCGACAGGGCGTATCGCCGTGGCAAGTGTCCACTGTCCACAGGACTAAGCGATGGCGACCGTGTTTCACGTTGGAATGGTGTTTACTCCGTACTGGCGTCCCAAAGGAGTGCCTAATCAGGCACCTCGAAGGCCAGGCAGGAACCGCAGGATTCAAAGTAAGTACGGAAGGAGCCCCGCAGACGCACGGCGGCATGGATAAATCGGCACGTTTCGCCGTTGCGGTGTGGCGCTAAGACGCCCGCCCCAGCCAAGCTCGGTTAGGCTCGCTTCATCTGATAACATCCGCTGGATGCTCGACGGAGAACCCCCTCCAGAAGCCCGAACGCCCATGCCTTGGTCGCCCTCGTGGCCGCACATGGGTGGATCTGGCAGAAGCCGAAGCGCTTTCGCAGTCAGCTTCGAATTATCATTATTAATCTCACGGCCAAACTTCCCCCTCTCCATGGCAATGGCGAGTCAGAGGCCACGGCCCCCGCAAATGCAGGGTGAAATGACTAACTAAATTGACTGGGTATCGCCGATAGCCCTAACTACCTAACTAACTCACTCTACCTAGACTAATTTTTAAAAAAAAGCGCTTTGGTCGCTGCCTCAGCGATAAAACTGGCTGCTGGGAAGCTGCTCTCGATGCCTGTTTCTCGCGGCTGTACCACACCGTGTGCAGGGTTCACCTGGCCCCTCGACCTTGAATTCTGCGCCTCTCACTGAGCTAGTCGTCTATACTGTTCAAGTCTATATCAGAACTGAAGTCAAGAAAAGGAACGACGAAAAAGGTCGAGGGGAGAGAGGGAAAGAGAAATGGCGGCCTACGCGGACGTTAAGAAAACCGCCGAGCCCATCAGCAACGACAGCAGAGATGCCGCGGACTCGTCGCTGAATGGCTCCGATCCTCCATTACCAGAGCCAGAACCAGAATCAAAAGGCTCTGGTTATCAGAATGGAGAGCACGAATTCGATACCGGACTCATGGCCTGGCTCCAGGTGTTGGGCTCCCATTTCCTCTTCTTCAATTCATGGTATGCCCTCCGTCTCTTCTTTTTTTTCCTCCCCGTAACTTGCTGACGTAGCTGCTGTCGCCAGGGGAGTCATCAACACGTTTGGTGTTTTTCAAACCTACTATGAGCAAGCAATCCTCTCGCACATGTCCGCCTCGTCGATCGCCTGGATCGGATCGATCCAGGCGTTCCTCCTGATGCTGATCGGCGTCATCACGGGCCCGCTCTTCGACGCAGGCTACTTCCATCTGCTGCTGGGGACGGGGTCCTTCTTGATCCCGTTCGGACTGATGATGACCAGTTTGGCCACCGAGTACTGGCAATTCATGCTTGCGCAGGGTATCTGTATCGGGCTTGGGTCTGGCTGTCTGTTCGTGCCTTCCGTCGCGATCTTGCCTCAATATTTCCGCCGGAAAAGAGGCCTTGCGAACGGCATCGCCGCGTCCGGGAGCAGCATCGGCGGCGTCATCTATCCCATCATGTTTGATAGGCTGCAGCGGGAGGTTGGCTTTCCATGGGCGACACGGATCCTGGGCTTCGTGTGTCTGGGGACCTGTTGCGTCTCGCTCGCCGTGTTGCGGATGCGGTTCAAGCCCATGGAGAAACGGTCCTTGCTGCAGCTGTCTGCTTTCAAGGAGCTGCAATTCGTGCTTTTCTGCATTGGCATCTTCCTGGGTTTCCTTGGCTTTTACAATTATCTGTACTACGTCCAGCCGTACGCGATCCAGACCGGAATTGTCAACGAAAACCTGGGGTTCTACCTCCTGCCGATGCTCAACGCTGCCTCGACGTTCGGTCGAGTGATGCCGAATCTCCTCGCTGACTATACGGGCCCTCTCAACATGCTCACTCCTGCTGCGACAATCACCAGCGTTCTGGCCTTCTGCTGGATCGCGGTCCACAACACCCCCGGCATTATCGTGCTCTCGATCCTGTACGGGTTCTTCTCCGGAGGATTCGTCTCGTTGCCTCCTGTGGTGATGATGACCATCACGAAGGATATGAGAACCTTTGGAACGCGGCTGGGCATGTGTTTCACCCTCACGTCCTTTGCCTTGCTGGTGGGGACCCCAATCGGCGGCGCCATCCTCAGCAACTCGCACCGGTACCTGGGTGTCCAGCTCTTCTGCGCATGCTGTTTGGTCAGCTGCTCCGGTATTTTGGGTTCACTTCGGCTAATCCGCAGTGGACTCAAGCTGCGCTTCCGCACTTGATCGTGTGTTTGATGAGCATAGACTGATGCTGGACATCGTCTGGCCATCTATCTCAATCAGATGGAAATGCGGGAAGAAGCAGTCGCTCTTACGCGTGATATTACGCTGACAGCTTTCCGTCGACAAAAAAATTATAAAAAAAAATAAAAGTGTGGACATGGCATGGTCATCCTTACAGCATTCTAATCGGCGTTGTTTGGGGGATGAGATGGACTGCACTGGTATATTAATGATTTGCATTGCATTACATTGCATTGCATTTTGCATCTGCATTTGGGGACCGGATCAGGGTGTTTCTATCTGTGGATCATCTGTTTGTTGTCCTTGTCCGTATACGTAATGGGATAAATAGAGCGTATAATGATGTGTATGTAGTCGTCTATATATAACTGATAGTTTAAATTGCTGTACATATACACTGAAAATCAACACATTTTGCAGATGTGAAACATTCACCAACCAGAAATGGTCTATAAGAAGCCGTCCGTCATTCATATCCATGACACAACACAAGACGAATAACTAACTCCTGACACCGATTCCCAATGCTAAATAAAACCAAACCGCGCCAACCAAGTTAGTTTCTCCAAGTGCCCGCACCTGCACCAGTTCGGTAGACACGACGTAGAGAGAGGTAGAGGATATCCGACTCGTTCGTGGGAAGCAGAAACAAGCGCTTCAATTCAATTCGATCATCCGATCGACCGATCAATCAAGATACATCCTCGGGACTGACGAGGAACTCCTCGCCCTTGTCGCGAATATGCTCGAGATTCTTATCTCGACTGCAAGGTTTGCGCATGTCGAAGGCGTCTTCGCCTGTCTGCGAGAGGCCGGTGGGATCGTCGCTGTAGTAGTTTACCACACGGCGGAAGACGGAGTACCTGAAAGCAGCAACAACAGGAAGAAGAATTGTCAGTTCAAACCCTTTCCCGCTAGTCACATATATATATCATGTCGACTCACCCCATCCCCTTGTACATCCCCACGGCAACCTTGTTCCCCGCGCGCACGTACAGATCGACAAACCACGCATCGTTGATGTCGGACACGTGCTCGAGGCTCTCGGTCAGACGGCGTGCAAAGCCAAGCCGTCGCCATGCGGGCGCGACGGTCAAGACGGTGATATGGCCGTGCCAGGGGGTGTAGTGCGGCGAGTGTCGCATCGAGGGGGGTTGTTCTTCGAGTTTGCCCATAACTTGCGCACAAAAGAAAAAAATAGAGAATCAGCAAAATGTTGAACGGGGAACAGATGCCCTAGAAATTAAATTCAGAGGTGCCTACTGTATCCCACAATGCCTGCATCCCGGTCCTGGACCACACTGAAGAGCGACGGCCATCGCATCAGGTAGTTGAGGTAGAAGCCCAGGTCATAGTTCTCGGTCAGCGGGTCGAGGTTCGTGAGGTTCAAGGAGAAAAGGTCTGTTGGCGTCATGCGCCGGATGAAGCTCATGGTGAAAGAATCAAGTGTCGTTCTCTTGATTAAGAGGCTGCAATGACGTGCCTAAGCGAACTGAGGCAGCTGCGTGGGCTGTCTGTTTTCTGTCTCCCGCAAGCGGAGACGAGGCGATGATAGGTATGTACTGTACGTAATTCTAGGCCAGGAATACGGCGATTGCCAAAAGAGGGAGACTATTTGTTGCAGTCAATGGCTGTTAGTCTGCTGATAACATATCAGTAGTAAATCATTCTCCTGGGCTGGTAAAATAAAATAAAATCATGCTAGACGGCCGCGTCGATGTGGGGAGAGACGGCGGCCGTTGGGCTTGCTTGGGGCTTCGGCAGTCACGGGGAGCGGGCCACCCGCCGTTTCAGGTTGAGGTCACGACTCATCCAGAAGCCGATCCCGGGAGAAAAGCACTGCCAGACGATCTTCTTTCTTTGTCGGAGCAGACGCGTTTGCCTCGCATGCACGGGCCTGCCAGCGATCTCTAACTGTTGTGCCCGTTTGCAACCCGCCAGAGCCGCTGACTGACCACAACACATAACCCGACGGATTCGCATCCCATCCGAACCACATGTCTCGACGATAAACAAGCACTCCTCTCCTTCAGTCGGTCTTGTCACTTTCCCACAGGCGCCGCGATCAAGTGATTGCACTGCGTCCGACATGTCGATACCGTCGTCCCCCGTGTCCCCCGTGTCCCCCAGGCACCGCCGGCATCCCTCGAGCCTCGATCTGTCCTCCGCGAATGACTTTGACCAGAGTCCTTTCCACTCCCCCCAAACGCCCCGTTCACCTCGTGCGCTGTCGCCGTCAACTCCCCGACAGGAAAATTCCCAGGTGATGGACGGAGAACGTCGAATGTCGGAAGACTACATCGGGGCGGTCGACTCTGGGGGCGGTCTGGGAAGCCTCGCAGACGAACTGGCGGACGCGTTCGCGGATGAAGAGGGCTACGAAGATGCCTCTGGGCTAGAAAACAGCCATGCCCAGATGGGTGCTCGCGAGGACGACGATTCATACCCGGAATCCGCACAGGGTACCGGCACCCCTCACGGCGATCTCTCCCCCGAGCGTAACACACTCCAGCCGCCGAAGCAGAGGACGCGGGCTGCGCAGATCCGGCACCGACGGACAGAGTCGCAGTACGACGGCTCCGACTATGGGAATGACTCGGACTTTGAAGAGGCGGGAGACATTCCCCCGAGTCTGGAAGCGCGGATGGCGGGAATCGAGAGCCTCGCCCGACGCGGCACGGAGGAGAATGGCAGTTCCAACGATCAGGTTATCAAGCGGGTGATTCAAAGTCTCCAGAACTTGGGTGCTCAGAGTGGGATCGAAAATGGTGCCACCAGGTAGGCAGTCTACCATATATCCAGTGATGATATTGGACGTGACCTGCTAATCACTTTCCAATTCAGGCTTATCACCGCTCACACTTCGATAACATCGCATCTGACGCACCAAACGCGGGCGTTGCAGAACCTGATCCATCCTCTCCTGTTCTCCCACTTCCCTCTCCTCTCGAATGAGGCCATTGACAGTCTCATCCCGCTGATTGACGATGGACTCCTACCGAACCTACCATACCCTTTCCCCCAACAGTCGCAAATGTCCCAGCACGGCTCACCGAGGCCGCTGTCTTCTTCGTCTTCTGCGTCCTCGCAGGGCAATGCCGCGCTCAACCCGCTCGTGGCCCTCCAGTCCCTCCTGAACCAGACCTCCGACCTGACCCTCACCCTCCGATCCCTGAGCGACACCCTCCACGAATCACGGCAGCTAACCTCGACTGCATCCCGCCGACTCCGGTCCGCGCGCGAGCTCGTCGCCGAGCTGAGACGGGAAGACCAGGACCGCGAGGAAGGCCACCGCTGGATCGAGAAGGGGCAATGGGACCGCCGGCTCAGGGAGCGCGAAGCAGGCCGCGTCTGTGGAGAAGTGGTCAGCGGGTTCGAGGCCGTCTGCTGCGAGTGGCGGACAAAGCTGTTCGGTGCAGCTGCACCTGCTGCAGGCGGTGGAGAACTTGCGGCTGCTTAAGCGATCGGGCATGAATAAATAAAGCTTGCGCGTTGACGTTTTATTTATTTATTTTTTTTTGTGTAGATTTTTTTTTCGAACCCTTCCTCAGACTAATTCTCTTTCTCTGGTTTACTTACTTTCTTCTTTTTTTCCCCCTTAGACAGAGCTGCGATACCATTCAGTCAGTCAGTCAATCAGCTTCGCACTGTCACACAACAAACCTGGTTATACATAGTTATACATAGTTATTATATACACACATCTCTATACATACATACATACATACATATCCCTATTACTTCATCACTTTAGCTCCTCTGTGTAACTGCCTGCTTTGCATCTACCCCCGTTTATACCATATAGATATCTGTCCTTCTTTTTTTCTTTTGCAGTTGATCAGTTGATCAATTATCGTCAGCAGTTGGCGTAATGGTCATTCAATAAGTATGGTATGATGAACATGGACATGGAGATAAACATAAACACTGTAATTCTATTCAAGTCCCGTGATGATATCATACCTAATTATTAGTTCTGCTGGAGGAGTCGAATCTGGAATTGACCTGCCTACCTACGTATAACGTGCCCTGCTTAGCTAATAGCGACTTTATACATTACAGAATAATATAGGTAGGTAGATAGGCAGGTAGTCAATTCTGCTAGCGCACTGCTTACGTTATTACAGCAGTAGAAAAAAAAACCATAGAAGAGACGGGTAATATGTTGTTTTCGTTCATTTATTTGACAGACAAGACGAGACGAGAAAAAAAAAGAAACCATGACATTTTTTTTAAAGGTCCCCTATTCATTTCGACATACACGTTCAGTTCAATTTCTTAATCTCATCTCATCTCATCTCATCTCATCTTCTCTTCTCGTTAAGAAAGGGACACGGATGGACAAACAAATGAACTAACTAACGAACAAGCAAACAAACAAACAGAGAAGAGGCGCATATCTAGGTGGGTAGTAGTAGACAGGGTGTGTCTGACTCTGTCTGCTATGCAAAAAGAAGAAAAGAAGAGGAAGAGGAAGAAGAGGAAGAAGAAGAATGCAATTTTTGGGAAATTGACAGATAAAAACATCACACGTAGTACTACGTCCATCCGTCAGTCAGTCAGTCATAGTACGAGAGAGAGTCAACAGCCCCAAGAAAAAGACGAAAACTTCAGTTCAGTTAGAAAATGAAACATGCACAGTTCCACACCACCACCCACATACACAGCTCGCAGCTTGCTGAACGAGTCTAGCTTTGCTGCTGCTGTTGTTGCTGCTTCCACCGTGGCACCCACTTCTGCGTGCTGGGCGCTTTCGTCTCCTCGGATTTCCCTGCTGCTGGAGCGGAAGGAGCAGCACTAGCAGCAGCAGAGGCACCAGACGAAGATGGAACTCTGCTAGACGGTTGAGAAGCGGCCTCGCGAAGACGAGGAGGAACATAGCGCTCGGTAGTACCAGTAGCACCGTTCGCCGCAGAGGTATCCCGTCCAGCAGCGGCAGCGGCAGCTCCCTGGCGCGCGTGGGGAGGCACATAGCCACCAGGCTTGCGAGGAAGCGTAGTTTCTTCCTTGGGTGGCTCGGCCGCGTCCGCACCAGCCTCCTTCGCTGCAGCCTCCTTCGCCGCGGCCTCCTTTGCTGCAGCCTCCTTGGCAGCCAGGCGCTCTCTCCAGCTGGGCCCGGCACCAGGGCGTGGAGCGAGATTGAGACGGGGTGCCGTGCGTGGTTCTTCGGGACGAGTAACAGGCTCTCCTGGCGGGGGAGCGGCGAGACCGGCTTTCCGAGCAGCACGGCGAGCCTCTGCTTCCTCTTCTCGCTGCTTCTGCTTGGCGGCAATCTCGTCGAGCTTCCTGTCGCAGAGTTAGCATCAACATAAACTTCTAGCCTGGTAATCAGCACCAACCTTCTCTCTTCCTCGCGCCGAGCCTTCTCTTCCGCGAGGATCCGTCTCTGCTCTTCCTCCCTGGCCTTCCGTTCCTCCTCTTCGCGGCGAAGGCGCTCTTCTTCTTCCCTCCTCCGCCGCTCTTCGGCCTCCCGTTCCGCCTTCTCGCGGAGTCTCCGCTCCCGCACCTCCTTGATTCGTTGTCTCTTCTTGGCTTCGAACTCTCTCTCAGCCGCCTTGCGGCGCTTCTCGAATTCTTCATGACGCTTTTCTGTCAGGTTCTTTTTGAATTCATTGAAGTACGGCACCAGACGACTCAAACGATGCTTCAGTGCAACGTCCTCCTTGTGTTTCCGCTGCGCCTCCTTCAAGATTTCTTCCTTCTGCCGCTCGTAGACCTCCAGGTCGTGCTTCTTCTGTCGCTCGTAGTCTTCCGGAAGGTGCTTGAGTTCCTCACGGCGGAATGCTCGTTCCAAGTGGTCAATGCGCTTGGCCGTGATGCGGATCCGGTCGTTGAGCTCATTCTTCTCTTTCTCCAGCTGGGCGAGCTTGATGGCACGCAGGCGGTTGGTGTCAAGTTCCTCGAGATCGATTTCGCTAACGTCCAGGCCCTTGACGCCGCTCTTGAGCTCCTCGAGCTGCTTCTTCAGCTCTTGCTGGCGGATGCGGTCCTGCTCATCCTTGATCCTCTTCTTCTCCCGCTCCCGGTGCTCATCGAGCAACCGCTGCTTCTCAGCCTCCTGAAGCTGCTGCGTGCGAATGCGCTTCCTCGTCTCCTCCTCGCGCTGCTTCCGCTGAAGAGACTCCGTGGCAGCCTCCTTCTTCTTTTCGATGATGATCCGGCGAGCCAGAGTCTCTTCATGCTCCTTGGCAGCGCCCTCCTTGGCACGGGCGTGCGCGAGCTGCTTGGCCTGGAGTCGTGCCTCAGTGTAGGACGGATCAACATACAGGCAGGTGATGTGGAGAGTCTTGGCCAGGCGCGTGAGCTGAGAGCGAGCAATTTCGGCCGGCGTGCTCTGCAGGCGCTGAACAGTACCGACCTCGCTCTCCGCGGATCCCGCGGCGCTGCCAGGGTGTAAGGCCTTGGCAGAGGAGAAGATGTCGGAGTCAAAGGTCAGGACACCGGCGACATGGTCCACACGGATAGCCAGGTCACCCTTCTTGCAGCCGTTCATGATGAATTTCTCAATCATGGACTGGTCGACCTGGAATGGAGCGGGGAACTGAGCCAGTTCGTAGACAAACTTGAGCTCGACGGACTCGTACACTTGAGACAGCTGCTGGAACAGGCGGGTCAAAATGACTTGCTGCAAAGGCCCGACATACTTCTCCATCTCGGGATCCGCGCCGATCTGCTTGAGGATCGGGGTGATCTTCTTGCAGATCGACAGGGGGTGGAAGTCAACCTCCAAGATGTTGTACAGGTCGCGGATCTCGGGGCGGGCACGCTTGAGCAGACCCTTGTTCAGGGCATCCTTGAAGAGAGAGGCCCGGGTAGGAGGCTGAGCCATACCCAGCAGGTTGGTGAGCCGAGCGTTCTTGTTTTTGCGGACCTCATCCACATCGACCAAGGCACCCCGGGAGCGGGAGGTGCTGATGACGGGAATGGAAAGGGCTGACAGCAGCACGAAAGAGGCGGCCTTGGTCATGTCCGCATCGGAGACGGGAGGGTTGTCCTTCTTCGAGCCCTGACCAGCCGCAAGAGTTGCTGCCGACTGACGGAGGAGATTGTAGTAGCGGTTCCACGCGGCGGCATGGAAGAGGTAGTTTTCGCTGACGAGGAATATCCGAGCCAGCTTCTCGTAGTAGTTGGCCATCATGATGTTTTTCGGCGGGCGCTTGCTGAGGCTCAGCAGAGTGTGAATGTCCTCCACGCTGCGGAAAGCCTCCTGCCACAGCTCCAACTCAACGGCCACGTTCAGCTGGTGGAAACGGGTGTCAAGGTGGCGCTGCAGCGTATCCGGGTCGCTCAGGTTGATAGCGTGCATCTGGGCCGAGTACTTGGCAGCATTTTGGACGTGATTCCGGAGCAGCTCGCACAGTCGGCGGAACTCAGTCTTGCGGGTGTACTTGAGGCAGAACTGGAAAGCCTGTAGCGCAGTCGTCTGGTACATAACCTCCAGGCGGGCATTGTTCTTCAGGATTTCGAGCACGGTCCGGTAGGTCTCCCACAGGAACTTCAGCCAGGGCGTGACGATGGCGCGATCGGTGCGATCCTTGGACTGCTCGCCAGAGACGGTGGCCAGGAGAATGGTCTCCGGGGTTTCGATGGCTTCGAGATCCTCGACGTTGGTCGAAGGCGCCACCGACTCGAGGGACGACTGGATCTCATCTGCCTTGGCCTGAGCCTCGGTAACCTTTTGTTCTGCGAGTTCGATGAACCGCTTGAGAACCGTCTATAGCAGAAACCCCTGTCAGACACGTTTTCTCTTTATTTCCTTTCTTTTCTCCCATGCACTTACCTCGATAGTTCCCACGTTGGTGTTCTGAGCAATGTTCTTGAACTGATACAGGCCATCCTTGGCAGCCTTTCCCTTTCGCAAGTCGACGCACAGTTCAACGAAGAGGATCATGACCGGCTCGAGGGAGGCGATGGGACTGCTGCGAGTCCGCTTGGAAATGACATGTTCGTGAAGGACCGTCAGGGCGGCGGGAGCCTGGCCCACGGCGATGAGTTCTTGGGCCCTCTGTAGTTAAACCGCAGTTAGAAGGTAATCCAAAAACCGAACAATTTTTCATCGGGCACATCGAGAAGATGCAGAACGCGTACCTTGAGGACATTTTCGGGTTTGATATGGGGTGGAGGAGGCATGGTGGGCAATTTGCCCCTTGGGCCGCGTCAGATCTTTTTTGATGCGAAGGCGACGATTTCACGGACGAACACGAGGCGAAATTTCGCAGAGGAACTCCAAAAAAGACGAGATCCTCTCGGCAGGGGCGGACAGCACAGCTGGTGCAAAAGAGAGAGCTGGGGATGCTGCCGCGCGAGGGCCGTCGATGGACCTTCGAGACGCAAATTGTTGTTGGATCGGCTGAGTTGCGTCGTTGTGCGAGAATCAAGGCGAAAATCTGACTGGCGCGACGCTTTGCAGCGAGCCCACTCGGGCCGCATAAGCGACGGAGGGGAGGGCGGCTGGCGTCACGTGACCAGCACTCGACATGGCCTGCCTGAGGGCTGCCTTGCGGCCTGCATGCGACAGCCGCCAGCTCGAATCACGGCGCAGAGGACGCATGCAGGCGGGCGCGGCTATGCTTCTTCAGGCGGTGGTAGATTACCCAGGTATGACTATCTGGACTACATGCTGCATCCCAAGACGCTGGCGAGAAAGACGTACTCGAGAAGACTGTAGATATCCTTCCCACCTGCGCCGTTGTCGTGCCAATTTTTTGTCTAGCTTGACCAACCAGGCTTGTGGTTCAGAAAAGCGATGGCTACAGAGTATCACATGTACTTTCCTTACGCTTTAGACGGATAATAGTAAAGAGTACAATAATAAACCATCTCTGCCCAGCACAGCGATATCGCGAGGCTGCTCCGGCATCTCGCTCCAATTCACGTGCCTCGCTAGCCTGTCATCCACGTGATTCGCATGTCTGGAGTGCCTGCCAGCTATGCGGCTTGGCGGCCAAGGGACGCCCTGTCGATTCTGACAAGAGCAATCCTGTCGAGCATTCCATCTTATCAGCAGCATAATTATTATTATTACTATCAAACCAGCATCGAAGGTCGATTCAGACCTAAGTCTTAAGCACGTCAATATTATTTTCCTGTGCGCGACGGAGGCTACGCTACTCTGTACGGCGCCGCGCAGCGACCTAACGGCCAGGGGGGCACGCCAACGGCCAGTTGCAACCTTTCCAGACCCGACTAAAAGCCGCAGCGTGGGCCCCGAACCCCCGGCCGGAATTTGCTGGCCTGAACTCTGGCAGTCATCGAGTCCACGACGCCTGGGCCATTTGCTTCCGCCCTCCTGGTGCCCCCTTCAGACCTTCAGAACCCCCCGACTGCCCCGTCGCTTCCTCGCTCGCCCCCAAACCAGTCCATCTCCGTCACTCCCTGCCTTGCTCTCTTGCCGTCCATCCAACCCCCGTCCTGTGCGCTCTCTTGCTTTCGTTCTTCTGATCCCTCCTTCGCCTCTCTTCTCCAGCGGAGACCCACGATCAGAAGCCAGGCGCGCATCGAGCGTCGTCGCGTCGTTTTCCCAATTGATTGAGTCTTCAAGCTGTCCGGTCCGACGACACCAGCACCATGCCTGCTTACGAAATCCGTTCCGGGGGGGATGTCAAGAACAAGAAACAGAGCATGGCGGACCTCAAGTACCGCCGCCTGACGGAGCTCAACAGTCGACTGAAGGAGGACCTGGATCGTCCTCGTGTGAAGGTGTCAGAGGCTTCTCTATCGTGAGTGTTCCCCGCGTTGAGCAGCATCCGCAGGAAAAGGGAGCTGTCGCCCAGCACCCGACACCCCCTTATCGTCGCGTCGTCTCTCCCCACCCATTGACCATTGCAATCAACGTATCGACTGATGATTTCGTGATCGCCAGACTTATCAATTACTGCAACAACACGCGTGACTTCATGGTGCCGTCCGTATGGGGCCAGGTATGCTTTGCCAGTCGTGTCCAGTCTGCAGTCCAGAAATCGCCGTGCTGACCATCCTCAAGGTTGACAAGCGGGAAGACCCCTATGCGCCTCAGCAATCAGGCGGCTGCTGCACCGTCATGTAATGGCCTTGATGACCTTCGACGTCTTGTCCACAATGCGATGATGGACTTGGAGTCCTTTTCGGTTTCCTATTGCTGTCTTTTTGGCCTAATCGTTTCCCCTTTTTCATACCCCTTGTGCAACGACCTCGGTTCGGCTCTTCGACATTTCTTCTTCGTTCTAGGTGTGCTCGCATCACCATTTTTCAGTCTGACCCAGCTCAGACTTAAATTAATGTTAGCGGACCAAACATATAAGGGCCGGTGATGGCCCAGTGACAGACCAATGTATGTGGGATCTCGCTGCCTCCGACGAGCGATATCTTTGGATGAGGGTGCGGCGGTGGAACGTTGTCTCGATTCTTGCGTCTGATATCACACGAGAATGTTCTGGTCCGATCTGACTTTCTTTTCATATACCTCTTTTTTTTATTCCCCTATGCAGCTTCCTTGCCATCTCTGTTGTTTGCGTTTGAGATCCGGTTCCACAACATTTCCTTTGTCTCCATGTCTACTGCTTCCCTGATCGGCTTGACAGAAAAGCGAAACTGCCCTCGGGTTATTGGTGCTACACAAAAGTGACAGCGCAGTCAGTTTGCAAGGTGACATGTGATGTCCCATTTCCTTCTGTGTAAAATAGATTTTGTCGATTCTTTTTTTTACCCCCCTGATTGTCTCTTGTGTTGGAGGAGGAGTGTCGGGCATGCTACGGCTGACTTGGTACTTTTTGAGCGTCGTGTTGTAAAGATAATCAAAAAAGATCACAAAGACAAACAGATAATCACAATCTGTCCATTTATCTAACACTCGTGCCTTGAATAATATAGCCAGAGCTATACTGGGTATCATAATCTCATTATATCATTATGTATGTGTGTATGTGTGTGTTTATCAAGACAAGTACGACGTGTCCCTATCAGCCAGGATCCATCCCTGCGAGGAACCCTAGCCACGGACCCAGATGCATCCATGCTCGTCGACGCTCTGCTTTAGATGCGGGTGACGACGACGATGATGCTGCAAAGATGTCGCAGATCCAGGGATCTTCATCCCGATTACAATCCCTAGGAGGAGGAGGAGGAGGTTGTTGATGATGATCGACCTGTCCGTCCCGTCTCGTTGTTGTTGGTACTATGACCGGATCTTGCAGCTGCAACTCTCGTCGACGGAACCACTCGCGGATCGGATGGGCGCTCCATAGGTACCCGTTGTCTGGGAGGGGGAATTGCAGGTCAGAGAGGGAGAGGACCTCAAGGTTATTATTATTATTGTCGTCACCGACGAGGCGTGAGAAAAGAACATTGACTTTGAACAAGGTCAGGGCAAAAAGTTTCGTTTCTTCCAGGAGCGTCCAGGCGTAGATGATGGGATCGTCTGGGCGCCCCTGGGCGAACATCGAGGGGTAGTAGAACAGACCCTGCGCACGACAGGTTCGCACGAGCCGCGAGAAGATGGGCTGGACGCTGAGGAGGACGTCAATGTCATCGTCGTGAGTGACGCAGGTGCCCGGTCTGTGGGCCACCATGGCGAAGATGGTGAACAGGAGGATGGCCTGATAGGTCGCCAATGGCCAACGGGTGTTATCATTTGTTGTTGTTGTTGTTGTTGTTGTTGTTGTTGTTGTTGTTGTTGTTGTTGTTGTTGTTGTTGTTGTTGTTGTTGTTGTTGTTGTTGTTGTTGTTGTTGTTGTTGTTGTCGTCGTCGTCGTCGTCGTTGATTCATGACCATCATGACGTGATTTATCCCATTTTGTCTGCAAATGTTAGTTAGTCGTCAACTGTTATGTTCTATGGGCCACCAAACCATTTGCGCCTCGAGCATGGCACGTAATCGGGAGTGAATCTCCCAGGCCAGCTTCTGCAAACGCGCCTCGCCGGTGATCCACAAGCCGATCATAACCGTGGCGAGCACCAGTACGGGAGGTTCGTGCTTGGATCGAAACGACTGCCGAAACAAGAAAGGCCATTGGGGGTGGAAATGGTCAAAGTACAAGCGGACGTAGTACTCGGTGTCGATGGACCCGGATCCAGATCTAGATCCAGAGGTCAGATTCAGACTGGTCTGGTTGTTGTCATCATCATTGTCGATCATCGAGGTCAGCATTGGCAAACCCTCGAGTTGAAGAAGAGGGATTGAGGTTGAAGCCTGCTGCTCGACCGAGCGTATGGCTTCTTCCTGCACGCGGGCTTCTTGCTGCAGGAAAGCCCTTCTTACGCTGTACTCTGATTGATCAGATAGAGGTGACGGGGCGGACTCGTGTGCTTCGCTGCTGCCGAAACAGACCTGCTTATCTAGCGCTGCAGTGTCATCGTCTGACTGATCGAGATGTTCTTCTTGATTATTGTGAGTCTTGCCGTCGTTTTGACGCCGTCTCTTCCCTGCAGTTTCGCTTCCTCGATCGAATGAGCAGGAAACGCCTTTCTTTAAGCACACTCCGCATGGAAAGTTTCCGTCACATCTCGACTTTTGGGCATGGCATCGATTGCAGGCTCTCGACGCCCGGGGGATGCTGGGTTCATCGGCTTTGGAATGGATCTTTGTGTGTCGTCGTAGAGTGTCGCTGTGAACATCGTCAGCTGCAATCCAGCATTTATCACTGCAATATAAACGAATTACAAGAGAGGAAGTGTAGTTATACCATAGTTCTGCTTGCACATATAGACCTGCAGCCTACTCCTACCAGCGATTGGGCGGGATATTTTGCAGTACATACAATACGGAGTATAATATCCAACCTAGGATCCACTCACCTCCGGTCGAAACTGACCCCACAGACACTGCAGATGAAGACTCGACTCCGCGAATGCCGGACAGCGTGACGAGCTAGATGCTCTTTGCGTCGGTAGCTTGCACCACATCCCGGATGCTGGCACTTGAACCGCCGCGAATCGGGTTGATCTGCAGATACTTCCATGGGCAAGTCAATTCTGCATTCAGTGAATCCATGGAAGCAGGAAATAAGTAACAAAATAATGGTCTGGGTGACGTGTTCTCTTGTTGAGATGTCTATCGTAGTATTGTAGACATTGGGCCGAGTGGGATGCCGGGTGGGAGAGGGAGCCAAAGGACAGTCACGTGTCTACATAATTTCTTTGTAGGGACCCTGCGCAGAGAGAGTATGATAAATATTATTAATATTAATTATAGCTGCATATTTTCATGGCTACTACATCTAGCTAAGAGAAATGGAAGTTGACATATGCTTTGATTTGATCTAAGACCAATGGTGATATGTGTGTCGAGGTGCTGGCGAGATGGAGATCTGATAACTAATTCTAATTCGTAGATCAGCATCATCACATACATCATCGCCATCCACAACGGAACACAGCACAGTGAGCGACACTGCCAGCATACATCTTTAATTAGCAGCACCAGAGATATAAAACAAAACTCCCTAGATTATACCGCACTGCTGGCAAGATGACAGAGCCAATGCCACCCATCGAACAGCAGACTCCCACCGAGCGCAGGGAGCAGTCCGCCTCGTTGGTGGGGACATCATCATCATCGTCCGAATCGTCGCATGTCTACCTGCCCCGGATCACCATCAAGTACTGTACGCAGTGCAAGTGGATGCTCAGGGCGGCATATGTAGGTGAAATATAATTTCGTCGTCCTCTTTTCTTTCTTTTGTCCCAGTTTCCTTTGCGTTGTCTATATTGATCGTTCTTTGCAAGTTAAAGCAAGTTTGACGGGATCATTTCGCGAGAATTTTTGGGATTACCAGTATTCCTTTTTGAGCATTCTGTATTATAAAGTCGAGAGTGATGAAGAAAAACCAACCGTCATCTCGCCTTTTATTGTTATTGTTCCATATCACTCACTTTTCTTTTCTTGCGACAGTTCGCGCAGGAACTTCTCTCAACCTTCAACACAAGCCTCGGAGAAGTATCTCTCATCCCGACCACGGGGGGTGGTCTTCACTGTGACCATCTTCCACCTGTCTCAGGACAGCCTAGGGACGCAGGAGACTCTCCTCTGGGATCGCAAGATGCATGGCGGGTTTCCTGGTATGTTCTCTCTCTCTCTCTCTCCGTGTGTCATCTTCTCTCGTACTGTACATACATGGTAAGCTAAACTCATTCTTTTCCCGTGTCTGACGCGAAAAAAAATAAACAGAAGTCAAACAACTCAAGTCTCTCGTGCGCAACATCGTCGACCCCTCTCGAGACCTGGGGCACGTCGATCGTGCTCTGGGCAAGGAAAACAAAGGCGCAGAATCGACGCCTGTCGCTGCTACTGTTACTGCTGCTGCGACCACCGGTGCAACTACGACATCAGCAAAGACCGTCGCAACGGATGAGAATACACCAGCAGGAATGGGGGCATCCGGAAAGAGAGAAGACGAAAAGGGTGAAGGCGAGCAAAAGACATGTGAGGATTGCCAATAACAATGTTTTTTTTTTAAAAAAAAAAAGTGTTGCTGTACAGTAGTCGTAATTGATACCTTTACTTATTACATAGAATTGTGAGCAATGGACCTGTCGCCATATATGTAGATGTAGAAGTATGAAGAAGTCTATAGAGAGCTAGAGTATATCCTCTGCGAGTAGCAAACAGACTATGTATGTCTTAATGAATACTGTTCAGAGGAGTCGCTTGGTTCCCGCTACCAGTCTACCTACTACCTCCAATGGGCTAGATGGAGTAACTTAAGCTTTGTGCGGAAATGGCAGACAGAGGTGCATATTCTCCAGGCGACAAAGCCTACTAGTCGTGATGACACATATCTACTTGTGTTGTCCACTGACAGTCTTACAAGGAGAAGCCGAAGAAGTAGGAATTGGCTGAAATTGGTTGAATTGGTTGAAATTCCTCGAAACGCCAGGCTCGCCACACAGACCTATTTAATTTTTACATTCCCACCGCAATGTGAAACAGACACAGACTGAGTAGTACAGAAAAGTTTCAAAGACAGTGCAAAAACAAAAAGGAAACAATTCTCCACAAGAAGGACTTCTATACAGGACCAAAAAGAGACGGCGCGACGATGTCTGCTGTAATAACACAACCAAAACAAACAAAACCCCCATGACGCCTAATATATATCCGGTAGTGCTCCCCGGTATCGACCGTCGACCATGATGAATTTCATCCATGTCACGTCGTGCAAGACAAAAACGACAGACGTCACCACCCATGGAATATAATGCAATATCCAATGTCCCGGTAGAATGATTTCCACCAGCAAGAACAAAAAAAAAAGGAAAGAGAACGAATGCTTTCTTTTCCACAGCCAATGCCATAGACGGTGCCTCTCCAAATCGCAAGATAACAAAAGGAGACGAAAAGAATGAGGAGATGGAAAGAGCGTGGAGATGCCGCAGATCTGAATCCGTCATATGCAAATCGAGATTTCAATCAACGCTCAACCAACCGCAAATGGAAAAAAAAATGCGTAAGCCCCGACGTGACATCATAAAAGAAGTCGTCAATACCAAACCCCTGTCCACGGACCGTGATGCCACTAGAACGCCATGCCATTGCCCATTGCCCGATGCCTCTATATTTGTTTTGTCCCTGTCCGAACGCCTACCGCAGTAATGTCTCGAAAGTGAGAAAAGAAAAAGATTGCAAGTTATGGAGAAAGTGGTTGCTGGATTTCTCTCCTCACGCCTGCTGTTGAAGATTAGATTCTTTGCGCCTCCAAAAAGCCAAACGTAGGCGACTTTTCCGTTTCCGCAAGGCTTTCGGCACAAACGTAGGCTGAGGGTCAAATCGGACACAGTTTCCGGGCTTCGGTTCATGATCCACAGGCGACGATCCTCGGCTGCTGATATGGCGGCCAACTACTGCCGTCATGACATGATGCTTCTTCCCAAAGTCCTCGATCCGATGAGAAGCATGGAACCGCTGTTGGAAGTAGAGGCCGTTGTTTGGGGCTTCGTACCGTTGACGATCCATCATAGCGTACAGACCCGAAGAAGTTGGACGGGACGGATTCTCGTTTTCCGTAGCAACCAAATCACTAGAACTAAGTCCATACACAGTTGGTTCTCTCTCATCGCCGCTATCAACCGTGACGAAACTGGTAGCGTTGGTGGCAGGGGAAACAGGCGTCGTGACAGTATTTGAGCAGGTGCTTGCACTCTGCGTTCTAGTGTCTCTGCCCGCGCCATGCGAGGAGGACGGCACAGAAACATGGCCCGAGGAGTACGATTTGCGGGTGGATTCAGCGTTATGGACTCTCATGTCAGGGACAGAGGTGATCCGTGGCAATTGGTCTGCAGTGTCACTGGGCTTAGCACAGACAGTTGTAATCGACAGATGTTTCTGATCAGGAGGCTGGTCAAAAGTGATTTTGACATTTGTAGGCCCGGCATCATTTTCTTGCGGGGACGAGGCCGGCAACTGCTCACCAGTCCCCTCAACCCGCGGCTCGTCTTGAGACCTCGCGGCCACAGGGCTGAATGACCGGGGAGAACGTGCAACATCAGACTCCGGCTCAGGAAGCAAGCTTTTCCTCCGCTCCCGATCGGCCAGGTCCTGCCAGATCGTCCGATTCGACTGTATCTGCTGAACGGCGAAAGCCATCTGCGGAAGGAGATCGGCGACTCCTTCGAAGAGGGGCAGGGCGAAGATAGACATGAAGCTGATTTGACCGGTGGCCAGCTTAAGAACGTTGCCGAGTTCTGGAGGTCCACCAAAGAGAGCGGTCTCCATTCCAACCTCCTTTTCCATCTCACCTTGGTTGGCGAATTCCTTTTGGAGGATATTCGTCCATTTTTCGGCGATTTGCCATGGCCGGGCCTGGAAAAAAAAAGAAAGACGTTAGCAACGCATGCAGACTAACTTAGGAATATTAAGGTTACGAACCACGTTGCTGATGTCGGCACACTTTATGATCAACCCACAAACCAGTGAGCTATACTTTTCCAAGTCCTGATTACTCCACCTGTCGATGTCTCCATCGTCACGATACTTCTGCTGCAACTCTGCCATGCGACTCATGTATTGGAAATGCACCCCCATGTCCGTGGCTAAGATGGTGCTGATGAGGAGCTTACGAAAACTGGTAGACCTAAAAGCGGCCGGCCAATGACGACGAAGGATCTGGGAAAATGCCGCGCAGTGAAAGGCTTCCAGGACGGAGCTGTCGTTATAAAGCTGGGCCAGCGGCGCATTCAGTTTGACCAAAAACACGTTGTTCACACCGGGATGGCCGACGTCGTGGCCGAGAGCCGAGATTAGGAGGACCAGGACATCGAATGGGCTAAGTAAAGACGCGATAGGAGACTTGGAGACCGGGGGTAGAGGGGACGGGTCGTAGGGAGGTAGAGCACCGATGTGGAGTAGGATGCTGAATACAGACTGTAATACGTCGACAGCATGGCGAAAGTTATGATAAAGGACGAAGGAATTGTACGCCGTACGGGTTGCCAACACGAAAGTCTGTAGCTCGCCTATCGGAGACGTTAGTTCGACTGTCGGATATCTCCGAGTCGTAACGATCATATTCATACCAGGCGTCAGCCTAAAATATCCCACTTCGGGCATTGTCAAGGCATGCTCCAGCATCTTTTGTGCAGCATAGGCAAGTTCATCGTCGGAAAAGTCGTGAGCGGAGAAATCCCAGTCACCGATTTTACGCTCCACCAGAAGCTTCCGCTCATCGAGAACATCCAGCCTGACACGATCGTCAGCAAGAAACGAAGCTTAATGAATGTCAGCGCGGTTCGAAGGGAGTTACCCACCGGTCTTGGAATTCATCGATCATGTCTTCCGGGTTGCAGATCGACTTCATCAGCTTCGAGACCCTGAACAGATTGTCAGCATGTTCGGATTACCACCCCGGAGGAGGAAAACAACATACATCGCTTCTCTCAGGTAGGCATATGGTTGTTCATCGTGAACGCCAACCCACGAACGCTTCCTCGTTTTCTTGACGGACATGAAGCGAGAAATCTCCTTTTGGGCCGCTTTGCGAACGCGATAGGCGTGCACCAGAAGCCCATCCACCCTGCTCTTCTCCAACGGCTGGATAAGGATATCCACAGCGCCAGCATCCAAACAGCGCGCACACAGGCTCGGCTCCGGTAACGAAACGCTGAGGTCATCATCAGGCGGACATTCGTCGGGTTCGCTTTCTTCGACTGATGGCTTGGCGGCGGGCTGTTCGTATGGACGCACCAGGGCGACAGGGATGATGAGCTTAGGGCCCTCTTGTAATTGGAGGTCGGATGTCAACAGAGCCAGCAGTTGAATTCCATACGAATCTTCAGACTCCGCGGAGAAGGTAAATCCGCGAGAAAGGGGGCCGATTGAAGTCTGTCCCGATCCGGTGGTTGAGTCACGGTTTTTACGACGGCGAGATGAGGCAGATTCCCTGCTATTTTCGATATCGAAGAAGGCAAATACGGATTTGCCGTCCGTTGTGCTTCGTTCATTTAACTCGGCTATGGCCGTTGCAAACGACTTGGCTGAGTGACATAGATAAACTGTGGCCTTGTTAGGAAACGTCATTGAAGTCGTATAGGGCAGGGAGAAATTGCAAGAACTTACTCTGCTTGCACACGCTGAGCAGCGTGACCACATTTTGCTTCAGCTCCGGGGGTTCGTCTGCAAGGAGACCAGGCTGATCTACAGAGTTGCGGCGCACCCATCTTTCGATCTTAACGCGGTCATCTATATAGACCGCGGAACTGTCGTCGGGGCGAGACATGATTTGAATTTAAAAAAAAAACACAGCCACGAAGAATCGCCAAATTCCGGGTCAGATCACAACCCAGATCCACACACGGACAGACGGGTGGTGATCGCGGTCATAAAGCGATATTCTTGTGGATGTGCCAGCAATGAGCGAAGGTAGGAAGATGCGAGAAGGGGGAGACGGGAAAATAACGCCGACGTTGGTTTCAGCAACTGGTTGAATTTCCCAACAATTGAGTCCACAGTTCGAGAACAGTTCCTTTGCCCAGCAGTCGGTCTGGACACTTCGTGTTCTTCCGTGCACTTCAGAGATCGTCCCGAGCCCAGACTCTGTATAGACGTCGGCTAATGATGTATATATATAGATCGCAGTACAAGGACCGGTCGAAATGGTCTGGTCCTCAGCAGATATTCGTAGGTAGATTCGGAAGGTTAAAGTCGAGAGGTCGAGCCGACGGTCACCCGGCCCGTAACACCAACGTCGCCTGCGTCGCTAGCAAGATAGAGGAATGAACGAATGCCTGCGCACGACATCCAGGATCCGTCCGGAAATCACGATAGCCTGCGCACGAGGTGACGAAGGGACACTGTGGAAAGGACTCGATGTTCGATCTCTTAAGACCTCATGGCGGGTATGTCGACACAGTGTCCGTGGGGAAGGGTCCGAGTGCGAGTCGAGTCCACGCGAGGGTCGCAGGAGGTTGCAATGGACCGGGATTTCTTCGAAGAAGATAGGCTGTGGTCCCGTGTGAAGATGGAGCGGTGTGCTAGAAGACGGCAGGCGGAGGTCGAGGGGAGGGTCAATGTCGCGAATTGGGAGCCAGTTTGATGGAGGAAGTCACGAGCGGAGGAGAAAGAAGGCAGAGAAGGCAGGGCAGGACGAAAGAAGACGGAATTGGGAAGATGGGATGGATGTGGAGATGGAAGGACCAACAGGAGAAGTTAGGAGGAGCGAGGGAGCGTAAGTCTTAGCATGCAGCGATCGGATCAGGACGCGACAGGACAGAGAGCGGGCGAGGAGATGAGATGACAGAGCCGTGGTGAAGGCAGGCAGATGCCATAGGACAAAGGACGAGAGAGGGGGAGCGATGATGGTGCTCGTGTTCTGCTGGCCTTCCAGAAGGTCGAGGGGGCGGGCCGAGCGCTGCTGGCTGATCTGGTTGGTGGGAGGAGAGCGAGTCTGGAGTCGGCGGTGGCTCGACCAGCAGGAGGCCGAGCAGGATTACGGGCATGCAGCGGCGCTAGTCCCGTTAGCGGTAATACGGGCCCGTGGGAACCGGCCTGCGTCACAGATTACGCCCTCCCGAGGGGCCGCCCGGCACGCCCATTGGCTGCTGGGCGGGGGATACGCTGCTGGCTCGAAGTTCTGCACGGCTGCCCGCCAATCCCCACTCGCGTTCCTCGCCGACCCCCACCGGGCTGCCCTGGAGGCTGCCCAGGCAGGCCGCCCAGCAGGGATCATGGACATGGAGGCCCCGGGAACAGGAAATGGCAGGGAAGGTGCGCCGGAGGAAGGACGCAGCCAGCCCATTCCCTCCTTCCCAGACGGACGGCTGTGGCTGGGGATCAGAGGCGGAGTCGCTCCTGCTCCCGAGCGCTCTTCTGGACGCAGAGGACCGGCACCGTACGAAAATGGAGAAAGAGCAGAGAATGCCTACGGTTCTCCAGTGTACTGAATTGTACGCAGTCGTGACTGGCCAACGGCGGGGCGATCGAGTGCGTGGAGAGTGGAGACTGGCTTAGTTCTTCTAGAAGGCTGAAGCTGGCAGACTCGCAAGCAGCTAGCTGAGCGCTAAGTCCATCAGTTCTCGCAGTAGATACCGGAAGCAGTAATGGCTTTGTTTAGACGGCTATTAATATAATTAACAGTCTGGAGTATTTACTACTAAGGCCACAGGCTAGCAGGCTGGATCCGATCGCGCGGCCTCGATTGATCAGATCGCAGATACAGTAGAAAGATCAAATATTCAATATTAATATTAACATTAATATTAATCTAAATTAATTCAATATTGATATTAAGGCGCATGCTGAAAGAGCAGCAGAGTAGGTTGCACGGCAGGGATTTGGCAGCATGTCATCAGGCGTGGCCATAGCCATGGCAATAAATACCAACAATGAAAGTGCAGGTGGCAGCATGGGCATGCTGGGGTTGGTGGCTTTGTCAGCACGTTAGCGGCGTCGCAGGGGCCAAAAAGAACGTGTACAGTACGGAGTACTTAGTCGGGCTTGGCTTCTCCAAACGGGCCATCGAATCACGAACCGTCGATGGCGGGAGGACGATGGAGCCAAGAAGTATCACCTACAGGTACCTAACCTAACCTCTAATTTTATAAATTACGAGGCGGGCAGTTATCTCGAAGGAGCTGCCGAACGGGCCCTCGAGGTGGCTAAGTCGCAAGGCTTCAGCGCCCAGGAAAGGCAGGTGGCGGCCAATCCCCCATGCATGCAGCATGTCGTTTTCAACCTAATATAATTACTTATTACGATGCCCGGTTTGCAGCAACGTGACTTGCTGACCGAAAGCGGGGCCCGTGCCGGCGTGACGCCCCGCCCGATAAGCACGAGCCAGGATCGCCTCCGCCTGGTCGATCGCAGGTTGCCAGCAGTCAGGAATAGAACAGCAGCAGTGTCCAGCAGCGTACCGACTGCTTCATGCAGATTCCTGACTGCTCCGTAGCAAAGAAGCTGATTGCGAGCGATATTATTAGAATTTAAGCGCCTATCCCCTGGGCTTCTAGCTTCAATTCTCAGAATCGCCCTTATCGAGGTACAGAGGTAGTATTATTATTAAAGTTAGGCTCAGTTTCAGCCTCCGGGAGAATGGGATCGCTGGACGGAGGAACTTACCGGATTGTCAAAGATCGTCACGCGCTACGCCCAATTCGACACCCATCTCCGGGGTACTTGTACTTAGTGAGATGTGATGCCATCGCAGAGTTTCACGCAGTATCTAAGCTTCTTTGATGAGGGAAAGGCACCAACCGAGGTAGGTAGGTACTTCATACTGAAGAATCCCGGTGCTCTGGATGGGACCGCATTACCTAATCTACTACATATAACGTATTTCCCGGCTGTTTCGATCACCCGGTTGCTCCGATCACTAGAATACCCATACAAAATGCGTTTTTTTGTACGCTCATATCTCAACAAGCTTTAAAGATATTAAAGAGATATTTTATATACTATAATTATAAAGTATTTACAGCATACAGCATTAATCAGAAGTAGTCTACTCTATTATTTACTGGAATAATATAAAATACAGTGTAATTTTTATGTAAAATTAAAAAATAGGTATCTAAAAGGCAATATATATAATATTAACCTTATATTTCTCTTACAAGTAGTTATACCTATATATAATCTGATTTTAAAATTAAAGGCCAGGATATAATATAGACATTGTGGTATGAGCGTACAAAAAAACGCATTTTGTATGGGTATTCTAGTGATCGGAGCAACCGGGTGATCGAAACAGCCGGGAAATACGTTAACTAACTATATCACTGCGGAGTAATCTGAAGCTCAGCAGGCGTTCTCTTCCTGGTCGCCCCACGTGATCCTGATTCGCCCGCTGCAGTTCTAACTTCTGGCATGCAATGTCGTCACCTGCTTGCCAAGAATTGAATGGTTCAAACCATCCATACAGAGGTACTCTATACGACTACTGCTGGCGATCCTACGCCATCCCAGCGCCAGGATCGCAAACCCAGTAGTCCACCAGGCCGGAATAACCCCTGTCGCTTCAGAGGTTGCAGACGCTTGGTGATGTGAGCATTGAATATGGAAATACGGATTAAGAAGGCGGTACCCTCTCGCGAATTATATAATGTTTATATAATCACTGTATGACAGGCAGCACCTCTAATTTCTACCAAACAAAGGTACAGTACTAACTCCATTATTGACTGCAGAATACTCTGTAAGACGAAGTAATAATAAATAGCAGTAATAGTAGCAGATCCGATCTGATCTCACCTCATGATGCAAGGCACAGACCTGTGGCCACCATACTCTTACTCTACCTATGAGACCGGAATCCTCGGATGCGCTCATTGCCGCCGTGATGACGATCAAGATGCCATTTTGGATCGGATTAATCAGCACTCTGAGAGGACTCGGAGGAGTGGAAAGGACTGCAGGCTGGTACTGCGCTGGCAGGAATGGAATCGTGGGCGCCAGCGGAATCCGGTGCCGACAAGCTGATTGGCCAGGACGGGGCCCTTGCATCGCAGTGATGTGTCTGCATGGATGGCATGGGAATTTGGACGTCTGCCCAATAGAAATCGAGGGTACCGATACAAGGGCCCTTTACCTGGGAGATACGTTAGCGGTCATAAAAATTTCAGGCCATTACCAAGGTTACGCCACTACTAGTCCAACCCCAAGAATTGAAGGATCCTCCACTCAGCGCCCGGCGAGGATCTCGTCGATCTGGGGCCCATGCAGACGCAAAAATAAGAAATAACGTTGCCTAACCGGGGCGATCTGAGTATACTATACTGTACAGAGTATGGAGTACATCCTCTGTGCGAAGACGCCTTTTATTTTTGTCTGTGATACTGAACCCTCCCGCACGCTACTTACGCCTATCAGAGAGGGCTTAGAGGGCAGTTTCGAATCGGAAGGATTCCACCCCCGCTCACACCATCCAGGCGGAGTCCCATTTCCCATCATCCGGAAATCTTCCTTCAGCTGAAATGAATATCGATCAACAAGCTCACACGACACCATATATACATATACAAATACATGCATACTCTGTATTCACTCGCATTGTCTTATCCGGATTCAGAAATGAAAGGGAGAAAAAAAAACAAGTGTTGGCACTATTACGATACTCTCCAGGAAACTATGCCAGGATGATCTTCCAATAGCGAATATCTTTCTCTGTAAAGTCTATACAGCTGTCGAAGCTTCCATGGCACGGTCCATTCGGACTTCTCCGTTAGTAGGTACATGTACAGGCTAAGACGTAAGACATAAGACAACAGACGAGATTATCCGAATACGAATCAGATCAGATCAGATCCTTGCTGCATGGATACGATATACCTAGATACCTACTATACAGGGTTAAACTAAACGAAACTAAACTAAACTAGCCTGCTATGAGGTTTTCCAATAATATTTAATAATAGTAAGTTGCTTTCTTCCTTTCTTTCTGTCTCCTCTGCCTACCGCTTTGGGGTCCCGGTAGGATGGACGGAGGATTCATTAATTAGGCTTTGGCCCCCAGGTGCTTTAAACTGGGGAGACGGTACGGAGTACTCCCTCCCTACGGGGCAAGACTTCTAGAATGAAACCTTTTTTAATATTATTAGATTAGACACATCACTCTGCTTACGTAGTTGGTTTGCGGTTAAGGTTTCCCACTTTCTTCCTTTTGTATATATTTCCGAAACCTGCTCCATGGCATGGGATACCTTACATACTATGGTATAGAGCCAAGTACCTTCACCAGTTTTCCATCTTCGTTGCCAGAAATTTCCATATTCTATGTTCTATATTCCTAGCTTCTCGTGTCAAATAATTGAGCATAACAAAGGGAAAAGTATTCTGTGGAGCCACTGTCCTGTGTCGGTACAAAGATGACTGTAATAAGCTGGATCCAACATATTAGGTAAAGTACCTGGACTATACTTGAAGCATAACCTGTCGTAGGTCAATCCAACGCAATCAACGTCCAGGCATGATAGCTCGTGGAACAGCGTGCATTGTGCAGTTGATCAGATAAGCTTGTACGGAGTACGAGATTGTACGGGATATATCACCCATTGTCATATTTAACATATACATAGTACAATTGGCACCATTCCCCGCTGAGATGACTGTTTAGCTACTGCAAGGGCCTACAGCACCTGTCTCACTTAGTGAACTGGTAGTCAGATTGTGGGCTGATTATTGTTTCTCTACACGACCAATGAATTATTTATTATTAATAAATCTGTCATCCTAGATCGACAATCGATCCATCACATGCCGTCAAAGTCCAGATCAGACATAAAGATGAAGTGAAGGAGGCAAAGCAAATCGAAGAAATGAGGGGAAAAAAAAAGCGCCCCCAAATCACCAACAGAACGCCTTCTCGATCGAGAGGGATAATTGGACCGAGTATTAGCCACCTACATATGCGGCAGCACGGACATAATGATTACCCCATGTCATTAATTAATTAACAGGGCTTATTAGTCTGTACTATATTGTATTGTTGTTGCTATTGTTATGATCCCGCGCTTTCGTAAACATAAACAAACAATAATAATAAGAGCTATTATCATGTATGCGGCATCATTCAGCCCCGGCATTATTGACTTGCATAGAAACAATAACAATGCACAATAACATAACAATGGCAACACTAAAAATATACCCTTGAGGCTAATGCATTCCTAACTACATACTTTGGATAAAACAGATAAGCAGTGTGAACGAAGCACCTATTCAACTTTACCTTCCTCTTTCCAGCCGGAATCGAAACTCGGCCCCCAAACAAACAAGGTCGAGCAGTAGTAAGATGTATCCTACTACTAATAAAATGTAATATTAATATTCGTTTTTATAGTGAGTCTCAAGATGACGGACACCGCAGAAAAAGGACAAGTGCATGCACTAACCATACGTCTTGGAGAATCCAGATTAACAGTCAATTGCATTCTTCCTGGACAGCTGAATGGGAAATAATCCCCCCCCCCTCCCGTTCGCATTGCTGTAAGCTGTACAGTACAATCTAGTCTTGATCTGGTGTAGTAAAGTGCTGCAGCTGTACCTTCTCCCACGGTTTCTTTGACACCGACCCCATGCTGTCTGTCTGTACTGTCAATCATGGTTGACTAGACTGCGTGCTGTAGAGATACCAATAACAGGGCAAGATATCAATCCACCGTTGCATGACTCCGACTCAGCTTATAGAACGGTGTCGACACTATCGTGTTCTATCTATCTATATACTATGCATCTGCTATCAAGATCTGTATACAGCGCAACAGGGAGATGTATACGCACGAAGCTCCCTCCGAGATCGTTCTTACATTAAGTAACAAGCAGGCGATTTGCAAAATAATATCCACATAGATTCTATTTCTTGTTACAGCCAACTAACTCGAATCACAGGTATGGACTAGACTAGATTCGAATACAGGTTGATATCAAGACGCAACTCCACCGCAGCAGACCAACACACATTGTCAAAATTCACCAGTGGCCTATATCAGGCAAGCAATAATACACCTCTGCTGATGCTAGGGTCCAAATCACTGCCTGTCAGGAAGAAACAAAACAGGGTTTTCATAGCACCCTTGACCAGCTGAAAAAAAAAGAAGAATCTGCTAGCTAGCATCTTGTGGATAGATCTGCAAGACTGCACCTTGCAAAGAAATCTATCAAACCTCACCCTCTCTTTTCCTGTCTCTTTCTCTCTCTCGTTTTCATTATTTTCTCCCACAAGGTACTCCATTAGATCTTTACTTCCTCGACGGTGGGTCAAAAAACGACGTCTAATCCAAAGTTTTTCGCCTCGTCTCTCCAGTCTAGTCTTATTTATTGCCGTAAATTCAGGAACGGGTCAATGCTGAGTCCATATGTTTTGAGAAAAAAATGGATCTCCACTGTCGAGCGGGCTAACTAACGTCTGGAAGATGCGGACCGCTTGCACGTGGTCGGCCACACATGTTCCGAGTGGTTAGGTAGAGGTTCTGAACTTCTGATGCTGAACGTGGCGCTGAATGACAGACCAGGCCAGTAATTATTAACTAGACTCCTGCTAGAATTGAATTACAGTACACCTTGACGTGTTTACTAGCCGTCGCCGACGATCTATACTGCATCATGGTACGTACAATATCAGTACCAGTGAGGTAAAGCCTGAATATGGATGGTACAGATATATATATATTCTAACACCTCAGTTCAGCTCAGTCCATTGAGTTAGAGAATGAGGTATCAATATTATTACCATTATCATCAAATCCAATTCACATAAACAAATGAAATTCCCAGCCATCCGACTTCAATCAATACTTAATACAGACATCTGAATAAAACACCTTCTAGAAGCCAAAGCTTCACGAAGCACGGATCTCTGCTGCGCACAGACAGCTAATTAATCAATAATAATAATAACAAACAGTCTTTGACTAACCAATTACCTTAGTTAGATTAGATGGAGTTACAGAGTTACTTTGTAGACGCATCTCCGTATTCTTTCTTGTCGAGACTCGACAACGTTGTTTTGTTGTCTGTTCGTGTCTGTGCGACAGACGATCGATCGATCAATTGATTGATCAATAATCCGATCGAACCATATCCAGCGCACAGATAGCTACCTAGTACCTAGGCCTTCCAGGAACATGTGTACTATACACAGATAGGTAATTACCTAGGTACCCCGGTGCTCGAGCTTCCTCCTCCTACTCTCCTCGTTCTTCGTCCCCGAGATCCCCAGCAAAAGCTAGTCAGCCAGCCATAGTCAGAGTACATATAATTAATTAATTACTTAGTTAGGCTACGTATCAATTTATCGTGCACTCCGTACGCCATGCCTACTGTAACCTTTTACTTATTATTGTTATATCGTTATTATTACGCCTTGTCATCGTCCAACCACGTGGGTGTCCGTGTTGTGTCTGTACCTGTCTGTGCCTGAGTTAAATTGAGTTTATTGTTTCTCGGGCTGTTTCTTCCTCCACCTCTCTCTCCTTTTGTTTCTTTTCAAGGGAATTGCCTCTCAGAATACCCTTATAGGAGGATTTTTCTGCAAAGCCAGAGTAACATGTTCATGCGTAAACCTCCAGGGGAGCTAGCTGCTTTAAGAAGAGGCATAGTTGCAATGAATACTACGATTGCTATCCTGGATAGCAACTGAAAGAAGACCTACCTACCTAGAATTTCAAGAATATAGGAGATCCTTGATACAGCAGCCTGTGATATTTAATCTATCTATCCTAGAATAATAATATGAGGGGGAATCTTAAGAGAGCAAGAGGCTAATAGTAGTATTAAATTCAAATAAAAGCTTAAGACTTCCTGATTTATTTATTTACAAGCAAATATCATAGCACCATACTGCTCTATGATATTAGAAAAGTATTCTATAGGGCATGTTATATACTATAATAGGCAGGCATTAGATCTATTATAGGTACCTAGGTAGTTCTTCAAAGGATTGCCATTATTTTCTGACTACCTTAACTCCTGCTATTTTACTCCTGCTGCTCATAATAATAATAATACTCTGTGCTTATATTTGCCATTTGTCACATGACCAAGTAAAGTGGCCATACCTACGGCCAACCATAGAAGGATGGAAATAGTATTTGATGTGCCAGATTTTCAGGGATAACAAATATATTAATACATGCCTTTACTTTCTAGGATATTCTTATATTCTGCAATAAAAGGTTCAAAGATATTTTTTTACTAAATTAGTCCCTGTCTTAGGTTAGAAGATTCTGAAGGTCATAAGAATATGCTCCTTCCTGCTGAATATGCTGTACATCCATACTTATGGCTAATTGATACTAGCCTTCTCTTTCAGTATCCTATCTTTGAATGCCATTTGATATTCCTGATGCCAGGGGAAATTTTCATGCCATATGATTGGGATTCTCCGACAAAGTAAAGGAATTGACAGTTTTCAGGTCTGATGCATCGATAACTTGTGATCGCGATCTCTCAGCAGTTCAAAACCCCACTTCTTGGGGGCAACAAAAAAAAAGTCAATCATCCTACCACCAGTGTGTTTCTTGATCACAAATTCAGGAGAAATTATAACCTGACCGTCCAGTACAGTATATAGACACTGGTAGAACTCCTTCTGGTATTGATCCTCTAGTGGCAACATATTACCTGCTGACAAACATAGAGGATCTAAGAGCTGATAAGGTTAAAATCAGCTGGCTAATTGCATCAACTGTCAATTGCAACAGTGTTCCATAGTTTATTATGCTGGCAGACGCTGTGTCCTAGAGAAGACAGGCGCAATACCTAGAAACAAGTTTCATAAGTAGCCAATGTAAAGTAAACTGGAGTATGTACCTACCAGTGGTGAATTTTGCTAGCGAACACGTAGCTGGTGTTATTCGGGTTGTAGATGATAGGTTTCTCAACGAGAACTTTCTCAATATTGCTGCTTCAGCTAAAGCCTTGACATTGGGGTATTGCTTGTTTTATGGGGAACAGGACAGTAGATTTGCTTGGGAATGTAATAAATACTCGACGAATCTATTCAGGTCAGCAAGCAGATTCTAGCGTAGTTGAGATCCATAATGCGTACTTTGCATGCAGACGGGTTGGAAACCCACAGACAATCTCTCCATGGCATTGAATTTAATCCAAGGGTTCCTTCCGAATGAGGCTAGCCAGCCTTGCTCGTAGTATATTCGAATAACCTTCATTTTTCCAAATCTCGAGGTATACATATGCTGCCATTGGCAAGGACTGCTTGGAGAAAGAACATCGGCTGCTTTGTCAGTGAGTTTGCGGCGGTCGACAAAGGACCGTTATACTGACGTCTCAGAAAGGAATCTGAAAGCTTCATTCTTCATTCACTTTCTAGAGTCGCGAGAATAATGTGTTTCTTCCTCGACCATTTCAATCTTTTCCGTGTTTGAGATCTGAACGATGATAAACCTAGAGCAAATATTATAAACAATCATTTGGCTAGCCGGGAGACAGAGTCCATAACTTACTTTCTGTAGCACCTTGAGAATTCCATCAACTGCTCCTGGTTGGCCACTTGTCAGGCTAAAATTAAATATGTAGTCATAGGCGTTATGGTGCAGTCGTAGAGGACACGTCTGGCAGAGCATCTCGTTTGGCAACCACTTTCTTCCCGGTAGTAATAATGTCGCAGAAAGTATCCCTGTCCACCCTCTCCCAGGTGCTCACATATCTCACCTTTGGGTCATCCTTTGACCAAATCCATCCAGAACATCTTCCATCCAGCTCACTGTCCTTTCTTATTTATCCTTTCTCCATCGCTGGGCATCGATTGCCTATTGATTGATTCATTGATTGATGCAAGTCAGCTAGCTGCTGGAAACAGCATACTTCATCCTAAGAAATAAATAAATAAACTCACATGCTCGTTCAAGGGATCTCAGCCAACTCTTCACCTCCGTACTCCTCTTCTGCCAGGTTGATATTTCCGTAGTTGAGAAACTCGAGGTAACTAACAGCAGTTGAGTTTCTTGTCTTGTTGAGAAGGCTGCTTGGAAGCTTCTGGGCCTCGTATATTCGATGTTTCGCGTAGCAACGGGAGGGGGAGGAGGAGGGGGAGGAGCAGGTGCCAGACCTCTCGATCTCAGAGGATAACGTGTACTAATAGAGGACATTGTTCTGCAAATGCGAGATTAGGACTTGCGATCTGATTTCGAGCCAGAGAGCATCGTCGCTAGCTACTTACTTGAAGGTGGCAGTACTGGCTCGAGCATTCGGCGTTGCGTTGATTGATATTCGCCAAGCTTTGCCCACTCTTCTTCGTCTTCCAGCACAGCTTGTTTGTTCGACCTCTTTCTTCATCTGTTGGCCCGCCGGCCACGATAGTGATGTTGCCGTCCTCATCTTCATCCTCGCCCAATCCCTCGCTGAGAGATTCCTCCTCACTTGACTCCATCACCGGCTGTTGTCCCAGTTTATATAAACTCCTCATCTTCGGAGCTAGCTAGCTGTCTTCATATGAACCGCCAATCAATTTGCGACGCTATTAAAAAAAAAAGAAACCAAAAACCACGTTAATATATAAGAAGCTCGTTTTTCGTTTTTTGTTACCTCAAAGTATTTACCTTCGCGGGGGACTCTAGATCCTTTAGGGTATAAACCCCAGTGCTTTCGGTGATAGATAAGTCATGTTAGTTAGTTGTTATGAAGAAGAGCAATTTTATTAAATTTATTTGCGAAGACTTACTGAGATTTGACTTTTAGAAAGCTCTTGGCGTCGTGGTGGCAAAGACAAGAATAAATAAAATAAGAAGTTGAACAGGGGGATTTAGCAGAAATGATAAAGATTGGATTAGGAGGAGAATAAGAAGAAAGAAGAAGAAAAAGAAGAGAGGAAGATAAAAATAAATAAAATAAATAATATGGAGCAGTCAGCTAAGTACCAGCAGTTAATAATTTAAGGATGATACTACCTAGGTAGGTATCTGTCACAGTTGACAGCAGAGTTGAGGAATCAGTAGGTAGTGACTGGACTGGAATTACTTACAGTGAGTGAGCGAGAGAGTGAATCTCTCTTTCTCTTTCTTGGTGTGTGTATCTAGCGAGCTAGACTTTCTTTCTTTCTGCGGTCTTCACTCTTCACCCAAGATTCTTATTTCTTCCTTTGTTCTCTGTTTTTGATTTGATTGATTCACTTCAGTTGCAGGCTTCCAGCCCCCCTCAGTGCTGAGTGCTGACTATGCTAAATTAATTCACCTCCACGCAGGCGGGGTGCTCCCTATGATAACCAACAGCATTGGTTTTTTTTTCAACTTCCGCAATGTGTAGCTACGAATAACCAACCTCTTTTTTTTTTCCTTAGGTATCCAGATGTAGGCCATGGCCGGACGAGGTGGTGGACACGCATAACAAAATCCTTACTGTCGTACTGTCGTACTGTCGTAGGAATATATACTTAATAAGTTGGATGGACACCCACTACTTCATCTGCATCGTTGGTGTAATGCATTATTGCGCCTAAATCTCTACTACTCAGCCTCTTCGAGCATACGACCCGTCTAATGGATAGAAACCCATGAAAACGCCGGATGCCAGAGGATATATCCCAAATGCCAGTGCATGCCATGCATCGAACCCCAAACAACAGATAGCAAAATCACAAACGGTGAAAAAGAAAAACGTCAAAACAACAATTATTGTACACATATATTCTCTTTTCTTTGCTTTTCATAACGTTAAGCCTCTAGATGCATTTTGAAGAAAATCTCAAACACGCCACTAAGAGAGCAGGTTTTTCAACGACGGGCTTGCGCTGGCCCCAGACCCAGACCCAGATCCAGACCCAGATCCAGTTCCGGATCCAGTTCCAGTTACAGTTCCGGATCCGGACCCTGTCCCTGGCCCTGCCCCAGACGCTGTGCTGGTTCCATTCGGCCCGCTGTATCGCCCGCTACTGGGTGGCCTCGCTGGCTCGTCCGACCGGCCTGGCGTGCTCGGTACCGGCGGATCAGCACTGCCGCGAGAGATGGAAGGAGACTGACTCGGCGCGCTCAGAACGCGGTCCATCGAATAGACTCGTGACGACGGTGGCGGCGGAGGAGCCGTGGTGAGCGAATGCTGAGGAGAGTGCCGCACGATGTTGGCATGAACGTCGGGCGGTGACATTGACGTTGTGTATGGACGAGCCGGCGGAGCGTGTGAAGAATGAGGCGAAGGCATCGTCACTGGTCCGTACGGATTTTGATGTCCAGGATACGAGTGCGACGATGGCGGCGGCGGCGGCGGCGGTGGCGGCGGAGCACCACTAGGATAGTGTGATTGCTGTGCTGGCGGTGGTGGAGGAAAAGGAGGTCCATGAGGAGGACCATGAGGAGCATGAGGAGGAGGCGGCGGTGGCGGTGGTGCTGCTGTCGCCGGAAAGCCATTCAAATGCTGTGGAGGGCCTCCGGGATACGCAGCAGGAGGAGGTGGCGGTGGGGGGAAACCGTTGGCTTGCGACCCTCCCGGTCCGATCCCATGACGATAATTGGGATCTCCATATTCACCAGGCCGCTGATCATAGCCAGGATATCCGCCAGGTGGATGATGACCGGGCGCCATAGGCCGAGGAAGAACTCCCGGCTGGCCAGGATGGCCATGCGGTCCGTATGGAGGACCATACTCCGTGGGCCGGGGAGCTGGAAGGATAGGGGCCCGTTGAACCGAGTACGGGGAGGGATGTTCCGGCGATGTTTGGAGGGCCGGCTTCTTGATGTGGCATTTGTGACATTCAACCAACGCTGGAGCTGATGAAGACTGGCTGTGGCCGGCATCAGCACCGCTATCAACGGCAGTATGGTCTCCGTTAGCGGAACTCTGCGACCGATTACGAGCATGGAACGGCTCATTTGGCCCGACGCCGTTGGTCAAGTGAGTCGTCCCATTAGTAGTTCCAGTTCCAATCGACGGCCGGGACGCATTCTCGACGGGCCACCATCTCGGACTGACCGTGGTCAAGCAACGGACGCATGTCTTGCCCGTCGGTGCACTGACAGCAGGGCGCGAAACGTCCGTGGGCCCTTCGGAGGCAGTGACGTTCTCATCGCCAGCAGTTTCAGAAGAAGAAGCTTGTGAATTCTTGTGCTCGTCTTTCGAATGTGACGTCGCCACGCCATTCGCAGCAGACGCTCGCCGATGCGCGGAACCAGCCGCGTTGCTTTGCGTCGAAGCCCCCATGGACTGTTGTATATATGCCGCTCTCCGGACGGTTCCCGTCAAGCTCAGATCGGCCTGCTTGTAAGTCCGTGCAAAGAGCTGCAACGCAGGGAGCCCTTCCTCATCCGTGGGCTCGCTCATTTCGTGTACGATCGTCTGCACCGTGTGAGACGGGCACCAGATGGCCGCCGTGGCCGACCCCGTCTCCTCTCCCAGTTTGATGGTGGGAACCGTATCCCTTCGAGAACTCTTGACAGGCGCGATGTCGAAGCCAAAGGTGTATTCTGCTTGAAAAGCGCAGCCGACATGGAACTTGGCATTGCAGCCCGGATAGTGGCAGGTCACGCAGGCCCCTTTGTTCGTCTTGCATATCTTGCAGACCTCCCGGTACCGCTCCGCGGGGATCAAGCCAAAGCCCTCCGCAGGCTCCAACTCTCGAGCATTGCCGAATTTGATTTCTGGGTTCCAGATCGCACACGTCACATGGACCCAATTGTTGCCAGCTGTCCGCTTCAGCGGCTCTCGGGGACCGATGGGCTTCCCCACGGCTTCCTGTCGCTGTCGATACAGTTTGATGGCCTCCTGGACCATCTCTTTCTCCATCCGTTCCTTTTCCCGGTCGCGATCCGTTTTCTTCTTGTGGGTCGACTTGGGTGGCTCCATCAACTCATGCTCCGTCCAAGTGACGGGACACAGAACGCATTCGTAGCAGGTCGAGATCATCGGGTTCCGGTCGTTGGCGCACATGTCACAGAGCCACTTGGTACAATTCCGGGACTGGCTGACGCCGTAGCAGTTTCGATGGACAGTCAGCCGGCAATCTCGGCACGAGAGATGCTGATCCCCCATGGGCTCCATCTTGTTGCAGATGGCGCATGGCAGCGTTTTAGCACGCGGAGGATCAGGAACGATCGGGGGTGGTTCAGCGGGCTTCTCGGCCGCCTTCTTCTTCGTTGGTGCCGGCTCCGCCGAGGTGCGAGCCGACGTTGCCGTGCTGTCCTTCTCGGCGGTCGTTCGGGCCTTCTTTTTGGCTGGCTCTTGCGGCGTATCGGTGGTGGAAGCAGGAGTCACATTCACCCCGAGTGATGCCGCCGTCGCTGCCGTAGCACTGCTGATGTTCAGCGGCGTTTCGTCCGAGACCAGAATCTGGGCCAGCATCTCCTCATCCATCTTTCGACGCCACGCCTTGTTACCACCGGTAGCAAGCTTCTTCGCCAGATCGTCAGCGTCCTTCCACTCGATGGCGTACTTTCGCCAGAGCACCGCGCACCGGTGACACAGTGCCACCGTGAGCTGTTGACCTTTGTCCCCTTTTTTGGACGATGACTCGCTGGACACCGTGGCCCCGGGGCTGGAATTGGGAGCCCGTCGCCACTGGGGGGAGGAGCGCGTCTGGCAGAACTTGCATTGAAACTGGCGTTTCTTCGCTGCCGCCTTCTCATTATCGAAAGCCGAGTCGTCATAGTCGTCCGCGATATCGTCGACCAACTTCGCCGACGAATCTGCCCGTCTGGACTCCTTCTTGCCCCGTCGCCCTTCATAGTTACCCCAGATCTCACGCCCTCTCGGGGTCTTCTTCCACATATAATAGTAGCGGACGATGTGGCGGTGCTCAATATCGCCGACATGTTTTCGGACTTGAGGGAGCTCGGATCCGTATTTGGCGACACCTTCTTCAAACAGTTTGATCTGTTCCGGAGTCAGTTTGGGCTCTTGGAGGTCCTTGTAGATGTCGATGCGCCGGAGCCGCGCCAGCGCCGCCTCCACATTAAAGCTTTCCGAGTAGAGATACTCCAGAGCCTTGTCCAGAAAGTTGGTCGAGTACTCCGGAATTCCCTTCTCGGGGGCAATTTTCCGGGCTCGGCTCATGTAATCATCGATGAACTTCTCCCGGTCCTCCGGACTCAGGTCCGACCCAGGCGCATCATCTTCACCGCGATTGGAGGGAATCTGATGTGCCTCGGGCATCTTGAAAAGCAGCTCCGCGGTGCGAACCTGCTTCCCATTCATCGGGACTGGCTCATCCTCTCCCCGACGCACATATCCTGGAGGCTCGTCCTGAACCCACTTGGGACGTTTCAGCCTCTCCTGCTTTTCCGCTTCGATCGCGGCCAAAGCTTCCTTGGACATTTTCGAACTCCCCCCCTTGCCTGCTTTGCCGCCTTTCTTCTTCAGATCCAGAGGTTTGACATATCGCACGGGATGCCCATACCATGGCGGCACCACGGCCTGATGACGGGTTCCAATCCGAGAACTGGCCCGCGGATAGATCCGGTCATCATAATCTAATGCATCCTCCATCTGACAATGGATTCCGAAATACCGATATGGCCACATGCTTGCCTGCTGGATTTGTGCTGCGGTGGCCGGTTGGGGGGTTATGTCCTTTCCGTCTGCGACGGCAGGACTGCTCCGCCCGGTTGCGCTGGGCGGGGGAACCGGATCGTCTTCCTCCTCTTCTGGCAGCTCTTCGTCGACCTCTGGCGGTGCGTCGCCAATGATCGGCGTGTTTCGCGCTTCCAATCTACGTTCCTGAGCGCGACTGCAAGCAGCGCAGGCCCAGGCGAAACCGCGCGCCGGCTTCTTCGTCAAGACGGGCCGCACACAGGACATGTGATAGGTACTGTGACACACAGCACAATCCACCGATTCCGCACTGGAGAAAAAAAAAGTTAGAGGAAAGATCTTTTTTTTTTAACAATGAATGGCATGGTGCACCTACCTAGCGGCGTATAGCCCACATCGTTTACAAGTTTTGACGGCGCCTGTCAGCTCCTTCTTCCTCGCGGGCTCGCAGAGGACAAACTTCCAGCGCTCATCCAGGACTTTCTTGACGTGGGCGGGGACATTGATGACATCTTTGGTGGGGACCACTTCGTAATAACGGTGCATGTACCGATCAAACATCTTCTCGTACCAGAAGGTATCTTTTTGTTTCCGGTACTCATCCAGATTTTCGATCTCCGAGATATGTAGGATGGAACATTTGCCGCGAAGAGACGAGAGCGGACAGGGGTCGGAATGCATTGACGCGAACACCAACCTCGGATCCGGGACCCTCCGCTGAATATCCTTTGGTCGATAATACCAGTTGACTCTGACCATCTCTATAGGACCTGAGGGATTTTCCTTTGATGGAAGAAATTCCATAATTCGGCCTAGGTAGTATGGTTCACCCGGGGGTTCACAGATCAGATAAACGTGATCTATTGCATGTCAATATAAGCCGTGTAGACTAAGGCTAAAAATGAAGAATTTTTTTTTAAAAAAAAATAATAATAAAGCCGGATAACGGGAGAATGCGAAGAGATGAGAAAACGTACCATTTACTGAAAGGATAGTGCCATCGTCCGCTTTCAATTGACCGTTTTTATTCAGCCGGGCTCCCGTGTTCTCAAAGGTCATCATGTTGGAATATCTGGGGTCGCGTCCGCCCTCGACGCGCGAAGCCGTCGTGGAGGACTTCTTAGAGGAGCCACTGCCATTCGCAGCCACCGAACCGCTTCCGCTGGATGGCTGTTTGCGCTTCTTCGAGCCGGCGGCTGAGCCGTTGCTGGCATTCAGGTTGGCAGAAAAGGTGGATGTCCCCGGAATGGCGTCCTTGTCACTCTCGGTGGCTGGAGAGCCGTTGGCACTGGCAGCGCCGGTCTGCTGGGCCGCACCTCGCTTGGAGGAGCTGCTGGCGGCCTTGGACGATGGGGCGGGACTGGTCGTCTCGAAATCCAAGTCGAGATCCCGGTCCTCGGCGTAGTTGGGTCTCGGGGCGCCATTGCGACCTCGAGAGCGAGTGCCGTACGGCGCAGACGAGGTGGAGGATTGGGCTGGGTCGGAGCCAGCCCCGGCCTCTGAGGAAGACGAGGCAGTGGCAGTCATCGGCGCGGACTTGGATGAGGACGCGGGCTGTCGAGGCTTGCCCCGAGGCGCCGGTCCGCTACCCGCTGGGATGGCGTCAGGTGGTTCGGCCGTCTGCTGCAAGGATTCAGTGGACGATCTGTCCGCGGACATCACTCTGCCCTGCGACAGGAGTACCGACAGCGACGCCGACTACCCGATGCTCGCATAGAAACTGCAACACGGAGCGGGTAAGCACATGCCAGATGGGAGAGAAGGTATGGCTAGAAGCGGATGGGTGATGGGGGGAAAAAGAAAGCAAACTCAGGCGCTTTCTCGCCGTGGCGAGAATGGCACGACGCAGGGCGTCTGGGCCGATGCACGGGCAGAGGGACAAACACAAAGGTGGCAGGCAGGTGGGATGGCCACAAGTCGTGGCAAAAAGACAAGTCTAATTATATCAGAGAAAGGGAGGAAATGCAAAGCAGGAGGATGGGCTCAGGCTGGTGCGGCGCAGGAACGCGCACCGTGATATAAGACGACGGGGGAGATGGATATCAGACACCAACCACGAGAGACCCGATAATCGGGCGACTGACTGCCTCCGGTGCACAGGCGCGTGTCCGAGTGGAGAGACACGGCGGCAGGAACACCAACAATGGCAGCGAGGCACCGGGGGTGCAGATCAAAGGACAAGGCAGAGAACGAGAGGCCGTGACGGGACAGGAGCGAGGACTACGGAAGAAGGAAAATCAGATGAAAGAAGAACGAGGAAGGAGGGGAGCGCCAGATGTGTAAGGGCGACGGGTCCAATCGTGGGAACGGCGGCAAGCAGAAGCGCAGGGCGGCGATCCACTCGTCCGTCCAGACTCTGCGCGCTGCAGCCGGGATGGCGATGCTGGGGACGGAGGGGGAGCGAAACGGGCAGAAAGACGAGAGAAGGAGAGAAAGAGGGAACGGGAAGAGGAAGACCAGATGAGAGGAAATCCGCCAACCTTAGACGTTAGATCCCGGCCACGTCCCAGACCAAGACCAGGGGCCTAGTCCCGATGTGTGAGGATGACGGTTCCTCCAGAGGAACCATCGACCAGTCTGATCGGCCGCGCTCCACGAGCCAAGATGGCAGTCCCTTGCTCGCGGATGACGGAGCCCGTCGAGGGGGAGCGGTCGATCCGCCCGGTGGAAAGACGAAGAAGGATGGCGGATGCGATGTCGTTGCTAGTAGTAGCTGGGGAGGGTATGTTGTCGGTATATACGAATATAGATTCTTCACTACGGTGCCTTGCGGAAAGAGGGGGCAGACGGCGTGTGGGAGGGGAAGGAAAAACGAAAAGAAACGGAAGACGACACGCCTGTCTGGGAGTAGTGTAAGTAGTAGAAAGATGGATGCATGATGGGAAGCGGAACCCAGGAATGTAGCGCCCGAGCCAGCAAACCACACGAGTGGGTTCGGACCCAAAGAGGGTTTTGGCAATATAATAATCCATCTTAGGCGCATCTGGAGAGCGTGGAACATGAATCGGCTAGGCTAGTCCGGTTTCCCTCGACGACCTGCATGGAGCCAAGCCGATATAATCTCTCGCGGCCTTGACATGGCAGCCGCTGCGTTGTCCGTCGCGTCAGTTGGGCCGATGCGATGGATGTTTCTACGGTGGTGATGGAGTGGTCGAGGTGACGTGAATCCATGATCTTACAGTGTCTGATTGTTGTTTGGCGAAAAAGGAAAAGGAGCCAAATAAACGGTGCCTCTTCCGCCACTCCACCACGCAATACTCCACGCATGATTACTATTGTTATTACGGGTGTTCTTACTCTTGCTATCACTGTGTCATTATTATTATCGAGTACTGCTACTGTCTGCAGACGGGGGGCAGGCTGGTGGACGACAGGGGTGGCGCATCGCTGCGAAAAATTGCCGTGGTGGGTTTGACGGGCGGACCCTGGCGGCTGCTTGCCACTCTGGGCTTGGTCACGTTTGCTCCCCAGAGCACAACCTCACGCTCGACCTCGCTCCTTCCCCGGCGTGCGCTGCGCCTGCCTTGTGCGCCTTTTAGAGCGCTTCGATGCTCGGCCGCTCTTGCCCGGCTCCCTCCGGCCAGCGCCTGCCTGGCTGGGCGATGCGAGTCCCGCAAGAAGCCGCGCGTACGAAGCACAGTAAAAATAGCAACCCCGGGGTGATTGTTCCTCCGTACCGCGTATTCTGCTATTTTTCTCATTGCTGGCATGGCCAGTTGTTTCTGCACAGCATAGCAAGACTCGTCATGAATGATTCATCATGTGTCGAGCAGGGCGACCGCTGCCACAGCCGGGTCGAGGGTCATCGATACTATGGATGATGTCGATGATTGTCGGGTGGATCGCCCGCCAGTGCTGGAATGGATCTAGTGCCTTAGCTTAGGTAATTCCGCAGACGCGCCCTCGCCTCCCCAAACAGGCAAGCGCTTGGCATCCATGGGTCTCCCAAGAGCCGTCATGTTGATGATCTGTCTCACCACGGGGACGAGCATCCTGATGATCCCATTGCCTCCTCGAGCTTCATCGCGAACCGCAGGCTGTCCTTCGCCCAGGGTCGATGAGGTGACGCGGATGGGGGAATCTCGCCAGGCTCCGACGGGCTGGCACGCGCTGGGGATGGAGTCAACGGCAGCAGCCAGGAAACGGCCGGGTGGGAAGGGCATCGGTGCCTGGCCAGTCAGCGCGCGCAACGGCCGCCTAGCCCCGTGATCTGACTGGGTCCGCCTCAGCCTCGGCTTCCGCGGCACTAGCCACGACGGCCTCTCCTCCAGACCGCGTCTGTTTGCTAGCCTCGTATAGATTCTTGAATCTTCTTCTTTCTGTCCATCTCGTGGATGACGGGCGTGCATCACCAGCATCCGACTCTCGATCGTCCTCTGCCAGATCCCCGCGCTTCGATCTTACCGTCTGGGAGCTGGAGGTCTGCCAGCACCTCCTAGGTACCTATCGAGGTAGCTGATCGACGGCTCTGATTGGCGGGTCCAGCGGTCGAGGATCAGGAACCGGTTTGGATGCCTCAGGCTGCCACTGCTGCGCGTCTTCTCGAGACAGGCAACACCCGCTGCTTCATATACTCCGTAAGCCTCTGTTATTGCTACCTGAAGGCCAAAGCTAGCATTCCGTCTCCGCACCACCCAAGCCATGATTCTTTCCAATGGTCTTCGCCATTCCTTCTGACTCCAGGGGATCCCTCGAGTATATGCTCAGCAGCAGGCCATCCGTCAAAGCATGACGGTCCCCTCCTCCTCCTCCTCCCCGAGACTCCAGGTCCCTGACGAACAATGGCGGTTTCAGGCCAGCCGTTTCAGACTCATGGCTTTGAGACGTCGGTCGACATCGCCCGCAGACAGACGACGACGCTGTCTGGGGTGAAAAGACCCCGCGAGGGAGGCGACCACAGCGACGTCGACAGAGCCGACCTTGCCGACGATGCCATGCCCTCGACGTTCAGCAGGCAGGGCTTTGTGCGTGCGGCCTCCGCCAGTCACAGGCCCCGCATCGCCGCTAGTCAGATTCGCCCGGTCGCGGGTGCCGTTCCTGCGGGTCAGCTGCTGCCGCCTGAGCGCCTTCGCCCCGAACTGGAAACCGCCCCGTCCACCACTCAGAACCCGCTGCTGTCGCTGCGGCATCCCAGGTATGGCCTGCCTCCCGCCTTGGTCGCCAACTTCGCCGCGCTGGGCATCGACAGTATCTATCCCTGGCAGGCGTCCTGTCTTCTGGGCCGTGGTCATCTCTCCGGCGAGAAGAACCTCCTGTATACCGCCCCCACCGGCGGCGGCAAGTCATTGGTAGCCGATGTGTTGATGCTCAAAAGAGTCATTGAGAACCCGCAGCGCAAGGCCATCTTGGTCCTGCCCTACGTGGCCCTCGTCCAAGAGAAGCTCAAATGGCTCCGCCGCGTCGTGCAAGATGTGGAAAAGAACGTCGCTGACGACGACGATGGGGACGATGTCGCCCTGCCCAAACGGCGACGGAGGCAGCTGCAGAAGTCAGTTCGCGTAACCGGTTTTTTGGTGGCAGTAAATCGCGGAGCACCTGGGCCGATACGGACATCGCAGTCTGTACCATAGAAAAGGTCCGTTTTTTGGTCTGAGTTGGCTATCCATATCCATATCTAATCCTCGAACCAGGCAAATGCACTGATCAACGCTGCCGTCGAGGAGTGCAACATCGATGACCTCGCCATCGTCGTCGTGGACGAAATCCATATGCTCGACGACGACAGTCGTGGCTACCTCCTGGAACTGATGATTACCAAGTTGCTCCTCCTGCAACAAGATATCCAGATTGTTGGCATGAGTGCAACGCTTTCTGTAGGCCTTTCGTAATCGACATGTATTGTGTGCTATGTATGACCAGGGCGCTGACTTGGCGTCAGAATGCCGAACTGCTTGCAAAATGGCTGCGTGCGAATTACTACGTTTCCAACCATCGTCCCGTGCCGGTCGAGGAGTATTTGGTGTACGAAAATGCGATATATCCCGCGGCCAATTCGAAAGAATTTTTTCGGACCGCGTCTCAGTTAAATTCCACTTCCTTGCAGGAATCGGTGACTCCCCATCGAACCATCGAGCCGTCTCCGTTCAGAGAATTGGCGAACGCGACGAATAATGCGATGGTCGCTCTGGCCGTCGAGACCGCGACGGCGGGATACGGCGCGTTGGTCTTTTGCGGCAGCCGGCAGTTGTGCCAGATGAACGCCGTTCTCATCAGCGAAGCGATGCCCGATCCGTCTTCATTGGAACCGGATGTTTTGGAGAAGAGGCTCGACCTCCTAGCTGACCTGCAAAGCTTACCCTGTGGCCTGGACCCCGTATTCCAGAAGACCATTCTTGCAGGAGTTGCTTTTCATCGTAAGGACCACTGGGGATTGCTGCAACAAAGGAGCTGACTCTTCTCAGATGCTGGATTGACCACCGAGGAACGGGATCTGGTCGCGGAAGCCTACGATCGAGGTGTCATCAAAGTCATCGTGGCAACTTGTAGCCTGGCGGCGGGCGTTAACCTTCCCGCGAGAAGGGTTATCATGCAGGGTGCTCGAATGGGCCGCGACTTGGTTGGGCCGGCTCTCCTGTACGTCTTTGGGCTGGTGTGACAGGCAGATGGATTGAAACTGACGAATGCAGACGGCAGATGCGTGGTCGAGCCGGGCGCAAAGGCAAGGATACCGTTGGCGAGACATACCTCATCTGTCAAAAATCCGACTTGGAGGCCGTCTCGGAGATCTGGGAAGCGGAGACGCCGGCCATCGAGAGCTGTCTCGCTCGGGATAAGAAAGGGGTCAAGAGGTATAGTGGATCCATCTCATTCGGTTGAGACTTTCTCGTTGCTTACGCACTGCAAGGGCGCTTTTGGAAGCTATTGCCACGCGGCTGGTTTCCGGTCGCGAAGCCATCCAGGAATATATGGAGTGTACCCTCCTTTACCGGACTCGGGACAAGGCGGAAATTTTGGACCTGATCGAGTCGTCGCTTGGGGAACTGGTGGAGGAAGAGCTGGTGCGTCTACGAGACGATGGGTCGTACGAACCGACTCGACTGGGACAAGCTATTGTGGCGTCATCGTTTGCTCCCGACGACGGCCTCTTTGTCTATGACGAACTCAGGCGGGCCCTGCAGGCATTCGTCATGGATGGGGAAATGCATATTTTCTACATGTTTACGCCGCTTCAGGTTGCGATGAACACGACCATCGACTGGCCCACTTTCCGGGATCAGCTGGACGCTCTGGATGAGAGTGGCCTGCGAGCGTTGCAATTTGTTGGAGTGCAGCCTGGGTTTGTGAATACCATGTACGGGCACCATTTTCATGCCGTCCGGAATGCGGGTTGCTGACTGTTTTCTCTAGGGTGCAGACCGGAGGCTCGCTCAAAGAAAATACCCCGGCGCAGATTAACCTGGCCCGCATCTACCGTCGTGCGTACACGGCCTTTCAGCTTCGGGACTTGAGCAACGAAGTTCCGTTGTCGACGATCGCCCAGCGATACCACACCCCACGCGGGGTCGTGCAGAATCTGGCGCAGACCTGCCACGGGTTCGCGGCCGGGATGGTCAAGTTCTGCCAGCGGATGGGGTGGGGGATGCTGGCGGTCGTGCTCGACCACATGAGGGATCGGCTGCAAGCGGGGGCGAGGGATGATCTGCTGGAGATGGCTCAGGTAGCTTATGTGAAGAGCTGGACGGCGCGCCTGCTGTGGGAAAACGGATTTCGCAGCGTGAGGGCTCTGGCGGAGGCAGATCCTAAGGACCTCGTTCCGGTTTTGATGATGGTGAGTTTCGGAACCCACGCCGGCGTGGCTCGCATCCTTGCTCACCACGACCAGGCGCGCCCTCGGAAAGCACAGGTGTATCAGAATGACGAAAAAGAGGCGGAGCGGGAGGCAGCGAAACTGTTGGCCAAAGCGGAAGTTATCGTTGGATCCGCAAACAAAATTTATGGTATTCTGCCTCCTCCTCCTCCTCTGTGTTGGATACATGATGCTGACAATCTTGCAGAACGTCAAATGCAAGTAGAAATAGAGGAGTGATTACCGTACAGACGTCCAATGGATATCATGCGCATTTTTATCCGAATAGATTTTGGATATGATTCTGTCAGGACAAGCTGCCGTTTCTGAATTGCACGGCATCTAATAGGCATAATTTTGCATATATAGACATATATAATCTTCCATCAATTATTTTCAAGCGACTCGGAAGCAGACGTTGCTAGTACCCTTTCTCCAGATTCATTGGTTTGATTTGAGTTTTACTTGGGCCGAGTTGACCCATCCATGTGTTCGAGCTTTTTTTTTCTGTTCCGTACGTACGGACTTTGACTAGTATTGTTATTTTTTTTATTGCCTGCCAGTTACGTGATCTGTACAGTTGGGGTCATGTGGAAAAGCTCTCATTGTCGTATCACTACTCGTGTATTATCAACATCGTCTCATAAGTCACTCACAAACCGATATATACATGCATACGTCATGCCATAGGTCTAACGTGACTTCATGACTTCCGGCTATTTACAAGCATTCCTGGCGGGATGTCTAGAACCCATTCAGCGCATCCTGCGCAGCGAAGATGTCGCCCTTGTCGGTGAAGTCGACCAGGACGACGTTCGGGGGCCGTCCGTACAGGGACTCGCAGAGGGCGGCTTGCGCACCGATGCTGCCGTTGCCCGTCGCAGCGTTAGTGGTGTCTGCGGCTTCACGATCCGGGATCAACGCCCCCAGGACGTCGACGTCGAGGAAGTGGTTGACGATGTACATCCGGCCGTCAGCGCTCGCACCCGGGGGTCGGTTGATGCTGCAGTCCGGAAACGAGGCATTGGTCACGTCGTAGGGGGTCTCGAAGTAGTAGGCAAATTCATCGAGGATGTACGGTACGGTCTTCATGTCGGCACCATAGTCTATCAATTCGACCAGAGTCAGCCAAAACTAGCAGACGGGATCATGTGAGGGCGTCCTCCTACCCAAGAATGCTACCAGACGAGTTCCCGCATCGATGAGCTCCTGCAGAGTTGGCCAGTCGTTGATGGACAAGGGGTTCGGGCTGGAGGAGGGCACAAAGGCGTATTTTTTGATGCCGCTCTGGTCGAAGGCCGAGTCGAACTCGGTGATGTTCACGTTGTCGCCGTTGGTGATCAGCAGCGTGACGACCTCGTTGGGGTTGCCGTCGAGCCAGGTCTTGACCGTCTCGAGGAACGACACCAGGCTGCCGGCATCCTTGAGGAAGCAGCTGGTGTGGCACATGTCGAGCTCGCCCTCGATATTCTTGTGCGTCTGGCCCTGCAGGAAGCGGACACCCCGTTCGAGCTGCTCGGTGATGTTGATGTTCTGGTTATCCGTCGGGAGATCGCCGACGAACGGCGAGTCGTGGGCGCCCACGAGGGAGATGTTCGAGTACGAACGACTGCAGAACTCGCTGCGCCCGTTGCACGTTGTCGCCGCAAGCGCGGGGGCGGCAGCGGCAGACAGAAGGCCGAAACACAGAAGCCGCTGGAAAGCCATGATGGGGTGTCACTGTGTTATGCTATGCTGGAGAGGAACAAACAGCTGCGGGCAGAGCTTGCAGCAATGCATCCTGGGGGAACTGCCTCTACTTAATATAGCCTTCCGTACCTTGCATCCGGAATACCATCTTTGGGTCTCATGTGGCCCAGGAACATGCGGCATATAATATCGGCCGTGATAAGAGGATAAACACGCGAGCTAAAGCGGGCCAAGCAATGCAGATCGACTGAGAAAGCCGCTCAAGTGGGCCTCCTGACAGGGCCAGCCGATTCCAGTGCAACCTCGTCCATCACATCATTGCTCCGGCTTCCAGTTATGCCCTTCTTCATGGGGGCTGGATTCCCTGCATCAGTCGATCGCGGGCTGTCTGCTGCCGCTATCGGGGACATGTGTGCCTGTCGACGCCGCCCACTCGTCATTCGGAGAGCAGCCCCAAGACTGAAGGCTGATGAGCATGGCACGGAGATTCCGATGATGACACCCTTGCTGGTTCTTTCTACCAGGACATGGTCTGGCAGATGGATATGGCCGTATGGACTACTCACCTGACGATTCCCGTGAGCTGGTATACCTACGGATCCAGATCAGATTCAGATCAGACACGAGTGTCAGGTGCGCATCTCGATTCAACGGGCTCAAGCAAAGGGATCTTCTGCGCATATCCTAGTGTAAACAGAGCGTCAAGCATCGCGGTGACTGGTGATTCGCAACAGCCCCTCTCTTGAGTGCTTTATCCGACACTACTATACTGTAACGAGCATCAAGCACGGGATACCTAAGGCAGCTGGTTGACGGATTTGGCGAAAGCGCTTTAGCCGGGAATATACTCCTCTATACTCCGGACTGAAGAATAATAATAGTATACACTCTCCAGGATAAGAAGGCAGAGGTAGATTCAATGCCAAACTCTCAACTGTCCGATAATACTGTACTGCACGGAAATCCAGGAAGTACATGTATCTAGGCATCTCTGGACAGTGCAGCACCTGGAGAGTGGAGCAGAGCAGGCCAAACAGACCGTGAGACCAGCAGTAATCCATGAGGAAACTCGTTGCCCTGCGTGCTGATAAAGTAATCGATAATTGCTTTCTCTGGCAGCCCCGACTCGTGGCCTGTGGGGAAGGCGGTCACCTGGCCGCCCGGCAGAACCGCAACACCGCAGGAACAGGCATCAACACCGCGTCCTGCCTCCTCGACAATCCTCTGCTGCGGCAACGGCCCCCTCGCGAGCCATTGATTGCCCGTCCTACTGCGTCGGATTGTCGGTCTGACCGCTGCTGACGACAAGAAGCACAAGCGCCGTCCTCCGCGCCTCTGTCGAGACACCAGCACAGACGAGCTTGGTCGATTAACTCTGGAGCCTGCAGGAGATACTACCTTTTCCGGCCACCGTAGGAGCGATGGTCATTCGAAGACAGTGCCGATGAGCTCCACGAACCAGGGGAGTGATGATGGGGCCCGCGAGGATGAGCTTGACCTGGGCCAGGAAGACGACGAGCTGCCCACGCAGACCAACGGACATGTCGAGACCAACTCCGGTACTCGCATCGACAGTGAACAAGAGAAGGAGCAGGAGCAAGAGCAGGACGATCAATTGATCTACAATGATGCGCCATTATCGGTTGCAGCCAGCGACGACCAACTCAGCCAACGGGCGGGCTCCATCGCTGAGACTGAAACCGCCTCCCGGCAGGGCTATCCTGTCCGCGCTGCTGGGGGTGTGGCTGACACAGCATCCCTCCCCGATGACACTCCTTCTCTCCATGTGCGTGGACTATGGTCCCTCTCCGACCAGCCGAAGTGGCATCTGTACTGATCCGATCTCACAGGGATCTCTGCGCTCGTCCCCAAGCAGCAGCGCCTTCGCCCTCCGAGGGTCTCCCCGCCTCAGCCCCAGCCCTTCCCATCGTCCATTCGACCTGCGGTTTCAGTCGCGATTGTCGTCCTCATCGCTCAGTAGCCCTCGTCCATCGTCACCCTATTTGATCCACCAACACTCTCGCCACTCCTCCTTTGCCAGCCAGACCTTTTCCTCCGCTCCGGACTCCGAGGTCGAGGCTCCGAAAGGGCCGTGGGAGGTCGTGCGATGGACTAAGCTGCAAAAAATCACGGGGCGGGCCTTTTCGGAGGTGGGCCGACGCAACTTTGGCCGGCCGACATGCATGGCCATTTCAACGGCCATTGTGGTCGGGACGTCCAAAGGCATTATCCTTGTCTTCGACTATCAACAGAATCTGAAGACCATCATCGGCCCAGGTACCAAAGGTACGCACCTGGACTATCCTACTATGTGTATGTGCCACCTCGACTAATTACTCAGCTGTCGAATGCGGTTCGGTCATGTCCCTGGCCATCTCGGCGGACCATTCTACCGTCGCGGGAGGCCATGCTTCAGGTGATATCTTCACCTGGGAGATCTCGAGGGCTGCGCGACCATTCCTTCATATCCCCCCCATCTCTGCGGGTCAACGCGAAGCGCGAAAATCCGATGGCCACATATCGGGTGTCTCCGTCATTCATGTCGGTTTCCTGGGTACGAGGCGCACTGCGCTGGTCTCCGCTGATGACCGCGGCATGGCGTTCTCGCACCTCGCTACAAGAGGGATGGGTGCAGTCGGGAGAACCGTCAAGACGACAAGGATATTAGGCCGGTATCCCGAAACTCCGGCACCAGGCAGTCGACCGCGCAAGCCCAGCTCGGTGCTCGCCTTTTCCCCTCTCCCCCTGGGCAACGTGGAACAGCCGACGGATGGCTTAGGTCTGGTCGCAATGCTCACTCCTTACCTTCTGGTTATTGTTTCCACCACCCCGATCGCGCAGACTCAGTACAAGTCACCTCGACCAAAAGAGGTGGCCTCCCATGGCGTCATGACGGCCGCCTTGGCCTGGTTCCCGGCCATCAAACTGAAGGGGAGAGACGATACTTCCAAGACCAAACTCGTGTACTGTTGGTCGAATGTGCTCACCGTGCTGGAGGTATCGGAAGCAGAGCCCGAAGGAGAGCCGGGTAAAGACCGACCGCCCGTCCTCGACTTCCGACCCAGGAGCCGATGGAGAGCTAAAGAGGCCATTGTCGCGGTGCAGTGGCTGAGTCGCTCCGTCCTCGCGGTGCTGACTGTCACGCAACAGCTGCTGATCCTGGAGGACCCTTCTCTCCCGGTGACGGAGTCGTTTGACTTGCTACACAAACACATCTACCATGTCGATCTCTTCTCCTCGCAGCTCCATACCTTGGTGGAGCAATACAACGAGGAAGACCCGTCTATGCACGGAGTGGTTGGAGATGCGTTCTACCCAAGTTTTCGGGCCTACAAAGGCCGCCTGTTTCTTCTCGGCTACAATGATCTCTCGGTGGGCAGCCTCTCCAACTGGGCGGACCGGCTTCTTGCCTACATGGAAGCGGGAGATTTTGTCGCTGCGATCCGACTGGCAACATCGTACTATCGGGGTGATGCGGAGAAGCTTACCGTCGGTCTCCCCGAGGAGGACGAATTGCGGCACTCCATCGTCCGGGAAAGGCTGCTGGAGATGATGTCGGCTTCGCTCAAGTACGCATTCGGCAGAAACCAAGAAGCGAGCACAGAACGACTGGGCAAGTCGCAGCTGGAAGATCTGGCCGATGCTTCTATCGCGGCCTGTATCTGCATGGGGGATTACGATTTCTTGTGGGACGAAGTATATAACTGGTACGAAGAACATGATTCGGAAGCCATCTTCCTGGACGTCCTTGAACCGTCCATCCTCCAGGGTGCGGTGCGGTCCTTGCCGCCGACTGCTCTCAAGGCTTTGATCAATCACTACGCGACCAACCACACGTCCAGCCGGCTCGAGGAGATCATCTGTCTTCTCGATCCGACAACCATGGATATTGAACAGGTGACAACCCTGTGCAAGCAGCACAATCTATATGATGCCTTCATCTACGTCTGGAATCGCACTTTGGGAGACTACATCGGACCGCTACAAGAGCTGCTGGAGCTTGCTGGACGGGTGACGGAGCCGCTGGTCAACGGGGACGCCGCGGCTGATGGGGGAAAGAACTACGATAACGCCATGAAAATGTTTCCGTATCTCTCGTTCATCCTCACGGGCCGGATCTACCCTACCGGCGAGGAGATGGAGGAGGACGAAGCGACGAAAGCCAAGACGGCACTGTATACGTATCTCTTCTCGGGCGGTCATTCTTCTGCTCTGGACGCAAAGCCTATCCCTCACCAGAGACAGTCGTTTGCAAGCCTTCGGGCGATCCTCGAGTTTGACGCTCCCAGTTTCATGAGCATGCTTAACGAGGCGTTTGAGGACAGTTTCCTGAACGACTCGGCCGAGCTGACGAACGGTGACTCGAGCCAAGCGCTAGACGGTCTCTCTGCCAAGGGCTTGACTGTCAACCGACAGTATCTGGTCAGCATCCTGCTGGAGGTCATGAGTGCGCCTCCCTTCGGCCCTGCCGAGACCATCTATCTGGACATGTTTATCGCCCGAAACCTACCGAAATATCCGCAGTATGTTCTCCTCTCAGGGACCACTCTCCACCAGGTGCTTGAACGCCTTTGCCAGTATCCGAGTGAGGAGATGGCAGAGGATTGCGAACTGAGTGTGGAGTATTTGCTGTCTGTCTATCGCCCCCCGGATATCCAAAGCCTGATCCCGCTGTTCAAGGAGGCACGGTTCTTCCGGGTTCTCAAATCGACGTACCGCTCCGAAAGGCAGTTCCCCGAGCTGATCCTCGTGTATCTCGAAGACAAGAGTGGGCAGGACTTGGTCTTCTCCTGCATCCACGATTGTCTCCGGCCGGGCTCCGGGCTGAGCACCAAGCAGCAGCGAGATGTCCTTCAGGTGGTCAAGAGTCACGCGGGCGAGCTGGCCCGTATCAACGTGTCCAAGGCTGCCCAGACGGTGCAACAGCTTGCGCCGGCCCTACACGAGTCTTTTCTCCGTGCCTTGGATGATGACGAATACAAGCAGTTCCACTACCTGGGGACCCTGTTGGAGCCAGAGATCCATTCGACGACTGAGAGGAACCCTCCTGCCAAGTGGGAGAATTGGATGGTTGAACGCTACGTGCAACTGCTGTGCCGATACAACCCTTCTCACGTGGCTGATTTTGTGGATGCCCTGCGCGTGGGTGATCTGCGGCTGGAGGAGGTCCTCCCCGCGATGGAGGGAAGCGGCGTGGTGGATGCGGCTGTGATCCTGTTGGCACGGCAGGGGCAGGTTCGAAGTGCGATGGACCGACTCATTGGTCATCTGGGCACCCTGGAATCCGGTCTGGCAGGGATCCTGCGGAACGCGGGGGAAGCCCCGGATTCTGCCAGCACAGCAGAAGCGATCGGGGATCTCCTGGAGTCGCTCGACAAGTACACGCGAGTGGGCACGTGGTTGTGCCAGGGCCAGACCAAGAGCTCCAAAAGGGTGCGGAATGGTATACCAAGCAGCAGCAAACGCGGTTCGACCGCGTTGCAACAGCCCTTGTCGTTTGAGGAGAATCTCTGGCTCGACCTCATCGATACCGTGGTCCGGATTGCCCGGAATGTATCGTCGCTGCTGCGTGACGCTCCATCAGCAGCGGGGCTTTCCTCGAAGCAGGAGGGTGACGACGGCGCCGAGTTGACGTCGGCCCTTCGCAGACTGGTGCAGCAAGTCTTCACCGCACTCCTGACCAGTACGACCAAAGCGGGCGGACCGTCGTCCTCCGAGCGGACGGATGTGTCCTTCCTTCGCATTCTGCGGGCCTTTCTCACCCGGGCGGCCAGCTGGTCGCCGTCGCTGTCCGAGTTGCGTGCGGTGCTGGCGTCCATCTTCTCGGCGTACACTTACGAGGAGTCGCTTCTGGCGCTGGCCAACGGGATGCTGGACAAGGACCTGTTCGTCCACGTGGATGAGGTGACGAAGCTGCGGCAGCGCGGGTGGCGGCCGAGGGGACAGGTCTGTGAGATCTGCCGGCGGCGAGTCTGGGGGCCTGGAGCTGGGGGGTCGTTGTGGGAAGCGTGGGAGAGGCGGCAAGTGGAAGAAAACCGACGTCTCGAGGCCAAGCGTCTGGCCAGTGTTGACGCACAGGGAAAAGGCAAGAGGCCCAGCCAAGCGGGGGTCGATGAGCAGCAGCATCCGTTCGGCGAGGGGGAGGATTCCCCGGAGAGGGGCAACGATGCGGAGCACGAGCTAGGACCGGTGGTGATCTTTGCCTGTCGACATCTGTATCACCAACAGTGTCTGGCGAACGCGCCGGGCCCCCGATCGGAGCACGACCCCAATCAGGACAACCGGGGTCATCGATCGCATGCGCTGGTGCGTGATCCGGGTCGCGAACTGACGTGCCCGGTTTGTACATAACTGTTATAAAGATTTCGAGCGCCCTGTGGGCGCTGAGATGGCTTGACTGGTTTTTTTTTTAATTGACCGTGTGACGAGCATGAGCATGTGTGTCTGTCTGTACTGCTGTCCTCTCTTCGTGCTCTTCTTTTTTATAATTATATCCGCTGCAATCATAGTCATTTGATTCGATCTATTATTTTGGGTGTCTTTGTAATGATAGTTTAATTCGTTTATTCTGTACCTTCCGTCCTATCCTACCCAAATAGGTAGCATTCAATCGGTAACTATGTATGTACTGTACCTACCGAGGTACCTCTATTCGTAGCCCGGAGGATTGCTTACTCCGAGTCTGGCTCGCATCTCCGCTTTATCTTCCTATCTAATCGTTTTCACGACTCTCCGGAATCCAAATTCCAGCGGACGGAAGAATAATGGACGACAGGGGGGGAGGTGGATGTCACCCCACTAGCATTAGGGTCTTGGGACACGGTACACGGTGCAACGTGGCGGCCACCTTCAAGGCACGGCGCAGGTAATCGACATAATGACATTATTAATGATCGTTCTTCCTGTCCTGAACGAGCAGGACGTCCGGCGGACGATCGCGTCGACCCTGAGTTCTGGACTCGGCTGTCCGACCGGAGGGCCCTATGAGATGGGTACATGTCTGTCTGCACGGCATTATGTAATCGCTGGTAATAGGTCTGGCGAATCAGACAGCCGGGATGCCTCGACGAGTCGATGCCAGGCAGCGCGCCCCATGAGCTTGGCGCAACAGAGTTGAAACTTGACGCTCTAGTCTCGATGGCATGCATATGCAGGTACGCACAATACTCTAGTAGTAAACTCTACGTGGATAGCCTAGACGGAGACTACGGAGTCCGGAGGTCGAAGTACCGAGTTGGGTACTGTGTGCTCCGTACTCCGTACATACTCCGTAGGTACTCCGTAGGTGATGTACTGTATTGTACTGCTGTGTCTCCTCACGCAGCGTCGTATATGCATGTGCATGGCATCTGCATCTGCATCCGCCGTCATCCGACCTGCAGACCTGCAGACGAGATGCGACTTTATATTATACTCCGTATTATAAGATGCTCTTCAGACACGTGAGCCGTGGGCATGACTGCCTGCAGCTGACTGACTTCTCAATGCCAAGCCCCACCCCTCCCGGAGACTCTGAAACGCTCGGCTCGGCTGTTCAATTTGGCTTCCCCAGCGAAAAAAGCTTGGTCACGCCCGCACCGCTCTGGCGCTTTGTCATTGGCGATTGGCCTGCCCGCAGCGCGCGTCGAAGTAACCTTGGATCTCCCTCGCTACGACCTTTCGCTCCTGCTAGACGCTTGGTCAACGCTAATTGATCCGCCAGGGCAGTCTCGACTCGCAGAAAGCAAAATCAAATGCGTTGCTTGATATGTTGTTGTTGCTTCTCGTTCTTCTACGTGTCAGCGATGACCCCGCCGGCTGATGGCGACATCATCTGGCTCTTCCTCTGTCATCTGCAGCCTGGCTTAGGTAGGATCGACTCGACTTCTTCTTGCTGAATGAAAGCTATGACCTGTCATCTGACTGATGCCTAGATCCAGAGCCGTGGTCGCTGTTCTGTTCCCCTCAATGAACCAAACATACCATTTCCCTGTTTCCTGCTATTACCTGCGAATCCGGCACTCGATATTAGGTAGGGGGCGATCGTGGGCCCGCCGCGAAATCCCCACCGAACCACTCCCGTTTCGTCCTTAGGGCTCCAGTGCCATTGCTCTTACTTGCAGTGCTTCATCTCCAACTCGCTGCTGTCCAATCGCGAGAGGATGACCGATCGTCAGGAATTACAGGTAGGCACTGCATCTGTCAGACGGAGAGGAATGGCTGCATACGTCTGCGGACCCAAGGTACGGCGTATAGCAAGCAGACACACAGATTGGGTTCTGTTATGGGGTTTGCTCCAGCAGGCATCGCTGACCATTTAGGTCACTGTTTTCCTTTCCAAATGGGATTTTTTTTACGCAGTATGTTCAGCGGGGTACATGGTTTCGTTTCAAAAGACTACATCTGTAAGATCCAGCTGATCGTGGCCAATGATCTTTAATATTTGCTGCCAGGACTCGGGAACAAATCTGTTGATAAGTCTTCGTCGATACTACCTCCCCGCAAGTTACACGTACCGCGATCTGACAGCCCCCCCCCCCCCGTAACGTTCCATTCGACGCCCTGGTCCCATGCCCTATTATATCGGCTCCAGCCTGTACCCCGGTATTTTCCCGCCTCAGGTCGTCTTTTGGCTCGGCAATCTGGTGACAGTAGTGTCGGCCCACCCTTGTCCAGACTCCAGAACCCTGTCTGTGTTCACGCTCCAACTCATCCGATATGGTCAGCGGTCAGCCCCTGGCCAGTCTGGCCAGCCATGAGGTTGGCCGGCTGAATGTGCCAGTGCTGCATGGCCTTGTTTTTTTTTCTGCTGCATGGCTTGTGGGGTATCAGACTACCTTAATTTCTGGTGATCTGGTCCAGGGTGTGGGTGCCTGTCTACATAATCAAGCCATTCGCACCCTTTCCTTCTCATCCAGAAGAAGCACTGCCAGCAGGTCGAGTCGACTGGCTTCTTACGTTCTCCTTCAGCTTGAGCCCGGTGCTCTACAGACTTTATCCTTCCCTTCTTCACTCCTTTGCTGTGCGAGATTTGTGCGGAGGACCCCCGTGCAGTATTTATCTCCGTCCTATCCTTCTGAAACAAGAACCAAACCAAACAAACACAATTGTTTTGTTTTGAAACAATTTCAATTCAAGACATTTGTGTTTATTATATCCGTCAAGATGCGTTCGACTACCCTCCTTTCCGGCCTGGCCGCTTTGGCCCAACTCGGTACTGCGAGCTATGTGCTCTCTGACGACTATGGAAATGGCATGGACTTTTTCAGCAAGTGGACTTTTTTCACTGTAAGTTTTTCTTTTCCTTTTTCTTTTCTTTTCTTTTATTTTCTTTCTTTCTTTCTTTTTTTTTTTACATCCTGATGTTCATCCTATGCTGACGGATCTAGGGTTCTGATCCCACCAATGGCTATGTCACCTACGTGGATCAAGCCACCGCGCAGAGCGCTGGTCTGATCTCGGCCGATGCCAACAACTCGGTCTACATCGGGGTTGACCACACCAACGTCGCCAGCGGTTCCGGCCGTCAGAGCGTCCGGCTGACCAGCATCAACACGTACACGCATGGCTTGATCATTCTGGACCTGGCCCACATGCCGGGTTCGGTGTGTGGGAGCTGGCCAGCTTTGTAAGTCAAGTCCTGTCCAGAACTATTGACTGCATCATATGTATAATATGTGGTATGCTAATTTCAACAGCTGGACGGTGGGCGCGAACTGGCCGAACGGCGGCGAGATCGACATCATCGAAGGCGTCAACCAGCAGACCACCGACGCCATGACCCTGCACACGAGCGACGGCTGCACCATCAACGACTCGGGCTTCACGGGCACGCTGTCGACGTCCAACTGCTACGTCGACGCCCCCGGCCAGAGCAACAACGCCGGGTGCGGCATCGACTCGACGTCTTCGCAGTCGTACGGCGACGGGTTCAACGCCATCGGCGGCGGCGTCTACGCGACCGAATGGACGAGCGACTACATCAAGATCTGGTTCTTCCCCCGCGGAAGCATCCCGTCCGACATCACCAGCGGCAGCCCAGACCCGTCTGGCTGGGGCACGCCCGCCGCTGCGTTCCAGGGCAACTGCGACATTGACTCGCACTTTACTGCGCAGAACATCGTACGCAGTCCTCTACTCATCTCATCTCATCCAGTCATTTGCTAACTGTTCTTCTAGGTCTTCGACATCACCTTCTGCGGCGACTGGGCTGGCAACGTCTGGTCATCGGGCAGCTGCGCCTCCCTGGCGAGCACCTGCAACGCCTACGTGCAGAACAACCCGTCCGCATTCACGGAGACGTACTGGACAATCAACTCGCTGAAGGTGTACGAGGACAACGGGTCCAGCGCACACAACGCGACCCTGCCAGCGACGACATCTAGCCGTCTGCGCCGTAACCGCCGGGCCGTCCGCAGTCACCAGTAGATAGACTCTGTCTGGCTGGCCTCGCCTGCCTAGCCTAGCCTAGCCCTCCCTCTCTCGACGGACGACAGACAAGTGAGTGAGTGAGTGACTCAGCTAGTCTGAGGACATGTACATACATACATACACGTGATATACATACATATGTATATGTATTGTACATGTGCTGGGCACTTGAAACAGACGACACCAAGGGTTGGGATTCCGATTGGCTTTGTTTTCACATTTGTACATTATTTTTCGCCCCCCCCTTTTTTTTTCGCCCTTTTTCTTCTTCGTCACCCCTTCACCACTTCTCGTTCACATTCATATTCACATTTACATTCACATTCGATTCGATTCACATATTCCATTCGTTTCTGGTACGTACTGTACACACGTACAGTACTTACCAACCTTTGTTGCTGAACATATTCTTCTTCTTTTTGGCTTTCTTCTTCTTCTTCTGGAAATCCATCTTATCCATCTTTTTCTTCTTCCAACTTCCAAACAATCCCACCCATCATCCCCACTGAGTACTGTACTGAGTACATACTGGTTACAGTACTATATCTCGCTATGTAGATACCCGTATACCCCCACTCGCTCGCTGAATCAAAAATGAATGAATCGATCGATCGATCAATCAATCAATCAATCAATCAATCCATTATACGTGTGTTTGGTCCTGTCAGTACTATTTATCATCATCATTCAGCCACAATAGTTAAAGTATATACATTATCCAAGTCCAGTACAGTAGGTAAAAACGCCAGCAATGGCATGTACATACATACATGTGTACATGCTTGGTCTATACATATGTATAAGAGACGATTACAGTTTGAACCCCAATTGATCCCTCAAATCATCCGTCAAACGCCCCCATTCCAGCAGTAGTCGGAAAAAGTATATCTCCATGTCTTCCTTCCGCAGCGCTTGCTGCGCCCATTTGCGTCCCTCCTCCGCGATCCATACCCCCTCCGTGTGGTGAGGCACCATCAGGTTGATCGTCTCCTCGTCCTTCTCCACGCTGACCCCCGAAAAGTACGCCAGCGTGCTCCACACATCGTGCAGCCGCAGATCCTGCGGCACAAAGTGCCGCCACGCCGTAATGCGCGAGTCGAACCACTGCCGGAAGAGCGCCGTCTTGAACGGCAGGCTGTAACTCTGCAGGAACGCGTGAAAGCGTCCGCTGAATCCCGCCCCGTCCATGTCGAATAGATACCGGTACTTCCAGTGGTCCTGGAAATCCATCCGCCCCACCGTATGCAGCTCCTGCTCCTGGACCTCGCAGTCCACACATCGTATTGGAGGTTCGGCAATGTGCACGTTGGTGCTGAGGCCAAACTCCTTCCACGGCGCCGTTCCATCCATGATCCGATACTCGTAGCTCTGGTTCTTCCCCGGGCGCATCAGCATCGACACCTTGCTAAACGTATTGTTATTCATCAGATGAGAAAATCGCTGTCGCGTCATGCCTTTCCATTCTCCGTTGATGCTCATGCCTTCTGTCGTTGCGCCGATCCAGAAAAGAGTGTCCTCTTTGTCCGCATACTCCGGGTCCGGGTGCTCGTCCGACGGCGCATATTCCACTTTGTCAACATAATTCCACGGGCTTGGGAATAAGATGTCTCCGAATCCCCGCACACTGCTCTGGCTGAAAAGCGGAACCAGCTGCTGCGAGGCCTTGAAGGATGAAGGGGAGATGAAAAACCCGTGCAGATGGGCCAGGTCAGGCTGATGGCATATATCCGCAGCCAAGTCCCAATCCGACACAAATTGGCCCATAGAATGCGGCCGCACACAGCTCACACATAGATTATGTCGGTCCCACACCCGCGTCGTCCGAGCTTTCGAGGACGGAGGGCAGATGCGACTGACCAGATCCCATATATTTGTAAAAGCCCAATCCGTGAACACGCTATACGGCGTCTGGTCCACCGGTTCAATGGGACCCCATCCAGCTTGTCGATCGATCGACCAGCCGTTGAGAATATCTTCCTCGGGGAGAGCAGTCACCGACTTGGCCTCATTTTTCATCTGCGACATAACCTCCCAGGGCACCACCACCCGAGGCTCGTCGTTGAGGTTGAGGGGTATATCCATATCTGGCAGGTGTTCGACAAAAGGCTCAATCATCTTCGCCGCTGCTTCAACCATCCACGCGTGAGTAGGTTTGATGTCCTCCTGGACTCGAGCAGTACCGTTGCGGATACTGATTGCTGCCACATCATTGAAGGGGTTCGTGACCAATTCATGAGTTAGTTTCCTCAGTTGCTGAGGCGTCAATGCTCGGAATGGCAGGAGATCAGAGTATATCTGATCAAAGTCTTCGATAACCAGCGACGATCGGCTGGTTGCATATTCGTACCACTTGTCAAAGCCTCTGTCCCCAGATCAGCATAGTTTCTTATCGTCAAATTTATTCCGGATGACTTACGGTGGAGGATGTTGTTTGTACCGATGCCTGTATTCCAAAACAGCCTCTTCGAGATTGGTGCTAGTTTTGGCCTGAATCAGCCACAGATCGTGCTGCGACCTACCGTTGTAAATGAGCAGGTCGATTGGTAGCAGTTTTGGATGGTTTGTTTGAATACACGCCACAATCAACCCAAACCCGAACAAAAGGAACACCGCCTTCAGCAACCAGAAAGTCGCAGAAGAGGACACCAGAGGCTCATCTTCGGATATCGCGTTTGCGCTAACAAATAAAGCAGCACTAGCAGAGAGCGTGACGAGAGCGGTGATGGTCAAGGGAACGGAAATATTTGGAAAGGGATGGTCTCCGGTCAACATAATCGATATCAGAGACAGATAGATGGCCACAAAGGCGGTGGACATGGATAGTCCTAGGATGCCATAGCGGGGAATCTAGCTGCGTCTCAGTCGTGACTCAAAACATAGATCCCATTATTGGACACTCACGAGTATAATAGCCGTTGCGCAGAGCAGCGTCACAAACATAGACTGCGCCAAGACAGCTCGATAATAGTGCGAACTCGCGGAAAGCATCCATGCTCGATGTTCCGGGAGAGCAATTAGCGCCACGATGCCGACGATCGTCCAAAAGACGACAACACCCTTTTCTCAGTTTTGGTCAATGCACATGATGGGATTGATTTAAGCGTATTCCAATTCGAATCCAACTTACAAGCAATCCAACCCCCCATTCTATCGGCGCCTCCCTTCCTCTGCTGAGTTTGGAATGCCTCACTGTGCCCAAGAGCTCCGCAGCACAGATCAGGAGAAGGGTATCCAACACCAGGCACAGGATCTTAAACGTTCGTATGCGGAGGGCTAGTTTGGTGACTATAGGACAAATGTACGTTAAGTTGCGGCCATCATGAAAAGACGACACCAGAAGACCGGAAACCATGAGCAGCGCTGCTGGAACCACATAGCGCAGACTACTTCGCAGGAGGAAACGGAAGGGTTTGAAGATTGTTCGCACCGGACCGGAATCGCGCTTGACCGTCTTGCTTCTTTCATGCCGCACATAATCGTAAAGCGAGATTAGAAAAGGGATCCCACTCTACACACGCCCATGTCAACAACCATCTTTCGACACGTTTATCTGCGGGAGCAAGGGCTTACTGCATATCCCGGCCGAGAGCATTCATTATTGAGGGTGATCTGACGAAATAGCTCGACACGGATGCACAGCAGAAAACACGACACGGCAAGCAGAACCCAGGACGTCCAGACGCGGATCCCTTTGACATTCAAAGTGCCTTTCTCTCTGGGAGGATCGGGGAAGGATGTCCGGGCCGTCGAACGTTCGGACGTCTCCGTGAGCGGGATCGAGACATAGGTCTGCGAGCCCGAATCTGCTTCGAAGATGTACGGATAGTATTTAGCCAGGAGCAGAAGGCTTATCCCGGCAATGAAGCACGAAAATACCGCCGAATGCACCGGACGATCTGTTCAGCGGGTCAGCTTGGCCATAATGGCGGATGGGAGCGACAAAAGGCTCACCAAAGACAAAGGTCGTGTCATAAGAAGCGGAAAGGAATATGACGCTGAGAAAGAAGAGGCTTGGAGGGAACTCGCGTTAGTACTCTAGACATGGATCGAGATGGCCGATGTGCGGGGGATAATTGGATCCGCATACCCAACGGAGATTCTCGAGACGTTTTCCTTGGAAATCGCCATGGTCCAGTCCCAAATCGTACGATCATCCAGCAGCCATTCTGTTATAGCGACGATTCAAGTCCGGTCATTTTGCGCCGCATGCCAGGTTCGACGGGCAAAGAACGGATGAGGGAGAGCGACCGGATGGGACACAGCTACGTCTTAGTACTTCGCTACTGGCGGAGTGGCACCCGCGAACGCATCGAGGTAGGCACGGCAGACGCGGAGGGTGGTTCAAGGAGCGTAGCCGGTAGGAGGCAAGTGATTGAACTGCGGAGCTGCCCACGTTTATCAGTGGGGAACGGACGACGTCAACTTGAAGAAAATCGCAATTAATCCGCCAGCCAGGCACCAGGATGGATCCAGGAGAGGAGCAGCTCCGCAGGCGCAGGGGGTAGGTATATAACGGGCATCAGCCTGGCGCTCACGATGGTGGCGCAATACCGAGCACCGGACCCGGCCATTATTATTACTGAGTGCTTGCGTGCAAACCCCTAAGGAACTCCGAACGGGATTGCTGCTTTGTTCCTGATCGAGGCTGTGGGAGTCTGCTGCACGCGGAAGGCACTGATGACGGCTGCGTGGCGGGCGGGATAGTCGCTGCAATTGGTGGACCGCTGCATGAGCTGCGCACGCGTCAGTGCAGCGGAACGCCCGTTGCCCGAAATGGCAGCCAACAAACCATCCATGTGTTTGTCGTTGTTGATGATGCCGCTTTCTACGTTATCAGTCAATCAATCAGACCTATTACGATTCATTGCAGAGCCCAAATGGTGCAAAGGGACACGACCAGCGCTCCTCGACTCTCGTCTTTTCCATCTCCTGTCGTATTCGTCTGACGTGGTGCTGCTTGCACTGTTGACAGGCCCGGATTTACTGTTCTGCCTGCCAAGACTCGCCCCACCGGAAAAAAGAAACGAAGCTTCCCCCGTCAAGAAACGGAGCCAATCACGCGATGCCCTCCTCGATCGAGTCGCACCAATCATCCTGCCCGATTCTGCTCCAGGCGGTGAGTGCCTGCAGGCGGTGACCAGCGGCAGTTCGACCAAAAAAAAATAATCGAGATGAATTTTTGTCGGGACACAGTGAAAGGCAGTTCTTGCTGGAGCTCCTGCCGACAGCACCAGCCCGGAGTGGCGAGCGGTCCCGGTGACTCTTTTCCGGTTTTATGAGGCACCTTTAGGGATCATTCCAACGCGTCTTCTGAGCCTGCCGCGGGTTGAGCGTCAGTCCTTCCCGTTCCTGGCCTCGTGCCCGGAGGGACCTGTGGAAACAATCGGCATCGTGTCGCGCTTGGAGGATTTCGCAAATCTAGCAAGGAGAGCAACATGCCGCGCAAGGCAATCGACTCGCGCATCCCAGCGCTGATCCGAAATGGCGTGCAGGAGAAGAAGCGAAGCTTCTTCGTGGTGGTGGGCGACCGCGCCAAGGATGTCATTGTCCACCTCCACTATATCATGACCAGCGTCGATGTCAAGCAGAACAAATCCGTTCTCTGGGCGTACAAGAAGGAGCTCCTCGGGTTCAGCAGTCATCGCAAGAAGCGCGAGGCGAAGATCAAGAAGGAGATCAAGCGAGGCCTTCGCGAGCCCAACCAGGAGGACCCGTTCGAGCTCTTCATCAGCTTGAACCAGATTCGCTATGTCTACTACAAGGAGACCGACAAGATCTTGGGAAACACATACGGAATGTGCATTCTTCAGGATTTCGAAGCCATCACGCCGAACCTGCTGGCCCGGACCATCGAGACCGTCGAAGGTGGTGGTCTCGTGCTCCTCCTGCTCAAGGGAATGAAGAGTCTCAAGCAGCTCTATACCTTGTCCATGGACATCCACTCTCGCTACCGCACTGAAGCTCACAACGATGTGGTCGCCCGGTTTAACGAACGATTCATTCTGTCCCTGGGAAGCTGCGAGTCGTGTCTGGTGGTGGATGACGAGCTGAACGTGTTGCCCATTTCGGGCGGGAAGAACGTCAAACCCCTTCCACCCCCTGATCCCACCGAGGAAGGCAAATCGGGCGCGCAGAAAGAGCTGCAGGAGATCAAGGACAGTCTGGCGGACTCGCAGCCGGTGGGTTCGTTGATCACCCTCGCGAGAACGGTCGATCAGGCCAAGGCGCTCCTCACCTTCGTCGACGCGATTGCCGAGAAGACATTGCGGAGTACTGTCACTCTAACGGCGGCTCGAGGACGTGGAAAATCGGCCGCCCTGGGGGTGGCGATTGCCGCCGCCGTGGCCCACGGATACAGCAACATCTTCGTCACATCCCCCAGCCCGGAAAACTTGAAAACGCTATTCGAGTTTGTATTCAAGGGATTTGACGCCCTGGGATACCTCGACCACGTCGACTATACCATCCTCCAATCGACCAACCCAGCATTCAACAAGGCTATTGTCCGGGTCAACATTCACCGCAACCACCGTCAGACCATCCAGTACATCCAGCCTCAGGACGCCTACGTATTGGGGCAAGCGGAGCTCCTTGTCATCGATGAGGCAGCCGCGATCCCATTGCCCCTGGTGCGGAAGCTTCTCGGGCCCTATCTCGTGTTTATGGCTTCGACAATCAACGGATACGAGGGCACGGGTCGGTCCCTCTCGCTGAAACTCATCCAACAGCTCCGAGAGCAGGCACGAGGAGTGAAGAACGCACCGGATGACACCGATATTGCCGATCGGGCAACGGGTAAGCCGACCAAGAATGGAGAAAAAGGCGTCGGCGGCCGGACGTTGAGAGAGATCACCCTGTCGGAACCGATCCGATATGCTCCTGGCGATGCTGTGGAGAAGTGGTTGAACAAACTTCTTTGCCTGGATGCGACGCTTCCGAAGTCGAAGATGAACACGCAGGGCACTCCCCATCCGTCCCAGTGTCAACTCCTTTACGTGAACCGAGATACCCTGTTCTCGTTCCACCCTGTGTCCGAGAAATTCCTCCAACAAATGATGGCTCTGTATGTAGCCAGTCATTACAAGAATTCGCCGAATGATCTCCAGTTGATGAGCGACGCTCCCGCCCACCAGCTTTTCGTCCTCGTCCCACCGATCGATGAGGATGCGACCAAGTTGCCAGAGCCGCTGTGTGTCATCCAAGTCGCGTTGGAGGGACGCATCAGTCGGGAGAGTGTCCTCAACAGCCTCAGTCGGGGTCAACGAGCGGGCGGTGACCTGATTCCCTGGCTGGTCAGTCAGCAGTTCCAAGACGAAGACTTTGCCTCTCTTTCAGGAGCCCGAATCGTGCGGATCGCCACGAACCCGGACTATCTGAACATGGGCTACGGATCCCGCGCGTTGGAACTCTTGATCGACTTCTATGAAGGCAAGTTCATGAGCTTGGATGAGAATGCTACGTATCCGTCTGAAGAAATGGTCCGAGTCACGGACGAAGAACTCGAGAATGCCAATCTCTTGGATGACAACATCCATGTCCGGGACATCCATTCCATGCCTCCGCTCTTTACCAAGCTATCTGAACGACGGCCGGACTCTCTTGACTACATCGGAGTTAGCTATGGCCTGACGCCATCTCTCCACAAGTTCTGGAAACGTGCGGCCTTCGCACCCGTTTACCTTCGTCAGACTCCCAACGAGCTGACGGGTGAGCATTCGTGCGTGATGCTTCGGGCACTGTCTACGGGCTCGAGCGACAGCAGCTGGCTCGGCGCGTTTGCAAGGGATTTCCACAAGCGTTTCCTGTCGCTTCTTTCCTACCAGTTCAAGGAATTCCCTTCGGTTCTCTCTCTCAGTATCTGCGAGTCCGCCACGGCAGGGTCGAAATCGGATCCATCGTTTGCCCCGTCACCGCTGACCAAGTCCGATCTGGATGCTGCATTCTCGCCATTCGACCTCAAGCGCCTCGACAGCTACGCGAACAACATGCTCGACTACCATGTCATCCTCGATATGATTCCGACTATTGCCGAGTTTTATTTCCTGGGTCGTCTCCAGGGCAAGGTGAACCTTTCCGGCGTCCAGCAGTCAATCCTCCTTGCGGTAGGCCTCCAGCGGAAGAACATCGACGACCTGGAAAAGGAGTTGAATCTGCCATCCTCCCAGCTCTTGGCGATGTTTATCAAGATCATTCGAAAGGTCTCCACGTATTTCCGATCCGTGGTTGAAGGCGCGGTTGCAGAGACGCTGCCGCCGGAGCGGCCAGTGGGAGTGGAGGCCGCGGGGGCCCATGACGATGACGCGGTTGACGAACGGTTCCGGCCGCTAGACGCGGACCTGAACGAGGAACTTCGCGAAGGCGGACAACAAGTCGACGAGGAGCTAAGGGAGAAGCAACGGGCGTTAATTGATGCGCTCCCACTAGAACAGTAAGTACACCCCCAGAGACCCATACTATCACTACTACTGCAGTTTGTCACGTTGGCAAAAAGCAGTGCAGCTAATTTCCAGCCTACAGATACGAGATTGAGAACGGGGACGCAGCCTGGGAAGAAGCAGAGAAACAGATCCGTCAGGGAGGCGCATCGACCGTGAGCGTCAAGTCGTCGAAGCCGGCAAAGCGCAAGGCGGGAGAGACGGCGCGAGAGATCTACGAGAAGGAAATCGAGTCCAAGATCCAGAAGAAGATCAAGAAAGGTACAGAGGGGAAGAGGAGGGGATGAATAAATTATCCCCTTTAAAAGGGGCATATTTCTTTTCTTTGACCTTTGCATTTAAAAGAATGGTGTGGTGTTGTGCGGTGTGGTGTGGTATTATTCATGAGGGTGCAAACAAAAAAGAAAAGGAGCATTTGGGCACGTCATGCATGTCATTGGATGCTTTAGCCTTTAGCCTTCTTTCTGTTGGCTGTATATGTATATATCCATTTGGTATACACCATCCTATGAAGTGTGATGTATTATGTCACTGCATCTTCAAGTCATGAGGTCCGTATGCAGGCTTATGAAAACATGAGTAGATTTAAGGAGGATAAAAGGATGAACTCAATGACTACGTTCTGTCATGGTTCCTTACTTGGTACATGAATAACAATAGCAATTAACGAACTCCTAGCCTAGTTCCATGCCTAGATATTTTTTTTGCCCCCCTCCGAATGAAAATAAATAAACCTGACAATCATAATATTACAAGCTTGTCTCGTCACAACTCGTCGTGCTCAACCTCTTCCTTCTTCTTCTCCTCCTCCTCCTGCTTCTCCTCCTCCTGCTTCTCCTCCTCTTGCTTTTCCTCCTCTTGCTTCTCCGCCTCGTCCTTCTCTTCGACGATGACACCCTCAGGCAACTTGTTCTTATGACCTTCGCCTAGCCTGATCGCGTCGACCCAGGCCTCGATCTTAGCAACTCTATAGTCGCTTTTTCCGCAGGCTCGTACCGCCGCCACCAGCCTCGTCGTCCGTTTAGCGCGATGATCTCCACTGCCGTCTCCTCGGAAAGACCAAGCTGGTTCCGTAAGGTCTTGGATCCCGTGTTGATCGCAGGGACGCTGTAGAAAGGAAGGCGGTGCTGCGAGAGCTTGTGTGCGAGTTCCGACGAGCTGGCCAGAGCTTCCTTCGCCGGGCCTGGGAGGTCAGCGTCGGGTGACTCGGTCGCAGGAAGAAGCACCAGGACGCAGGTGCCGGACTTGGAGGTCAGGCAGGTTGATTCGAGAGCTTCATAGGTAGGGAGCTGGTCGAGCTCAGGTGCCTTGACTGGCACCTGAGCCGGCTTCTCATCCTCAGGGACGTCAACGATGGGCTCCGTTGACTGGGTTGGCTTGGCGTTCCCGCGAACGACAGACGAGGTCGAGCTAGTGGAGGACTTCTTAGATGCCTTAGACGTAGAGGCAGGAGCCGGATCGGGGTTGGGTTGCGCAGCCTGACTGAGAAACTCCACCATGGGCTTCTTCTTCAGTTCCCCCTCATAGACGACCGGCTCCGCCTCACCGCCAGGAAGGAGAATCAGCGTTGGGAACGAGGTGATCCCGAACTTCTCCACCGCGCCGGATTCCTTGTTGCGGATCTGAGCGAACTTGATCCCTCCCAGGAAATCGATCGCCAGAGATCGCAGAAGAGCACTGGTAGTCCCCTTCTCTGTAAACAGGATGGCCTTGGGCTTGTCATCCTCGGATAGCCAGGCCTGGAAGTCCTTGTCCGTGAGCCTCTTGACGTGGTTCGGAATCCGTTCCACCACCGCATCCACTATAGCTTTTGCGCTCCTCGGGCCTTGGTAGTCTTCCACCCGCGGCTTGCCGGGCTTCTTGGAAGGGGTTACGATCTTCAGCGTCGGGAACCCTTGGATGCCCATCTGCCCGCAGAACGGTTTGTTTGCGTCATCGTCGCAGTTGACGGCGGCTACTTTGGCCAGGCCCTCCAGGTTTTTGGCTACCTTCTCATACGCCGGCTTCAGATTCTGGCAGTGACCGCACCATGGGGCATAGAATCTGAGATAATGTGTCAATGTCAATAGCTAGGACGGGGGCGCGCGTTTCAGGGGAAGATAGAGAAGGGAGCGGCATCTTACTCTACAATCTGTGTATATCAGAGTTAGCCAGAGCATTCAACACGGGGAGTTAGGTATCTTACAGAAGTATAGTTTGATTTGGCAATCAGCGAATCGTAGGTCTTGTGATCGACCTGCAAAACAGGAGAGTTCTTAGTATACAGATTTGCGCTGGCTGTTGGCAGCACTCCCAAGAGGGAGGCAAGCAGTGCCAACGCGAGATTGCTGTGCATTCTGGCAAGGAAAAATGAGAGTAAAGCCGTTAGTCGATCAATACGGAGCTATGTCAAGCTAGATATTCATCACGAGTTCATAGCTGTCAGAAATACGCTCGATACCTTGAGGTATGCGTGGCCTTTATCAGTCTGTCTCGAGCTTAGAGCAAGGTGTCCTGAAGCTCTTGGCAGCTGATCGGAGAACTGCGGGGAACCTTAACTTTGATGCAAACAGGAAGATAATCTTGATTGATCCTTCCACCATCGCTTCAGATCCTCCTGCAAGGGCTTTTTCTTAGCGAAAAGAGTTCATACTTTACTGATGAACATATGCCGCTAACGCCACATACCGAATATCAACGCCTCTCATGATTCCCCATCAATCTCTCCCGCCAGGAGCTCCCCCGCAGAGGCAATGGCCGCGGAGACAGATGAGACAGCAACGAGACAATGTCCTGTCCAGACAAAGGACATCCCATTTCTACCGGAAGAGCTCTTTCACATGATTCTAAGTTATCTTGACCCCGTGGATGTGGTTCGTTGCCGTCGTGTCTCCCGATCCTGGTCCGATGCCTTTGGGAACCCCCGAAGCCTCGTTCCGTTGCTGAAGCGGACATTTCCCCGGGCAAGAGAGGTGAGAAAGCTGGCGCAGGATGGCGCATTCGATAATCCGGATTTGACATCAGAAGGTAACATTCGCTTTTGGCGGAATACGTTCGATCAGGTCGCTGCCAGATACTACCATCTGGCCCGTGGCAAACCTCGTTCAGTTCAGAAGTTCCGACTATGCGGAGAATTCGCCCTTGGCTCCCTGCAGTTATTCCAGGTGATGCCGTGGGATCACCATTCCAGCCATTATCCCGAGTGGGGAGAATTAATGTTTAAGCATGCCTTTTGGACATATGAAGACGGGCTCGTGGTCTTTCCCAGCGAAGAAGACCGGAGCCTCGTGCTCTTGGATTTAGAGACGGGGGAAACATTCATGGTTCCATTCGTACTCACCGATAAAGTCATTCGACGAATTCGTCTGCAGGACAGACTTTTGGTTATTGAGTGGGCAGAGCCGGAGGCCTTCCACTGGCTGAACGACAGCGACGGTGTGCACCGTCACTTTGCTACATCTTTTGACTTGTACAAGTATGGTCGAGGCTGGGATATTATTTTCCGCAACGAGTGGAAAATCATGTTCCTTGGCCATCCACTGGGCGAGAGGGATCGCTTTTTCTCCGCACATAGTAAAAATTACTATACCATCTATGCGTGGCAGCCCAACCGCAGTCTTTACACTGCCGACGAGGACGCTCCCATTGAGTCACTGTTTGTCTGGGACATCTCCAAAGCGTCTTCCTACCGACCGTCCCTGGATCCAACCGGTCGAATGAGAGATGCATTTGGAGATGAAGGCCCTACGATCGTCGCCCGCTTCAGCTTCCGAGAACTGGGCTTTTACTCCGTTCGACAGAGGGGCTCACCGGCCATCATGAGACTGGACATCAACAGCGAAGCAAAAACGGTAGACATCACCGAAGTCACCTATACCGGGTCTCCCATCGGCCGCAACTCCTACAACCCTCTGGAATGGACATGCCGAGTTCAGACGACCAGCATACCTTTCATCGGACACGGGCCATGCTGGCGCCGCGATGCGGGCGTGGTTTTTCCCCCGTACCGTGGAAACAGCTGCATGGAGATCCCTCCTCTGTCAATGACAGGCCACCTCCCTTGGTACCTGGGCGTGTACGAGGCGACCGACAAGGACGCCCAGGTGTCATTCTATCTCCGATACTGCCATAGCAGCGTCTCGGAAGAAGGGAAATTCTCAGCGCGATTAGCCTTGACGATCCGCACCCCTCACTCCGAGACCACGCTGAGCGACACCGCTAGCGCCGCGCTCTCCGAGAAGGGGAAAATCTGCGGCGACGAGAGATTCGTTGTCGGTGAGAACGACAGTGGAGAACTCGTCGTATATCGGTTTTGATTTGATTAGCTGTCGATCTATCTGATAAATAGGTAGATGGATAGCCGATAGATAGATAGATGGTTGATGTAGAGACGGACATAGTAACTATGTATATTTATCTAGCCGTCGGTATCGGGTATATGTATGTACATGTACATATACTTCCACGAAAGAAATGTCGATATTACTTCATTACCGATCAGGCTCTGTCCATTACTGATTTCAAACGTCCAATATCAGCTTACACTTCGCAAAAGAAGAGAAGTTTTTACGGCAGAATTCCTGTAGAAGGTAGACTTTCTGGGATAGATAGAGAATAAAATCCACTGTTGAATTATTATTGTAACCTGTCGTAAGAACTCATACATTCATCGTCTGTGACGCCAGCCAAATTCATAAAAGAAAGTAAAAAGCAGAGGATTAAAAAAAAGAGGTGTATCAATCAGTATTTCCCTGTTCACATAACTTGTGCCCACATCAGTAATAGAGCAGTATATCCACATGAAGCATGTTCTCTGGGATATCATTCTTTCAGTACGTCCATCTTTACCTCTTTTGGAAAGCCATTCATTCAAAAACGCACAGAGCCAATCAATCAATCCCACTGATTTCTCTGTCACGCCGGCTTGTGATATTTGCAGCTGACACATGCCCTAGCTCCACAGCTTTGACACGTCAACATGTAAATCGGCAGCCAGCGCTGACAAACATCGCACTCTTCGACGTCAAATGTCTTCTTCCAACGTCCCAGGTGACGACAGGTGTCTGGTCCATTTGCAAAATTGGCCACCTCGGTTGGCTCCGCCCCTGGGAAGCCCTGACGCTGCTCCTCGAACCAGCCCTGGAGCGATTCCAGGACGAAGCCGGTCATTTCAACATGGAGGTCGTTGATATTGTAGCGACCGTTGGGGTCAGCGAGTTTGTACCGAAAGAAAGGAACCAGGGTTTCGAGAAGAGGGCCGAGGTTAGTGTCTGGCTCACTTTGTTGGTTATCACCCCTAGTGTTACTTGTTTCAACTGTAGAAAAGCTGGCAGAGTCGTCACACCTGACACGTTGCTTTTCTTCTTCTTTGCTGTCCTCGTCATCTGTGTCATCCTGCAGGGAATTGTCAAAGCCGGAGTGGCTTTTCGCACCTCTTTCGTCGAAGTCTGCGATTCTAATTTCAATCCTGCCACTGTAATCGGAGCTTTCATCATCTGCAGGATGATCAGGTCCCAGGAATTCTTCATTGCTTTCTGAGCATGAGACCGAGTCCTCTGTATATGCCTCATTCTGCTCTCTCTCTTCCTGTTTCATTTCTTCTTCGTCACGAAGCACGCGAGCTCTCATGGCTTCCATACGCCTGGCTCGTGCCTCCTCTTCTCTCCGGCGCTGAGCTTCACGCTCAAGCTTGCGTCGTTTCTCCTCTTCCATTTTCCGTCTTTCCTCTTCACGCTCCCGCTCTTCTTCCTCGCGTCTCCATTTCGCATCTTCTTCATACCACGCATCCCACAGTGGCCATCCATCAGGAACATTTTCATAAGTCCTGAATTGGGGAATTATATACGTGGGCCTGTTAGCGTTGATGTAATTGTCATGCAACTCGCGTTTGATAGGATCACGGAGGACTTCGATCGCTTCTAGTATCTATAAACGCCTGAATCAGAACTGCAAAGCTCAGAGAGAGGAAGAAGCTATGCATATTGAGCTAGGGACATTGCAGACCTTCCGAAACTGCGCCACAGCGCTTGTTTCACCGCCAGCCTTATCAGGATGGTATTTGAGGGCGAGCTTCTTGTAGGCGCTGTTGATATCTTTGAGAGACGCATTCTGGGCGACGCCCAGGATTTCGTAATAATTGACCATTTTCAGTTCTCGATGTAATCGGGTCCTCTTAGTCCTCTTTATGACGGCAGGACAGTCAACGTCTTGACAGAAAGAGCTGAATGGTCACACATAAAGACAAGCAAAATCAAAGACAGAGTGGAAGGTTATTTTCAAGATATTTCTGCCTCCCTTACATCAATAGATATCTGAAGACAATAGAATTTGTCTAGAGAGTAGGTGGAAGAGACCAGACTGCGATATTGCCGAGCCTGGGAAACCACAAGGGAAGTGAGTTGTCTCGGCGATGATTGCTCAACTCCCAGAATAGAAGGAAACAGCCGTCAGGCATTTACAGTCTAACTGGATATGTGTTGAGGACAGTGTGAATTGAGGGCTGATGGTAGTAACTGTAGTTCAGTCATTCACTGCAGAAGAATGTCACCTGAGACGAAAGGAGATGCCAGTCCAGACACATTCAGTTAATTGGAAGTAAACAGTCACTACCTTCCCAAGATTGGAAACGACAGGTGCTTGGGCACCTAGCAGGAAAGTGGTTTCACGTGTCTTGCGTGCGTTTGCACCAACTCACAGGGAGCCTTGCCATCTGGCAGGATTAGCAATGGTCATTTACTGCAGATGGCCATATATATACTCTGCTTTGTCCGAATCTCTTATTAGGAATGCCACAGCGCAGAGAAAAAAAATATTCTCCTCATCCCCTCTTATTCCCCTAGATCAAGCCGTCTAGATGCAGTCTTCCCGAGATTATCAAATATGGAGCCCAAGCATTCCCTTCCACCCAACTACACTTAACCAGCAGCAGAGCATAAAACGAACCAAACTAAGAGAGCAATTGGACGTCTATTTGAAGGAATTTTGTGATTCAAGTAAGGAAAAATGTCGACGGACTAAGTATATCGAGGAAGAAACCGTGACTATAGAAACACAGGATGGATTGAAACTGGTTTTACATGCCTGAAGAAGGGTCTAGACATTTATATGGACAAGTCTATGTTCAAGACCACTCCCTCCCAGCGACATCAGGTGGACAGTTTAGGACATGTCTTCACTGGCGGTGGCACCGGTGATAATCTCGACCAGTTCGCCAGTAATGGCGGCCTGACGCTGTCGGTTGTACAGAATCTGGAACCTGGAAGGAGTCAGAACGGAAATCCTGGAGAATATAAGTAAGAGAACTACATACTTCTGAATCATGTCACCGGCGTTCTTGGAAGCGTTCTGTAACTAATTGTTAGTGACACGACTCCAAAGGATTCGATTTGGGATGCTATGGTCAAACTTGCCTCCATGGCATTGCGACGGGCCTGCAGTTTTAGTTAGCAAGTCATCCTGCAATAATCGCTCTGGAAGTCTTCCTTACCGAAATCTCGCAAGCATGTCCTTCGGCCAGAGCCCAGAACAAGCTGTTAGCGAGAGCGTACTCACGCAGGTTGGCAAGAACCTCGTCGCCAATCTCGAAAGCGGAGATGTTGGCTGTTGGGGAACAGCTGTCAGTAGGTGGTCTTGGAGAGAAAATGGCAAGCGGAAAAAAGACTTACGAGAGTTGGTGATGGCTTCCTCGGAGTAAGCCTCAACGACGGCAGGCTCGTAACTCTGAGCGTTGATGAACCTGTTGTAGATAATCTTGACGCTGGCATAGTCGGTGGGGAGCAGAGCGATCTGGTCCGCAATGGCCTGGGCGTCCGCGAAGGTGGGAATGTCCTTGCAGACATTGGAGAAGCTCAGGACGATGTTCTGGGCGTTCGTCCGGCTAAGCTGGGCCTTGGCCTTCTCTCCCAGCACCACGATATCGGCACCTTCGTTCTCGGCCATGATTCTGCGAGTCGCCTTGCTGAGACCGGAGTGGATACCACCGCAAAGACCCTTGTCGGAACTGGCGACGACCAAAAGAGTCTTCTTGCCGTCCAGAGCCTTGGTCTCAGCGTTCTCGAAGACGGTGTTGGACGTCTGTCCGTAAACACGAGACTCCTCCATGGCCTTCTGGGCACGAGTCAGACGCGTGGAAGCGACGATCTTCATGGTGTTGGTGATCTTTTCGATGTTCTTGATGGACTTCAGGCGGCCCTCAATTTCACGCAGAGTCGCGAAGTTGGCGGCATTCGGCGGAGCAGTACTTGGAGAATCAGCAATTGACTCGATATTTTTCAGGTACACTTGATCTCGACGGGTCGCTCTCCGCGAATCCGGGGATGCGCACCGCACTGCTACGATGACCATGCGGCTTCCGTTGAGCAGAGACTTACCGAGAGATGGCGGCACTGCCGGCCCTGAGGGCCGGGCGGACGGCACGAGACAGCATGGCGTGAGGAAAGGAGGGTAGTCAGAAGGACGAAAGATTCGTCGACAGCAGCTGCAGAGAGGGGGCAGCCTGGACAATTGATGCCAATGCCTCGGAGAGGGGATTTCTCGCAGGCGAGGTCGTCACCGTGGTTTCTTCCGGCTGTCGGGAGTAGGGATGGGCTGGCGGCGCTAAGCCCGAAGAGGCAAAAAGACTCCGGCGGCGGCAGACACCCAGCGCGCAGGTCACGGGACCGCATGCCGGCCAACAGGAACGTGCGCCCCTATGCTTCAGGCATCAAGGCAGCCACTCGACCAGACGCCAGTTGGCCAAGACTGGCGAGGAAGCCGAGATCGCCTCAGCGGCGTCGGGTTATTTGAGGTCCAGCTGCCTCTACGCATCCAGCACTGTCCCTTCACTTCTGTTCAACCCCCGTCGTCTCCTTTCACTCGTCCAACACCTCACTCCTGGCCCCCATTCATCCCCTTCCGTCTTTTCTTTCCTTTGTCTTTCTTTCTCCTGTTTCTCCCGGCGTTCTTTGGGCTCAATTAGAGTTTACTGTGCCAAGATTGCCTTACCTTCTTCACTCCTCTATCGAGTGCCGTCTGCACTTCTGTCACGAATCTGGCGCCCATATCCACTTCCTCGTTACTCTCCGCAGTGCCTACCTATCGTACGCCACATCTCAGTCCCACCCCTCCGAGCAATGAGCTCCTCTGACGAGGACACCCCGCTCGTAAAGGCCAACGGCCGCTCTTCGGGTGAGTCCTCTTTGTGGCCACTGTTTCGCCTCAGTCGAAGACCATTCCTGCATCATGTAACTCTCTTCTCGACCAACCTTTTCCTTCCTGTTTGACTTGAGTGTTATTCTTCCGTTAGAGTTTGCGTCTGCTCCGAAGTGTCATGAGCTCACTGACTAATCCATCGTCTTTTCGATAGGCGCTGCGCTCTCCGAAGAGGTAATTTCGAAGGCCACAGACAACGTGATGGGGGACTCTGCGAACACAAACGGCAATCTGGATCCCGGAGTGTCTATTCGGAATGGACCGGTGGGGAACGGTGATGTTGAGATGGAGGATGCGCCTGATGGAGCGAATGCCCGCGGTGCAGGCAAGAGAAAGTTGCGGGCCAGCGCGGAAGGAAAATCCTATGCGGAGCCCGAGAGCAGCGAAGAAGAAGATAAACCTTTGGTACGCTTTGCCTTCCATCACCAACTCCCTCGTCTTCCTCATTTGCCCTTGTCCGAGTCGTCTCAGTGGTTTCAACGGCTGACCATCCCGACAGAGCAAGCGTCGTCGGACATCTAGCAAAAAGCAAGCAGCGGATTCAGACTCTGACGACGTTCCTTTGGCCCAACGGTCGAATGGAACAAAACCCCCTAAGGCGTCGGAGACTGCCATAGGCGACGAGTCCGATTCGGATGTCCCGATTGAGCGAAAGCTTAGCAAGGAAAAGGCGAAGGTCGAAGAGAAAGCAGAGAAAGAGGCAAAGGCCACTCAGAAGGCGGAAGGTGGTGCAGCCACCAAGAAGACTACCGTCAAGAAAGAGAAGAGCGCAAAGTCCACTGCCAACGGTAGAAAGAAGCAAGCCAACGGCATCAAAAAAGAGTCAAGCGATGAAGAAACTCCCGTTAAAGCCGGCGCAAAGAAGACCTCCAAATCCGTCAAGTCCGAACCGGCAACTCCTGCGAAGAAAGGGAAGGATAAGGAAACACCTGTCAAGGAGGAAACCGAGGAACCAGAGGATGGTGAGGAGGAGGAGGAAGAAGAAGAAGAAGAATACCGTTGGTGGGAAGATCCTAACAAGACTGACGGCACGATCAAATGGCACACTCTGGAACACAACGGCGTTATTTTCCCTCCACCTTACGAACCACTGCCTCAGCACGTGAAAATGAAATATGACGGCATCCCAGTGACTCTGGAGCCGGAGGCCGAAGAGGTGGCCGGATTCTTCGGTAGCATGCTGAACTCAACTCACAACGTGGAGAACCCTACCTTCCAGAAGAACTTCTTTGGTGATTTCCAAGAGGTCCTCAAGAAAACAGGAGGCGCAAAGGACCCACAGGGAAACCCTGTGGAGATCAAGGAGTTTTCCAAGTGCGATTTCAGGCCTATTTTTGAATATTACGAGATGAAACGCGCCGAGAAGAGAAACATGCCTGCAGCTGAAAAGAAGGCTCTGAAGGCGCAGAAAGAAGCACAGGAGGCTCCTTACATGTACTGCCTGTGGGACGGTCGCAAGCAGAAAGTTGGAAATTTCCGTATCGAGCCGCCAGGCCTTTTCCGTGGACGTGGTGAGCATCCAAAGACCGGAAAGGTGAAAACCCGGGTTCAACCAGAACAGGTCACCATAAACATCGGGAAAGAAGCCAAAGTACCCGACCCGCCACCGGGTCATCACTGGAAGGAGGTGAGACATGATCAGGAATGTACCTGGCTTGCCATGTGGCAAGAAAACATCAATGGCAATTACAAGTATGTCATGCTGGCGGCCAACTCCGATATCAAGGGCCAGAGCGACTACCGGAAGTTTGAGAAGGCTCGAGAGCTGAAAAAGCATATCGATCGGATCCGCAAAGACTACCAGAAGAACCTGAAACATGAGCTCATGGCAGATCGTCAAAAAGCCACCGCCGTTTATCTCATTGACAAGTTTGCTCTTCGTGCTGGAAATGAGAAGGGCGAAGACGAAGCGGATACTGTTGGCTGTTGCTCTCTGAAGTATGAGAATGTCACCCTCAAGCCACCGAACAAGGTTATCTTCGATTTCTTGGGTAAGGATAGTATCCGTTTCTACGACGAGGTTGAGGTCGATCCCCAAGTTTTCAAGAACCTCAAGATCTTCAAAAAACCCCCGAAGAAGGAGGGTGATGAGATTTTCGATCGTTTGACAGTATGTTTCCTTACAATCTCTCGTTTCTGACGTGTGGCAGTTGCTTACTTTTGGTAGACATCTGCGCTCAACAAGCATCTCTCAAGTTACATGCCAGGCTTGACTGCCAAGGTGTTCCGTACCTACAATGCTTCCTGGACGTTCGCTAAGCTTCTTAAAGAAATGAAGCCAGGGGGCTCTGTGGCCGAAAAGGTCAAAGCATACAATGACGCGAACCGACAGGTTGCCATTCTTTGCAACCACAAACGCACGGTTACTGCCAGTCATGCAGGTCAAATGGAAAAGCTGGGTGACAGGGTATGTCCTTGCTCTGGCAACTTGGGGCTCCTGTTGGCCTCTACTGACTTTGCTACAGATCAAGGGCCTTAAGTACCAGAAATGGCGAGTAAAGCAGATGATGCTTGACTTAGACCCCAGCATAAAGAAGGAGAAGGGTGCCGACTACTTTAAAATGGATGAAGATCTTGATGAGGAATGGATCAAAAAACACCAGGCTTTCCTCATTGAAGAACAGCGTCAGAAAATCACGAAAAAATTCGAAAAGGAGAACGAAAAGCGGGCGGCCGAGGGACAGGAAGAGTTGAAGCCTGAGGTGCTCGAGGAACGACTAAAGGTGCTGAAGGACATGGAAAAGAAGTTTGAGAAAGAGAACAAGACAGGAAAGGTGGAAGTTGAGGGCAAAAACCCGACCATCGAGAAGTTGGAGAACAACATTCTCAAGCTCGAACAACGCATTGAGACCATGACACTCCAAGCCCAGGACAAGGAGGACAACAAGGAGGTTGCTCTGGGCACGTCGAAGATCGTACGTCTTATCCTATCTATTATCCGCCATAATGTCCCCCTACTCATTGCTGACTGATGATTACAGAATTACATTGACCCTCGACTCACTGTTGTCTTTTCGAAGAGGTTCAACGTTCCCATCGAGAAGTTCTTCTCGAAGACACTCCGCGAGAAGTTTGAATGGGCTATCAAGTCTGTGGACGAGACCTGGGAATTCTAGTCCGTTCACCGGAGTGAAACTGAAATCTTTCTTCCTTTCATTTCCCCTCTGTGTTCCTCCACCTTTATTTTGGGCTCATTTTTTTTAACTCTTTCTTGGGGTGGTGTCTTGATAGCTTTCTTGTTCTCATTTCTCATTTTTATTTGTCCTACTAACTACATGCATGCAATCTGCATGGTCCTGTACTCTCTACACATCCCCAGTTCCTCAGAGCTCCCACCACTCACCAACCAACCAACCAATCAGGGAGACTCGGTTTCTCCATGATTGATTGCTTGTGAGTGGAGCTACGAGAATCGCCTGCCCGCCTCTTGCCTGCCTGTCCCTTGTAAAATATGCTTAGCATATCTACCTACCTACCTTCTCTGCCCGACAGGCGCGCCGCCATTCATCATTGAATTGCTTGATGGTTGGTTAGTTTCAAATCTATTTGAAGAACAATCAAACAAACAAGTTGGCAATTCGTTGAAAGAAAAGCATCCTTCTGGGAAAAACAGCAGCAGCGTAGCTAGGGATATCTGCATAGAGCACAGATTAGGTGGAATGGCTTTTCCTTTCAAATAAATACAATCCGGCTAGACTCTGGCTACCTGAGCTACTCCGCTGCCGTTAGTCTTCGTCCACCACGAACTGATTCAGTATTATCAGAATACCATCCTTATCTCTGATAATTAGATTAGATTAGATTAGGTAGGTAGGTACATTCTGTTTCGATTTAGGTTAGATGAGATATAGAGATAGATGGGAATGGTGAGAGTGAGTTGAATGAGGCGACGGACATGTCAGACAGTGATTAAAGAAATCCAAAAAAGAAAAGGAAATAAAGAAAGAACGAAAGAAAAACGAACCCTTGATAAAATAAATAATACAAGATATCTAATAAAAAAAATGCAGATGCAGGAACAAAGGGAAGATAGACAGGATAGGATAGAGCCAGCTTGGTCCAAAAGAAAAAAAAAAGATAAAGGGAAGTTGGCGAATCCAAAAGGCTAACGAGATATGTAATACGTGCTCGTCAGTCAGAGGGACAGCTAAACAGCTCGTTGGTTTCCGACTTAGACGGCAATGAATCGAAAATGCAAGTAAAGACAACGCTCGATGCAAGGTATCATGACCGTACGCAGAACCAGAAGAAGAATATGAAGATGATGATTATGATGACGTTCATGGCTCGTGATTGTTATCCTCCTCCTTGCGAACGGAGTGGATTTGTTTCCAAATCGACACCTGCCTGAACCTTCCTTTTTTTTATGGCCACCATCCCATGCGTTGGTAGCTGTCGATGATTTCCTTCATGGCATTGACGTCGAACGCCTCCCTCTCTGGTTTGAATCCCGTGGTCTTCTCGAAGAGCGTGCCATCGATAGACAGGTCCTGGTCCTTGAGCATGTCCTTCTCCAGGAACGGGCTAATGGGCCCTGGTCGAGTGATCTGCTTCTCGTTCAGCAGGTCAGCCCACCCCTGAAGAACTAACTCGTTCATGTCATCGACAACATCGTCCAGGCTCAGCTTTGCGAGTTGAGAGGCCAGCGAGCCCAGGAACGAACATTTGAGATCGAAGACGGCCGACAATGCGTCCGCGATGTGTCCTTGAGAGGTATCGTTGTGATCCACGACGTTAAATACCACAGGAACAGACTCGTCACCAGGCTCGACAGTCCCTTTGCTCGCTCGCCATTCTGCGGCAGTCCAGATAGCACGGGCAGCATCCTTGACCCACAACGTGTTGATCTTCAGATCTTTGGTGTAGAGCATCTCAAAGTCTCTGTCGAGGGACTTGTACACCCGCCCAAGACAGAGGCCAGTGGCAAAATAGCCCTGACAATATTCACCATACACATGAGGGAACCTCAGGATGCACAGATTGAGACCGGGGATCTTGCGCAGGTCCTCGCCGGCCTTCAGCTTCCATTCGGAGAGCTTGTTCCACGGCTGTGTCTTGTCATCCTCCTTTCGCGGGGTGGAGCCGCTCTTGTAAACCATGGCGGTGGAGCATTCGATGAAGGCACGAACCCCTCTTTTCGCAGCCTCCTTTCCCAGCCCTACCGACAAGGCATGGCTGCGTAGTTGATAGACCTCGTCAGGCTGTGAAAATCTCGTTTCCCCGGCGCAATTGATCACATAATCAAACTGCTGGCCGTTGGCCCTGTCGAAGATGCGGGGGTAGGATTCTAAGTGGACAAAGCATTAGTCTAAAGACAAGAAGAAAAAAGACAGTGAAGTTGAGAGAAAACAAATTTCCTGAACTGGTGGTGGAGGGAGAGAAAAACATACGCTCACGACTAGCGTCGGCCTGGACAAATCGGTCTTTTGAACACGCCTCCTCGAACTCTGGTGCTAGCCACGCCAGCTGGGGTAACACCTTGTCGACAATACGAAGTTCTGAGGCTAGATTGTTTTGATGGATATAGAGGGCAAGGAAACGGCCAATAAATCCTGCGTCAAGAGGGGAGACGAGGCGTCAGTATATCGCACGGTCATCGTGCCGCGGGGGTGGTGAGGGGACGCACCAAGACCGCCAATAATCAGCACTGCGGGCTTGGATGCCCCGTCAGCAGACATGGCGATGGCGATGAGGTGTTTCGCTTCGAATTCAGGAGAATTTCGCGCTCGTCAAAAGGCTTCAATTGTCTGGGACAGGAACAGGTTCCCACTAATCCCGCGCACGTAGACCAAGTACTCTCGAGTCCCCCTCTTTCCGTTTTTGTGTCACCACAACATACAGATCACCACTCTCGGGCAGATGCTGCGCGTCAGAAGCCAGTAACTGTCGGTAATCGCGCGAAAACCGAGGACTCCTTGGAGGGGCGACTCGGGGGGAGAACAGTCGTTCGTGGAGAAGGGAACGGTGGCAGAGGGTCAAGGAAAAAGAGACTGCAGAAGAAAAACACCCCGGACGCGCGGGCCTTTAGCGATTACGGAATGGATATTCTTGTTATTATTAAGGGCTAAGGCAGGCGGAGACAGTAGAGGAGATAGGCATTGCTTAAGACTGCGTGCTGGTGATTGTTACACCACGTCCCCCTCGGCGCTGCTCCTTCCTCCCGATCCGGCGCCATGGGTACACCGTACAGGCCTAGGCAGTTAGCGACGGGCAGGAAGTTAGCGTTCGCTGGTGGTCAGCTGCTGCCCTCCGTCCTCCGCCGTCGCCAGCCAGCGCCTCCGGACGACTCCCCCCCGGTTCGCCCTTCCCACGTGTCGCTGCAATGCCTTTCTGGCCGACATGCAGTCCCTGTCCAGGACATCTGCTGTTCATTCGTATTCATTCGTCCTCTCTCTCGACGGACCCCTTCCCGCATGCATGAGCCGGCATGACTCGTAACTCTGCAGTGATCAGACCGGCCGATCGCCACGGGTGCACAGCGGGCCCACGTGAGGGCGGTTGGCGACCAGCTTCTCCACCGCTAAGCCTCTTCGTCAGTTTCGCCTGCCGCCCGGGGCAGCAAAACGGGTTAAATGTCAAGCAGACACGAGTCTTAGTGCTTGCATCTACGGACGTTTCAGCTGGCCGCGTTTGGGAAAGTCGCAGGCATCCATCTTGATCTGTTCGGTTGTTTTGACTGAGGACTGCGGACAGACCTGAAATTGGCGCGCTTGCAGTGTGGATCCTTCCCCTGAGACAGGAGGAGAGGCCTCAGCCTCAGGTCAGTGGTCGCTCACGATGGACTCCATACCTCTAAAGCACTAGGCAGGAATCTGGAAGGCCTCTGGCCTCATCTCCGGACTGCTCCGTATCCATATGCAGGCCGCTACCGGATGACCATCAAGGCAGTGCGAACGCAAGTCGTTCCCCGGACAAGAATGGCTGATATGTGCAAGCGAACGAACGATGCCAGAAGGATCGTCTTGCGATGATCAAGGAGACCAGTCAATGCTGCACCCACACCGGACTACCAGGAAAAGACGACTTCTCAGCGAACAGGCCTTTGTTGGTAATAATACTATTATTACGATCGCAGCAGACTTGGTCACTTGACGATACTGATAATCATCCGTGCGCCATTCGAAGTCTTCTGGAAGACGGAGCACGACTGGTTTGGGTCTCCGCCTGGCACGAGCTTCCCGCTTCGAAAACCATGGAAATTCTGATCTTGGTCTCGGAAGTTTAAGTGAGTTTACGGATACTCAACGGTAAAGTATTACGATTTACGATTACTTGATAAGTCAACAAAGCCCCATATACAGAGTAATCTCAGATGTCCTTTCCTGATCGACGTGACTGTTCCCCCGAACCAAAACCAAAAAACAGTCTCGATCATCAAAACGATTCCTGTGGCTGTATCTGTAGGACGGGCCTTTTTTTTTTAAAAAAAAAAAGTTAAGGCTCAGGGAATCTTAGCAGTACCAACTTGATATATTTTTTTCTAACCTGATTCTGCAAATCACTCTATACCCTTACTTTTGATTATAGGTACAGCACCAGTACATTACTACATACATACACACACGCACACATCAACCTGGTCCTAAATAAGAGGTGTTTGGTTCCAACTTCGGTAAAAAGGAGCAAACAACAGAGACCTGCAAAAATCCAGTGAGAAGAAGAAAAAGCCTGCAGATTCAAAGAGTCCTGCCAACCACTAATTACTCCAAACCTGCCGATTTAACCGTCGCGCCGTTCCCATGTCCATGGTTATCCGTCTTTTTTTTCTTTCTTGAGGAATCGATTACACTGAGACTCAATGAGCAGCACATATGTTGGTAAGGATCAATGAGTCAAAAACTGAAGGTGGTGAGAGAACGAAGATACACTGCACGCCGTTAGTTCCCTTTTGTATGTCTCTCTCTGCTTACTGGAGTGACGAGACATGGAGCATGACATGGATCTTGAAAAAGGTGGTATATCGATTCTTGAAGGGGTCACCGCCGTCAGCCTCATCAACGCCTTCCTCCGAGTTCGTACTCTGCTCCACCTTCAGCCACGACCGATGCAGCTCATCTGTCATCTCGCGTAGATCGTTGTCACGGCCAGGACGCAGGCGGATCTCGAAGTTTGACCATTCAAATCTGACAGAGGCGGCCAGCACATGATAAATCCTGGCATCCACTGGAGAGTCGTCGGTACACATCTGGCGACGGAGTTCGACGTCCAGCTGCGTACTGGGGTTCCACTCCTGCAGACGGGTCTCTTCCTCCATCGTCTCCAGGAAGCTGGACACGGTGTCGAAACGCTTAAATGGCACGAATACGGGAGCCATGCCCTCTTGGTCGGTAGCCTTGACGAGGTATCGAGTATACATCCCGAATTTTTCCTCGAGATGAGCGAATTCGTCATCGAGTGACACGCCGTTTCGCAGAAGGGACTTGTTGTTGTCGTGATCCACTGGCTTCTCGCCGCCTGTGTTGTTCTTGCTCACGTTTTGTTTCTTCGTCTTTGACTGGGACGTAGAGGTAAGTTTCCCCGCGGGAGAAGAAGCAGCAGAATTGCCTTTCTTGGGGGAGGAGGTGACGACCACCTCGACTGTTGCCTTGGAGTCATTCAGGCCAAAATCAGAATCGGAAACATTGAAGTCCGAGTCGGTATAGACGGCGCTGCTTCTGTGGCCTGCACCACTTCTGCGTTTCCTTTTCTGCTTCGGGGGACAGGGAGATTCCGACAAAGAAGGTGAGAAACCATTCTTTGGTGATGCAGCCTTCAGAGGACGTTTACGGGGCTATACAAAAAGATCCCCCGAGTTAGATTTAATTTTAATTTAAATGATGATATGGATGTAAACTTGACGAGAGGCAATGAAGGATTCAATCCTACCTGAGAATTATTATTTACTTCGATTTTGGCCTTCTTCTCCAAAAGGATCATGATAACCCGGATAAGCCTGATGAAAGACATTAGTAAAGAAATATTATATCTCACGCAGAAAAACGAAAGAAAAACGAGAGAAAGAAAGAAACTTACTCATGTTTCCTCTCCGGATACGTAAACATCAACTCGGGAGAATCGAAGCTATCCGGCATCAAACACCGTCGACGATTCTCCTCCGTCCCCCAATACTTGACGCCGACCTTGGTGATGAACGACGTCGCGCATTCGCGCCGTTCCGGGAGATCGGACGCGAGCGTTTCCCACTCGTACTCGCCCTGGGCGACATGGTTCCACAGCGAGGAGAGAAACTCGCTTCGGAGCTCCTTCTTGATGTCCAGAAAGACGCAGAATTCCTGGTAGTTCTTCCTGATGGTTAGGACGCCGTCGTCGAGGGCTTCACGGAGTTTGTTGTTTTTATTATTCTTCTTATTGCTGTTACTGTTGTTGTTGTCGCTGTCGCTGCTGTCCGTCAAGCTATCATCAGTATCATTATTATTATTATTAGCTGCCGCCGGTGGGGTAGAATCTGTCTGCTGCGTAATAACCCCACGGGTGCTTCTGCGAGCGAATAGCGGTGTCGACATGGTCTTCGAAGTGAAGACGCGTATTCGCGTATGAAATGTTGTTCCCCTTAGTAGTCTTGCCGCGTCAAGCTCTCGAGGTTGTTGGCCTGTGCTCGCAGACAGACCAGACAGGGGGGGAACGGAGTAGATGAAGCTAACTAATATCGGATGTCAAAAACAAGAAGGACAGGCAGATACTATGAAAAGGAAACTCCATATCAGAGCCGCTGCAAATACATTTATACTGTAGGAAGAGTTGGGGAGACAAAAGAACTTTTGACACAAAAACGCGTTTGTTTATTTATCAGTGGTTTCTCACCTCTTATTTTAGGACGGGTTGTTGATTTCTGAGTTGGGACGAGACAAGAGTCGGAATAACGTGCAGGATTTCAAAACACCTACCTCAGCCTCACTGGTTCTTGATGAAACACTGCTTCTGAAGTGTGATGATGACAGAGAAAATTGGTACTGGCAACAGAGTGAAGAAGATATGGGCAACAAGTGAGACGCGTTCCTTGGGGGACGAGGGATAGCAGGTTACCAGGACGCAGACTAAAAAAAGGATGTAGAAGAACCTCACGGACTTCCAGACTTGCAGATAGTTGGAAGTTGTAGAGAGACAAAACAAGCCTTACATTCAAGTCTCGCTTTGCTCAAACAAATGCGCTTCCTATAGCAAAGACTTTTGGTCTCCAGCTTTATCTATTAACTATTATCCATTTTCTCCTCATTATATGCTTATAATACACTAGATATATTGAATTTAAGAACCTCCTTTCTCCTGCCATTTACAGTATGCGACATAGCGTCTAGATATACTAAGTTCAAGCTATACATGCCATTGCAAGTTGCCCATCTAGGGCATGACTATCATCATGGCTTTTTTTTCTTAGGCAATCATTAATAACTCTGATTAGCCATAAAAGTGATATACAGAGCCACTGAGAAACCCACAACACAGGCATCCTACCTTGCGAAGAGATTCCTTTGTGAATTATAATGAAAGGACGCTGAGAATGGTTGAGATAAAAGGAAAAAAAGGAGGAAAAAAATTATCATGATTCAAAGAAAAGTAGGATAATCATCCCACAACACCTATGAAGAGGACAAGTGTCACTAATAAAGGGCCACCAGCCAGAAGATCATGTACAGGATAAGAGCAAGAGAAGAGGTCTCGAGCAAATGATATCGGGTTTAAACAGTATTAGGCAAAAGGGCCTATTTTTCATGTGTTCTGGATTATTCTGTCATGAACTCAGAGCTCAAGGTATTTAAAATCCAAACGCCTAATAACTCCTCTCAAGTCGTTTGATTGCAATTCACTCCGCTCCCAGGTATCTTAAGGCATTTCTTAGTTCCTTAATGGCTGTATTTACATCATCGAAGCTCAAGGCTGATACAGCCCAGCGAGCATGTTTCTGGGCCAGTAAAATGGCCTGGTCATCAACTTCCTGCGACGCTGTCGCACTGGAAGACGCTGCGGCCGCGGGCGCAGCCTGTCTGGCCGGAGCTGGCTGACTAGTGGTGGATTTGGGAGGTAACGTTGGAGGGACTGGAGGTGGTGCCGCCGCACTGGGTTGGGTATAAAATGTTGTGGGAGATTGAGGAAGATTGGAGACATCTGGTGGTTGAGCCGTCGATGGTGGAGGAAATGACTGGAATGTATCACGAGGAATTGAGAAACTTGGCCCGCCAGGGCCCTCCGCTCCAGGCGCATCTGGGAGTTTTGGAGGAGCTTGTGGCAGTGTGAAGTCTGAAGGCGCCGATGGAAGATCTGGAGCAGGAGGCTGCGACACCGGGTCTGGTTGAACTTGTGAGGGAGGAGCCGAAGGAGGAGGAGTAGCAGAAGGTGATGGATAAGGTGGAACTGAAGACGATCTCGACGGGTGAAGAGATTCATCGAGAATAGATTGTTGGGCCAGCCGCGGTTCAATGCGATCCGACTCGTCGGGAACCTCTTCGACAGACGGCTGCCGCGCTTTCGTCCCAGACGTTGTGTCTTTGCCCTGAAGCGCCTGAACTTCTGGGTCATTCGGATCAAGAGTCGTCGACTCTGGACCTTTAGTCTCCTTTGCAGAAACGGGGTTCGAGAGATTTGGATCTTCTCCGTTCTTGATAGCCTTTGCAATCCTAACCGCGTGGTACTTCGCAAACTTGATCTTGGAAGCAATGTCCGGATCAAGCTGACCCCAGATCTGGCAAAGTTCGAGGAATGTCGCAGCAGCCTGGAAGGTATCTGCAGTTTGCCTGGATTTGAAGTCAATCGCTGTGCTTATGGCTGCAAACCCAGGGGTCCGCAGACGTACTTGGTAGCCTTGTTGGCTCGTACAGCATTGTCTGCGCGATTAAAGACTTCTAACCCGAACTGTTCGACATATGCCTGAGCCGCGACATTATCTGTGACAGCATCATTGTCGGCGTTTTCGTTTTTGAACTTCCAGCCAGATCAGTCAGTTCTTTATATCTGGTGCAGCTCCCGGTTGCCGCTCGGCGGTTAGCGTACTTGCTCAAGTTTGTCCATTAGCTTCGTGGTGAACTGCACGGCTTCCTCATCGGAATTATGAAGGCCTTTCGTGATGATCTGATTGACAATCCAGTAGTTACCTGTCATTATAAAGCCGATACATCAGCAATTGCCCTCGTGCCAATTGCGGGAGGGGTACTGCCTGCTCTATAGGTACTCACACCAATAAGCAATCACGGGCTTGGCTCGCTCGACTTGGGCCGCCCTGATGGCAAAGCGCCCGATATCTGCAGCTTTCAAGCTGGCCGGAATATTAGCCGCCATGGTGATTGACAGCGATCGGCGAGGATCCGTGAGTGAAAGAGCTGAAGTTATTGTGGGGAGGGTCGAGCGGGATGATGTTCGGAGCCTGGAGGTCTAAGGCTGTCGGGTGTCCGTGCACAATCGAACGTTCGAAGCTTCCATGCGGCTGGAACACTACTACTTCTAACAGTACATGCAAACTACTGTTATAGATCAATGCTTCTGGCTGTGGTCAATCCGCCAAATCGAATAAAAATTACCCTAAGAAGCTGGATATCGAAAAATCCGCGTGAACACCAAATGCCTGATCTTATTAAAGAATAAAAAAGCACTACAAGGTGTTGGATTCAGTATTTTACTGGCAAGTACAATAACGGATGGCATCGATTGACTGGCTTAGAGCCCTATCTAGTATTGGTATAGGGGGCAGACGATATTCTGTATCAAATCAAGATATCGTTACAGAGGAGCTCCAGGAGACATGGAATGACTAGGTCGTCCATTCCCCAATCTCCACACGTTCCTCACCTAGGGCTTCTACTTCGACATGTTCTTCCACCTGTCCGCCAGGCCCGCCAATCCGTTCAATGACAATCCAAATGCCGCCTCGCTGTTCATCCTCTGGCCGAATATCAAAATCGTCGACGCGGATTCCAGACACGGCATCGCTGTAGTCTCCACCTTCTGACGAGGCCAGCACTTTCTTGTATGGGCCCTGACCAAGCTCGACCGTCATGAGCATTGGTGACGCGGCAACAGAGCGGTTCCCAATACGTGAATCCCTGCACCTCGCGATAAGCTTCACCCGCGTCAGTCGTGGGACTCTGAGGGGAGCCAGAATTCGGTCAGTTCCTGGTGCGAAGACGCCAATGCCTGAAATCACTGTATGTCTACCGGCTGCTTCTGAGGCCAGCGCTTTCACGTTACACGGACTTGTGGACGAAACCAAGAGAGTGAATTTCCCCACCTGGTCCGGCGCAAAGGTCGAGCAAACGATAGTGTATGATCCTTTTCCCAAGTTGTTTGCCTCTGCGACAGCGCAACCTCGTCGATAGTCCCCACTACAAGCGATGAGATCACGCTTTCGGACGGTTGAGATTCTCTTGCCGTCGGACCAGAACAGCTTGATATGGACGGCTAAATCAGGTTCCGACGTTTCTAGTAAAATCGACACATCCGCCGCTTCAGATAGCTGCAGACTGAACTGCGGGTTGGACGGATATCTCGGTGATTCGACGTTGCCTCCGGCCGTTGCAGGAGTCCAGCCGCCATGTATTTGAGCCACATGGGCGAACTTGTCGTGAGCACGACTTAGTGTCACCGGATCTCTAGAGAACGCGGATAGAGTAAAGTTTTGGTTCAAGGAGGGGACCGACTGTTCGGCAATAACCACCGTGTACGTGGTACGTGGAGGCATTTCAAGTTTCGCGAGAGTGTTAGGCGAGTCTACAAACGGGCCCCGGTGAAGCGCGCCGTCACTGAGATAAACTCGCTGGCCATCTTTCTTGTAGACATATATGCTGATAAATCCTGGTTCATTGTTCATGGGGTCCTGAGACTTGCTTTCTCCAAGCGTCCTAAAATGCTTGCTGAGCAGCAGCCAAACAGGCCCACCAGCCTCTGAAGACACTGCGAATTGCGGATTCCCCGCAAAGCAGCCAGGGTTCCCCCGAGGCTTTGATAAATCCCAAGAGAAATGGATGTCTTCACGGAAACGGAAGAGCCCAGGGTTCCAGTTAAGGTAGAGGTTCTCAAAGTTCTGAAAGACTTTGTCGCAATCCATCCAAAAGGAACCAGTCGTGAGCTGATTACGCGGCGAAGAAGTTTCATGTTGCAAGTCGGTAATCATACCCGCACTCTCCTGCGCATGGATATTCGTCTCAGCCCATGGGTTCTTAATGAGCATACGACGACGCCCGTTTGATTCGGTCATGTCCAGCACGGCGTAGTCATGCTGACCAATGAGACCTAAAAGGCGTTCTTCTCGTTCGGTCAACTTCCCCGTGCCAACAGTCAACAGCACATCGCCATATTGAAAGGCTTTGAACAGCCGTTTCCACAGCTCGTCCGAGGTCACGTCTTCATGGTGAAGGAACACTTGCTCAGGGATCCATCCGCTCAGAACCCAGAGATCCGTGCCAGAATTGCTCCCAGGAAAGTCATATCCGCCCCGAACCTTGAGATATGCCTTTTCCACCAGAGCAGGCCACAGAAGGTTAGGGTTATTCCGATCGACCACGTGTATTGAACGAGATGTTTTAGACGCTGGCAAGCGATCATCGATCACTACCTTGCGATAACACCCATTAAAATGGAAACGAAATATGTATTTGCCAGTTGCTGACAACTTGGGAACGTTGTTATCGTCATCGTAAGGATAGATGGTCGACTTAAAGAGCTACAGCACAAAGATTGGATTAGAGCCTGGCTGACTGGGTTGAGAACAATGTCGATACACGTACCTGATGATGCCCACGTTCCATCCTCGAAGCAGCAGCACAGAGACTCGCCACGACAGAGCAATCTGTTGTGATGTCCTGCACCAGGTCCACGACCCCAGACCCGACCATTGTCGGAGTAGCAGTGCTTGATTCATTATTAGGGGAGATGCTGGCGAGCAGTTCGTCAGGGCGCTTCCAGCCAGCAAAAATATTCTGCTGAGAACTCGAAAGAGCAAGATCAGGTTTATCTCTAGTCAAGTAAGAATCTATACCAATTGCAAGCGAGATAAGCTCAGTTAATTCCCTTGCACGTACACGAATTTCGTCTCCCCATGCCCCAGCTCGAATTCCTTGGGATTGGGAGCTGCCGTCCACGGCGGAAACAAGAAACCGTTCAATTTTGCCCCTTCGAGTAGGATGATCTCCTCGCGGGTGGTGAGCTTTCTGGTAGATTTCGGTTCTTTAAGCGGCGGCATGACATTCTTGCTATCCAAGCGGGTAGGTTTCCAGACTTTGGCATCCTTGATCTGCTCCGCCTTGGTCAACAATTCCTTGCATTTGGCATCCAGCGCCTGCTTCTCTTTCGGGGAGCTGGCGAGTTTGAGAGCTTTCATGTAGTTCTCCGCAGCGTCGATGGCGGCTTCCAACGCCTGCGACTGCGATGTAGCCGTGGATATCTTACGCTCATATTTCTGGGTGCTTGTCAGGACTCAATCGCGAACAATCTGGAATGTCTGAAGGAGATAGGTACCAAAGCTTGGGTCACGAACGCATTTGGCGTAGACGATGCGGTCGACTGGGGCATTGTCACGTTCTGGGCGGAACAGTCTCAGACCGTCCGGGGACGGCGGGACACCTGCAATGGCAAACGTGAAGGGACGACGGTGACAAGAAACGCGTCAGTCTGGCAGCTAGCTTCAAGTCAGGCAGTTCGACGACGAGGGGTTCCGCGAGCAGTCCCGAACCATGGAGTTGTCCCCGGATTGGCGCCAAGACCAAGGGCCGAGGCCAACTGCATGGAGGGGTTGAAGATGCGGGAGAGATAGCAAGATAACGCGACAGGCGTGCAACTGGGATCGCTGGCGGGTCGCTCACGGACCGGGGTGCGGCCGTGGCAGTCGCGATTGCACGCGCAGATGTGTAGTCGTCACTTATCAGCTAGCAGCTGCTGGCCGACATGCCGACCGTGCCTCGGCTCACGGTCCGCCCCATTAGCCGGTTGCAGGCCGCATTGTCTGCTCGGAATTTCATCAGTCTCAGAGAGGCTCTTGGTCCTCTCTGTCCTTAGATTCTATCTCCAATCAGTTTTTGCTTTGTGCCATCATGGTCTATTTTCTTCATTAGTCCCCCTTTTTTCTTTTTTCTCGTTTTCTTTGAACGGGGTTTCTTTACTCGGGAAGCGGGGAGCTACTGCTCCTCTTATGCTGGAATACTTTACAATAGACTGATAGAAGGAGGCAGTCTGCTGGCTTTGCTCTCATGGCTGGCCAATCCAAACCACAGCGCCTTTCACCATGGGGCAGCGCCGTAGCTGGTGCAACTGGCGCTGTGCTTGCAAACGCCATAGTATATCCTCTGGACATGTGCGTTCACTCTGCCAACCATGAACAGTTGTGGCCTGATTCTAATGATCTGTTCATGCAGCGTGAAAACCAAGCTTCAGGTGCAAGTGAAGAGTCGAAAGGGCGAAAATGGCCATGTTCCTGGCGACACTCCGCATTACGAGTCCACGTGGGATGCTATCACTAAGATCGTGCAGGATGAGGGGATCATCGGGCTATACGCCGGTATCAACGGTGCTCTGATCGGCGTCGCTTCCACCAACTTCGCCTATTTCTACTGGTACACGGTCGTGCGCGCCCTCTACATGGCGTCGAACAAAGTTCCAAAGCCTCCAGGGACGGCCATTGAGCTCACACTGGGCGCGGTTGCCGGTGCCGCTGCGCAGGTCTTCACCATTCCCGTTTCAGTCATTACGACGAGACAACAGACACAGCCGAAGGGAGAGAAGAAAGGGCTCATAGAAACTGGACGCGAGGTGGTCAACAGTGAGGACGGCTGGTCGGGTTTGTGGAGAGGTCTGAAGGCGAGCTTGGTCCTTGTCGTAAACCCGGCAATTACATATGGAGCCTACCAGAGACTCAAGGACATCCTTTTCCCTGGGAAGAAGAATCTCCGGCCATGGGAAGCTTTTGGTACGTCGTGATGATCGTTTCTTGAGTGCGCTCTTACTAAACCTTTGTGCAGTTCTGGGAGCTCTTTCGAAAGTTCTGGCTACAATTGCGACCCAACCGTTAATAGTGGCCAAAGTCGGCTTACAGTCGAAGCCGCCGGCAGGGCGACAAGGCAAGCCTTTCAAGAGTTTCGTCGAGGTGATGCGCTATATTGTTGAGAATGAGGGCCCATTGAGCCTCTTCAAGGGCATTGGTCCTCAGATTCTGAAGGGCCTCTTGGTGCAAGGTCTCCTCATGATGACCAAGGAGAGGTAAGGTGATCCAGCTCATCAGAGCATGGCATTCGCTGACAATATGAACACAGGGTGGAGCTTCTCTTTATCCTTCTCTTCGCATATCTCCGGAAGCTCAAAGAAGCGAGGCTGAAGAAGGCGGCAGATTTGGCAGCCGCCAAGGCTAAAACTAGTCTTCCGGTAACACTCAAGTAAAATTGCTCTGCTAGGCTTGGTCTTCTCTTACGAATTGTTGGTTTCTTTACGCTCTGTTTTGCTTCTATGTACAGATTCGATTTCGTTTATGGCATATCACTACTATCGGGATGAATAGAGTCAGGTACATAAGGGTCGTTTTCTTTAGAAGGAGCGATTCTGTAGGTAACTATCAGATCACTTGATGGCAGGCAATCTCGCATGACTGAATCTGAACGCAACAAATCAGACAAGAACTGTAAATTCTCAATTCGGCCGCAGATTACTCTGACCTACACAACCTACTGATTTCCTACAAAACACTGTCTTCCATAAGTCCACACATCCCTCTGTTCTTCTTAATCTGTTTCTCACTATGCCATTACCTATTTGTACCTAGGCACATGCACATAGATAGGTAGATAGTTACCTGAGGCTCTGCTGCCAAGAGTTGGTATGTCGGCCTTGCGTGATGCCGCATGGCGCTGGCGCAATCTCTGGCGTACTCCAGGAAGCAGTTACTTAGCGCCGAGAGCCAGGTACCAGATAGGTAGTTTAGGTAGCTGATTGATTGCTTATCTGCTTCCTCTTTGCGTTAGCTTCATGCATGAAGAGGACTTCATCTCATGAAATACATATTCCTACATACGACGGTATAAGCTCTAGATGCTGGTGTTGATTGTAAGTCAAGGATATTGAACATAGAACTTGTCAAGGAAGCCATAGATTTTCAATGTAATTTTCATTGATTGGTTTACTACACATGTAAATACAATTAGTGACTGACTCAGTGTATATGTCTGCTGAACCCGAATTAGGTATGCTTCTGATCCTTTAGCAAAAGTTTCTTCCCGCAGAATCCTCACGACTCCCCCCTTTTGACCTTCTCTTTATAGGCAGCCCAAGCATCGGTGTGGGGAACTTCTTGATCTGGGACATCCTTTCCCAAGAATCGACACAGGGGCTCCCACCCATCCTTGACATTGTACTCGAGGAAATCCTCCTTCCGGTCCGCCATGGCGCGTCTGATATTCTCATTGTGCTCGCGGAAGAACTTCCTCCCGTTCTCGGGGAAGTCGCCATCCCACATGTAGACAGGCAGCTTGTCGATCATCACCTCCGTGGGGTTCTGCGGCTGTTTGCCTTTCGCCTTGTCGGCCTTCCAGCTGTGCCAGATCGTGCTCTCTACGGACTTGTACCAGGCGTCTTCATCGCGGACGGAGAGGATGACTTTGGCTGATGGATATGCGGCGATGAGCTCTTTCCAGAACAGGACTGCGGGGAAATCGGACACTGCCTACATATTGTAAATTTACTTTACTTTGCGAATATAGAAAGAAAAGAAAAGGGTAAGAAAGGAGAGGGGAGGAGAAGAGAGCGTGATCAAAGGCAGGGTGAGCGACCATGTAGTTACCCAGTATTTCATCAAACTCAGCGCGTCCATAGGGCTTGCCTTTGCCTTCGAATTTTGCTTCCAGGGCGGAGACCCAACGCTGAGGATGGTCTTCGTTGATGAATACTTCACGCATGTGGTAGACACCCTTGTAGCCAAGAGAGAGAAGCATGTCTGAAATGGCTGCAAAACACCAAATAGGAGAGAGGTTAGGCTAGCGGTCTTTTTACTATTCTGCTTATTATCCATGAAGCTTACATTGTGTACCCGTCCGACCAGCTCCAAGGAGGAGAATCTCCATTGGGACCGAGCGCCCTTCTCCGTTTTGCTCAGCCATTGTGAAGGAACGAGTCAGAAGACGAGGAAAGTATATCACGTAGAGATCTTGAAAAGAACAGTCAATGCAATACAGATTGACAGGACAGCAGTAGTACTTATGTCTCCAGAAATAATAGTCCTGCAACGCTCACTGGCCCCCACCCGATACAGCAGAAGTATCTACTACTACATCCTTCCAATCCTCCATGTGAGGGGAGGAGAAGGAGGAAGTATTAGATATGCAAAAAGCACAGAATACAGCACTGATAAGAGCTATAATTCCTTAACAGGGTATCCTGACAGTGGCAGCACGGAGGATTCCCGCTACTCATTCGAGGATCCTTTGGTCCTAACAGCTCCATGTAACCTCACAGGATTCGGGCTATACCTAGAATGTATGCCCGTCTTTACTTTGATCTGTCTAAATCCATCGTCGCAGTAGTGGTAGGAGCCGTAGTAGTTCACTGCTTTACGCCGTCATTCCAAGGTAGGAAAATGCTGTATTGCTTAAATGCCGAGGTAGGTAAAGCGGCTATTTATGTCATGAGCTTGGGTGGCGGACAATGCCGGGAGCTGACAGAATGCTTTCAACGTGTTGACTGCTTATGTTGATGCCGGGGAATTCTCCTCTTTTTTTTTTCTGTTTTCTCTTTCTGGATGAAAATGAAAGGAACTAAATTGAAGAGCCAAAGTTCCTGGACCGGAATATCTCCCCTCTTCCAATCCTACTAGATAGGATACTTCACTGACATTTCGTAAACGACAAGAATATAAAACTTTTGACAGGCTTCTGACCGTCAAAAATAGATATATCTCTCGAATATCATACCTAGGAAAGTTGTCGCGGAAAACACGCAGAATAATCGTGACCGTCAGATGGTCGCAGCGGAATACAACAGCCAACTGATCAACCAATCAATCATGATCGGATGGACCAAATTGGATTACATGCACAGCAGTTGGCCGTCTGCCACCATTCTTTGACAATAATGATACAGCCAGTGCATGTCACAGGCCACAGTATAAATGGAGTGTTATTAATACAGTTTGAGATAATTACTTTGCTGTCACTCTATTTATCCATGGATAGATGTGGATCGCTAACCGTAGATGGTAACCAACTGCGGACGTCATGTTCATCAACACCCAAGTCCACAAGCTGAAAAGAGCAGTGCTTTAGTTAGTTAAGGGTATATGTATTTGCCGATAGAAATTCTAATGTCTTTATGTTTTCTCGACGAGAAATATCTTCGGTCTCATGTCACCTTTGGGGCTCGATATAAAAGAGAATACGGAGTAGATCTACCTCTGGCCAAGAATATATATAGGTCACCTGCAAGTGTAGAATTAACCAATCAGGCTCATTTAGAGAGGCCTGCTCTTGATATAACCACAGGAAATATACTACTGCCTAAGACAAAGAACTGCTCCATATCTATGCGCAATCTTCCTGTTTTTAGGATTCTAGCTGTGTCTTACTAAGCTAGCTTTTGACCCAGTAAGATCTCTACTTGTAGCATATAGTCCAGCATCATTTTGAGTATGCTGATCTTTAGAAGCATTTCAAACTTTATCTACATCTCCACCGCTTAGGTTTTGCTTCCATTGCTAGTTCTTGTCTATAAGTCTTCTGCTTACCAGGGATGCCTGACGGTGTGTTCCAGTTCAGGCAGTATCGTGAGCGGAAAAGGGCGCCGGGGAAGTTGGCGCCTGCCAAGACCGTCCACCAACCCCGGCTTTGTTTTGCGTCAGAAACCTTCCCGGGTCCAGCGGCCCTGGAAGCCTTCACACGGGCATGGGCTGGTGGTCGCCATGGTCTTCCGGATCGAAGAAGGATCCGGAGACGTTTGCAAATAATGACTCCCATGTCGAAGAAGCAGAGGAGGAGCGGAAGTCCTCCATTCGGTCATCGTCCCGCTCCGCCCTGTCCTCATCCTCCGCGTCTTCGAAAAAATATACAGACTGGAACTCGATCCTCAACGCAACTGATTGGGCTCAATTTAAAGAGCCACGGAATTTGATCCCTACGATTCTCCTCACAAGCGGTATTCTCTTCGTCGTGCATATCCACCACCGTTTCCTGCGTCGCATCCCCGAAGCGAAGGACATCTCGCCGTCGTATTTCCGTCGCAGAAGCCTCCTGGGATGGGTGACGAGCGTGGGTGATGGCGATAATTTCCGAATGTTTCATACCCCCGGGGGACGACTGGCCGGGTGGGGATGGCTGCCGTGGAAGAAGATCCCGACATCTAAGAAGGAGTTGAAGGATCGGACTGTATGTTTTTTTTTTAATTTACTTCCTTGACTTCTCCTATCCATTCGTATCCCTGTATGCGTGCCATGCTCGTTTCTGATCTGACGATGTCTTTTGTCTCAAACTAGATTCACGTCCGCCTGGCCGGCATCGACGCACCGGAGCTCTCCCATTTTGGCCGTCCCGCGCAGCCCTATGCCCATGAAGCTCACGCCTGGCTAACTTCGTATCTACTCCATCGCCGTGTCAGGGTTTACGTGCATCGGCCCGATCAGTACAAGCGCGTCGTTGCGACGGTCTATGTGCGGCGTCTCTGGGACTTCCCAATCCCCTTCCGTCGACGCGACGTGTCGTACGAGATGTTGAAGCGTGGCCTCGCGACCGTCTATGAAGCGAAGACAGGTGTGGAATTCGGGGGTGAGGAGCGCGAACGCAAATATCGCGAGGCAGAGGAATTGGCCAAGAAGCGAGGGATAGGACTCTGGAAGGATTTTCGACGCCATGGCGGGAAAGGATGGGAGAGTCCTCGAGAGTACAAGACTCGCATGGGGTTGGAGCATCCGTTGGAAGCAAAACAACCATCGAGCAGCAGTATTTCCTTCCTTTCGAACTGGCTATTGCCTTCTGGGAAGAAAAGAAACGATCGATGATAACGTAGCAGTCGCTCCAAGCATGATATCAGATCTTACGATTAATTGCATGACACGACGCTAACGAATTATGCCATTGTTTGACAAAATCCGTGCTGCAGATATATGTCTATATTTCTCTCCTAAGCTCATGAAAATAAATTGGAATATAATTCCCCCGAATAAAACTCTCATATTCCACACAGCGTGGCTAATCATTGCTGTTCAGAGAAACACGCTCACCGAGTCCAGTTAATCCAGAAAGGAAACGAGCTCCTAGCCTTACATGTCATCATCCATATAAATCGTGACCTCAAAACAGCAACCCGAAAAATTGTACAGGATATATGCTCCCATGCTAGAGGCAAAAAGAAAATAGCAATATAATACAATCTAGACGTCTAGTCTAGTCTAGGCAAACCTCCGCTCAATCTCGGCGAAAAGCTTAGGGCTGATCTCATCACTCGAGTTCCCCTCTACGCGCCAGAGACAGCCCTTTGCTTCATAGTGGTCAAGGAGGGGCTTGCTGGACTCCTCAAACTGCTTTAGCCGCTGTTTCCAGGTGTCGATGGAATCATCCGCCCGCTGCGTGAGGGGCTCCCCGGTCACGTCGTCTTTCCCTGGCACTTTCGGGGGGTTGAAATCCGTGTTGTACACCCGTCCTGATGGTTCGTGGACCCAGCGCGACGCGATCCGCGATATTATGACCGAGGGAGGGGTCAGGAGATGAACGGCAAAGTTGATGGGTACGATCTCGTCCAGCATTGATGCTTGCGCCGCAGTCCGGGGGAAGCCATCAAGGATGAATGATGCAGTCCGCGATATGGATGGCTTTGCGGAGGGACTTGAAGAAGAGGAAGACGACGACTGAGGGGGTAGGAGCCAGCCTCTAGAGATGAGTTCGGAGGAGATGAGTTCTAGCATGACCGAGTCAGGTACCAGGTTTCCTGATTGCATAATGGATTCGGCTTGGATGCCTGTAAAGTGATAAATTGCTCAGTCAGACCTATTTCTAGACATCGCTCACTTCAATTGACACAGTCTACCTAAGGTAACAAATCAGTCGTGTGCTCGCAGGAAGTCATACCTAGCGGTGTTCTCTTTCGGACATTCTCTCGCAGAAGATCTCCAGAGCTGATTGCCCCTAGCTGTGGGAACCTGTCAAGCAGTCGCTTGGTCTGGGTGCCTTTTCCTACGCCCGGAGCCCCAATGAGGATGATACGAGCAGCTTTCTTGAGCTGCTTCGTCGCTGTTGCCATCTCACTGACTGTGGACACTAATAAATACCCTTCTTTGCAGAGATTTGAATTCCAACCGCGTCTTGAACGGGGAAGACCAAGCGGTGCAGGAGGCAATATAAGCAAGCAGTCCAGATGCGGGGAAGACAGGGGAAATTAGACGGTGACCAAGAACGAGATCGAGGTCGGGCTATCTATAACATCTTGCCTGGAGGCCCTGAGATAATAAAATCGCTTCTTGACTTCCCTGCAATCAAGCGACAGTGCTGAACAGCAGGCACTACTTCGCACGACCGTGAGATGCGTTTGTGGACTCTAATAATAATAATGGTGTCGAAAGAAAAAATACCGGCACGTCTATCACATGGAGAGATGCTTAGGTATGCGTGGAGACACAGATCAGGTCCGCGCTCTACTGTCTTTGGGCGCCGGTGAGCCGCGGCCTCGGGGTCTCTAGTCTTGAAGCCGACCCCAGTCACGCTTATCTATTCAACAATTCATCCATCGAACTTTGGTATAAGAATCCTTGTATCTTAATTCGTTCCCACGAGAATCGATTAATATAATCAGCCAGAAAAAAGAAAGGATCGCTCATATCGGCCACACCGTTCCACACAGTCTCGTGATTCGGACCGAGGCGTCGTTTTATCTCCCCTCACGGTTCAGGCGGAGCGTTACCTAATCGCCCGGGCGCAACCGTGAAAATGCGGAGGTTCGTATCCCCGCACGGACCGTCCACCTCCGTCCTCCAGGGGTTTGTCGCTCGGCTGCCGAACCGGCGCCACGTGACTATTCACGGGTGTCGCGTCGTCGGGCGCGTCGCGTCTTGAAGATACCCAATGTGTTAGTAAATCGCGGCTGCGGTGATTCCTCCAACAACCAGCATCACGACCAGAAGCCAGAAACAGCCAGCATGATCCGACAAGACTTCCATCGAATTGACCCCAAACGGAGGGCCACCCTCGACTACAAAAAGAAGCAGTTCGCAACACCCACGTACAAGCAACAGGAGTATCCCCATCGGCTCAACTTCTACGATGTGCCGCCGACGGCAGAGATTACGCTGGAGCAGTTCGAGCAATGGGCCATTGACAGATTGAAGGGTGTGTAGTGACCTCTAATCTCTTCTGTTTGCCTCTCTGACCGCTTTGCAGTTCTTGCGGAAATTGAAGCCTGCTCGTACCGCAACAAGACGCCTGCAGAGACGGAAGCGCATATTACCCCTCTCCTGAAGAAGTTCCTTCCCCTGTCCGCGAACACGTCGTCTGCTTCTGGTGCAGCCGACCAGCGACTGAAAAATGAGCGTCAGAAGGACCACTACTCCCATTTCATTCTGCGCCTCGCCTTTGCGGCCACCGAGGATCTCCGCCGGCGATTCGTTCGTGCCGAAACCATGCTCTTCAAGTTCCGCTTCCAGCAGGATGACACCAGGGAGCGACGCGCCTTTATCGAGAGTCTGAATCTGGACTGGGAACCTGTGAGTGATGAGGAGAGGCAGGAATTGAGCGAGCACCTTGTCAGCGCGACCCCAGGGTTGCGGCGATCCGACGAGGAGACCTGGTACAAGGTCGACTGGGAGCGGGTTCCCGAACTGGTTGAGCGTCGAGCGGTCTATCTGAGGAAAGGCAAGGCCTATGTTCCTGGAAGGGAGCAGCAGAGCATGATCGTCGCAGAATTCACCGCCCGTCTGGAGAAGGCCATGGAGGTAATCACCCAAACTCTCTCCACAGGCACAATCTTGTTGCACGTTCTCACCAGTTCCCTAGTTGACGAGCCGAGCGCTGCCTCGTTTGGATGAGGACGACCGTCTGACTCCAATCCTCAACCATCTTTCCAAGAATTTCGGAAGCGCCGAATCGGTATATTCACAGGGCGAAGGTGTTGTCGACGGAGCCCCAATGACTGCGGCTTCCATCGACCACCTGTCACAGCACTTCCCGCTGTGTATGCGAAATTTGCACATGACACTCCGGAAAAACGGTCACTTGAAGCATTTTGGCCGTCTTCAGTATACCCTTTTCTTGAAGGGTATCGGTCTCTCCCTCGACGAGTGCATTGTGTTCTGGCGTCAAGCTTTCCGAGGATTCACCGAGAGTGAATTCAACTCCAGGTACAGATACAATATTCGCCACGCCTACGGTGATGTCGGTGGTGATGCGAACCGTCGAAATCGGGGTTATCCGCCGTACTCGTGCCAAAAGATCCTCAACGACAATGCTCCGGGAACGGGTCAGACTCACGGTTGCCCCTATCGCCACTTCTCTGTCGACAATCTCATCACGCTCCTTCAGGCTACCGGTGTCCATGATAAGGAGCTTCTACGCGAGGTACGAGAGGATGTAGAAAAGACTCGGTACCACATTGCCTGCAACAGAGTCTTCGAGTGGGTTCACAAAGCCGAGATCAAGAAGGTGAAGGAGGACGGCACCTGGAGCCAAACGGATCTCGACACCATTGTCCATCCAAATACTTATTTCAAGCGCAGCTATCTCCTCAAGCATATGGGAAAGCCATCCAGGGACAGTTCCTAAGAGGCACAGCGCAAGCTCCCAGGTCTCTTATTGTTGATATTGTGTCTTGATGTTATGTTTACGGTCTTCAGCATTGGATTCAGGCGTTCAGGACTAGGTTTGTCGGGTGGTTTGATTTTTTTTTTCATGACTTGGAAAGATAAATGCCGCGGGTACTGCATTAATGAAATTACGAACGAATATTATAGCTGCCCCTGCAGTAGGACCTGTAAATCATTTTGTATTTATTTAACGACTCCCGATCAATTGAAGAAATTGCACATGAGGATGTAACCGCTGCTGATTCCCAAATCATCATGAAGGGTCAAAACGACCTCTCCGAGCCAGGTGCCCAGCCATGGGTAAGTTATTCTACGCTCGACGCGAAAACAGCTTCATCATGGAATGGACAGAAGCTGGCAACCGTAATGTGAAAGTCGGCGACTGACTGTTCAATGTAGGGAAAAAGAAAAAAGAAAAACGGTGCGGAGGAGCTTGGGGAGGTTTTTAAAGCCCGCTAGCGCCACGGTGCGGCAGGCGGTAGCGACCAAGAATGCTGCAACCTGGCCTCATGCCACATGCCCACAACAGTTCCCCCTCAGGTCGACCAAGCCACCGTCCATCGATCACGACTACGGGGCTGCCTCACACGGGCGCTGATTATGCTAGGGGACAGATCTCCTGAACATACTGCTTGAAATTAGAGAGCTTCTGGGCCACCGTCTCGCCTATCTCCCCGTCCCCAATTCCCCCCGGATCGGCTGTTGATAGCCCAGCATCAGACAAGATGGACTACGACGCGTTGAAAGACCAGTGGAGCGATGTCGAAGACCGCGATGGCGTCAGGCTCAGCTGGAATACGTTTCCCAGCACTCGCATGGTCAGTTTGAGACCCTATATGTTCCTGCATGCCTAATTGTTTGTCGCAACTGACCGTCCGCGCAGGAGGCATCCCGCTTAGTTGTCCCCATCGGAGCTATGTACACTCCGCTCAAGGAGAAGCCAGACGCGCCGCTACTCCAGTATGAGCCAGTGACGTGCAAACAGCCTTGCAAAGCGGTTCTGAATCCCTATGCGTATGTTGCTATTTGGGTCTATTCTTCAGGGCCTCGATGCTGACAGGTGGCAGCAATGTTGATGTCCGTGCTCGGATCTGGATATGCCCCTTCTGTCTCATGCGCAACCCGCTCCCTCCTCATTACAAAGATATCACGGAGAATGCTATTCCTCCGGAGCTTCACCCGCAGAGCACGACGATCGAGTACCGATTGGCGCGTCCGGCTCCAGCTCCGCCGATCTTTCTCTTTGTCGTAGATACCTGCCAGGATGAGGACAGCCTCAAGTCCCTGAAGGATTCCCTCATTATGAGCTTGTCCCTGCTGCCGCCGACTGCGCTGGTTGGTTTAATCACATATGGCACCATGGTATGACTCCGGCTTCCCATTTTCGTCCAGCAAGCTTAACCACTGACGTTGGTCGTCTAGGCTCAAGTTCACGAACTCGGTTACACCGAGTGTGCCAAGTCTTACGTCTTCCGAGGAAACAAGGACTACCCCGCGAAGCAGGTGCAAGAGATGCTCGGTCTTCTCCCCCCTGGCTTGCGTCAGGGTGCTCCGCCGCCTCAAACTGGGCGCCCTCCAGCGCCTCCTGCAGCGCGATTCCTCCTCCCGGTCCAGCAGGCTGAATTCCAGATCACCAATGTGCTGGAGCAGCTGCAGCGCGACCCTTGGCCTGTTGCGAACGACAAGCGACCTCTTAGATGTACGGGTGTTGCCATTAGTGTTGCTGTTGGTCTGCTGGAAACATCTTTCCAGAATGCTGGTGGACGTATCATGCTCTTTACGGGCGGGCCGGCTACTGAAGGCCCAGGCCTTGTTGTTGGGCCTGAACTGAAAGAACCTATTCGATCTCACCATGACATCGATAGAGACAACATCAAATACTACAAGAAAGCGGTGAAGGTAAGCTAGTTGTGAAACCTTGCCGTCTTTACATTAAGACTAACCCTGCCAGTTCTACGACAACCTTGCTAAGCGCGCTGCGCACAATGGACACGTCGTCGACATCTTTGCTGGCTGTCTGGACCAAGTCGGTCTTTTGGAAATGAAGAATTTGGCGAACTTCACAGGCGGTCACATGGTCCTGACTGACAGCTTCACCTCGTCCCAATTCAAACAGTCTTTTGTCAGAGTCTTTGACAAGGACGAAAATGATAACCTGTTGATGGGCTTCAATGCCTCTCTGGAGGTCCTCACTACCAAGGAGCTCAAGGTCACTGGTCTCATTGGCCATGCAATCTCCCTCAATAAGAAATCGAGCAGCGTCGGCGAGACCGAGTGCGGCATCGGCAACACGTGCGCTTGGAAGATGTGCGGGATTGACCCCCAGTCGAGCTATGGCATTTACTTCGAGATCGCAAATCAGGGTGGACCAGCACCGATGCAGCAGGGTCCTCAGCGGGGAATGATTCAGTTCCTCACATATTACCAGCACTCCTCCGGCCAGTACCATCTCCGAGTCACTACCATTGCTCGTAACCTGAGTGGCCCGGCGGGTGATCCAGCTATTGCACAGTCCTTTGACCAGGAGGCTGCTGCCGTTTTGATGTCGCGCATCGCTGTTTTCAAGGCCGAGGTGGATGACGGCCCCGACGTGCTCCGATGGGTCGACCGGATGCTGATCAGGCTCTGCTCTCGTTTTGCGGACTACCGAAAGGATGATCCCACATCCTTCCGCCTGGAGAAGAACTTTACTCTTTACCCGCAATTTATGTTCCATCTTCGCCGAAGCCAGTTTTTGCAGGTCTTTAACAACTCACCTGATGAAACTGCATTCTATCGACATGTGCTCAATCATGAAGACGTCGGCAATTCTTTGATTATGATCCAGCCTACGCTCGACTCATACTCCCTTGAGCATGAAGGAAGCCAACCGGTACTCCTGGACTCTGCCTCAATCCAGCCGACTCACGTTCTTCTCCTCGACACCTTCTTCCACATCCTCATTTTCCATGGAGAGACTATAGCCGAATGGAGAAAGGCCGGATACCAGGACCAAGAAGGTTACGAAAACTTCCGGGCTCTCCTGGAGCAACCCAAGGAGGATGCAAAAGTATGCTTATCGTTCCCTTTAGCTCGGCAGAAATGTCTCGCTAACTTTTGCCTCAGGAACTCATTGCCGATCGTTTCCCGCTTCCCCGTTTCATCATTTGCGACGCCGGTGGCTCACAGGCACGGTTCCTGCTTTCGAAGCTCAACCCGTCTACGACTCACTCGACTGGAGGTTACGGTGGAGGTGTGACGGCGCAGACCATCTTCACGGATGATGTCTCATTGCAGACATTTATGGAACACTTGATGAAGTGAGTGGAGATTGCTAGAACCATGCGCTGTCGTGACTTGCTGACAATTGAACGCAGGCTTGCCGTTTCGGGAACCAACTAAACATCACGAGGTAATAATAGCAAGATGCTCTCACGTAAAATACGGTGTGATTGTGTGTTGGCTGTGTGTACCTTTTTAGCGAGTTGCTCGTCTTTCCTAGCAGAAATATAGCCGTAGATTGAATGATTGATACCATTTCACCTAATAATCACCTTTTGTTCACCCACGCCAGCGATGGCTATTGCATCGTAACCTGAGCTTGTGTCACGTGACTTATTTCGGGGTTGTGCCCTAGCCGGCATGGGGCCCTCGCTTAGCCTAGCCGCTGCCACCCCAATAACCTTTTCAATTCCGGAGCGCTCGTGAACTTTTCCTCCGCCATCCACCTCAACAACAATCCAAGGAAGATCGACGACCTTTCGCATTCGCCATGCGTAAGTATCATCTCCTTGGATAGGCGCTAGCCTGGCGACTGACATGATGTCCTTTTTTCCTCCATAGCTCCCAAGTTCGATCCCAATGAGGTGAAGATCATCCACCTGAGGGTGACCGGTGGTGAAGTCGGAGCCCAGTCTGCTCTGGCTCCCAAGGTCGGTCCTCTTGGTCTGTCTCCCAAGAAGATTGGTGAAGATATCGCCAAGGCCACTAGCGACTGGGTGAGTTTTGGAAAATTTCGAGGTTCTATGAGTTGGACGACCGAACCGCTAATCTTTTTGCTGTACAGAAAGGTCTCCGTGTGACGGTCAAGCTCACCATCCAGAACCGTCAAGCTCAGATCTCTGTTGTCCCTTCGGCGTCTTCCCTGGTCATCAAGGCCCTGAAGGAGCCTCCTCGTGACCGCAAGAAGGAGAAGAACATTAAGCACACCAAGTCGATCCCCTTGGATGAGATCATCGACATTGCCCGCACCATGCGCAGCCGCAGCTTTGCCAAGGAGCTGAAGGGCACTGTTCTGGAGATCCTGGGTACTGCTTTCTCTGTTGGCTGCCAGGTTGATGGCCGCAGCCCGAAGGAAGTCAGTGACGACATCAAGGCCGGAGAGATTGACAGTATGTTTGGACCGCAGCTTTGTCTGATGAGATTGATGCTAACGGTTGCCTAGTTCCTGCCGAGTAAAAAGTTGGTCATGATTTTTCGTAACAGCACATAATATGTTTTTGCTGTGCTAGATATGAGAATATGATGACTTCAAAAATTTACGAGCCATGACCATTTGTTTCACTATGATCCGCGTACAGTTCCTACCGCTTGTGATATTAGCTCAAGAATACCGTTTTGGATGCTTGTTGCTCTTTAACAGCGACTAGCCCATGCTCATTGCAAGGCAACTCGTTCATACGAATGACTGCCGACCTTTGCGACACTCTGGCCGATACCATCCATTCCCGTTCTGGGATTGGAGCTGTACCCCACGGTATCGGCTTATTTTGTGCAAAGAAGATTGAAACAGACCGCTTACTCACCGCGGTATCCTTTGAGGTTCGCTTCCCTCGGTGGATATGGCGGTCCATCATATTGGTCGACATGCCCGTAGATTGATCAGCGTTGCGTTTAGTTCTAGAAATTGAATTCTCGTTACTCCTCGTCAAGTATACTACTGTTCGTAGATATATTCCAAGTGTGTGTACATATCCTAGATTCCAAGTTGGCAATATAAGCACAAATTATGGATGTATGAACAGCATAAAAGCCACAAAATCGATCTCAACCAGACTTTGCATGTGATATCTATCTACTTAACGTATAGGATAGATACTAATTAGGCCTCCTCCAGTTTACTGTAGATCTATCCGTAAACGACATTGACAATACTCCGTATATATATCCCGTACACCGGTTGGCAGCGATGAGATTAATTCTGTTTGCCTGAAAAAAAATCCCTGTTTGTCATCGTTTGCCCTGCGACTCAGGTTGGTTATACGAACAATTTCAATCAAGTAAGGGCTTTACTCTTTAGTAGTTCTTTTTTCAAACAAATAGGTAATTAATTAAATTTCAATCAATCAATCAACGGTAACATCCTGTTCCCTTTTCGAAATAACGTAATCCACCACCGAGCTGGTCACACCACCGAGCTGGTCAGCCACAACACCAACACCGAGTTTTTGACTATTACTACCACCACCACCACCCACCACCACCTAATGGCCGATATATCTAGGGAGGAACGTCTTCAATTGGCCCTTCAGGCCTATAAAAAGGGCCAATTTCCATCAATCCGAAAGGCTGCAGATGCATTTGACGTGCCTAAAAGCACCTTAATAACATGTGTCAGTGGGACTACTTCTCGCAAAGATTCAATCGCCAATTGTCGAAAATTGACAGAGACTGAAGAGAATACACTTTCAACATGGATTCTGGATATGGACCGACGTGGTTTACCTNTGCGAATATCAACTGTACGCTATC